TCGATTATGTTGTAACGAGTTTTTGCCATCGCTTATGTTGTAACGACTTTTTGGCATCGCTTATGTTGTAACGAGTTTTTGCCATCGCTTATGCTGTAACGACTTTTTGCCATCGCTTATGCTGTAACGACTTTTTGCCATCGCTTTTTATGTAACGACCTTTTGCCGTCGCTTATGCTGTAACGAGTTTTTGCCATCGCTTATGTTGTAACGACTTTTTGCCGTCGCTTATGCTGTAACGACTTTTTGCCATCGCTTATGCTGTAACGACTTTTTGCCATCGCTTTTTATGTAACGACTTTTTGCCATCGCTTTTTATGTAACGACTTTTTGCCGTCGCTTATGCTGTAACGAGTTTTTGCCATCGCTTATGTTGTAACGACTTCTTGCCGTCGCTTATGTTGTAACGACTTTTTGCCATCGCTTATGCTGTAACGAGTTTTTGCCATCGCTTATGCTGTAACGACTTTTTGCCGTCGCTTTTTATGTAACGACTTTTTGCCGTCGCTTATGCTGTAACGACTTTTTGGCATCGCTTTTTATGTAACGACTTTTTGCCGTCGCTTATGTTGTAACGACTTTTTGCCGTCGCTTTTTATGTAACGACGTTTTGCCGTCGCTTTTTATGTAACGACTTTTTGCCATCGCTTATGCTGTAACGACTTTTTGGCATCGCTTATGTTGTAACGAGTTTTTGCCATCGCTTATGTTGTAACGACTTTTTGGCATCGCTTATGTTGTAACGACTTTTTGGCATCGCTTATGTTGTAACGAGTTTTTGCCATCGCTTATGCTGTAACGAGTTTTTGCCATCGCTTATGCTGTAACGAGTTTTTGCCATCGCTTATGTTGTAACGAGTTTTTGCCATCGCTTATGTTGTAACGACTTTTTGCCGTCGCTTATGCTGTAACGAGTTTTTGCCATCGCTTATGTTGTAACGACTTCTTGCCGTCGCTTATGTTGTAACGACTTTTTGCCATCGCTTATGCTGTAACGACTTTTTGCCGTCGCTTATGTTGTAACGACTTTTTGCCGTCGCTTATGCTGTAACGACTTTTTGCCATCGCTTTTTATGTAACGACTTTTTGCCATCGCTTTTTATGTAACGACTTTTTGCCGTCGCTTATGCTGTAACGAGTTTTTGCCATCGCTTATGTTGTAACGACTTCTTGCCGTCGCTTATGTTGTAACGACTTTTTGCCATCGCTTATGCTGTAACGAGTTTTTGCCGTCGCTTATGTTGTAACGACTTTTTGCCGTCGCTTTTTATGTAACGACTTTTTGCCGTCGCTTATGCTGTAACGACTTTTTGGCATCGCTTTTTATGTAACAACTTTTTGCCGTCGCTTATGTTGTAACGACTTTTTGCCGTCGCTTTTTATGTAACGACGTTTTGCCGTCGCTTTTTATGTAACGACTTTTTGCCATCGCTTATGCTGTAACGACTTTTTGGCATCGCTTATGTTGTAACGAGTTTTTGCCATCGCTTATGCTGTAACGAGTTTTTGCCATCGCTTATGTTGTAACGAGTTTTTGCCATCGCTTATGTTGTAACGACTTTTTGGCATCGCTTATGTTGTAACGAGTTTTTGCCATCGCTTATGCTGTAACGAGTTTTTGCCATCGCTTATGCTGTAACGACTTTTTGCCGTCGCTTTTTATGTAACGACTTTTTGCCGTCGCTTATGCTGTAACGACTTTTTGGCATCGCTTTTTATGTAACGACTTTTTGCCGTCGCTTATGTTGTAACGACTTTTTGCCGTCGCTTTTTATGTAACGACGTTTTGCCGTCGCTTTTTATGTAACGACTTTTTGCCATCGCTTATGCTGTAACGACTTTTTGGCATCGCTTATGTTGTAACGAGTTTTTGCCATCGCTTATGTTGTAACGACTTTTTGGCATCGCTTATGTTGTAACGACTTTTTGGCATCGCTTATGTTGTAACGACTTTTTGGCATCGCTTATGTTGTAACGAGTTTTTGCCATCGCTTATGCTGTAACGAGTTTTTGCCATCGCTTATGCTGTAACGACTTTTTGGCATCGCTTATGCTGTAATGACTTTTTGGCATTGCTTTTTATGTAACGACTTTTTGCCATCGCTTATGCTGTAACAACTTTTTGCCATCGATTATGTTGTAACGAGTTTTTGCCATCGCTTATGCTGTAACGAGTTTTTGCCATCGCTTATGCTGTAACGACTTTTTGCCATCGCTTTTTATGTAACGACCTTTTGCCATCGCTTATGTTGTAACGACTTTTTGCCGTCGCTTATGCTGTAACGACTTTTTGGCGTCGCTTTTTATGTAACGAGTTTTTGCCATCGCTTATGCTGTAACGAGTTTTTGCCATCGCTTATGCTGTAACGACTTTTTGCCATCGCTTTTTATGTAACGACTTTTTGCCATCGATTATGTTGTAACGACTTTTTGCCATCGCTTTTTATGTAACGACTTTTTGGCATCGCTTTTTATGTAACGACTTTTTGCCGTCGCTTATGCTGTAACGACTTTTTGCCTTCGCTTTTAATGTAACTACTTTTTGTCATCGGTTTTGCGAAACCAAGATTTGCCATAGTGTGCAGGGCAGACGTTGTCACAGTACAGCCTATGTATGGAAACCGACGGCTACTAAGTTGTTACATGAAAAGCGATGCCAAAAAGTCGTTACAGCATAAGCGACGGCAAAAAGTCGTTACAACAAAGCGATGGCAAAAACTCGTTACAGCATAATCGACGCCAAAAAGTCGTTACAGCATAAGCGACGGCAAAAAGTCGTTACAGCATAAGCGATGGCAAAAAGTCGTTACAACTTAAGCGACGGCAAAAAGTCGTTACAACATAAGCGACGGCAAAAAGTCGTTACAACATAAGCGACGGCAAAAAGTCGTTACAACATAATCGATGGCAAAAAGTCGTTACATAAAAAGCGATGGCAAAAAGTCGTTACAGCATAAGCGATGGCAAAAACTCGTTACAGCATAAGCGATGGCAAAAACTCGTTACAACATAAGCGATGCCAAAAAGTCGTTACAACATAAGCGATGGCAAAAACTCGTTACAACATAATCGATGGCAAAAAGTTGTTACAGCATAAGCGATGGCAAAAAGTCGTTACATAAAAAGCGATGCCAAAAAGTCGTTACAGCATAAGCGACGGCAAAAAGTCGTTACAGCATAAGCGATTGCAAAAAGTCGTTACAGCATGACCGAGTGCAAAAGTTGGTTATAAGCAATCCAATGACAAAAGTTTAGGGGTATTGTATTAAGCGCGAGGCGGAACGTAGCTTCTTCAACATATTTGAGCACCTTCATATTGTCTAACGAGGGTTGGATAGATGAGCTTCGTGCTTCTTTGACGTGCAATATGAGTGCAACAGGGATCATTTGTAATTTGCATGATTTGTTTATGCATCGTTTTCTGCCGCTAATGAGACCTTGATATCTGGTCTGGGTCCGTCCTCATCCCGTATCCAGATGTTGTAGGACTTGTTGTTGTTGACGCATTCTTGAATATGTACTCATTTGCCTGGGCTGACAGCACCTTTCACCTAAGATGATGCTGTAGGCTTTGTGTCGATAATTGGAAACAGCGTTCGCTATGCCTATTCTTGCGTTGCGGAGGCTAAGCGTCAGGTATCTCGTTGTACGTGTCGCGCGTGGAGAAAAGCGCGCCTAAGTGCCGCAACCAAACCATCGGCCCATACCAAGATCACGGTCCAAGTGGATGAAGGCGTCGGAGAAACATCGTGTTGAACGGGCACTGAAAAATTCCCGGGCATTTTGATGGAATGAGGGAACTCTTTTCTCAGTCGATGAGAAAATGCAACTCTGTTAATTGCTTTGCTATAGTTTTGGTGATGGGAGTTCAGGATTATTTTATGACCCAACTTTGGCCGTCGGTGTTGATGAACTAATGTTGACCATCGGTTTTGGAGAACCAATTTTGCAATATGTAGCTTTTGATATAGTTATTTATTTCTCTTTACAGGCTTAAAGCATGAATTCAAGCTGTACTACTGTATTATAACTTTTGGTTCTTGTAGCTAGGGTGTTCCGGCGTCCTGGTGCCTTTGTGACTTCATACTGTTTTGCGCCTTCAGCCATTCAATGTCTCGCCTCTTGATATCGTTGCTGTCTGATGCCCAAGGTGGGCACACATTTGTTCCAGCGCAGATACTCGCCTACATTGAACTAATGAGAACTAAGAATCATTTCATAATTTTTGAACGTACCAACATAGTGCTGCAAGTTAACAGGTCAACAGGATTCGATGTCAATCCTCAGTACATCTGGGTGATCAGACGAACATGTTTCGTTTAAAACGAAATGACCATCGTTATGTCTAAAAAGAATGAAAATACTTAGATAGGCAATATTCTCTTTGTAAATAATTACCTTGCAAGTCACCTAATACAAAACGCATTGCGTCTTTGGCTCTGCTTGCCGTGGCTGTCATCTTGCTGTCGCGTGTCTCAAGGGATGCGTTGAGGTAATCAGAGAGTGCATCATCTTCTGCATGCTGTTGATTCGACTATCGAAGCTGTCATCCGTCTAGCTTTTGCAGACATAGCCTATGTTGACCCAGTCCTTCTCCTTGAGTAACTTTGTGATGAACTCTTGACGGTTGAAGATTTTCTCTATGTGAGAGTCAGCCCTTTGCTTCTTTGTAATGTAGTAGAGTTACGACAGTAGACGAAGGCCCTCTTGCCAGAGCCGTGCCTGTCCAGACACCGGATATGTTTCGGACGTCCAAATTGCATCTCTTTACATCGCGTTGGGTAACTGAAAATCTGTATATGGTAGCGGAAAAAATAAGAAGAAGCGGAAAGTTAGTGAGCACCAGATATACTTAGCGATTATATGAGATCCATGGGCGGTTGGATGCGCAGAGAGAATTGATGAGATCGAAGATAGATCGTCTCAAAAATCTATAACAGCAAAGGATACTTCTGTTATGTGTTCGGAAATGGGTGAGAAGAACAAAAGGTCGTAAGAGACTAGAGTTATAAACTATGTTTTTATTTCGAAAAAAGAATTAATCGCTTTTATCTGCGATGGTCTAATCTATCATCAAAATAAAATAAAGCACGCGAAGTGCAAAGAGCGGAAGATCCAAACAAGAGACACAAAAAGGAAAGCAAAACAAGTAAGACAAAAAGGGCACATCCAGCTGGAAATGGTCGAGCTTGACGGCACTTAATGGTTTGGAAAATATGTTCGAAGAATTTCTGAAGTTCCACGGATGTCTGGCATACATGTGCACGTCTTCCGGATTGGACTCCTCAACGGTCATAACTGCTTTTAGGATATACATGCTTGCTTCCTTCAAAAGCTGTATTCCTAGTAAAGACATTGTCAATTCTGAAAATCTCAATAATTGCTGATGTGCGTGCTTACTTGCCTTCCTCTACTTAATCTCCGATTGACAACAGTTTGTGGGGAGCATTGAATTCCTTTCGTAGCATGGACTTCTTTTCTTTTAGTTGGCAGGCTGAAAATCGTCCTCTTCATCGGTATCGGGATATTCCAGCCACACCTCAGGGTCATTGGATATGGCAGGGGGAGCCATTGGGATAGGAATGGACGGCCCAAGATCGCGGTGGTAGACAACTTTGAAGGGGCTCTTGCTAATAGTTGCCTTGGCTTTCCGTTTATTCTCTGGGTTATTGGGTAGCCCGAGCACCTTACAAAAGGCATCGCCTTTGGTACACAATGGGGAAGTGTGTGAATGGGAAGGAATCTCGCAGAGTATCGGGGAATCCATTAAAGGAGAAATAAAGAGCAGAGAAGAAGAGTGAAAGAAAGTACAGAACCAGCGGTCCGTGGCAGATGATTTTAAAAGAATAAAAAAAAACACAAAAATAGCAGAAGCTGATCGTCCTCCATTGAGTTTGAAATGTTGGCGTGGGAAGGTGTTCTAAATTTGGCCCTCTCACTGACAACATCAATTCAATGGCCTTCCATCCAACTCACACCAAATCATGCGCGCCGTCATTCAAAAGCCATATACTTATTTTCATACTATTCTCCTTTGATTTGACACTGCGTCAATGTCATAGCATGTTTAACGCTGGGACTTTTTGAATTCTGAGCGTGCCTCTCAATATGATGTATGCCAACCCATTGTAATATCCGTATATTGTTTCCTTTTCGGAAAAGGTTGATAATTATGTTACCACGCCATAAGAAATAATCGAGGAATTACCTTGAAACACTGCAAGTTGGCACGACATCAAAAAGAATCAAGGATCGGAAGTAAACCTATAGGAACTTATCAGGTTGCTATCCAGCTATCGAATGACCCAGTTATTCAAACCATGGCTTTCTCTGATCAACTTTGGCCATCGGTTTTTTATGTGACCAACTTTTGCCTTGGCTTTTACGTTGTTTTTTATGGACGACGTTTGGCCTTGGCTTTTATGTTGTTTTTTATGGACGACGTTTGGCCTTGGCTTTTACGTTGGTTCTTATGGACGACATTTGGCCTTGGATTTTACGTTGTTTTTTATGGACGACGTTTGGCCTTGGCTTTTACGTTGTTTTTTAATGGACGACGTTTGGCCTTGGCTTTTATGTTGTTTTTTACGGACGACGTTTGGCCTTGGCTTTTACGTTGTTTTTTATGGACGACGTTTGGCCTTGGCTTTTACGTTGGTTTTTATGGACGACGTTTGGCCTTGGCTTTTACGCTGTTTTTTACGGACGACGTTTGGCCTTGGCTTTTACGTTGTTTTTTACGGACGACGTTTGGCCTTGGCTTTTACGTTGTTTTTTACGGACGACGTTTGGCCTTGGCTTTTACGTTGTTTTTTATGGACGAGCTTTTGCCTTGGCTTTTATGTTGGTTTTTATGGACGACGTTTGGCCTTGGCTTTTATGTTGTTTTTTACGGACGAGCTTTTGCCTTGGCTTTTATGTTGGTTCTTATGGACGACGTTTGGCCTTGGCTTTTACGTTGTTTTTTAATGGACGACGTCTGGCCTTGGCTTTTATGTTGTATTTTACGGACGACGTTTGGCCTTGGTTTTTATGTTGTTTTTTATGGACGAGCTTTTGCCTTGGCTTTTATGTTGGTTCTTATGGACGACGTTTGGCCTTGGCTTTTATGTTGGTTCTTATGGACGACATTTGGCCTTGGATTTTACGTTGTTTTTTATGGACGACGTTTGGCCTTGGCTTTTACGTTGTTTTTTAATGGACGACGTTTGGCCTTGGCTTTTATGTTGTTTTTTACGGACGACGTTTGGCCTTGGCTTTTACGTTGTTTTTTATGGACGACGTTTGGCCTTGGCTTTTACGTTGGTTTTTATGGACGACGTTTGGCCTTGGCTTTTACGCTGTTTTTTACGGACGACGTTTGGCCTTGGCTTTTACGTTGTTTTTTACGGACGACGTTTGGCCTTGGCTTTTACGTTGTTTTTTACGGACGACGTTTGGCCTTGGCTTTTACGTTGTTTTTTATGGACGAGCTTTTGCCTTGGCTTTTATGTTGGTTTTTATGGACGACGTTTGGCCTTGGCTTTTATGTTGTTTTTTACGGACGAGCTTTTGCCTTGGCTTTTATGTTGGTTCTTATGGACGACGTTTGGCCTTGGCTTTTACGTTGTTTTTTAATGGACGACGTTTGGCCTTGGCTTTTATGTTGTTTTTTACGGACGACGTTTGGCCTTGGCTTTTATGTTGGTTCTTATGGACGACGTTTGGCCTTGGCTTTTATGTTGGTTTTGATGGACGACGTTTGGCCTTGGCTTTTATGTTGTTTTTTATGGACGACGTTTGGCCTTGGCTTTTATGTTGGTTCTTATGGACGACGTTTGGCCTTGGCTTTTATGTTGTTTTTTATGGACGACGTTTGGCCTTGGCTTTTATGTTGGTTCTTATGGACGACGTTTGGCCTTGGCTTTTATGTTGGTTTTGATGGACGACGTTTGGCCTTGGCTTTTATGTTGTTTTTTACGGACGACGTTTGACCTTGGCTTTTATGTTGTTTTTTACGGACGACGTTTGACCTTGGCTTTTATGTTGTTTTTTATGGACGACGTTTGGCCTTGGCTTTTATGTTGGTTCTTATGGACGACGTTTGGCCTTGGCTTTTATGTTGGTTTTGATGGACGACGTTTGGCCTTGGCTTTATGTTGTTTTTTACGGACGACGTTTGACCTTGGCTTTTATGTTGGTTTTGATGGACGACGTTTGGCCGGCTTTTACGTTGTTTTTTACGGACGACGTTTGGCCTTGGCTTTTACGTTGTTTTTTATGAACGAGCTTTTGCCTTGGCTTTTATGTTGGTTTTTATGGACGACGTTTGGCCTTGGCTTTTATGTTGTTTTTTACGGACGAGCTTTTGCCTTGGCTTTTATGTTGGTTCTTATGGACGACGTTTGACCTTGGCTTTTACGTTGTTTTTTACGGACGACGTTTGCCCTTGGCTTTTATGTTGGTTTTTATGGACGACGTTTGGCCTTGGCTTTTATGTTAGTTCTTATGGACGACGTTTGGCCTTGGCTTTTATGTTGGTTTTGATGGACGACGTTTGGCCTTGGCTTTTATGTTGGTTCTTATGGACGACGTTTGGCCTTGGCTTTTATGTTGTTTTTTACGGACGACGTTTGGCCTTGGCTTTTATGTTGGTTTTGATGGACGACGTTTGGCCTTGGCTTTTATGTTGTTTTTTACGGACGACGTTTGACCTTGGCTTTTATGTGTTTTTTATGGACGAGCTTTTGTTTGGCATAGGTCATGCTGTAACCAGTTTTGACATACCTGTTTATGAAATTAACGTTGCCGTCGGTTTTTTATGTAACCTAACGTCAATAACATTGGCAAGAGTCTCGTTGAACGTCTCGCTGAACCTTTTGAGTTTAATATGGTCGACATGCTCTGTGCCGTCGTCTCCGGTAGGTTCATGCCTCAATCTTCCACGAATCCAAAGTATCAATGTCACCCTTTGAGGTGATTGCGCCTATGAGTACACCTATTGATTGCTGCGGATACGACAATGATGACCGCGACCGATCGTACGCCCAAAGACTTTGGTCCCCTGGTTTTCGCCTTCACTGGCGCCAGTAATGTCACACGAGTAAGTTGCTCCACAGCTAAAATCATTGCCCTTGCCCTAACACAATTTTGTCTAAGGTGCTTTGGATGTGTTTCAGCAGCTCCCCCATGAGTTCGTGCCCGCCGAAGACTTGCCAAAGACGTTAGGTTGTGGTTGGAATAAAGAGTTCGAGTTACAGGGAAACTATTCTCTGGCTTTGTTGGAATTTCCTGAAAATCGATGGTCTCAAGAAATTCTTGGGAGAATTTTATTTCGAGCTTGAATTGCGTGAATTGGGGTTCGTGACGGTTTGCTGGGATTATTCATTCACGCTTACTTTACCTTTTTTTATGAACCAACTTTTACCATCGGTTGTCTTGTTTTCAAAGTTGTTTTGGGTTCATTTGCAAGTCAGTAAGCTAGCGGTACGCTGATCTAAAAGGAACTTTAACATTGCCTTGTAATTTGGTCGATGAAATGCTTTATTCTATGATAAAGATTTTTATTGATCCCGGAAGCGACTAGCCGAGTCACAAGAATACAGTCTGACATTTTCAAAACATGCCTCTTCAACGTTTCACCCGTTTTGTTGATACCCAATATGGGCTTGTTTAACTGGCTTTCCGGGAATGCCGACGACATTCCCACCAAGACACAATGCTATCATATTGTAATCCAATTTCTTTGGTTTTTCAGCGAATGCTCTTTGGCTAATGTTAAATACTCTCTGCTTGCTGTAGGAGGGGTTCCTTTCTTGTGTCCACTTCCAAACAGCCGTTGAAGCTGCCGATCGTTTAACGGCAAAACATGCTAATGTCAAAGTCGACGTCAATGCCTATGTCAAAGAGCAATGGAAAGAGCGATCCAGGGAATTACAAGAGGTACGTTGAGATACAATTATGCAGATAATCGCCACATGGATGCTTAGCCATTCACAATAGGAATTCAAATCGCAACATTCCACTTCTCCATTCATCTACGAGGGTTGTAATATAAATGAACAAGCTTTTGTAGGCGGATATAGCGATTTTGCGAAACGCTTAAAAGAAGTATACAAGATGAACGTCCCTATGGATTAAGGGAATAGATGTGAATAGAAAACTGTATAAAATTTGGCATATATCGATTAGCTGTTGACTTTTGTTCCATTTCAAGGTATTCGAGTTAACAATGATCATAAAGGATGGGTTAGAGAACTTATTCCATGTTCCTGGATAATTTAAATGATTGCTCTAATTCTTCGAGGTTGACAGATTATGGATAGTAGTTGAATTGTGAAGAATCGTATCCATTGGTACTTAGGTCTAAGAAGATTCTCCCACTTGAGTTTTTGCAATGCAAAAGGTCGTTCGTAATCACAAAGTTTCGTAAATCTTGCTGCACGCACTTTCTGTCAAATGATGATATTATTGAAATAATGAACCTCCCAGTCCTGTGAGTACTGCTACAACATGTATAAAGCAATCCTTGTACTTGTACATATACAACGTTCCCCACATCAAAGCCATCCGAGGACTGTTGGACTGGTGGCCAATCTGTCATACAGATTCCCCCATTTAGGTCTGTGCTTGTCTAATTGCAGCGTGAAACTTCACTATTTATTTAGGCAGAAAAGGAAACTCATCAAACATTTGGGCTGGATACCGGATATTGTCGTAAGCGCATGACAGAAAATAATCCAGCTGTGCACTTTGTTTACCTTTCGTTCACGGCTATTGTTAGATTTTCGATTTCAGTCAGGAACGATTAGTTGAGAACCCAGTCCCGCATTTCAATACTAGGCCAATATCTTTTCATTTTCACAATCATATTATGCAAGTACTCGACATGTGATAAGATATTGGAATATTGATAAAGTGAGCAAGGGAACGGGAGGTTGTTTCCTTTTTTTATAATCAGATTTTTGATACCTTGAATTCTTAACTTACGTGACATGACCAGCAATAATTGCACGGAGAGCTGGATGACTTTATTTGTATATCAAAACACTGTCTATCTTTAATGAACTGTAATAGCTTGGGTTCTATCTATTACAAACCACAGAACTGTGGTTCATCTTATCTTCCTTTTTGAAGCCGCTGGTTACAAGGTGGAAGTTTGTCCAGGTTATGATGGAAAAATCAAGCTGATTGGACCCCCGCCTGGGACGCGCAAAAAAATTTTAGGCAGTGAAACCAAGCCACTTTTTCCTCAAACGTATAAAATTTTGCGCGCCCTTCTCTTCCGTTGGAAAATTCTTCATTCCTTTATTTTTTCTATATCCATTTTTTCAACGATTCTTGATGGTAAGTTAAGCAACACTAATTGAAGAGAGAGAGTGTGTTCCGAAGGATGCAAAACCTTTAACGTCTTAATTGCCGTGTGGATCCAAAAAAGTATACTGATTTAATGAGCCTGACGGAACATCTTCTCTCTTCACTTGTTGATAACAACTGTTATGAAGCATTTATACTAATGTTTTATACAATATCATTAGGTATCCTTGGTTATCCAATCATGATATGATCCTTTGATTTTTCTATTGAAATAAAAACTGATGTTTCAAATATTCTTTTTGGTCCTAATTTATGATTGTCCTTTCTTATGGGTCTTGTGGCAATAACGAGGTTGATGATCGAGCAAATCGGCGTCTTGAAGGTTAAAGGCGGATAAAAATGAATAACGCTGTGAAGTTGACGTGGTCTTCGTGATCGACTTTGACTTTTCCGTCAAAATAAGTTGATGTAAAGCACTTGATTATTGAGGAGGTGGTAGCCTTTGGTGATTGCAGCCTGTTCGCCATTGGAGGAACTGAAGTGTGAGCACCATGATATGTCATCCAGATTATCGCGCGTCGACATTTTGAAGCCTACAGACAATGAATAAGAGCTTGATTTAACCAAGGTATGAGCGACGGTGCAAATCTGCCAAAATGTTCGAGAAGACAACTGGGGCAAGAAAAAAAAATGACGTGCAACACCTTTCAGAAAGGAGGCAAAAGAAATGCTCTAGACATCGATCAAGGAGTCACATATTCATTGCTGGGACAACAAGGCCATTCACTATTTGAAGATATTCGCGGCTCCGTTCCATAAGGCGCCCGGTGCCTTCGGCATCAACCCTGAGTTGGCCAAGCAGCACTACAAAGAGAAACTGATAGTTCTCAAGCAAGGCCGTATTCCTACATGTCATTGAAGATGCTCTTTGAACGTATTCTTTCAAAGTACTCCCTAATGATTGACGATGGTCAAGTTCATCTTTCATCCGTTGATACCAACATACAACACACGAATTATCCATTTTATACGGTTTACATGGATTTTTGAGGAGCATGTCGACCATATTAAACTCAAAAGGTTCAGCGAGGCGTTCAACGAGACTCTTGCCAATGTTATTGACCTGTTTTAAGTGATTATGAGTGCCCTGAATGTAACAATGGTAACCATCTGTCTGTAGCTATGCCAATTTAAAAAAATTTTCAGGCCTTCATGTTGGATAGTGCCGCTTTGGAAAATGGTTTCAATTCACCCAAGTCGTTGATCGACTCAACCGGATCTGGAATTGAAAACGCAGAGCACCCAATCAACAAAAGTCCGTCGCAAACAAATTCAAGCAACTGCAAAGCTGGATATGTCATTAAAAAAAAAAGGAGATATGCAGTCTCTGAAAGATGAGCAACTTTTTGTAAAAGTGCGACATAAATTTTGTGAATAGCGACAAGTGATGTGGAGAGCCCTGGGTTTGGACGTTCCTGCAGCCAACAACGTCATTTTGAACGTTCGAATTTTTTGACCTCATGATCGTGAGAAGGTTGACTTTGTTTCGCATCACTTTTTGACAATCCAAACTGCTAAAGATAGAACTGTATTTTAAGATTCGCCTGTCGATATTTTCTGCATCGTTTTCACTTGCTTTTCATTATTATGATCTCTTCTACGTATATTGCGGCTTTCCGCAAGGCCATGCTCCGATCCCGACCTCGTTGCTTGCTACGCTCCTTCTCCGCTACAGCACGACAACAGCGTCAAGCGGATTCCTCTGCTGCTTCTGGGACTCGCACAATTGGTCTCCGACGTGAAGACAAAAGCCGCTGGGAACGCCGTGTGGCCTTGACGCCCGCAGCTGTCGAACGGTTGATCCGCGAGACAGGCGCAAAGGTGTACGTCCAACCAAGCACCAAACGCATCTTTAGTGATGAAGCCTACGTCAAGGTACGACACAAAATAATTTCCACAATATACAATAACAATGACACTGGTTGCTTGACCAAAAGGCCGGAGCATGTATTACCGAAGACTTGAGTTCCGCCGATGTGATTCTTGGTATCAAAGAAGTTCCTGAAGCCTCGTTGTTACCGGACAAGACGTACTTGTTCTTCTCACACACACACAAAGGCAACATGAAGAACATGCCCATGTTGAAATCCATACTCGATAAGGTAATATGGTCATAACATTTTTTTTTTTTTTTTTCGTGGGAAAAACTGTCCCAACCGTGGAAACATTGTCATCTTAAGAAGCGACCTCAAACTTACCATCATCCGCAGAGAATCCGATTGATCGACTATGAACTGATGACAAACGAAAACGGACAGCGACTGGTCGCTTTTGGTGAATATGCTGGAAATGCAGGCAAGTATCCGTTTTCTTGGTTTTCAAGGATAGAACCTTCACCATCTCCTAGCAAAAGGACCATTTCCCGATAAACTTTGTTTCTTTGTGCCCCTTGAGAGTTTTGGTTCGTAATGCAGCATGTTCTGATATTGACTGTAATATCTGCTTACAGGTATGATTGATATCTTGCATGGTATGGGACATCGGTTTCTCGGTTTCGGTTACAGCACACCCTTCATGGTAAGTAAAGAGAGAACAGGTTTTGCGGGAAAGAAAGGATGAAACTTACCGAAATCTGTATTAGTACAACTCCATGGCGCATAACTATCGTACCTTGGCCGATGCGAAAAAGGCAGTTCGGGCGGTGGGCGAGATGATCGCGACCGATCGTACGCCCAAAGACTTTGGTCCCCTGGTTTTCGCCTTCACTGGCGCCGGTAATGTCACACGGGTAAGTTGCTCCACAGTTAAATCATTGCCTTTGCCCTAACACAATTTTGTCTAGGGTGCTTTGGATGTGTTTCAGCAGCTCCCCCATGAGTTCGTGCCCGCCGAAGACTTGCCAAAGTTGGTGAACGATAAAAGTAGGTCTTGGAGTGTTCAAACAAAAAGGTCTGCTGATAATTTACACCATATTATAGATCCCAAGTTGAACAAAGTCTATGCCACTCAACTCCAATTGCAAGATTACATCCAAAACCAAAGTGGCACTCCCCTTGCATCTCGCCAAGATTACTATGATCATCCTGAAAAATACCACTCCGTATTTCATGAATCAGTAGGTCCTTTGATCGTTGGACGATCTTTTGGAAAGACCATACTCAGAATATGTGTAGATAGCTCCCTATGTAAACACGGTCGTGACAGGCGCTTATTGGGATTCCAAGTACCCGCGTATGTTGACCAACGACCAGCTTCGGGATATCCAAATACAGCAGCTTGAAGGAAGGATTGGCAAAGGCAAGATGATGTGCTTGGCCGATATTGTTTGTGATATCAAGGTAGCTTTGCACCATAAAAAAATTTATTCCTGCACAAAGCTAATAGGATGATATCAGGGATCATTTGAATGTTTATCGCATTGTACGGAAGTGGATAACGGATTTTATTACTATGACGCAGTCAACAATAAGGAACACCAAAAGTAAGATTTAACTTTACTTGGCAATGAAAATGGAGTTCCTGGGAAAATTAACCCGCATATGTAGTGATGAAGGTGCAGGCATGCAAATCATGGGTATCGATATCCTTCCAGCCGAACTACCGGTCGAGAGTAGCAATCACTTTAGTGAAAAACTTTTACCGTACGTGAAGGAGTTGGTAAGTTCAAACCTATTGATGACAAATACATAGCTCGAATCACTGACATGCACGGCTTCAAGATCAATCCTGCCACTGCGGATACAGGCGCCCTATCTCCATTGCTGGCCAATGCAATCATTGCAGACAAGGGAACTCTGAGTGGTAAACACCAGTCATTGAAGACTTTACTACCAGGAACGGCTGGCACAACAACTTCACAAACACAATCGCGCAAAAAGACCGTCCTCTTGCTCGGTTCTGGCATGGTATCGGGTCCCCTTGTTGATCATTTGACAAAGCGGTCTGATATCCACCTCGTCGTTGGTACGCAATGGGACTTGATAATTATGTAGAATTAAGTCGTTAATCTCCCATCTTTTTACAGCTAGCAATGTAACAAAGGAAGCACAAGCACTGGTTTCTGGCCGATCCAATGCTGAAGCAGTAGGCTTGAATATTTCTGATCGCGAAGAACTGTCACGCCTGGTATCCAATGCCGACGTGGTTGTCAGGTAAAAAGAAAGCAAAATTCGTGGGAAAAGAAATAGTACTGAATGGGGACTATCATCGCTTCAGTTTTGTCCCAGCGTTTTTGCATACCGAGGTGGCCAAAGCATGTGTTGCGAACCGAAAACACATGGTGACGGCTAGTTACGTATCGCCTGAGATGAGAGAATTGCATAACAGGTAATTGTTCAAAGATGGTGGATAATTTTTTGGCCTCACACTAATGAACCTTGACATGAGCAGTGCGGAACAGTCGGATATTTTGATTATGAATGAAGTAGGCTTGGATCCGGGCATTGACCATATGTCAGCTATGAAAATTATCGATGATGCGAAGCGTCAAAATATCAAAGTAAGAAAAACATTGGCGTCATGTTGTACCACAGCTGACCTGATAATATGATCACAGATTCGTTCCTTCATTTCTTGGTGTGGTGGCTTGCCCGCGCCTGAAGCTTCGAACGTGCCTTTGGGGTATAAATTTAGCTGGTCTCCTCGGGGTGTGTTGACAGCAAGTGGAAATGATGCATTATATTGGATCAATGGCAAGGTACAAACGAGCCGAGACAAAAACCACATAAGTTACTGCGTGACTCATCGACTGTGTTATTGATCACAGAAACATGCTATTCCTGGGCAATCGCTTCTCAAGGATCATTTCCCCGTCATCAAGACACCGTACGAAGGATTCACATTTGAAGGTTTAGCCAATCGTAACTCCCTTGGATATGCTGAAACATACGGCTTGGGTCCATTATCCGAAATGGACACCATGTTCCGCGGCACCTTGCGTTATCAGGTAATTCCAGTTTTGTTTTCAAAATGCTCCGTAAGCATCAATATTTACGTAGTACAAATCAAGGGCTATTCGGATCTATTATATGCGTTCAAGAAGCTTGGATTTTTGGAATCGACTATCCCACTGCGTCATTGCACTAATTGGGTAAGTGAGGTCGCGCTCCAAAAGGTGGTTGGTCGATTTTTAAATCTAAACGGACGCGCACTGTACTTGCGTAGACACAATATTTTGATCACGTTTTGTGTGGATCTCAGAAGCATGCTACGAATCAACAGCGCTTTGACACCGTCGTGGATAAACTGGGACTTCCAAAGGACCACCCCATGGTGGAACGCGTTTGGGATGCTTTAACGATGCTCTCTGGCGTAGAGAAAACCAACGTCCCTTTCAATTCTTCAGATTCGGCTTTGGACGCACTTTCAGTGGTTTTGGCAGACAGACTCAAATACCTTCCAACAGAACGAGATATGGTGGCCATGCACCACGAGTTTGGTTTGGAACACGCTTCAGGGAAAAAGGTGAGCTCATATGACGTGCTAAGTGGTTTTTGCACAATAAGAATGGCAAAGCGGCGATCCGTTCTGCTGACACATGGAAATATGTAATGTAGGAAACCTTGACGTCCACACTTATTCATTACGGTGATGAAAAGTACACAGCTATGGCCAAGACAGTAGGTTTGCCGGCTGCAATGACTGTGGAACTGGTACTGGATAATAAGATCCCCGAACGGGGCGTGCTGGTACCAACCATGCCGCACGTGTATCTTCCCATCTTGGATCAACTGGAACATCGCGGTGTACAATTTGTCGAAAAAGTGGCGCCTTCGCATGCCATTCGCTTAGAACCCACAGGAAGCGGTGTTTGGAACTAGAATGTGGATCAACAAAATAAAGCACGGATCCCCTTTGTTTTGGGGGGTTAACCTATTTAAATATAAACAATTTTCCAAGGGCTCAGGGTGGTCCTTGCTCTAACAGGAGTTCAATTCCAGTTTCAAAGTGTAAAAGAAAAAAATGAGCGTTCTCACCGTTCATCAGTAAAAGGCTCATCAACAGATGAAGGTGTATTGGGAGTAAGAAGAAATATTACAGCCTACGCAACAACAATTGCTGCCTGTTCTCCTAGCTCAGAAGAATCCCATGAACACATTCAATTGAACTCTATTGGTCTTCGCAGCTCTATTGTTTATATCTTTGTTTTGGCTGCAAAATCAGCTATGGTATGCATGGGCATCATTCTTTGTTGGTATATATTCTGAGTCTTTGAAATCATCAGTAGCCCTTCTCGTCCATCTTTTTTCTTTCAATTTTTCAGATCCGTCCTCTGATGCGAACCCTGTTGCATCTTTTCTCCATGGTGACTGCAGCCTATGCCATCGCCAATGGAACGACAGTCATCGATCCAACAAAGTATCCGTTCTCCGTCATGTTTTTGCAGCCATCACTGTGTGGAGGCAGTCTTATCTCACTGGATCCGGCATGGATATTGACAGCTGCACATTGTATCAAGGACTATCCAAATCTGGATCCAAGCATTATGATCGACGCTGTCGCCTATGGAAATAGTAACGTCTCAAGCTTACAGTTTGCATCCATTCGCCGAACCATTGTTCATCCGAAATACATGGAAAAACTGAATACCACAACAAAGTACAAGACTGTGAACGATGATATGGAATTGGCGAGGTACGACATCGGTCTGGTAGAACTCACCGCTCCATTGAAGCAAACCGCTTCGGTTAGTCGCGCAGCTCTATGGCCAGATCCAGTATTGCCGACATCTGCGGGATCCTTTTCAGTGATGGGGATGGGGTATATTGGAGTCCACCAACCACAAGCCGAACTACTGCAGGTAGCGAAGAACGAGCCAAGGAAAGACGTTAATGAAACCACCTCCTCGCTCATTCTAAGTAAATCAGAATCTACACTGTGTCACGGCGACTCTGGAAGCCCTTTGATTTGGGAAGAAGATCTTATCGCTTTAACGCCTCCCGAAAACCAGTACGTTGTGGGCATCCTTAACCGCATTCTTCACGCCTACGATCCTGATCCAAGCGATCAAACGTGTCCAATCCCTGATAAAAATCTGCAGAATGTCGTGAACGCCTTCTCACGTGTATCAGTTCATATGGAATGGATCAGCAACACAACCCAAATATCACCAGAGGAACTCACGACACCTGATATTTTTGAAATTCCCAAACTGAACTTTGTCGTAGCTTCAACAGGCAGTGAACAGCACACCAAGGCATCAACGCTTTTTGCTTTTATGTTGATGACTTGCTTATATTGGCTGTGTGCTTCTGCATGAATTACGGTCACTATAATTGCAGCTTTATATGTAAATTTTTCTTGTAAACTAAACTGTACATGTGCATTGAACCCATTTTCACCTCTGTCACCCCACTTACTTTAACCTAATACATAATTCACATTGGCGCATATCTTAGCAAAATAAGTTGATATGTTTTCACTAGTATTCATCTTAGTGGAGGGTCCATCATTCTCTTTATGTCTGATGTCATACCAGCTTAACCGTATTATAAGCAGAATTTAATCAAGGTTACTTTATAAAAGTCCCCTAATATCATGACTTGCGTTGGCTTTGGATCCCATTGAAAAAACCGTCCGCCTTCCATAGTGCGTGATCCATGAACTCATAAGCGATAGTGTGCAGATCTGACCCCGTGGGTAGGCCCGCAATGCTTTCCCAAAAACCAATGGATACCGTGACCAAGACAAGCTTTTGCAACTGCCTTTTAGGCTTTTTATCCAGATTCACTAGTCAAACACTGTCCTTGCTATCATATACATAGGACGACTACCTTGCAATTCTAGAAAAGAAAATGCAGTTGACAGTGTCGATTACGGCATGTTAACAGCGTGTGTTTCATAATATTTTTTAAAAGTACCATGACCTGAAAACTCGATAAAGCAGCCATAATTCTCATTGCGTTTGTTAGCGGAATCTGGTAGCATGTATAATATGCGAAAGACACAGTTGTTCGCAATGAATGAACTGTAGGTAACCGTATAAATGTTTACTGTGAAGGGCGATCCAAGTTTTGTAGTGGCGACGTGTAGCTGTTACTGGTCAATGGGTATGTATACATCAATGAATTAATGATAACGGCGAAAACCAAAGTGATGTGCCGACTGACTGCATGCCTGGGTTTGAAAGGTGCATGACAGCTTGTAATGAAATGCAATGAAACATTCGAATACTGTAGATGCTTCCATTTCGACGGTAAATTTGTTAATCCGGCCGACATTCAGCAACAGCCTTAATAATTTTCGCGATATGAATTTCAATCAGTAAGTGGGGCAACCAATTCTCAATAAGATACATGTTGGCTATATTCCATAATCCGACTTTTGCTTATGTTGTGATTCTGTATCCAGTTGTAAATCCAAGCCAGCTGTTGACGCCTCTTCAATCGCAGCGTAGGACGCTTCCTTACGGGGTCATGGCAATTCTATGGAATAGCATACTCAATTACAAGACATTAACATAAACTTTTGTTGACGTCAATGAATCAATAGGGGTGCAATGATACAATCTATTTTACACAAATAGTAGAAAAATACCAAAAGGGGAATGGATTATTCTGCTCAGATGATGAATAAGCTCAAAAAAACCTACTGACCTTGTGCGATATCGTTTAATGGCGTACAAAAGAGATAAGGCGTGTGACTGAATATGATTGGTTTATAACTGTCAATAACAGGCAAGGATGATTTTCCAAGACAGCAAAAACCTTCCTGATGAGAACTTCTCGTACGGTTTGACACAAAGCATCTGACACCGACATCCACTTTAAGATGTTCACTACGTCAATTCAACTTCCTACTATGCTCACGTGGCCTGTTTGACGGTGTGAGAAGGGAAACTCAGCGCAGCAAGTTGGAGATAGCGCATATCACACAAATTTACTTTTCAACCATCAGACTATCTCCCTTTCTGAACCCCTTTCTTAAATCGACTCCCCCCCCCCTTTTTTTTTTCAAAAAAAAAAAAACCTCCGTTCTCCATTTTGATATCCAAAACAAATTATGAAAGAGTGGTTTTATTTAATTATGTAGTGGACTTGAATTTCCCTTTAAAACAAACAGAAACAAAATAGAAGATCTTTTTGTCCTCTGTCATTTCAACAATTGTCTAAGAGTCTGTTCCCTCTTATTCAACCCCGCCATTGACTCCATCGAAAAATTCACCAGTTCCGAAATAGGCAAGTAAGATGAAGATAAAAAGGGCTCTCTCTGTCGGGCGACAAGGAAAAAACCCATATCCGTCTCATTCCGCTTATCGTTTTCTCATTTGTTAGTGTTTCTTTTTTTGATTAATTATTATCATTCTCCATGGATACGGTTAATGTCGTGAATTACACGTTTTCGTCGTCGTCTTCTGATCGAGAATCATTGTTCCGACGACAGGCCAAGGCCATCACTCGACGAGCACCACTACCTTATGGTCACATCCCTGCGAGGCATATGCGACGCCATAAACGGTCAACAACGCATGATATCCACGATGTAAGTGACGTTTACGTTTATCCTTTCTCTATTCTTATGCCCCATCTTTCACCATTTGTGGAAACCAAATATTGAGAGAGGCTTGGTCAATGACATGAGCGTCCCGGATATTGCACAGATTGTCATGGTATTCCGAGAGCGGAAAAAAAAGCTTCATTTCTTTTTCATGATCGATAGTCTATTACCATGACATCCAATAAAATGACGACGACTCTTTGTCTCTGCCTCTTTCCTTTTCCCTTTTTTGATTCCTTTTGGGCTCTTTCTCTTATCTCCCTGTCTTTCAACCTTTCTTAAAAAAAAATTCAAACGTCATTCATCACTACCCCTACAGCCCATTATCATCCCTATTCTTGAATTTCTTCATAACTGTTGGATTGATAAGACAATTGGTTCTTATTACAAGGCCCTTTTCTTTTTTCAAAAACAAGTCTTTTTATTTTTATAAAACATTGATGTTATTTTAAAAACTTTACATTATTTCTCACCGACTTTTTTTTTATTATCCTTCTTTTTTTTTCCTTGCCCATCGTACGAAATAATAGCTTAATATGGACACGAAACGGCCTTCATCAAAAGCTCCTTATCCATTTTCGTCAAAGTTATCCCTGTCGCCACCTTCCTCATTTTTGTCGCTGTTGGCCAACCTGTTATCGTTCTCTCAGCGGGATGTGCCGTCATCTCCGGTAGGATTCATGCCTCGATCTTCCCACGAATCCAAAGTATCAATGTCACCCTTTGAGGTGATTGCGCCTATGAGTACACCTATTGATTGCTGCGGATACGACAATAGTGATTTATACCAGGACAATTGCAGCTGTTTAAGCACTAGTAACTCTAGCACAAGTTCATGCGGGAGTCTGAGTTCAGTCAGTACCTGCAGCAGCTGTGCTACGAATAGCTCGGCCAATTGGGGGTTCAGCGACGCAGAGACAAGCATTCGGAACCATGTCCGCAATCATCCCCATCACGGTAGCATCAGTACGGCAGCATTATCCGATATTTTATGCGAGCACTATGTACAAACACAGACGATGGCCATGACGGGCGATACCGATTTTAATTCACTTTTGGAAGAGAACAATGAACATGTCATTGACGTGCCCCTGGAAACCTTCCGAATGTTCGAGGCGCCGTTGAATCATGACGAAGATACCAAATCCATCTGGTTAAACTTGCAAACCACAAGAGACTGGACCCCGATTGACGTCTCGTCAAAAGAAGCTGTGGCCGATGAGGATGCCAAAGTGCCAATAGGCGAGCATGCAACACCGCATCCATCACCCGTGATCCATGTGGAACGAACCCCTAATCATCGTGCCCGAGATACCCGAGTCAACGCAGCTCATCTTCGAATGATCGTGGCGGAAGTGAATATGATGCGGGCGAACAAGATCATAGGTCCACTTCGGCCTCGTGGTTACCTTCCCAAACGGCAACATCGCTTTGTCACCAATCAACCCAGTCGATTGAAATACCAAGATCCTCATCTCAGCTCCGTGAACTGTTGATCCAAAGAGAAAAAAAAAAGCACCCCTCTGGTACACCTTATTTTCCCTTTGTCCTTTTTCCTCACACTCCGCCTGGCTTGCGGTAACTGCCTGATTAGGTATACTTTTAACATCTCATCTCTTTTCCCTTTTTCAACAGACAAACCTCCCATTGATTTCGCTCATCAGCATTTCATTTTTTTTTTGATTTTCTTGTTTTTGGTCGTCTACTCTATGTATATTCGTCTTTATAATGCTACCGATAATAATAATGTGAATGTGACCACCTGCAATCATGCAGCATACATAAACTTTAAACTTAAAATATTTTATATCGTAAAAACTCCACGTAGCAAATTGTGATATGGATGGACTTAAAATAGCGTAGCAATATTGGAAAAACAAAATCGTTCGGTGATCATCGAAAAATGTTAATGTCAAGTGATCAATGCCGGATCACTTTTTAGAAGGTGACACGAATTAAAGTTTACTTGTCAATAATGGAGGGCTCGAAAAGCTACAGATCGATTGCATTGAACAACGTGCAGTTTACTATGAGGACAGGGCAACGCTTAGAGCGTTAATCTGAGCACAACGACTCACCATGTCACGCAGGAAAGCAATTTACCGAGCGATGGTTACACGCAGCAACGTTCATATGATTGGTGCATCATTTTTATATAGAATAAGTCATAAGAGATGAACAGCGATCTTCTGGGATTTATCTTCTCATGTTAATTTCGTTCCTTTATAATTAGATCATCTATGCATCTTTCGCTTATGGTTCCTAGATGGTTCATAAACACACTACTGCTAAACAATTTTGATTGCATAACTGTTGCAAAATGAAGAGATATTATTAGGTGCCTTCAAACCGATGTGTCGCTGAACAAAGCTGCTGAAACTTTATTTGGAATGAAATCCACCGCCTGGAATGCTAGCTTGGCAACCAGTACTTGAATCCTATGGAGACACTGAAAACCATCAGTTCATCTCTAAAGCAACGCCGAACGTTCCACAGCCACATAGCAAACACAGCCGTCTCATCAGTTGAGCTTTTGACAATGAACTGATGAGCATTAGTATGTTTGATTAGGGAGATGGTTGAAAAAGATATTGGTTTTTGATGAACCATATGCCCCCAATCATTCATATGCGTCAAGCAAATAGAGAGGTATAATGGTGAAGAGCATTGAAACCAACAGCGAATACAACCAATGATAACATCAATCTTATATATGAAAGACTCGACCGTTTTACGATGCAGAAAAATATCAGGAAACGTATCTGGCTGTGATTGTCTGAAAACTGATTCGGCTATCACCCGTATATATTTTCTAGCTTAAAATTTCACATCCACAGATTTCGCTATTTCTCATCTTTTTAAATCAATTGGCTACCATCTAGTAGTAGCATTGGTAAAAGGACTTTTGTGCATAGCGCTATTTGACGGTCGAGAGATGATATTGACAGTGGAATTGGCGACCAGAGCCGGAGATTATGAAGCGCCATAGTTCATCTCCGCAAAGAGCGAAAGCCCCACCAAACTTTTTCCGTTTCAGACTGTAATAAAAAAATAAAAAATAAAAATTGCACCGGCTTGTTTGGAGAGGGGACCATTGGCAATCGACAGTGCACCCATTATGAAGCTTATGATCAGTTAACTGAATCAAAATGAATTTATCGACCACATTACGATGTCTTTGTTTAATGAGTTCTCGCTCTAGCCGCGCAGTGTTTCGACCACGGTTACTTGCAACTGCCGAATTGTCGACGACAACAAGAACCTTAAGCCAAAGCCGCCCGGTAATCAAAGATGTCACTAATAGATCGGGATCCCGAAACGATTTGCAGCAAGCCATTAAAAGCAAAAACCTGACTGCGGCAAAGCAACAGTTCGAAAAAGCCATGCAGGTACAGCAAGAACTCGATCGATCCACATGCCGTGGGTTGCTGTTGCTGGCCCGAAGAAACGATCTCGAATTCACCAAGGGACTCGTCAACACGATGGAAACCCGGTTTGGATTAGTGCCACAGCAGTTTGAATACCACGCTTTGATGTATGCCTATGGTGTCCACAATAGAGCTGACGATGCCTACGCTTTGTTGAATGAAATGCGCCAAAGAAAATTGACGCCGAATGTCTACACCTACAATACCCTCATTGGATGTTTCAAACGTCAGAATAATCTCAACAGGATCATTGAGCTATTCGAACAGATGGAAGAGCTAAATATCAAGCATGACGTCGTAACGTATAATTCCATGATCGATATCATGTCACGAATCAATCAAAAAAGCAAAGCCTACGAAATGTACGATATGATGCTACGCAAAGGGATTCAACCTGACATGTATACCTATTCGATCCTGCTGAACATTGCTATCAAAGACGGAAATGTCGCTTTCGGTCGAAAAATCTGCCAAAATATTACAGAAGCCGCCGATCGTTCCAAATCGGATGTGAACCTCGTCAACAGCATGCTCTCATTCTATGCCGAATCTGAAGAAGGTCTGGGCGAGATCCTCGACATGTACTACTCGTTGCCAAGCGCTTTTCCGCATGTTCGCTGTGATGTGGTAACCTACAATACTTTGCTCAACGCATGTCTGAAAAGAGAGAATCCGAGCAAAGCCCTCACGATTTTCCGCGACATGAAGAAGGCCGGGATCCAGCCTGACGTTGTGACCTACGGTATTTTGATCGATGCGGAAGCGAAAAGCGGTGGTTTAGCGAATGCTTTGAACTTGTTTGACAAGATGCGTGATGACGGGTTTCCACCGAACGAACGAATCCTGAACAGTTTGGCGAACATTGCCTCTTCACCAAAAACCAGTCTGGGTGCTATCATGAAACTGATGGATTACGTATCAACAGTTGCAGATCAAGGGATTCAGCTTGACCGGAAAGCCTACAATGCGATCATGAGCGGCTTGGCAAGAAATGGGTGTTCAATGCAAGCGCAGCAACTGTATGATGACGTTTTCAGACATCATCGGCACAAAGCAGACATTGCAACCTTTACCAATCTCATACTAGCCTACATCAACGATCAGCAGACGGACGTGGCGATGGATATCTACTACGAACTTCGTAATCATTACGAGAATTTGCACACATCTAGCGGATCAGCCCCGGTGATCGAAATCGACCTTGATGTTCCTTTCTATACCTCATTGATTACGGCGCTGACACATCAAGCAGAAAGAATTCCCGTGACAGGCGATTCAAGCGCGGCGAACCGAGGAACCGAATACGGTTACAGTGTGATCGACAATGCCAAGCTACTGCAAGAGGAGGATTCATCGCCAGAACTACTTTTCGCTCTCTCATTATTCAACGATATGCGCCAGCTGCACATTCAGCCCAACGCTCACGCATATACCGCTATTTTGCATGCCTGCGGTCGTCACAAAGATAGCTACGTGCTGGAGGAAATTCATCAACTCATCAAAATGGACTTGTACTTTGATCCAGATACAGCCGTCTATAATGCGTTGATGGATGCTTATAACCGAACCGGCGATGGCGATACGGTTCTTCAGATCTGGGAAACGCTCGCTTTGTCATCGGCTCCGGAAGCAATGATCGATCAAGTGTCCGTCTCCATTGTTCTTGACAGTTGCGGTCATAACGGCTACCATTTCAAAGCGCAAAGCATATGGAAGATGCTGAAGGACGAATTTTTCCCACTGAATAGCAACAATTACAATTCGTACATTGAATGCCTTTGTCGAAAATCTGGTCGCGATGGCTGGGACGAAGCACGACGGTTGGCTAATGAGGAAATGCTGCATCCACACGGGAAAGCACCGAGTCTGAAGCGAGTGGATCCCAGGATGCCCATGCTGGAAGAAAAGACGGTCAATACGCTGATTAGCTTTGCACGGAAAAAGAAGTTTAGCCAAACAGAAATCGACGATCTGGAGAAATGGAAAGCTCAATTGTTTCCGTCCAGCTAACGCCCGTTTTCCTTTGATACCCATTGTATTTTTGTGAATTTTTTTTATTTTATTTTATTTTACATGGCATTGTCCCCCATCTTGGCTTGCATTAGTGCATCATCGTTACCCGTCGGTAGATTGAGCATTTCATGATCGTGTCGGCATTCCCATAAGCTTAGTTGATATAATGTGACGACAACCAGTAGATGTAATAATAAAGAATAGATAATCAGGAAGTAACGCGACCATTTGCTTGAAAATAAGATACGTGTCAGGTTGAATGTCAGCTTGTCGGCTGGTGCCATGGCATTGTACCGACGTGTTTCTTCCTACAGATAAAAATACTCATTAACCTGGGTCAACTCGCAAAATTTCCTCTGCTGCAAATGTTCACCTTTCGATGGAATTGCATAAATGGATTCATGCTCTCTTCGTACAACTTATCGTACTTGGCGGTTGGATCATCGTTCTTTGGCGATTTCGGCTTTTTAAACTCACGATACGGTGAGCTGGCAGACTCACCGTTGTCGATGGTGACAGCCGTGGATCGGTTCTACATAATCATCGTCAATGGGGCCGAATTTTACAATACGTTTCATTTCGGAATACTTGCCACAAGACCTTTGCTCTGCTCCTCCTTCCACACATGAACAAACTTGAGGCGTTCATACAGTTTAAGGTTATCGGCTTTCACTGTTTCTACTTCCGTCTGCATATCTTGCAATCGCATTTCAAGCGACCGTGTCTGCTCCTCCAGTTCTGCATTACGTTGTCTAAATCTGTCACGCTGATTCATTACGATCGGTAAAATGCTCTTGTCGTCCTTGACCGGGGTCAAACCGGCATCGTGGCTGGCACGGGGTGATGCTGTCTCGGGTGACTTGGCGTTCAAGGGATCATGCCCAGCCGCGGTCAAATTCAGCGCAGATGAGGTACGTGATAGGGCATCGACAATAGAATTACCGTTATTCTTCTGACCAAATCGCAGTAAATCTTCTTCCAGTCGCTGTATAAGTGTTTCTTGTTCGTTACTCTTGCTCTGCAACGAAGTAATGGCTTGATCTTTCGCCTCCGATTCGCTCTGCAAATCGGAAAAGGCTACTTTGAGCTGGGTGTATTCGCTTTGTAGACGCTTGTTTTTCTCCATGAGTTGAACTTCGAGACACTCGCGTAATTTATCATCCTTTTCGAGGACACCTTTGGCATCAAAATGATCGTCGTCATCCTCCATGCCGGTAGAGAATTCCACATACTACGAGAACGTGAATCAATAATTATTTCTACAATAACTTTTTTCCTTCAATTATTTTACCTTCATAATATCCAATTCTCGCTTGATTTCATGATAGTCATCATATTCCTTCAGTGATCTCTTTAGACCATCCCGCTCTTCTTTCTAATCACAATGTTAATGCTATGGAAACCATGTTTTGCGAACATCCGATGGATTACCAGACTCTGAACTTCGGTGGATAGATCCTTCACTCGTTTCGACAACCGAGACTCGGTATTTTGTAACAGCTGTTTGTAGTTATCCACATCTTTGATCAGTTTGGCGATTTCGGCATCTTGGGCTTCGGTATTCGAGGAAGTCGCTTGGCTATGATAATCCATCCTTTTAGTACGTAGTACAATAGAACAATCACAGATTCACCGTCATTTACGTGTTATCCTTCTCCTCTGAGGCTTGAAGATTCGTAATTTCCCGCTTCAAGTCATCCTGAATACTAACGTCAGTAGATGAAAATGCAGACAAAGGAGATCTGTTAACGTACATTCTTCCGTTCCAGTCCCATAATCTTGGCATTTGCTCGTTCAAGATCCATCATGACGATATCCAATTCGGCCAATTTACCAACCACTTCCTCATCTGTAAATAAACTGCTGTCAATGGCCCTAATCGATTGGTACGTCTGAAATGTAAGGTGTAGTTTTTACCATATTTTTGGTTATGGTTGATCAACTGTGCTTGCGTATCATCGTGGGTATGGCGCAGTTGTGTAAGTTGATCTAATGCTTGGTTCAATTGACGCTGCAGATGATGCTCCCTGATTTTTTGCAAATTGGTCAGAAAAAAGGAAAAGGAAACCAGGCTTTTCACAACAGTCTTACCGTTCCTTATACGATGTGATTTTGTCATTGAACTGTTGTTTCATCTCCTGTTCTTTCTGTTGCACATCCTCCGTTTTCTTATCCTTCATCTATTGGCGGATTTAGAAAGAAACAATTATATATACAGTTTGGCTCTCTTCGGCACTACCTTTTCTTCCATTTGAGTTATTTTCTGCTGCAAGTCTTTGTTCGTCTCCTCAACATGTTGCAACTGTGCCAGCCGTTTTTCGGCTTCTTCCAACTGAGATCGCAGCGTTTCATTTTCTTTTTGTGTCGCTTGACTATCCACCAGTTTGGCACTTTGATCCTTAAAAATAGAAGCAAGGTCGATCATTTACATTTTCGTACCAAAGTCTCGGCATGCAAAAGATGACTTACAACAGCCGCCTCGAAAAGCGGGGCTGGATCGGGCGCGTCCGCTAGTAGCTTGTATAGGGCTAAGAATGCATTTTCGGCAAATTTGGTCCTTCGTGTAATATTATCAATCTCTGTCTGATAACCTATAAGCCATATCCACTATAAGTCTCACGTGAATGGTGCATGTGGAAGACCATGACGGTTACCTTTTAGAAGAGGCTTGAATTTCTGAAGTTTCTCCTCGTCAGGAATTTTTTTAAATTCTATAGATTGAGCGCTTCATTCGTTGTGGGATAAGCTGAAAAAAAAAGCCATATACAATGATGGCCTATTCGGTTTTTGTCATTACCTCTTGTGTGCTCGGCAAGTTTCTTTCGAGACACCAGTCCATCTTTCTGGTTTTCGACGATATTCAGGCCCTGCTTGTCCAATTCCTTTTGAAGATCGGTTAAGTTCACATCCTTCCAAAACTGAATGGCAGTGGTAAAATTGCTTTGCTTCTCTTCATCCGCCATTGCTTTTTGATGATAACGAACAAGTGAATTAACTTGACCGAGTCGCCAAAAACGCGCCTGAGAGATAAACGTCTGTTACGTCACCTTCCCAATTTGGCCAATTTGGGTCTCAAAAAGTCAGTCCGGCTTGAGCTGCGATTTGCTCAACGCATAAAAAGCTTGCCGCTCGACGATGACCGTTGCTCGCATAATCAGGCCGCTTGAACTATAATAAAATGCGTATGATAGGCTTATTATGTGTGTTACTTTATACCTTTAATGTAAATGCGCATTCATGGTTTTTATTGCAATCTAGTGGTCGTTGGGCGTGAAATGTTTTTGACTGAAGTGCTATTAAGAAAGGGCCGGTGAAGGCCCTCAGCATATAAATTTCTCATTAAGTAGGTGATTCCATTTTTTAGTTGTGAATGGTAGAAAAAAGAAAAAGCAGGTGGGCGGAAGCGGCCCTCCCAGAAGTGTTTCCCTACTGCAATATCTGACAAAAATATATTTGAACGCCGCTGTGCCCAAGATCCAACTGTTTCCGTACCTGAAAGCAAAGGCTAATTCTAAAATTTTTTCATCGCTTTTCATGCCGTGGTTTTCATTTTTAGTTGCAACTACAATCATTGGAGACCTCTCAAAAATCCTAGGCTGTGTGATATCTGTATACATTCATACTGCTTTAAATGACGAAATGGAGGAATCACTACAGGAAGCTTTGCAAATTTTTCTAGTCTTTTTTCTTCGTTCATGCTATCATTTGAAAAAAGAAAGTCAGCCAGGTGTCTGCAACGCCGAAAGTCAGTGAAAGGCTAAAGGGTCTGTGTAACGGCCATCAGCGTGCATAGTAAAAGGAAACGATAGTTATTGGATCCACTCCTACTAGTTATTTTCTGTTTACCCCGCTGTGCTGTAAGTGCTCTCCCCCTTTGCCTTGACCCTATTTTTTTTTTAAACTAAACTTCTGTTCTCCTCCATTTCATCTTTCTATAAACCCTTTTCTCAACTTATTCATTAATCAGAACTGCTTAATCATCTAACATGGCACATGTAAGTTCTTTGCTGCCCAATCCGTCACTTGGAAACAAAGACACCACATACTGAGCAACGCTCTCTAGAGACTTGGTGGACGTAGAAAAAACGTGAAAAAAGGATTTCAGTTCACCTTTATGGTGGTTGGTAAGCGTCGCCCTCTTCTTGCTTGAAAAAGCGACACCCAACCAGCACGTCTCATCTAACCATCACTCCACGCAGGATCTTCCGGTACTGGTCGCACTACCTTTGTGAACACGCTTTGTGACTCCAATGTTCTTGCAAAGAAGGTGTGTGATAATCCTGAAGAAGCACATAATGAAGAAGGAATTACTATCAAACCGATATCTGTCGGTATGTGTTGATTGAGAACATCAATTTTTTTTTTCAAAACGATTCATGTCATTGAATCTAAACTCTACTTCATTTATTTTTTCCACAGAGTTGGATGAAGATGGTGTAAGGTAACATATCACAAAGAGTCATCACCAAAAAAAAAAGAGTCAAGGGATCCAATTACATAGGGGGAAATAGGAAGATTCAAGGGGATTAAGGAGAGAAACAATCAGGGGAATACTGCGTATGCTTTTTAGAAGCTGGGTCTTGTCTGTCTTTTGTGCCATCTCGACGCGCTCCTTACATGGATAACCTTTTTTATTTTCTTGAAACCATAGAATCTCTTTGACAATTGTCGATACTCCAGGCTTTGGTGACAACATCGACAACGAGCAATGGTAAGTCTTATTACATTTCATGCGCTTTGGTGGTACCGTATTAACTCAGCCGCTGGCGCTTCAAAGTTTCCAAGAAATCGTCGGCTATTTGGAAAGACAGTACGATGATATCCTTGCTGAAGAATCCAGAATTAAGCGTAACCCGCGATTCCGTGATAACCGCGTTCACGCTCTCTTGTACTTCATTTCTCCCACCGGTCATGCGTAAGCATTCAATAATTCGATCTGAGACTGACCTGCAATGCTCATCACTCTATTTATATTATTTTTTACCTCTCCTAGTTTGCGTGAAATTGATATTGAATTGATGCGCCGATTAAGCCCTCGTGTCAATGTGATTCCTGTGGTTGGACGTGCTGATTCCCTTACACCTGCCGAATTGAAGGATTTCAAGAGAAGAGTAAGTATGGCTTACGGAGAGCTTCACGACATTGGATTGCTAATACCCAGTTACCAGATTATGGAAGATATCGAACATTATAATATTTCTATTTATAATTTCCCATACGATGTGGAAGAAGACGACGAAGACACGATCGAGGAGAACAGTGAACTGAGGGTAATACAGGTCTGGCTCAATGCACAATCATAGTCCTTCTTTACTCACTGCAAAGCACCCATGGTTAGGCCCTATTGCCCTTTGCTATTATCGGTAGCGATGAAGAGATTGTGGTGAACGGTCGCACAGTACGAGGACGTCAGTATCCATGGGGAGCCGTCGAGGTCGACAATCCCCAACACTCTGACTTTGGAAGACTGCGATCAGCACTTCTGAGGTAAGCATTATCGGCTTTTATACTATTTTAGCATGGATCTTTTTTTTTAACGCGCTGTTCAGTTCGCACCTTCAGGACTTGAAAGAAATTACACATGATTTCCTTTACGAAAATTATCGTACTGAGAAACTTAGTCGTACCGTCAGTGGCGGTGATTCAGAGTAAGTACAACGACAACAAAAAAAAAAATAAGGCTAATGGCCATCTCAGGCCAGTTACTCATCTACATTGTCGTTTCAACAGAGATGCCTCGTTGAATGCAGAAGACATGGCCAGTCAAAGCGTTCGATTGAAGGAAGAACAGTTGCGAAAGGAAGAGGAAAAGGTAATGTTTTGATATTTCTTTCGTTCTTGAATGAGTCGCCGGTATTAAATTTGACAATTTCTTTTTTTTTATTTGTTCTCATTGATAGCTTCGTGAAATTGAATTGAAGGTCCAGCGTGAAATTCAAGAAAAGAGGACGGAACTTCTCAATAAGGAAGAAGCACTGCGCAGTTTGGAAGCAAGATTAGCACAAGCTCAACTACAAGACGCTTAAAGCGTACCATTTCGACTCTTCCATCGCTAAGCATTAAAAAAGCGCAAGAAAGTTTACGTCTTGGGAGATATTATTATTTTTTTTGGCTCTTTTCTCTTATCTTTTTTTTTTACTGTCTTCCCTTAGCTTAGAAAAATGGTTTCTTCTATCTGCTATACCTCAAATTCTAATAACACTCCTTTTTTTATGTTCTGATGAAAGACAATCCCTTAAATTCAGGGTATAGCCTTTTCAGGGTCCCTGCTGCATGGGTATAAATCCGCACTCACCACCGTTTCTTCCTGTCCTGGCATAATCCCGTTCTTTAGGCTGACGTTGCCTATCTTTGCGGCCTAAAGCTTTCTTGATGCCTTGAAAATTCATTCTGCACAAGATGTCTGTAATGAACAAAGGACACTTTGCAGTACCTCTTTATGATTTTTTCCTTTGCTGTCATCCTACGGCTCATATTGGGTGTTTCATCTCACACAATCCATATACAAATATCTATGCAAAGGAGCCCCCATATTAGCCGGTTCGTCGCTTAATACAATGGTTCTTTGGAAACTCCTTCATAGTGCACCATCGCATACATGGAAGAAACACGCCTTCTTCCGTTTTGATGGTTCAAATTCAATCAAAAATCAATGCATAGACATTGAACCATTAACTTTGGTTTACGCGTGCAAAGACGATTCCTCAGAGTTTTTCATGAGGATTCAATGCTGATATTTATTGTTTGCGGAAAAAAAAATAGGTATCCAAAACATATGCTTACATATGCTTCTTCCCAATGACTGCTCACGTGCAACACTGGTCGAAGCAGCTGACACTTGGGTAAGCTTATGAAATAGAGACATACTTGAATGTCCCAAATCATCCCGCCCCGTCCAGTGGACTACAGGTGCAGACGCTGACACGTATCAAGTGTCGGTTATATCAAAAGTCCGCACAGTCGTGTCATGATCTGTTGCGACCGTATCACAAAAAAGGGGATTACGTAAAAGCAAAACAGATGCAGATGAGGGACGTATGCACCACGTTTCACTATCAAATCTTCTATAGCGCAAGCCATAAAAGATATGGATATATCCATAACTGGAAATACTGAGGTTTCATCATGTATGGTTCTCCCCGGATTATGGAAGAAAAAAGGCCGCTTTTTTAAAAAGTCTGCTGTGGGATGGGAATGAAACCAATCGGACGAGCCACATGACCGGACTTTCAAAATACCTATAAAATACCTCATTCTCGGGCGACCAAAAATTACTTTTTTCCCCACGTTTTTCAATTCCATCTCTTTGTCACTATGACCACCGGAGTAATTGCCAAGTCGGCATTAGCAGACGATCCTACAGGTGGAGAAACCTTCAAATACCAGAGTCAATTGCCCAAGTTGCCGATTCCCCCTCTGAATGATACTTTGGATCGATATCTGTCCGTTCTTAAACCATTGCAGGTAAAAACATCAAAAACGAAACTGGCTTCTTGTTCCATCGTTATCCTTGATTCGAACCTCACTCATCATGATTTGACATATTCAAGAGTACCAAAGAACATGAAACGACAAAGAAAGCAGTGAAAGACTTTCTGGAGACGGATGGACCGGAATTACAAGGCTTGCTGCAAACTTACGCCACTGACAAGTCATCGTACATTGAAGAGTTCTGGTAAGTGAAAACCAGAGAACAATGACCACAAGAGGCTTGGATCCTAGCTTATTTAATAAAAATTTCACATGATCAGGTACGATTCCTATTTGCAACATACAGATCCGGTGGTATTGAACCTTAATCCCTTTTTCCTGTTGGAGGACGATCCAACTCCGCTTCGCAACGATCAAGTGGTACGCGCGTCCTCGTTAATCTACTCCACTCTCACTTTTGTGGAAGCCTTGAGGAACAAAACGCTGGAACCCGATGTCTTCCGAGGCGTCCCCCTTTGTATGTCACAGTTCACGCGTCTTTTTGCAACGGCTCGCGTGCCAACCGATAACGGATGCTATATTGCTCCCGCGGATGAAGCTCGACATATCGTTGTCATGGCTCATTCTCAGTGCTATCACTTTGAGGTGTTGGATGAATACAACCAAGTCCTTTTGTCGGAAAAAGAAATCGCGTCCAACTTGAAGGCTATTTTAAGAGATGCCGCTACTATTCCCGTCAAGGATATCGCTAATAACGCTATTGGTGTTTTGACGACCGAAAATCGTCGGAACTGGGCTCGTCTGAGAGGAGAGCTTAAAAGTGACCCCGTCAATCGCGAAGCACTGAATGTCGTGGACACAGCCCTGTTCATCGTCTGTCTAGATCATGTGGAACCGGCCACAACCGAAGAATTGAGTACAAATATGTTGTGTGGATCTTACAAGCTGGATCACGGCCTTCAAATAGGCACATGCACTAATCGTTGGTATGACAAGCTGCAGGTAAACCATCCATGATCATCTTGTAGCACGCAACTACCAACGCTAAAACTTTTGAATAGATCATAGTATGCAAAAATGGAAGTGCGGGCATTAACTTTGAGCATACAGGTAAGCGGGTGGGAAAAAAGTGGATCGTTATGAACATGCGTGCGGATTTCTAAACATATTGCCTGCAGGTGTGGATGGTCATACTGTGCTACGCTACGTCTCTGATATCTACACGGACACAATTCTTCGATTCGCCAAGACGATCAATAGTCAGACAAAATCCATCTTTCATTCTTACAAGCAAAGCGATTCGCAGGGCGCACGACGCGACAGCGCTGCTTCTTCCAATTCTGCTTCACTCGATATCAATCCGCGTCGCATCGAATGGAATATGACCGAGGAACTAACCCTGGGTGTCCGATTTGCCGAAACGCGACTGAGTGATCTTATCTTGCAGAATGAAGTCAAGGTGTTGGAGTTTACAAAATACGGAAAATACTTTATCACGGATATGAAAATGAGTCCGGATGCGTTTGTGCAAGTGAGTGGCCCTATTTTATGCACGTGTCAAGGCGATGTTTTTTTTTTCTCATATTTTGATAGATGGCATATCAAGCGGCATATTATGGATTATATGGCAAGTGCGAATGTACCTATGAACCTGGTAAGTAGCGTTTTTCCATTTCGATAATGAGTTTCAACAATGGCACTCATATTGCTTCATCCTAAACTTGCTCAGCCATGACAAAGACTTTTCTTCACGGTCGTACCGAGTCGGTTCGTAGCGTTACCGAAGAATCGCTCAAATTCGTGCAGACCTATTATTCAAGATCAGCAAATTCCCACGACAAATTGGAGGCTTTGCGTGCCGCATTGAGAACACACACGAAACTCACGAGGGAATGTGCCAAGGGCCTGGGTCAGGATCGGCACCTGTACGCACTCGAATGCTTATGGGATCGCATCCATAAAGACAAGAAAAAACCTACCATCTTCACCGATGCCGGTTGGTTGCTCATGAATCACACTGTGATCAGTACTTCCAACTGCGGTAATCCGGCGCTTCGCCTCTTTGGTTTTGGTCCTGTGGTATCGGATGGATTCGGCATTGGCTATATTATCAAGGAAGACGGTATTGCAGTAAGTGTAGCACACAATGGAGAAACCGTGGGAGAAATGGATTAATCGTAAAACCGAATAGTTTGTCGCATCATCCAAGCACCGACAAACTCAGCGATTCTTGGACACCTTGCAAAAATATCTCATTGATATTCAGGTCATGCTTCAAAATGAGAAATACCCCGGTGGCTTATCGCAACGCCAACGATTGCTCGCCATGGAAGAAGCTCATGAACTTATCAATGGCTACAGCTATTTCGATAATGGCGATCAAGATAAATATCTATCCGATACATCCAGCCAATCGAGAGATGATGCATCCACCCGATCCATTACCCGCAAAGTAGGCAAACGGCTGGTTTTGAGACAAGCCGATGAATAGTGTACAGAAAATGCAAGGAAAAATAAATATCAATACAGTGTACAGAATATGCACTTCTTTAGTGGGAAAAACAAGCAACGTCATGTCATGTCATGTCACGAAAATCTTACTTCGATAATAGTTATTAACGGAACGGATAAAGAAAATATGTCTAATCTCTGTGGTTTTTTACATAAGGAAACAGTTGGCATCAGACTTTTTAGGTGTTGATCGGGTATCGATTTCATCATCGACTTGAGCACTCTTGGCAGTCGCCACCGTTTTTGCTGGCATTGTCACTGGACGATTCAGTTTTTCAGCGGCCGGTTGATATCCCATGGAAGCCGCCTTGCTAAAAAATTCCAGGGCGCGCGCGTAATCTTTGCTAACACCAATTCCTTCTTCATAGTAAGTGCTATGTCATGTGCTCTATGTTAATTCATGGAAATACATCCATCGATGTGCTCTTATGCAGTGCTTACCCTAACATGTATTGCGCTCGTAAACAACCTCCATCGGCGGCGCTGGTACACCATTTGTATGCCATATCGTGCTGAGGTGCAAGATATCCGCGAATGCCTTCCATATACATTGCCGATAATTCTAGCTTGGCGCCTTCGTGGTCTTTTTCTGCGGCTTTCACAAAGTATTGGAATCCTTGCCAAGGATCGCAAGGTTGACCAAGAGCTCCCTGCTTGTAAATATGACCCATGCGGTAGATGGCATCGATATAACCAAGGTTGACGGCTTTGCGCAGGTATTGTAGTGAGAGTGAATCATCTTGTGCTGGAAAAGAAGAATCTCTGGTGTATGACATATGTTTCTGAGATTAGCGGCCGATCAAAGTCATCTTTTCGTGGTTGATAAACCTACCTTTGCATGGATATACAATCGAATTGGTTGGCATAGATACAACTCAGAACAAAAGCAGCTTCTGCGCTATCGCAGTCCTGTGCGTCGGCGGCCTTTTTCAGCCAAGTCAAACCATCGGTCACATTTCTCTTTTGCTGCAGTTGCCCCCGAAGGAAGATTTTGGCAAGTTTCTAAGCCAAGTTTGTCAGGTTAAATCGTACAATACAATCCAGTTATTTAGGGATTTCGACTTACATAAGTGCATAACGTATGACCCTTGGAAGCACCATTTTTGTAGCATGCCACGGCTTTTGCAAAATTTCCTCTTTTTTTCCAGCATAAGGCCAATTCAAAGTTTGCTTCGCTCCATCCTGCTTTGGCAGCCGCTTGCAAGCATCGAAACGCTTTTTGAAGGTTTACTTTATCGTAACCCACACCAACACAGTCGCTAGAGTGAGGATGGAGATGCCAACATCCTTTGATATACAGAGCTTCCGGATGGCCCGCTTTAGCAAGCTTCTCGATCCAGAATCCAGCTTCAGCTAAAAGTCGATGTCTTATAGTGGAGGCGGTAGTAGTACGCTTCTCGTTTTTGCCTTGATGATAGAGATTGGCGATCTCAAATAAATATTTCGTGTACGCCATTTGAACTTCTATGCTGCGGGTCTTGATCGCCATTCTCCTGTAAGTCTTGATGGCGGTTTTATCCTGAGTTAGACTGAAGGACGCGATGCTAAGTCTTGATTTGATTCCGCTGCTTGATTCATTGTTCAAGTCCTCATCCAATTGATTTGGTACTTGGCGGGTCGAGGGTTCGCAAAAGGTGACATCATGGATTGCGTTTTCGTCAAGAGAAGGCAGTCTTTCTTCATACAGTTGAAGTGGTGAAGAGGAGGAAGGAGTCCACGGAGAAGGGATTTTGTTATGGAGAGGTGAAGCACGCTTGCCGGTAATGGAGGGATGATGTTCAAGAGTAGTGGAACAGGGAGAACCTCTAGAACGCGAAGAGGTAGAGGAGCGAGAATGCCGCTGAACTAGCTTGGAATGATCAATGGTGTTGGCGCTATGGCTATTGATCCCTAGGGGTGATACCAAGAGGTCGGAGCGAACAGAGCCAGAGGAAGGGGTATTGGGTGTAGATGACTGAACGACGGAGGCGGTGCTACGCCCACTACGCACAGACACAGTAGGAGATAATAAGATGGGACTGTGTAGCGATGATCGACAAATCTGTTGCTCTTGAGCAGGCAAAAGGCTAGATGTCAAACACCGTTCGTTTGATGGAACGGTGCTCACAGACGGCGAGAGATCTGGCACTTCTTCTTTGGAACCTCGTCGACGCAATACCGGGGACTCTTTCAGTATGATACTTCCGCGAGTGCTCTGCGCATAGGAACTTGCGCTGGGAGAATGGGGACGGCCTAATCCAATATTCAATCCTGTGGTATCAATGTGAAGAGCCTTTCTCTCGGGAGGAGTTGGTTCGAAAGGCTTTTGTAGCTCGGTGCCTGAAGATAATTGACCGTCTTCTGTCAGAGGTATAGGATTAACCGATCCGGGCTTCAGGCATTCAGAGGACGGGATAGCAACGAGCCTTTGCTTTGGCACTTGATGATCCCCAGGGCCATAACAAGGTGGATGATGAAAATGATGGCCAGTCTCAAACTGAGTCTCAGGGGTGTAGTTCAATTGTCCAGCAAAGTCGTTTGAGGAATGATTATCGAAGAAACCACTGGCAGATATAGAACCCTGATGTCCTACGAAACCACTGTAAATAATTTGTCGGTTCAGAAAGTGACAAACCAATGTGCATACCCTGAGTGTGATGAGCCACGTTGTCCTGAAATGCATACAATGTAGGATCTTGATAATGCGTCGGGATTTCCATGGAATGGCGGAAGCTCGCATACGAAATGTTATCATTGATGATGTCAGCTGGAGTCACCCTCGTAGGAGTGATGGCACCGTGTCTGAAAACTGCTGGAGGAATTCCTTGCGGACTAGGTAACGAATATGGACTGATGGAAAGTTGTTCCATCGCCATATCAAGCTCCGGGTTGTGTACATGATGTGCCTGAGGCGGGATCTGTGGCAAAGGTTTCTTTTTCCGTTTCATTCGACTATGCTCTTCTACGTCCTCTGCAAACTCCGCCGTACGCACAGACGCTGTTTCGCTATGGCTCCGATAGACATCGTGATGTAGAACTTCCGAAGTATTCCCCTGGTTGATGTCATATAGTTCCCCATTAAAGGACAATCTTTTCATATTTGGTTGTAGATGGTACTGCCATGACGAATCGTAAATGGGGGTAGCGATCATTGAGAAATATATAAATAGGATTCAATCAGGGAATAAATGACGGCAATAAATGAAAGAAGATGTTGAAAGGCTGCAACGATAGAAGAAGTCCAAAAAAAAAAAAAAAATCCAGAAAAAATGAGGTTGATGTGCTTTGATGTTTTGTTGTTTACTCTGGTTTGTGTATCCTGCCGCGTTTGGTCATGTAAACCATTTCCATTTTTGTATGCAGTGCCTCCGGAAATTGTTAGCGGTTTTGGGACAAAAATTACGAGTGTAACCTTGTAAAGATTGTAGAAAATTAAATTTGGAGTTCCACGAGACAAATTTGCAAGTTTTGACAAAGCAGATTTGCTCCAGCTTGAAATGCTTTCTTTTTCTATTCACAATGACGTTTGGATTTGCGTATGAAAACAGTCCAGGTGATATAGAATTAGAAAAAGATGCAGCAACACCTATGGAAACAGATGAAGATGTGCTAGGAACTGTGGATGTGGTGATGACTGTTAGCTCAATATGAAAAACATGTTAGAAGAAAGATCTCAATTTGCCCATGAACCAGCTAAAGACAGTTCTGTGGCTAACGACGGTAAAGAATATGACGTATCAGCCAATGATACACCCATCAAGAGGAATTCAGGGGTCGATATCCTAATTACTCGGAGCAACAGATCAAAGAACAACCTTTATCAGGATCAAGAGCAACACAATGCGACCAAACAATAGACATTGCCAGTGAACTAGGCATTGTTGAGAAAACTGCCTACACCTTACGCATGATAATGAAAATGAGGAAAAGGAGACCACATGTCAAATCAGGCGAGCGAAGCAAGGGTGAAGAAAAAGAAATGATAGATGAACACAAAAGTGTATATAATACAAACACTTGGAGAATAATCCGACAACCACTGTGGTCGACCATTACAGGCAGTTTAGGTCAGAGCTTCAGGACTTAATAACGAAATCGACTGTTCATGAATATATTATCCAAAGGATGCTCTTTTCAGTCTCAAACGCAAGGGAAGATAATCCACAAGCGAGTAGGCGGGAGAGAAGAACCTTCACATTAACCCTCTCGTGTAATTAGTAAAGCCACGTTTATGCATTCATTAGAACTAGCAAAAAAAAAAAAAAAGCACTTCCGTAAATATTGATTGTTCGACAACGAAGCAACGAGTTGCGCAACTCAAAACTCTGGACTGAAAATAAAAAAAATTGTCTTGCGATATTTTTACCCCCTTCTCGTCGCTTCATTTTTCACCTTTTGTTTTCTACTTTTTCATTGCAAAAGACAAAACATTGTGTCCTCGCTGCATTATTTCCAGAAACAGGTGTCGTTTATGTGAAAAGCACGCTGACAGAACTCGATATCAGACAACAAACTCAGTTCTGCGGAATTTTCATTTCGATCGAGGAGCATTCTGTTAATGGCGGCGGATTCGATAAGGCTCAACATCACATTCCATGTCACGGGTATATCCTCAATCTTGCTGTGCAAGTGGCATTAAATAGTTTATGCGCACGTCCGGAAGACGATGAGGACGATCGTATCGCCAGTGCTATCAGCCTGAATCCAGTCTCCAAACTACGCTCTGACATTAAGGGGATCAGGTAAATTTCTATAGTCACTTTGAATTGCTGCGCATTTGCTAAATCGCACGAGATTCATTAGACGCTCACCCTCCAAGTATGGCAAGCCATATGAGGACATTAGCAAAGCTTTTTCTGGACATGTGAAAGCCTCATGGTGGAAGTCAAGACGCGTTGGAATTCGACGATGCTGATGGTGAAGCGCGCGCTCTTGAAGTCAAGAATGCCTACAACCATAAATGTCAGCATTTTCCGGAACGCGTCCAGCTTACCCTGTCTGATTCCGGTGTCAACTTTCTGCAGCGAATGCTGGTCTCTTTCGGGAGTTCCATGAAAACGACAGAATCGGTGTCTTCATCAAGGTATGGATCGTATTTCAGTGAATCGGAATATAGCTTATAACGAGCGTTTGAAATAATAGACACCTCTCAATTGACACCGTCATATTTGCATATAATGCAAAAGGACGATCCCAGTCTTCATTGTAACAGCCGAGGTTTATCCCAAGTATCCAGCAACCGATATTCATGCAGAAGCATCGGGGTTATTAAGCCCTTATACCGACTCCCGCTATCCAGGAATCTTTACGGGAATCGTGCCAGATTCTGACGGCAAAAAATTGAAGCACAAGCTCGTTCTAGCTTCCAATACCATGAATTTGCTGTTTACCTGCTCTGTCATTCTTTCCGAGAAGGACAATGTGCAAATTGGACCAAGTGTCTCCGTCCCAACAGCAGCCATTGACTCCCAAGCGACACGAGTTTTTTATCGCAAATGGGCTGTGGAACAATTTAAACAAACCATTTCAATTGATGTCAATACCACCAATAACGTGATAATAGCAAGACTATATCACCCCCATTCAATATATCCAACAAATTCAGCTCCTCAGCGGATTCCATCATAGATCGACTTACGAGTTTTATCGAGCCTCTGCCCCTGGTTTTGAGGACCAGTTACATATGCCTGCGACCGTCTTCACCTTGTGCGACGTTCCCAATTCTGATGGGTATGGATTTGGAGAAAAAGCCAGTGCCACCATCGCATCCAAGATCCTACAGATAAAAGCAATTGCGCATCATCAAAAAAAACAGTAGAATCACCTGGCGGATTTCGAGGATTTGTTAAACACGTGCCAGACTCTCTTGGACAGGAAAAAGGATACTAAATACTGGGCTTGAATCCGCCAATCATTGGAAACGATTCAAATCAAAAGCAATCACAGCAAGTCAGCGTCTTCTTTGGCAGAATTACATGTTGACAACTCATACCATGAACTGGCACAAGAGGCTGCCAGTAAATGCTCAATCGTCAATGAAAAAAGCAGGAAAAACATACTTAGCAAGGGTCAACGGGCGAAATGGAAATGTCCATCAATGTGAGGGGACTGAAGACGATATATTACGCTGTCCTCATCTTCAAGGAAGTTAGCACATTGGAGATTTTCACCGACAACATGACGGCGCTCAAATATGTGACAAAAGCTGAGGGAACGGCATCATTTGCGCTACAAGATTTCTAGCAGTCAAATTCCAGGACTTGTGCAATCCGCATAAATTGACGATCCAGGACCATCATGTTCCGGGAGTCCAGAACGTACAAGCAGACAAACTTAGCCGATCCAGGAAAGCTTTCTACGAAGCGACCATTCCCAGGAGATTCTTCAACCTCATTCAGCGATTTGGAGCAAGAGTATGAAGATAACGCGTTTGCAGCAGCTTACAATCACCAATTGGCAATGTATTGGAGTTTTCGCGAAGATCCATTTGCGATAGCGACCGATGCGTTCAACCAGCACTGGACCGAGGAAAGACTTATATATGCACCCTCCATGGAAATTGATTCCCCAGGTAATTCGAAAAATGAAGCAGGACAAGACCAAAGAAGCCATATCGGTAACCCCCCTATGGATGAGCCTATTTTGGCTCCCCAGCATCCTACGAGTGAAGATCTGGTTCTACCAGTCGAATGGCAGGTGAACAGAAGGTGGAGTTTAATCGCATGGCGATTATCGACGACCAAAGAGGAGCCCATGGTATGGCGGATGGACTCCTTCAACATTTTACGCAAGGCTACCCGCTCCAGCATGCACAAAGCATACAACGTTTCCTGGAGGAAATAGTGGTGCCGGGAAGAGCAAGTTGATCCGGAAGATCATCAACCTGGATTTTCTGCTGACGATCAACATCTGTTGAATGGGTATGGGTCTGCCATCGCCTCGTACTTAAAAGTCATCCATCCTCCAAAGCCACCCATTGCCGGCGAACCGGATATGGTCCAGTTTTTCAAGGCGACGATCTTTTGCGCGAAAATAAAGACAGATAGTTGTTTGTCCTTTGCAACCATCCAATAATTTGCCATGATAAAATAGAGCATTTGACCCCTGATAGCTCGCTCTATGTCATGTGCCATCGGCAGCCCGGCAATATTCTATTTCAAGTATTTCGGTTGATAGGTCCAACAAAGATTTTGATATTCCTTAGAAGGGAAAGGCTTTGATGAAGCAAGTTGTGAGTGGTTTGTCTTTTTGTTGTATGTAGACTATCCGCCTTGGCATGCATGTTTTTCCGATCAGATCAGTTGTTTTATATTTCGCCAGAACAGAGAGTGTCCAAGCATCGGATCATCGGATAATGAGAATTTACAAATGACCAGAGCAAGAAATGAGAAAAACAATCTCATGGAGGCTGCTCGATTTCTCTGTCGATTGATTTGATCCCGATAAAGTTCGACAACAAATTATTGCTTAATATGGAATGTCCTCCGTTCTAGGTCAAAGACGGCATCATAAATGCATAGCACGTGAAGCCTATCTCTTTTGCGTGCAACGCCGTGGTGATACAAAGAAGAACTAACAAAACCAATTCAGCATCCGCATCAATAATTCTTATTCGCCTCGCCATTTTGATATTTATAGCTGGAGGGTCGCTTTAGCTGGATTTTCTTTGCGGTCTTCATCTATTTTCGCCACCCAACTTATAGTATTGTTATTTAGTTTGCTTTTTACGATAACAACACTAGTTCTTGTATTTATTATTATATTCTTTTTATACCATGACGACAGCTTCCACTGCCTCATCTTACGCTACTGAACAGTACCATCACTCTATGACTGAATCTAAACCTCATGCTTCTATGTACTCTTATGATGACACCACGGACGAAAGTGTACGAAAACAATATGAAAATATGTCCTATGATGAGATGTCGAAGCATCTGGCCGAGAGCTACAAGCAGTTAACGGAGGTCCTTCACAACAGTCGCCACAGCGTTCCTTTGGATATTGACGATTCTACTCTCCAAATCCATGGCGAAGAAGAAGTCCTCGATGACGAGCAGCTACTGAACCACGCCGACGACGAAACAAAGCGTAGTCAGTTGAACAAAATCTTCTCGCGCGCTGCTTCCAGTGGTGACCTTGAGAAAGTGACACAGTTATTAAACGATAAGCGCACAAGACCTTTTATCGAGATTGATGCTAAAGACCACGATGGGACAACACCTTTGATATATGCAGCTTGTTTTGGAAAAGCCGAAATTGCCCAAGCACTGTTGACAGCAGGTGCAAATATAGATATTCAGGATTCCTGTAAGTAACCTCGACTCGCTACTTTTAGCTTTTTATTTTCCAAATCGCGATCTCATCATCTTTTTGATTCATTTTTATCAAGTCGGCTGGTCAGCATTGATGTGGGCCACGAGTAACAATCATAATGATCTTGTCAAGATTCTTTTGGAACACGGTGCCTCGGCGCAAACAAAATCAGCTAAAGGAAGAACTGTGTTTGATTTCGTCAACACCGACAATCAGAAAATTGTGGATATTCTTGCCGTCAATCCCCGGGACAGCGTGTCTTCAACGAGCAGTATACTTGGACGAACGACGGTCGGAAGCGTTTCTTCCACTTCTTCGACTGCGGACGATTGCGATTTTTACTATCAATCGACCGTTGAAGCATTTGACAGCTTCATGGCTGAAGAAACTGAAAGAAGACAAAAGCTGTTGGAATCAGCAATGGGACCTCTTACATTTGACGACGACGATGACGATGACGATAAGGATGACGATTTTCAACAAGATACCGAGTTTTGCTGGGACAAATGCATGCCCGATCAGATGTTTGTTTTTTCTGCAGACGATCTAAATCACATACTGGACACTGTCATCAACAACGTCCAATTGCCGGTGGCGTCCCGACAAGAGATATGCATTCCGGCCAATGTGATCTTTTTAAGCGCACGTTTTGCCCATTACTTCTCGACTTCCGACCTTTTAAGCGAATGTCTCGATGGTGCATTGAGCCGTATGCGAAAACTCATCAAGGTAACTATTTTTGGAGGAAATTTATGGAAGGATGGGAAAACTGCAAAAGATTAAGGTGTGAAAAATGGGATTTTTCAAGGGTGAAGTGGAAAAAGGTTGGACAATGTATTGTATGACAAAAGAAAGAACTATCAGGAGCTGATATCTTATTAGGAAAATGCTCATAATGTTCACGTTCTCAGTTTCTGGATTACGAATTTCACTCAACTATTGTACTATCTGAAAAAGGACGGGGGTTTGGTCGTCGCCACCGCAGAGTACCAGTTGACGCTGTCGGAACTGATCTCGGAAACGTACATGTTCATCATTGGCGACACGGAGCGTCGACTGGCCAAGATGCTCGTACCTGCTATGTTGGCCTTTGAGCAGATCCCCGGCATGGAAGATCTCAACTTTGTCGATGATTGGCAACGTTTCTTCCGTCGAAATAATCGACGTTCAACTTTTTTTCAATCTGAAGAGACCAACGGTGTGTCCATGAAGAGAACAGGCAGCACGTCTAGTATGTTGGCAACGGATGCTTCAGACGTTACCTCGCCTCGATCCATCACCAATTTGCTGTCTACAACATTCCACGTTCTTCAGGAATACGAAGTCCATCCTACCATTATCATCCAGGCCTTGGCGCAGTTTTTCCATTACATGTCTTGCGAAGTATTCAACCACATTTTGACTACAAAAAAGATGCTGAGTCGCTCCAAGGCGCTTCAAGTCCGTATGAATTTGTCTCACATTGAAGATTGGGTGCGTCACAACCGGTTGCCATCGAGTTTGAACAGCTACTTGACGCCATCCACACAACTGCTGCAGTTGCTTCAATGTTTGTCACAGCTCAACGATCTTGCCAGCTTCATCAACACTGTCAAAAAGTTTGACGCTCTGAACGCTCTTCAAATCAAACGATGTGTCCTGAACTATCGTTACGAAGTGAACGAGCCACGATTGCCCGAAGAAATTGAAAAGTACGTTCAACAATTGGCCGAGGATACCATCCGCTATAAACAAGCAAGAAAGCTGCGATCCGTTGAAAGAGCCCGTCGCAGTGCGCCTCCAATGTCGCGAACTCAGAGTGCCCTGTTACAACGATCCCGATCGCGTCATGAAAGCATGACCAACTTCGTGGGATCGTTGATGTCGTCTGTTGGCATCACTGCCTCGACTTCGCTTCCTCCGTCATTGCCCTCCACGCCCACATCCACTGCGCATTCCAGCGAACCATCCTCCAACAGTAAATCCTCTACATCGTCGGATGAAAAGCGTGATGTTGCTCCAACGAGCGATGTAGTATCAACGTCCAAGGACGAGGAAGATACAGACGACGATGATGAGGAAGAGAAGAATGTAAAAGAGACACGCGACTCCAAATTCATGTTACCGTTTTCCGTACCTACAACTGCGCATATGGCGTTCAATTACAGTTGGGCGCCCGTCGATGCCAACCATGACAAGGCGCATCGAGTCACGCCAGTAATCCCGGAAAGTTGGATGGATAGACTAGACAAGGGAACGGCGTGCGATGCTTAGGGAACAAAAAAGGTCTATCAGACAAATGGGTAACACACCTATATCCTTCGGTTATATGCACCTATTATTTTTTGATTGTGTTCCACTTATTCCCCCATTTTTGACGTAAAAAAATGTACATATATCTATGCACACAACCAGCAAGAATTAATGGCTCATTCATTGCTTTCCACACTATGCCCTTTTCCTTTCTATTCCAAAAAATAAAATCAAAAAATATGAATATGATCTAAATCCCGTCTTTATTTACTCTCCTCTGTTTTTGGCTTGCTACTACTTGATTCCTCTGTTTTTGGTTTCTTTTTGTCGCCATTGGCTTGTTGGGCCTGTTTGCGTTTCTGTCGCTTCGCTCGCTTTTTAGCTGTACGCTCTTCATCTTCAGCCTTTAATCGTGCCATTTTCTCTTCATAGTCTCGTTGCTCCTTTTCCTGTAGAAAAGAAGAATGCCATCATTAATAAACCGCTGACAACAGACGCACGCACGATCTTGGTTTTACCTTTCGTTCCTGCTCCGTCATCTCCTGTAATCGAGCATACTCTCGTCGACGATGAGCTCTGTAAACGTGGAAATCGCCGCTACCAGCACCCGCACTGGACCCTGTTATGGTTGTGTTGATAAGCTCAAGCTGGTCATAGAGAGGGGCGGGGGCCCATCGCCGTGCAAAATTTACCTGGTACATTGCTAACGAATTCCTTTGGCGGCTTTACACTTGATTTCTCCTTTGGCCTCTCAGGAATGACAACGGGTTTATCGATTTTCTGGAACAGCTTTTCTAGTCGTCGTTGCTGTTCCTCGGCTGTCGTGAGATTATATCGTTTCGCTTTCGCTTTTTCTTCCTGATCCTTATCCATTGGTGCAAATGAGTAACAAAATTTTTGACCCAGAGTCTTCCAAGTGTCTTTTTTATTTCCTTCCCGGAGATTCAAAAATGGATGATATCCAACGCAACTCTCCATCAACGAAATAAAGATAACCCATCCGTGCACTTCCCAGTCATAGTAATATTAGCAGACAAAACCGCAGTTTAATGAAGCAGGACCTTTTTCACAAGCTTAAAAAAATTTCACAGTAGATACCATTTCAACTTTGTATCTACAGTATTTGTCACGGCTATTTCGCGCACCACGTTGTCTTTGGCCACAAAGCACGACCATTTGTATTGTTGGATTGAATATACTCCTTGATGATAATGTAGCGTTGCCCCATGTGTTTTATCTCTATACTTTTTAGTTCCCGTGCTTCCTAGTTGTTTTCTGTCCTCTGTCGATCCATGCTATGCATATCTCATGCCATATGATTATTATATTCTGTTTTTTTCTGTCATCTAGTGTAAATGTCATATCCGATTATATGAATGAACCTCAGTCTATAAGCATGTATTCTCTCACACTATCACATCCACTATCTTTTCTTGTCCGTGTGGACTTGTCCTTCTCTATTATTGTCCTTGCCTTATCTTCTAAAAGCATCCGACACCGTCTTTTATTCTGCCTGATCTTCCATAGTCTACGCATAACATACTTTTCCTTATATTTATTAATGTAAATATTTCAATATATTTAATGCCAGAACCCTATATACGAAATTTTAAAGGTTCTAAATGGGCTATTTCGGCTGCTTTCTGCATGAGTTTTACAAAATATCTCGATATCAGAATGCTTTCAGATAATCAAAGAACAGTCATGTGACTTGAAAGCTTCGAAATTTTCAGAGATTGGTAAATTGCAACTTGTCATATGTGGATGCTTCCCTAATTATTTCGTCGTTAAAAGCACAAAAAATATACCAACTATTCATAAGTTCGTTCTCGCATACGCTACATCACTACTGACCGCTGCAGGCCAGAAAACTGGCTTCAAAATTTGCTTCTGTTATTGAATAGGCTATTTTTTATAATTTTCTAAATTAGGGGATGTGGTGTAGTGGTATCACGTCTGCTTTGCATGCAGAAGGCCCCGGGTTCAAACCCCGGCGTCTCCATTTTTGGTTTTTTTGGTGCCGTTTTCGGCGCTTTTGATTGGACATTCCGCATTCATAACAGTCGCTTTGCCTAACTCAGTGGTCCCAAAAAAGATCCTATATTTTTAATGCTTCAGCAAAATATAACCAGACTGTGGTTCAGATCAAAGATCAGAAAACAAAAAAAAAAAAGCATGATCCTGTGCAGATATAGGGATCTGCAACTACGGTGGACTGGACTCGATCAATAAATTTCTGTGAGGATAACAATGGAGGCACGTCATTAATCGTTAGGTTTAGCAACAGAAGTTGCCAAAGCAACCTGACGCGTTAAGCATTGATGTCGCATAAAGACGTTGTCCCCTCATCTGAAATACCACAAAGCCCGGTGAGAAGGAATGAAAATGCCAAAAGTACCATTGACAGAGGGTTGGATATCCCATTATTGAACGAGAGGTAAACAGTGATAAATAAAAAGAATGGATTTTATTTTTGCAATGGTGATCCGGTAAAAGGCCAAAAAAAGGGAAAAAATGCGGAATGGTATGTGTCATTTTTGGAATTAGGATGTATACAGTAGCTCAATTGCATATTTCATGCTTCGGTCAGGCCATGATGTTTGGCCATTTCTTGGATTTTATGTCTCCACGATTTCTCGGAAATCGTTTGCTCAGGTATAGAAAGAACTTCGCGATAAGTTTCTTGCGCGGCCGTAGCATCTCGGCTCTTGATTAAAGCTTCCAAGGCCAGGCAATACGTCCGTATCAGCGGTAATTTCGGTGCCGTATCCGGGGAATCGGAGGCCGCCAAACGCGGGCGCGATGGTAAACGCCAAACCGTTCGAGCCCCGGCCATATCGGAAGCAGATACGGCGGCCTCTATCATGACATCAAACGTCACCGCATCCGGCTCCACCTGAACTTGATGTGGATCCGATGTAAACGTAGACCCTTCAAAGATGCGCTCGTTCATCATGGATTCAAAGACATTCTTGCATACAGGATACCACAGCTTGTTATGAGAAAAGCAGGAAAGCAATGCATCGTAATGTCGGTAACTGGGAGCCAGCATGCGCTTGCTCGACAAGCTATTCCAGAATTTCCACGCCAACTCGGGTTTCTCCAACCTCCGGTAAGAAGTGAGAATGGTGGTAATCGCTTTATCGTCCAGGTCAAAACCTTGTTGTTGAATCTCATCACATATATCCTGCACCTTCTTGATGTGGTAATCGCGCTGTTCCAACACCTGACTCAAGCTCAGTTTTTGCCGACCATTTTCTTGTACGTCCAAACTTCGCGCACCAGCAATACCATGGGCTTCGATCATCACCGTCAAGACCTGGAGATCCAATCGAAGATTCGATTTGCCGTCGTTGCTCATCTTGCGCAAATCCTTTAGCAATTCTATTGCTCGAACTCCGTTGCTGGATCCCGCCGATTTCAAAAACATTTTAGCGAGAATGGTGTAGGTAGGCAAGTCGGCAGTGATGCCCTGGTCGATCATGGAACGAAACGTGTCGTACGCTTTTTCATATTCGGCGGCATCCACGTAACCTTGGATCAAGGGCGCATAGATAAAGGCAGTTGGTCGGATATGATACGGAGCGTGGACCATGTGGTGGATGACCCTCTGTGCTTTCTCCATTTCACCCGCTTGAGAATAACCCACCACAAGATGTGTAAAAACGAATTCGTTGGGCTTGAGCCCGGATTTTACCAGCTTCTTGAAAGTGCGTTCCGCGCCGTTCATATCCTGTCGGTAAACATAATTGCGGATCGTCAATGCATACGTGAGTAAATCCGCTTTGATGTCGATGCTATCGAGGATGGATTTAAGAACGGTTTCAATGGCGTCGTGACGTTGTCGATCTTTTCTCTTGTACAAATTGCCAAGCACGTTCATTGCAATATTGTACGTTTGTGCCGCGGGTTTCAAGCCTTGTGCGTTCATTTGCTCGAACAAATCGGCCACTTCTCGAATCGTGTCGTCAACGTCGTCCTTGACTGACAAAGCTGTCATCCGAGTGTTGTATGACACCACATCCTGATCAATATCATCCATCATCATGGTCCTTAAGCGGGCTTCTACAGCATCGGCATGAGCTGGATCCTTGAACAGGCTGACCATTAATACATTGAAGATGTGCTGATTGCTGCATATTCCCTTCTTTCGCATCACATCGTAGTATTTGAGGGCTTCGGGGATATTCGCTTGTCGCACGTAGTAATTGATGAAATTGGCGTAGGTTTCTGCATTGGGTAATAATCCGCTGGTGGCCATGGAATCGTATGTTACAAAGGCTTCGTCTAAATTATGTTGTCGTAGATAATGTCTAATAAGTATGTTGTAGGTGTGAGTATTGGGCGTGAACTTGATGGGCGGTTTCTCGATGGGGTCCGGTTGTATCGTCTTGGGCTGGCAACCGGAACCGCAGCCGCAGTTCCCGCAACCCGTCTTTCGAGGACGGATGTCCAAAAGGTCGACCACCTTTTTCAGGGCGTCCTTGTCGTTGGCCGCGGAATAGGCCGTTAACAAACAATTGGCGGTGATGATATCCGGTTTGACGCCCAGTTGAACGGCTAAATCGTACAATGCTTTGACGGACTTGACGGCACTTTGCATGTCACTGTTGGATCGTATGCGTCGGTAGTATTCCACTTGTCGCGTGATGCCGCTAATGATGTTGTTGAAAGTATAAACGGACGGGATCATGCCAGCATCAATCATTTCGTCCATCCATACATTCGCCTTGATCACGTCTTCGTGGCGACAACTCCTCAGATAAGCATTCAAGAGACTGTGATACGTGGTCCGATTCGGTTTCAAATTGGCCGTGGCCTTGAGTTTGGCCAGTACTTCCTCCGCGCCTGCAAAATCGCCCGTCTTCAATTTGGCTGCAATCAATGCATTGAACGTTGTTGTGTCCGGTGATACGCCTCGTTGCTCCATCTGCCGCAAAAGACTTATCATTTTTGATACATATCGACGGCGTGCCTGGTCTCCGAGGTTGTTGAATGCGTTCAAATAGGCGAGCATCACCATGTTGTAGTTATCCGTCGTGATCGGGTCTTTGCAATAGACGTTTCGATTACGAACCACGGCTTCTATCCGCTCAATATGTCCCAATTTGCCGAAAATCTGTAAAATGGTCGAAAAATCTTCAGGGCTCCACGTTGTATCTGAGCGCTGGAGATGATTCAAAAGCGATTCCAGCCGTCTATGGTACAGTTGCCGCAAATCGACTTGTTCCGATGTGAGCGATGAGGAAAGGGAGCTGACGTCTTGTTCAAGCATGTGCAGTAGTTTTTGCGCAGTGACGAACGGTATAATGTGGTTCGCATGGGATGAGTGAAATGCTTGAAATGCTTCCCAAGCTTTGGCACTTTCTCCCGCTTCGGCTAGGGAATGGATGGACAGCGCAAGGGGGGATCGAATGTGTTTGGCGACTTCCGAAGTGACATGCGGAGGAATTCGTTTTTGAGCGATTTTCTTTTCCTTGTCCAGTTTTATTAACGTTGCTGGCTCGGTTCGGTTTCTGCCCACACACTCGTCAATGTCTTTTAGAAAACTGTGCATGTATGCAGTGTCTACGATAAACATCACCAAAAAAAAGTTTAGAAAACGAGGCCTCCAGCATCCTGACATGACTGCTGTATTCACCTTGTTTGGAATCGGTTGATAACGCTCGTTTGGCTGCGTATGAAAGCTTGCCCCTACATTTTCGTCGATGGCCCTCGCAAGGCGTTTCCAGGAGCAACGTCCGCCATTGAGAGAAAAGGCGTTGAGATACGCACTCCGTCACTTTGGAGTGCACATTTCGACACCGCAGATGAACCATAAAGGAGGGAAACTTATCTCTGGCAAATCGCAAAAATCGGAGGTATAGATGAGATGAAAGTCGGGTCGCCCTCTTTCTAGGTCTCGAGAAGTTGTTTTTTTTCAGAGGCCTGAGTTGCAGGTCAAAATTTCGGAAATTCAGGTGGCGTCACTTGTGACGACTGTCTTTCCGCAGAGGAAAAAAAAAACGACCGGCTTTTTTCTTTTGATTCCAGCATGGATCCATCCAAGGATTTTGCTTGTAATGAACGTATAAAGCCGAAGCGATGCGGTTCCGTGTATTTACTTTTTTTAATATGATGTTGCATTAAGCGAATCGTTTTCCTCATATAGTGTCAGGTTTGAGGTGTCATTGAATAACGCAACTAAAAAAGTAGCAAAATTTTGTTAAGAATTTGATGGGACGTGCATGATGCAGTGCAAATATTATTGTTTCGAAACAAAAAAAAAATAAAAAAATAAGTCGATCTGTGGCATCAGGTATGGTATGTCTGCAATACTATACTGAATGGGAATAAAATTGTCTCATTTCTTACTCGCGAACATCCATCTGTAGCGATCCCAAAACCCAATACCAACTAATGAGTGCACGTTTTTTCAAAGAGTCCCAATAAATCATCCAAATGGTTTACAATGCAAGGCAATTGGATCGTGCAAAGTTTGGATAATCGATATTGTTGTCGCTGATCAATTCAACATTGGCGAATCAATGAATAGTTTATTCTAGCAGACACCAATTTCTACATCCGTTTCATCATCCAGAAAGGAAAAAAGAATAAACGGATAGATTTACTTTTGGTAGGACCAGACGTTCTTCAAATCTAGAAAATGAAATAAAAGGTCAGCGCTTACATTATTTTACTGCTCGTCACAGACAACACTTACAACCGTCCTGAGTGGCCAAGCGGTTAATGGAGTCGTCAGCCTCAGCCTCCTTGCGAACGAATCCACACAAAGCGTAGGTGGAGAAGGTGTTGGTGTAACGACCTTCAGCATCCACATCGCCGACATTGAGCTGAATGGAAGCGTGATCCTTGGCGTTGATCAAGCGGTTGGTAGCAGAGCTAATATAAAAATAGGAAGAAATGTGGTCAGACTTCGGGTCATTGGGATACATGAAAAAAATGGGGAGGATTCAACGGCATTTACCATTTACGAGGAATGTAAAGATCGACGAGTCTACCCTCAGAGTTCTCCATGTTGGTTATTTCCAAAAAGTTAAGGTAGGTTAGAACCGGGAAAAGAGAAAAGAAGGAGCCATAAAAAAATTTGCTTGCAACTATTTAACAGTCCCTCTCATGATTGGCTTCCAAAAAAATTTTACTTGGGGGTCCAGCGGAAACAGGCCCATCCAGAATTTTTTTGTGATGTAGATCTGTAAAAAAAAGTCATTCATTGATTTTATCACTGTTTCATGCCGTCATTGATGTGATACTACGGTATCTATCACAAAATCATTCAAAGTTGTATATAAAGGAATCAATGGCTTTTTTGATGAAATTACTGCTATCTCTCCTCTGGACTTGTCATCAAAACAAAAACAATAAAGTAATATAATGCGTTCTGTCTTCCAATTGCTATTATTCTCGGTCGTGATCGCTTTGGCTATGATCCAGGCAACGATAGCGCAAGAAGTAGAAGCAGCGTCTGCCGATTCTGACGTGAAGCAAGCCGCAGCGGCAGCTAATGAAGAAATCAATAATCTACAGGCGACAATCCCTCCAAACGTACCATTGCCCACGGCCACGGTGGTTGTTACTGATACTATCACTACTACTGTCGCAAGCTTTACCCAGACATTTACAAGCACCATTCCGGGAAAACCCACCGGTACAGAGAAGCCGACTCACACGCCAGTTAGCGGTGCCAGCCAAACTCCTGGACGCGCTTACATGGCGCTTTTTGTCTCGATTGGTATTGCTGTATTTCATGAAGCTCTCTTCAACCAATTCAGCTCATGATGTGCTATGCCTGTTGAACTTGCGTGAAATTTACATCACCATACTATAATAACCAAAAAATTCATATGCTGGATAATAAATGCGTGTAATACTGTTGTAATCGTAAAATCAAATGTTTTGGACATGATCAAACGTATAAAACCATCACCAACTACTTGATTTATACTTGCAGCGGTTTCAGAAAAGCCTATACAATTGTCATTCCTAAGATCATACTCTGACTCCCATGCTGTCTGTATAGTTGAGGCTCTTTGCTTGAAAGCTTCAGCTTTCTGTGTTATACATATCCGCCTCATAGTGTTGGAAAAAACTAATACCGTGATCTTACAAGGAACTGACCCAAAATCAACTGCAGTTGTAAGATATGACCGCGATTAAAATTATGTCATTGTTTTCGAGAAAATCTCATCAGTTCTCAGGATCTAACGATTGTTCATCCAATGATCGCTGGGTAAACATTTGACTCTTGAGACAGATATGTTCACCGGATGGCACATTCATGACATCTCATCAAATGACGACTTGGGGGTTTACAGCTAATACACCTGCCAGCTTTACGTTTGAACATATCGCTGAAGCAAAGTAGCCGATTATACAGTTGGTTGACAAGCGGACCTGTGGCTTGAAACAATAATGCATAGCCAAAAGCGCAAGCGGCAATTTCTCGATGTTAACCTGCCCACGCTTTGCATAGATATTGACAGAATTTTCGATCTTGACACGGGTGCATCCAACTTTGGAAGCTTTGCCGCTGTGGTACCAATGGAACAATGAACTCGTCAGGGCAGGTCTCAATCCTGTGTTTCACCAATCTTGTATGTTCCCATTCTCACACGACCACCAATTCTTTCGATACGAAAATCACAGTAGATACGGAGCATTTCCGCGAACTGACTATGACCATGCAAATGAAGGATATTTTTCAATGATGCTATATATCCGCCATATCATCATATCCGTTCCAGGCTGCCATTAATAAAACTAAATATCTAACCAAAAGTCTTGATCACACAAAACAACAATAAAAAAAAAGAACTATCTCTGTAGTGCCAAAAACCAAAAGCAAGGCTCAAGGAAAATTTCGAAATGTGCACAACAGTAAAAAAGAGAAAGAAAATCAAAGACAGAAGATAAAGACTGGAGGAACAGAAAAAGGTAAAGTGAGGGTGAAAGAAGATAGGAAGTTCAACCTTTTTTCTTTACTGGAAGGTTGCTATTAACCTCGACGTCCTTTCCCTCACCAATTCGCAGACAAGAGCTGAAGGATGATGATGTTGTTTGAATAAGCTGCATTAGTAATGAAAATATCATGTGTTTTCTGGACCTTAAAGATAGCGATGTGTATGTCTTTTTGACAGGAACGAGAAACGGACTATTCTGCAAAAAACTTCGAATCGGCTCGTGTGTTAACTTTGTACAAAAATAGAGCGCAACTGGTTCAATATGTAGTTATATAAACGAGAATTTCGAGTTACGGTAACCGTTAACCATCCAGCATATATTGGTTTGATAAAATCTCTTTGCCTTCCACTGTGATTTATGATAAAATAGTCTTCGCGGATCTCCGAAAAAAAAAAAGAGAAATGCCAGCTTACGGCACAGTGCTCGATAGACGCGGCTGATTTATCACTACTTTCACACATCGTATCGCTTCTATAACAACCATAGACAACCATGAACACCTGATGGACATTGCTCCTGTCCGTCAAGGTTTTTCTGACGTCATATGCTTTTAGCGTTTCTGGGTATTCGCAAACAAAAAAAGCTTTGATCCCCGACGCAAATTGTTAATTTTTTGATGAAGACACTTGACAAGTTCCTGAGCTTTTCTATTCGCCATCATTGAACCTGATGAGTGCTTCTGTATTTCTCGAAACCTTGCGTAAGCATGAGCTGGATCAGGTAAATTTTGTTACGGGAATTGAAACGTTACAAGTTACTTGGAAAAGGTGACAATCAGATTGTTCATTCGCGTTTGAATTTTTGCTTGTATAGTTCTATCCTACGTGAGTATCGATCTTTAACCTGATTGACCGTTTTTTCACGAGCCATTGTCTTTATTGAAACAGTTTTTCCACCCATGGCATCACGCATTTACAGAGTTTAGCTCAGGTAGGGTTTTTTTTCCATCGTTCACACAACCGTCATGGGAGGTCTTTGTTGAGTTGTTGCTGCTTCGGACCCTCATCTCTTGTAATGTGGCTGACTCCCAATAGTTGTCTGTTCAAGATTATGCACAACTGGGCATCACCGACTCTGCCGACCGAAAGAAAATTTTTGGATTGATCCAAATGCTGCGGAAAGAAGCCAACCCAGGTCGTCTTCATATCATGACATCCGCTTCCACCATGACCAGTGGGTTGCGACAACCGCAAATATTTTCCAGCAAACTTGCTTACAACGACCACCCGTCACCTTCGCCCACTTCGCCCAGCACTTTCAGTAGCCGGTTGCCACAGCTACAAACAGCCTCTCCCACAGTGGATAACAGTCGCTACGCTCGCACAAGGAGACAAAGCGTCATTGCCACCCAGTCAGTGACCCCCAGCAAAACGGTAGCACCAATTGATAAGGTTCGTACACGCAATCGTACCATGTCGGACGCATCACGATTGGACTTGACAGCATTACGGTCCTCGGTACGGGATCGCAAACCCGAACTTCGTCGGTCACTTTACCTGGATCAAAGTTTCACCCACAATGACAGCAACGAATCCTCGGATGAAGAATCGCAAACCAGAAATTACAGGGCCTCCGCGCCTCTTTTGGACGCTTACGGTGTTCCGCTTTCTGCTTCTGCCACCAAATCTCGGTCCAACAGTGGCCTGTTTAAACTAGCGACTAACTCCGCCGTGGCAGCCAGTAGCCAGCATCATGCATTGAGCGATCTTAACCAGAAAATCCGTGTGTGTGTCCGAAAACGACCCTTGAACCACAAAGAGTCTGAAAAAGGCGAAAAGGACATTGCTCCTACCATTGGTACACGAAGCATTCAAATCAACGAACCAAAGTAAGTTATTACCCCGGGGCGTTCTTGTGTCACTCGCTGTCCAGTTTTCGGTCTTTTTTTTTTTTTTTTTTTTTTTTTTTTTTTTTTCTCAGGGCTTTACTTTTGACTCATTTCACCTCGATAGATTGAAACTGGACTTGTCGCGCTACATCGAACAGCATACCTTTACCTTTGACGATGTCTTCGACGCCGACACAAAAAATGCCAATGTCTATGAAAGAACGGCCTTGCCGCTTGTCAAATACATCTTTCAGGGCGGGAAAGCCACCTGTTTTGCCTAGTAAGTGGTATCTTAAGCGGCTCAACCTTATCCGAAAAGCACCATTTTGGACGGGTAAAAAAAATGTATCTTGAAAGGAATTGAACGACTCATCATTTTCTATGCAGTGGTCAGACGGGATCTGGTAAAACATTTACAATGCTCGATCCGAAGCACGGTCTCTACATCATGGCAGCAAGGGACATCTTCACTTTACTTCGAAAACCCGAAAATAACCACTTGTCAGCGTGGATCGGTCTTTACGAGATTTATCAGGGACAGCTGTACGATCTTCTAAACAATCGCAAACGGCTATTCGCACGTGAAGACGGCAAACACAATGTGATCATCGCGGGTTTAAAAGAATTTCCTATTGACAATGTGGATAAGTTGATCCAGGTTTTTGAATACGGGAGTCAAGTGCGAAGTACAGGTAGGGTGGGAGCTGAGAAATTTCCTCGCATTCGTCGGCATAAGAGCTAAATGGTGGATTGGGGGGTAGGTACCACGGGAGCCAACGACAGTTCTTCTCGATCGCATGCTGTACTACAAATTCTGCTAAAACCCAAGACGAACAGAAAGCGGATCCACGGCAAACTAAGTTTCATTGACCTGGCCGGTTCAGAACGTGGTGCCGATCGAGGCGAAGCGGATGCTAAAACAAGGTAATTGAAGGAGTACACATTTCTGTGTGAGAATAGAAGAGAAGACTAACCCTTTTCTTTTTTGTAGAATGGAAGGCGCTGAGATTAACAAAAGTCTTTTGGCTCTGAAAGAGTGTATTCGTGCTTTGGATCAGGATAAACGTCACACGCCGTTTAGACAGAGTAAACTGACTCAGGTAAAAAAAAAAAGTGGAAACAAGAGCATCATCATGTCATCCGTATTTTGACGAGTTTGTTTTGTGTGACAGGTCCTTAAAGATTCGTTTGTCGGCAATTCCCGAACGTGTATGATCGCTACAATTTCACCAGGTCATTCCAACAGTGAGCATACACTGAATACGCTACGATACGCTGATCGGTAAAGTCGATGAGAGAAAGGGGCGGCGGGGGGCGCTCTTGAAAGGATAAATAATGAAGACTGATGTTTTTTTCTGTTGATGACTGGTAGTGTAAAAGAACTAAAAGGAGAACGTGATCGAAGATCGCAAATGGAAAAAACCAGCAGTAGTTCTGGTAATAATGCCGATGAAGAGGATACACCGTGGATGATGGATACCTCAGCGGGAGATGAGGATGAGGATGACGAAGACTTTAATGAAGATTACGATACCCGATACATGCAAGAAGATTCCAACGACGAGCTTCGCAGCCATGGTGACTCTGATATCCTTGATGATGATACCTTCAATGCAGACGAGGAAGATATTTTCGATGTGGATTTCCCGCATGAACAAGACGCATTTATTCGATCCAATACCATGATTTCGCCCTCACATAAACCGATTCATTCTCCCGCATACCATCATGTCCCATCGACGCGGCAATCCATGCCACTACCGAAAGATCTGGAAGCATTGGGGTTGTCCAGTACCGGAAAGTGGAGTTCATCGACCATCCCTGATCGGGGACCGATAAACGAACCACCATCTTACACATCGCCATACAGCCCAGTTTCTACACCTCAATCACCCATCTATTCCGCATCTTCTCGACGAAGCAGTCTAGCCATGGATTATTCGATGCAGTCATCCACGTTTCAGGCACCTATTCCCTCTACGACCGCCAAAGCATTAAATAGTGGCACCACGAACGGATTGCCACAGTTTGACCATGTGCAGATGGAAGAGTTTGTCAAGTTCCATCGTGCCGAAATCCGAGAGGTGACCGAATGCACCAAGAAGGAGACCAAGCTCGTCGCCAATATTTCGCTGGATTTATCGTGCTCTCAAGATTTTGCCGATGAGGATCCACTAGGCGATAATGCACACATGGATATCTCAGCGATGCGGCAAAAAGCGAAAAGCAGCGAGCAATTCCGAAAGTATCTGTACGATCTCGAGGAAATCCTGGAACGAAAGATAGCTGCCATTGAAGCACTCCGAGACCGTATTAATCACACGGTCACCCAAGTCGAAATGTAACTGTATAGCATTTTCTTGAATGAATCATCATTTTACCCCCATTCCAGAAACACATTGGTTCCCCAATGCAGGATAAGATATGAAAACGAGAACAAGGAAACATCCTGCTATACTCCTGCACTTTTGATGTAGAATGGCACTGCGCACTTGATATCTCCATGGAACAGCAGAAGATGGCTACATACTATTCAAGTGTGTTGGATATATTGATCAGCGTTAATCCATAGCATACAATTCCACACCTTGATGAATTAAGAAAGGAGCCATCCACTTTGCAACTCTTTTGTTAGCTAACTGGAAGCATGTTTCCTTCAAGTTATTAAAGTAGTCGATTGAGATTGTTGGATAAGAGAATAGATTCTCATCATTACAGGATGAAAAGATTTCCCAAAGAAAAAAGCCCAACACATCCGTGCCCTCATCTCATATCTTTTATCTCCTTACTGCCCACGAGGAGAAATAGCAAATTCTGTCCTCTGCCACCATTACTCACATTTGCGTCCATCAAGGATGGCAACCAACTATAAGGATGAGCACAAGACATTAACAGAACATGTAAAACGACGGTACATCGCTAGTTTGGTACAATAGAGGTGGAGGAGCGATTTTTTATTTTTCAATCAAGAAAAAAGAACCCATCCAACTCGCGGTGGAAAAAAGAAGGACGTTCATCGTTATCTTTCAGCAAATTTAGATGTTGGAAGGATAAAGCATCTAGAAAAGAGAAAAAAAAGGTTAGCATTCATCAAATTATTAGATATGCCTCAAACTGTCAAAATGATACGTACAACGCGGACGCTGGCACCAAAGGTCTTGGGGGGCAAGTTGTTGCGGAAACGGGCCTTGACGACACCGTTGGTACCGTGAGTGCGGGCAATGCGACCCCAGATGACACGGATCTTGGAACCGTTGACGGCCTTTTGGGCACGGTAGACGTAAGCAATGCGCTTGCCAAGGTAGAATTGAGCATCCTTGGTGGTCTGGACACCCTCAATTTGGATGAGAGAGGTGTTGGGGTTCTGGTTGCGCTTAGCACGCTCGTAACCCAAAACGCGGCCCTTGCTGTACAGACTATATCATACAGACAAACAAGCTCATTAGTCAAATGTTGATCAACCTTTTGGGTGACTGGGTTACTTCAGAATGCTATACTCTCAAGAACGATCCATGCATCCGTCATGATGCCAACCGATGCATCGATCATCTTGTTTCACTCCATATACACTTTATACAATCCATCCGTCTCCCAATGACTGTTTCTCTATACTTACCGAGTAGCTACCATGTCTAAACGATAAGGTGAGGATGAAAGAAAGGTCCTATGTCTGTATGAGCTTGATCGGGACGTGCACTCCCACTCCGGACCTTATTGAAACCCCGCCCGCCCTCTGCGCCATCGAAAACGGGTCATGGCGGCCTGTTCTGGGTTATTTTTTTCTGAACTCCACTTGACTCTCGACACCATATTTATTCGTGCAAACAAAAAGTACACTCTTTTTGTATCCCTTTTCTGACGATGGGGAAGGATAAGCTTCACAGTCAGCGTCACATATCGGCTCCCGTTCCTCCACGATTATGTTTCAACGGACAGAATCAAGCGGTGGATCCCAGCCACCCCTCACCTTACTATGACACTATGTCAGCATCGTCACCGTATAATCAAAATGGTAAGACATTGCCAAGTACCCTCTTATCTCTGTACAAGCATCAGCTGATTTAACCTGAGAGCTTTCTAGCATTCTACTATCAACCCACACCACCACCACAAACAGTCGTTGTTCATCAAACACCCTCGAGATCTAAAGACGCTTGCTGCTGGGGTTGGTAAGTACAATAAAGTAGATCAAGTTGTCTACAATCCTCCTTTCCTCCACTCGATTCACCTTGTTTTTTTCTTCACATAGCTTGGCTGCACTTTGTCTGTGTTTCGCTTCAGAAGAATGCTGCTAATCTTGTTTGCTCAGCAGCCCACATTCAACAAGCCTGTAAATTACAGAAAATAGCCGCTGGCGGCTTTTAATTTTGGATTTGCTCATCGAGAGAAATATTCACCGAAAAGGACAAAGAAGCACATGTACAGCATACATAAAAAATACCATCTCGGCTTCCAAATGACGCATTAGAAAGACCATGTGTAGCTCTACGGTATTTGTCGATCGAATTCCATGCTATGCAATTTTTAGACACGCAGGTCACCAACCACAGCATACTATAATCGTCTGTCCACTCTTTTTTCTTTTTTCATCAACGGATCATGTCATCACAATATTCAAAAGTTGTAATAGCAATAAAAAAAAGCAAGAATACGGAAGATGAATGTGCATGGATAGTTTTTGCTGGAAGTATTCCTAATCAACCTGAAAAGATTGTATACATGGAGGGCTAATTCCTTATTTATCATCGTGGGTCCGCTCATGCTTCCATTGGAAAAAGTTGCATCGAAATTGTTCAACCGGTCCATCTTCTGGTCCCACAGGCCTAAGTTCCGTGATTTCAGTTAAAGCTAATAAAGTAGGACTGGTTCATCGCATCAAATACCTTGAGCATATATAGAAGCGGCGTCCCTGATTGGGTCCTTTTTTGTTCACTTTCAGTTCTTTGCACGGCTCGTTGTGAACACGACAACGAGGCGCGCTTGGTGGCACAAACATCGAATTCCAAATTTGCTTGGCTTCTTGGCGAACTTGGGCTTCATTGATAAGCGAATCAATATCGATATTTTCCTCCGCATCTTCCTGGGACGATTCGGTTTCCTTGGGCAACTGTTGCGATGATTCCTGAGACGATTGAACAAAGAAGGATCTGAAAACTTTTTGACTCCCGGGAGACACGGCTGTCGATTTACGCTTTCGATTTAGGACTGGACTGGGCACAGATGAGGGATGAGTAGCAGGTGCGTGAGTGGTGGGTATTGGGGAAGGACTTTGCACGGCAGAAGATGGCGATGTGTCCGAAGACGCAGGTGAAGGTGTATTGGTGTCTGAAGGCTTTTGAGCCTGCTTGCCGAAAAAGAAGGACAGCTTTTTTTGCTTGTTTGAAAATTCGGGAAAGTTCTTGGCAAGCAGGGCCGAAAACTCGATATTCTTGGAAATCATTTTCTCGTCCAGCTTTTCGATGGTTCCGTCATCATCCACTCGTCTTTCGTCCAAGAAATCCGCATATACCGGACAGTGATCCGATCCGATGATATCAGGCTGAATGTCAGAATACTTGAACCATTTTTTCAATTCCTCAGAAGCCAGAACATAATCAATGCGAGTGCCTAAATCAAGCCGATCAGTGACGTTTTTGGTGGTATCCTATCCTAGCAAGGCGGCATTACCGAAATTCGCAGGCCTAGAATGTATGTTAACTCCAAATTATGCTGTTGATCATAACAGGAAAACATACCTTGCATTCAATCTCGTGTTCCAACCTGTGAAATCACCCAATGTCAGTTATCTTTTAATGTTTGAAAAAAGCACCCCTTGAAGCTTACATGTATACATTCCCCGCCGGCCAGGATGATAAAAGCGGCCCATGTCAATCAAAGGCCCTTTGGGGGCAATGATCTGGTCCACCCACCTTCGATGAGGCAGATCCTTAAAGTCAGTAATATTATTTTCTTTCATGCTTTTCTTTGGATCACAGTGATCGATTTCTTCATGCGCCGCGTTAACATCGCCCACAAGGACCACTTGTCTTCCTTGTTTGAGATAATCGTCAATCCGTTTACGAACGCATTGATGAAAATCCATCTTGTAGATTTGTCGATCTTCCCCAGCGTGCGGGAAATAGATGTTGAACAAGATGAATTCATTCAAATCCATAATAATACATCGGCCTTCGGCATCCAGTGCGGCTGGGTCTGTCTTTAAGGTGGCGAGAAACTGGTCCATTTCCGGATCGTGAACACGCTTATTCCGTACTCCGGTAATCCCTTCTTCTGTCCACTTGGGTATGATTGTGTTTTTTACATAAACGGCTACTCCAGAGTAACCGCGTTTAGCTTCGGAGAACGAGAAATAGCCATCATAGCCGGGAACCATGCCCATCTCCCGCGTCAGTTTCGATCGTTGACATTTGATTTCCTGCAAGCTGCATACTTCTTAACATTCACTGCTCGTACAACATGCCTAAAGACTTGCCATATAATGTCTGCATTCAAAGCGTCAAGGAGATTCTGTATGAAGCACAATAAGAACAAAAAAAAGAGAGAGTTGCGATCAAGCAATAAAAAGAGGCCTACTTTGTACGATTTCGTCTCTGACCATGGATAATATTGCAATGTCGTTGCCAATCCATTAATGTTCCAGCTCAGTATTCGCATTATGAAGGATCGATCAACAATGACAGCATTGAGGGAAGATGTCGAGCAAGAGCAAGAGCAAGTCACAAATACCGGTATGCATTTTGCCGAATTTTACGCTCCCAGTTCCTCTGGAAATTCAAGCCATTGATCTGCATAACAGACTCATTATGGACATGGGCGATTGTTATTCCCTTATATGTGTATTTCAACCTCTATGCATCCAATGTTGCCAACTTGGCTAAAGGTCTACTATATTTCCAGTCACTGATGCTCAAAAAAAAAGCCAAACATCGCGTAACGTTTCCTAATCTATTGCTCTATTGCTCTTTGCTTAACGGCTGACGCGGATGGAATGGTTTGGCGGCCTTGTATGTGGAAAGAAGCCGGAGGAATAAGTTGGATGACACAAGATTTGAAAGACGCGGCATAGGAGCGGCGGAAGGCGCTAGAAAGTCTTGACAGTGACACTCATGTTGTGTAGCAGAAATAGCGAGTCCGGTGCTGTTGCTCAATGACACAGACTCTGTCAAGTTGGCCAGCACAGCCTCATTAAACAAATTGGGTGGCCAAGCATGTCAATAAATAAGCCACTAAGCTCTTGAATCCTTCATGGTTCAATAAAGGCAAAAACTATTACCATTTTTTCTGTTGTAATTGGTGACGATACATCCAGCCAAATTACATTCTAAATGGGCATGCTGTATGAATTAACTAGCTGAGGCACTGAGTAGGGTGACGCGACAAGAGATGCCATGGCATGTTGGTTTGCCATACCGTGTAGCGGACTCAACGGTTGCTAGTGTATCCATTGGCTTCCGAGATCCGGTTCCGGTAACGCAAAAGATCCAGTGGGCTCGTTTGTGTTATGTTGGAAGGTTGGTACGGAGAATAGACATCAAGGGCTCGGGATCTGGATGTCCAAGTCTTGGTAGAGAAGGTTATAAACACATTATCGAATAGGACAGCTTGGATCAAATGAATCGCTCCATAAGTTTATTTTTGTAAAGCAGCTCATTGGTGGAACTTTTTATTGGATTTTATATTCCCCGCTTTTTTCATGCCAATTTTTTTCATTTTGGCCAGGAAAAAATTGATAAAAATGGCAAATTGAATAAAGCGGGATTGAAAGATGCGCAGCATGCTTATAAAAAAAATCGTTGAACACTTTAGGTTCTTGCTATTGAATTTGCTGATGTAGCTTGTACCTGAGCCGAAGCATGCAATTCATTTGTTAGCAACTGTAATGATTTTGTAGTTCCTGAAAAAATTAGCATTTGGTTCTCTGTGTGATTTAATTTTATCCAGCGATTTGCTCGAAAAAGGTCATGTTACCAAACGGCCACCATTCAGATGGAGTCTCATTTCTTCTGTACGACGGGCAGATTGCTTCAAAAGATAACATGTATATATCGATTGCATGAACCACATGTCCGTTGAAAAAAAATAAATCCGCAAAATGGTCCAAGAGTACCAAGCAAGCAAGAGGCTGCTTTTTAGACGGATCAATTCTGCAATTCTACTACGCTTCTGTAAAATAAAGTTCAGCATGGCAGTAAATTGTGCCTATTTGGTCAGCCAAAGCCCCAAGGGATTCATTGACCGTGGTGCCTTAATTGCCAATCAGGTACATAAAAAAAAAATCAAAAAAGGGTGACGGGACCTTGAACTGTACAGCCATTTCTGTGCTACTGTGCTCGGTTCCTATCCAGATTATGTTTTTTTTTTTACAGAGAACGGTTCTCCTTTTTTTCTGACCACGCCGAGATTAATTAGTAATCGGTGGCAACGGTGATACAATAGAAATAATGAGATCCAGGGGCAGTCGAATGAAAACAAGATCTCTGTCATGACAACATAAGTATAAATAGTGGCAACATAATGAAAAAAACAAGTAACTTTTCCTGCAATCAGTATATTCACCCAACCGATCTTTTTTTTTTTTTCCAAAACCCATAGATATACCCCAATCTTTTTTTTTATTTCTCATTCAAGAGCAGGTCTCAATCGCAATCTCTTTTTTTTTCTATCATGAAGCTGGTTCTTCTCGTGTACATACTGATGGCCCTCATGGTGACATCATCCCTCGCCGTCCCACTTGCCAAAAGAAAACTGAAAAGCTGCTACAAGAAAGCGACTCTGACACAGTAAGTCAAAAAGTGGTTAACGAAATAACAAGAATCAAGAGAGCCTAAATACATTACACGCTGTAGATACTGGATACCGAAAGAGGGTGACAAGGACATGACCAACAATGGCAAAATTGTCACATTGAGCGGATCAAAAACCAAGAAACTCAAGACAAAACATGGTGACACCATTGCCAAAGTTTCAAAGACCACCTACGAGAAATTCCAAATGGAAGGCACCGGTTTGCTGAAAAATGGAATCATGGTCAACCTTGACAGCGGTGATGATACATTCATGAAAGTCGATCGTAAAAAGGCTCCCTATGGCTTTGGCAGTGAGGAAAACAACCCATTGGTTCCGTGGGTGAGCGTTGCAAGCAATGATCTGAAACCAGGCACCAAGCTTTATATCAAGGAACTCGACGGCGTTAAGCTACCCGACGGCAAGAAGCATAATGGCTGTGTTCGCGTCGATGACGAAGGCTGGAGCTTTGGAAAATGTCAACTCGATTTCTTCGTTTTACAGTATTCGGCCTATTCGATTCTTGATGATAAACTTCCCGGTCATGTCACAGTGGAAGAAAAAGATTGCGATGTCAAAAATCTTGTCACATCCCAAGTTAAGAAATGGGCCGTGTTGAACAAATAAAACCACCCTAGATTGTACATGTGCAATAAAAAAGAATCATTTTTCTGCTCCGCCATTTTTTGTTTTCATTTGCTTTAAACTCTACTACTTTTGGACTTATTTCAAGGCTGGAAAAAGGGCAAAACAAGCGGAAACAGAAAATGACATCGGAAATCAAACCCTCATGGATTCAAAGATGAACAAGTACACGTGAAAAGAAAAGATGAAAGCAAATTACATTTTCATACAAGATACATACAATAACAAACGTGATTAGACTACGATGGAATAACGAAAAACACAAACAACAACGGACTTTTTTGAAATATTGTACAATAACCGAAAGCAAAGAAAAAACAAGTAGAGCGAAACTTTTTGACAACAGTAAAAAAAAAAAAAAAAAAAAAAAGGAAATAAATGAGGTAGTAGGGTGGTGTAAGTAGGGCGAGGCAAAGTGTGGAAATATTGAAAGATAAATGGAGTGAAAGGAAAACGTGTCGCTCCACCGCGGGAAAAAGAACAAGAGTCGAAATAGAATGGATATGTACATGAGGCAGTGTTTTCATTTTTAAGCGAGATACTCGTCATCGTCATCATCATCACCGTCGTTGAAGTATTCGGAAGAAGGGGTGAGGGGGGGAATATAGGTGGAATCTTGCAAATCATCCGGCTGGAAATTGAGTTCTTCAAGTGGCTCTTCTTTCATTGGCATCAGAGGCCGATCTTTGGAAGATTCAGGTTTGCGGGACGACTTGGCGGATGAAGAAGAAGGTTCAGTCATCGATTTGAGTTTTCCAGATTTAGGACTAGTGGAACGTTGTGAATCCTTTTTGGTCTTCTTTTTCCGCGGTTTCTTGACTTTACGATGCGGCCATTCTTGTCGGAAGATGGTAAAATGTCGTTCACATCGAGGACATCGTTTAGGACGCCAGTCAGTGAATATTGCACTGGGGCTCCACGTCCACGTCGCCAACTCATTCGTCAATGACACATCCGAGCCTACTTGTTCCGAGATTTCCTCGCGTCGAAGTGTACGTCCACATGCAATACAGCACAATTCTTTGTTGCTGTCGCCTCGCTCTTTCTTGGCTTTTCTGATTTTCGGGGAAGAAGGCGCTGAAGGCGCTTCGGATGACGGTTCGGAATCGGACCAAGTGGAGAGTTCGGTGCTGCATACCGAGGAAAGATCGGATACATCGTCAAATAGATCGTCCATATCTGACACGCCTTCGTCAAATAATTCGTCCATATCACGTTTCCAGTGATCGTTCATGGGAAGATCTTCTTCCTTGACTTCGCACTCTCTGAAACGAGGAGACAATCCGACCGCCGAATCCGCTTTCGCATCATCCGTGGAGGAGGAGAATTCAACGCTTGAAAACGACGAATTAGGGGTGCCTTCTCGAAGTCCATTGACGAGATGGGTATCACTGCTTCGTCGACCGATTCGGGTGGTGGCATCACGATGAATTTCCGGACTCACAATGACGGTAATCCCTTCTTGTTTGGCCATTTCAGGTGCCACTTTCATATATTCCGCATCCATCACCGCATTGCAAAGCACATCCAACGGACAGTCGGAACCTGCGGATGAAGCGGATTTCACTTCCACATCTTCATGCATCTCTTGAGGATGAATTTCGGGCGACTCCGTGCCGCATAAAAACCCGATCCGCATTACCATAGGCCGTGGGGCTTGCTCGGTTGGATCGGCAAGGGGACTGGATATTTTGGGTAGATTCTCTTCGGTTTCTGTCTTTTCTGTTTTTACCGTGGCGCAGACATCCACGGCCGTTTTCGTTTCAATTTCCACGGAAGAACGTTTGGACGGCCTTGATCGTGATGTAACATAATCTATGATGATAAATAGAAATCATGAGTGTCCGGTCACCCTACCTCAGATGGGGTGCATGAAAAAAAATTACCTTCGTAGAAAGCCGATTTCCTTTTTCGCGTGCTTCTTCTTCCACTTTTGCTGGTAATATATTCTTCTGCGACAGGCTTATCGGGCGATGCAAAGTAACCGGTACTGCGCCTTTTCGCAAACAAAAAAGTATCAAAAAAGAAAACATCAGTATGCCACGTTGACTTCTTTTGTCCTAGGATTGCGTGATGCTTACCGTTCGCATGTGACACATCGACATTCGCAGTTGTTTTCACCAAAGTAGTGTTTACCATAGAACGAGGTTAATTCTTCGCCACATTTAATTTCCTTGATGACTTTAAAGGTGATGGTATTTTGTCCTGAAGCAATAAACTGGGTCGCATACATTAGCTCCAAGTCATTGAACCAATCAATCATCCCCTTTTCCCAAGTAAACATACCTTGCAATTGGAATCGCAGTCATGCTAAGAAAAAAAGAAAAAACAGTGAGACCTCAAATCAACCTGCGGTGTGTGGACGTGGTGGGCACTTACATTCACAAATCGCGCCGGACCAAGGAACAGACAATTGCAACCTTTTCTCGATGACCACATGACACTGATATCGCGATTTCCTTTTTTCAATTCGGCATCCTGTTTTGGATCAAGACACGCAATCATGCCCGTCAATAACCGCATTTCATCACCGACATGCCAGTCCTTGGTCGCTATCAAGCAAGCCTCCACCCTTCGGCCATTATTGCTGTATCGTCGTGTGTCGCCAATTTCAAAGCCTGCATTGGGCATATACCTAATAACGAAAAAGCAAAAAAATTCAGCAAGGCCGAAAGAGTCATTTGTTTCAAGGATGAGTCATGCTCGTTCTTACATATACAGATAACGTTTCATGTGTTGCACAAATTCTTGTTGTTGTTTAGCGGTTTTCGAGGCAAGGTAGTGGCGAAAATAATCCATGCTAAAAAAGGGATGCGTTGTCCAAAAATGTGAGTATATCATTCTCAAATGAAAAAGAAAAAGAAAAATTGACATAAAAAAAAAGATAAACAATCCTCATCCGATCATTCCCCCATTGCCCAGAATAACAAAAAACCAAATAAAGGAACACCCAAACAAAAAGAAAACAATAAGGCGCGTCAAATATCGGTAAATTGTTCTCGTTTCCCTCCTTCCTGTCGTACAGCACTTTTTTTTTCCATCTGTTTCGTTGTGTCTTTGGGTGAAAAGCTTGAAGAGCCAAAAAGTTGAATCGAAATGGTGTGGGATGATGTGAACGTTACACGGTACTAAAGTGGAGGCGCCCAAACCACCAAATCATGACCTCGTGTCACACCTTGGTTTCCGCCCGTGTCATCATTTGAACCAGTATGCTTACAGCTTGACGAAAAAAGATGATCACATCCATATTTCCCTCTTTTTTCCCACTCTTTGTAGACCGGTCGCTGTGCAACGGTTACCGGAACCGATATTGGTGATTGGTGCTTGTCAGGGGGAAAAAACCGTCGGTGGTGAATGCGTCACCGGATGATCCAAAGTCCACAAAAAATTCGATAATTCGTAAATACCAGTTTGAGCCGAATCATGATGACGGAAGGAAGAAAACGAGAAGGGAAAACGGAAAGCAAGCCAGATCATGCCATGTCAAAGGAGAAGAACGAAAAGGGAATCATCCGCCAAAAAACTTTTTGCTTTTTCTTCCGATAGCCCGCGTTGTCAGAGGGCGAATCAATCAAACAAATATGCAAATCGATTCGGCATCCGTTCCTTGTCTTCCTGTAGTAAAGCCGGCCCCCCAAAAAAAATTCAAGTAAAAGAAACCCACCACAGTCGCAGAAGAAAAAGTATTCCGCCCGAACCCCCCATGGCCTTTTTGTGAAAAAAAAAGAACACAGAAAAAAAAAAAAAAACTTACGCTAATAACTCAGCAACCGCATCGTTAAGTTTTCCTTTACCCAGAATATCTCGTTGAATGATATCGAGGACTTTTTGACATGGTATCCGTGGGCGTCGATGATCGTTGTTCATCTTGGTGGTATCAAACCAGAGGTAAAGGGCATCCAGGAATATGTCTGTGAATAAATCATCGTATTTTGACAGAAGGCAGAAGTCCATGGAATGTACTGGCTGCATGTCATGAATAAAATGTGTGTATATGATATGTATAAAATGTGTAAAATATGCGGATAATTGGAAAAAGCTAAAGTGAAAAAATAGAGAGAAATCAAATAAAATATGTATACAAAGGAACAAAGCAAACTTAAGGGTAAAGGAACATAAAGAGAAAAAAAAAAAAAAAAAGAGAGAGAGAAAAAGAAAGAAGAATAAAAAAAAAAGGGTGAAGGTGGGAAAGAAAAAAAAAAAAATCCATTCACACATATACACACACAAAGCAAGCCAATATTCGCAGCTTCACGTGATTCTGGTGCGAGCAAGGATTTAAAGTCCGATGAACACAAGAAAACCATTTCATTTGCCGCTGGGCAATCGCTCGGTGCGTCGCCGTTTGCATTTTTTCTCTCTTTCCAAAAGCAACCCTGTCCTTTTTTTTTTCTCACCTGCTTCTGCCACTTGAATAGTCTTTCATTCAGTATCACATAATGGACTGATCTACATTTTAGCAGGCAACAAGCAACAGAAGCAGCATTGCCTGGAGTCATTTTTAATCCACAAAAAGAATTTCATGTTTTGTATCTTTGACACCATCGGCATGATTCACCTGTATACAGACAGGGTCAATGACATCATTCGGATGAGCTGTCGGCTGGTTTGCGTCTCATACTCTCAACTAGCCAGTGAAGTATGAGGATGTGTATTTTTTTTGGTGGCAAAAATGGATTTTCTCATGCCTTAAAATGGTTAGCTTGTGATTCTAGGATTGTCCTTTTGGATTACACACCACTTGTCGCTCGTTCATCATGGGCGGGGCCAATGCACGCTCAAAAATGATATCATTCATGTTTCATTTCAGCTTTTTGTCCGTCAATCTATTCCCGCTTGTCAGCTTCCCTGCTTGTCAAATTTGAACGGAAAATGAGCCATTGAAAAATCAAACTCCGCCAACGAGCGCGGCATCCAAGCTTTTTTTTTTTTTGACGAGTCCCATCCATCAAGTATGAAGTAGCCCTTTTTGAACAAGGCAAAAGAAAAAAGAAAAACGACAGTGCGGAAGAAAAACAAGGGATACATGTGCATCTGAGAAATATATAAAAAAGAACGGTTTACCGTTTTTGGGCATTGCTTTCGCCTATTTCGCCTCAAAAAAAACCGTAAACTTGGCTTGGTTTAGAAAAGGCGGAAGGGATCACGTTGCCTTGCAATGCGCCCTTGCCTTTATTTCGATCACACCCACCGGTCCGGACTCCCTCTTCCTTTGCTTAGATTTTTTACACCCAAGATGAGTCGCCAAAGCACAGACTTGCTCAAAGGCTCCATTCTGGAATCCGATTCCCCCGAACCGACATTGCTAAAAGTCGCCTGTCTTGACCCAGAGTAAGACGCTTCACCTCCAACTTCCAAATACTCCGGCCTCTTGGCTGGGCATTTTCTTTTTATTCCCACTCGATTATTCGCTGAATAAAAAAAAATATCTTTGCTTTTGCATAGACGTGATTATCACACTCAGTATTGGCATAATGGATTGGGGATTACCCATGAAATCAGCATTTATCCACCAGAGAAGAACTATAAAACCGAAAGCTTCTTTTGGCGTCTAAGTGTCAACGACGTGAAAGCCAACTGTAACTTTCCCGTCTTTCCAGGTTATGATTGGTAAGTGCCTTGTTCATTTTTTTTTGAAACGTCAGGGGGTTTTTTTTTATATCATTTTCATCAATGATCCATTTTGCATAGTACGACCGTCATTTTGCCAAAGGGTGGGAACAAGTCTACTTTTTTACTAAATCATCAAGGAGAAGAAGTGTCCACCAATATTAAGCCGCTTTTTCCTTACAGCTGGAATGGTGAATGGTAATAAGATACCGACTAGGTTTAAACCGACTCGTTTATTGACCGTGATGTATTTTTTTTTTTTTCGTGCCTTTTTTTTTTTTGACGATTAGGGCCACGAGTTGCAAAGTGAATCATCCTCCGGTGACTTACTTACAGTTCATGCTGAAGCGTGATCTGGGGACCGCGCAATTCAATGTTGATAAAATCGGTCAACCGGTATCCAATGAAAGCGGAGAAACGGGCAAGAAAATGATTCTTGGATCATTTGCTTTGGTCTATGTCATTGAAGGCCATGTCAGAGTGGGATTAGATGAGAATCACTTGAACGGTCATTCGCTCGTCTTATCTGCGGGACAGACGCTTTATGTGGAGCGTGATGAAGACGCAAGTCCAACAAGCCTTGTCATGCAGGCATGCGACGAATCAGGTACCGTAAGCAACTCGGATCTGGGTAAGTGTGAATGAAAGTGCCATCAAGGCTCATTGTGCTTCGCCTTTCTCTTTTTTTCCTTCCTTCCTTACCATCGTTTTCCTTTTTTCCTTTTGTTGCTATTTCAACCGTCAGATGCAACGTTGGTCACTATTCAGATCACGGAATCCAAACGCCAAGCTGCATCGACCGTATCCGATTATTTTGGCATCTCCAGTGTGCCTACTTCAGCCGGCGTGACTCCCCTGATGAGATCATCTGCTGAACGCACCGCTACATCACCTTACGAGATGGATGCACTCAGTCGTCGTCGTGAGCCCCGTCGGAAAGGATCGCTCGTAGTATATGATGACCAACCTTTGTGGAATCTTCCCCAGGAATTGGCTCAAAAAATGGTAGCAAAAGAAGCAAGTGCATCGGCGAGTGCCATGCCTACCTCCTTTGATGATGTCGGTGGCGAATTGGCTTCCGTGCTCAAAGGTCTCGCCATTGACGAAACACTGAAACGGGATACCACTCAAATGTACGAACCACCGGCTTTTGCTTTGGCGCATCAAGACACGGATGTGCCTCCGCCAGTGGTTCGCGATCGTCTTGTCATTGAAGATTTTCCGAAACACAGTATCAGTACAGCATGGATCAAAATGATAAAACAGGGGCTCAGTGAATGGGTTCGATTGCCAGTGATTGTATGTCGAGGGACAGAAGAAGGGTAAGTATATGATAGATGTCTACCGGGTCGTTTTTCGTGTTTTTCCTTTCTTTGACTTGGTATCGTAATAGCCCAGTGGTCGGTATTACAGCAGCAGTTCACGGTAACGAGCTGAATGGTGTACCGTGCATCCACCGGTAAGTTGCACATAAAATGGGATGGCTGTACACAAAAGAGTGAGTGTGTTCAGTTAATAATGTCTTCTTGGGGTTTGCGGGGCGAAAACAGAGTGGTGTCGGAAATTGACGTCAAAAAACTTCGAGGCACCGTGGTGGCTGTCCCTTGTGTCAATGTCACCGGATACCTCAAATTCACTCGAGAATTTGCTGACGGACGTGATCTGAATCGTCTTTTCCCCGGTCGAGAGGATGGGTTTTCATCGCAAGTGTTCTGTTACCAGTTGATGAACAAGATCATTTCCCAGTTCAATTACTTGATCGATCTACATACCGCCAGCTTTGGTCGTGTGAATTCGTACTATGTACGAGCCGATATGGTGAGTGCAAAATAGAATTTACATTATCCATCGTAAGATGACGCGAATCAAGACTCCTCATTCTCTTTTTGCCGTAGAACGATCCATCTTCGGCCGTACTAGCTCATTTGCAACAGCCACAAATCGTGTTGCATAATTCCGGCCAGGATGGTAAAACTATTTTTGTCCCCAGTCAAGTATTCTCGCCTCTCTTTAACCTTTTTTTTTTTTTTTTTTTTTTTTTTTTTTTTTTTTTTTTATACATCACAGGTACATTGAGATCCGCTGCATCGGCTCGAGGTATCAAAGCCATCACAGTGGAAATTGGTAACCCACAACTGTTTCAAAATCAATACGTGCAAGTAAGTTGCGAGAGAATGACATGATCCGCGTGATGGAAGAAGAAATAGATGGAGATTGTGAAACTCACAAACGAGTGTGATTGATAGTGGTCTTATGTGGGGGTGATGCGTATTTTGGATCATTTGGATATGTTTTCAATGGACGAGGAGGACGAGACGGAAGCTGGCGTCATTCCCAGCCCACCGACAACGATTCTCTGTTCCAAGGGATTTTGGATCTACACGAAGACTGGTGGTGTACTAGAAGTGTATCCTGGTGTCAATACGATTATACGTAAAGGAGATTTGATCGCTCGTATAAAGAATATTTTCGGAAATGTGGTGGATGAATACTTTGCTCCGTGTGGAGGCATCGTCATCGGACGAAGCTCCAATCCGGTTGCCATGTCGGGAGATCGAATCATCCATCTCGGCGTCATCAAGAAGAAAGGAGAAACCTTACCCAAAGAAGCCAAAGAGAATTATTGATAAAGTGCAACATGTAAACAACCCCGACATTGAGAGAAATATCGAACGGAAGAAGATTGATGTTAATATTTTGTCTTTCTAGTATTATTTACAAGGGAGATCGACAATGTAAATCCAAATGAAAATTAAAGAAAAAATGCGGAAGTATATATAATGCACTAGGATGACTGATCAGCGGGAACGGTGGAGGGATGGTGACACGTGTAGTTGAAAGTTTGATGTTGATGAGTATAATACTTGGGCTGATGATAAGCCGGAAGATATGGGACTCCGTGGTCGAGAGGCGTGTCTTCGTCAAAATGATGAAATGAGGAAGCAGTTGATGAAAGACCGGAAGACATGAGCAGCGAAGGAGTAGGGGAAAGATTGATATGTTTCTGTCGAGTCTTGTTGCGTTCTTCAATCAAAAGAGCCGCTTCCGCCTCGTAGTCGCGAGTGGGATCAATCGGTTCGGGTTCTTCGGTAAACACGCCCAATTCTTCACAAAACATTTTGATCTCGGTGGTGTGGATATGATTCTCCGCGTCAATAATGGTCTCCTCGGGAGATAAAGCCCAAATATGAGTGAGATTCTCTTGACATTCAGAATCATCTAACCAATTGCAACAATCGCCATCGTTCACCCAATCGTCGTTTGTCTCAATATAATCGTTGTCGTCCGCCGTCAGTTGTAAGAATTCAATTTCCGGCATAGCGTGGGAGTCCATGAGGTAGTGCAAAAGTAGGGTTCATCCAAAAGAAGTTACTGAAATAAATAACAAAAAAGAGACAAAGATCACAAAATAACTTTAGTAAAAAAGGGAATAAAAAAAATTTTAGTTTCTTAAACAAAGGGTCGTTCACGAATGCAAGGCTTTTTGAATGGCTGAATTTTTTATAGTGGAAAATTTTCTGAAACCACCCTCGGAGTTTCCACCAACCAAATAATCTTATCACCCAGTCATTTGAATCGTGTACGGAAAATCAAGGATCTGTTCATCCAATGAAATCGTATGATTGCCCGAATTTTTAAATCCCCGCACTGATAAATGGGATGATACGGGATTTTCCACTAAATGCACCAAAATAGGCAGCGCTAATTCAGGTACCAAAAAATTTTGCTTACCAAAGCCGTGTTATGAAACTACGACAAAAAGGGAACGAAACCTTTCGATGTTCGCTGAAAAAAGGGGGAACATGAGGTCATGTTGCCCTTGTATCGGATGGTCTTCTATTTTTCTTACTTGTCGTTCAAAATAAATAGCACTCTATAGAGGCTTTTACCATTTACCTGTATACAAAAGCATTCAAATGCTATCAAAATGTAAAAATAGCTTTGCAAATACAAGCATTGAGCTACCACGGACCCAAGTGTTGTATAACTATATCGCCAACAAGCTGGACAGTTGCCGTCAGGAAAAAGCGTTCAAACCACACTGAAGCTATGCAGTTTTATCTGATGATCCGTCTTGAATAGTTCTCGCGATATTGCTTCATGATTTTCTGTGGCTGTGGGACTGTTATCGTAAGATCTTTTATTGCACAACTGAGGAAAAGTGATGATCAAAACAAACAGTTTTTTCCCCAATTTTCTATCAGATGATACCAACTGTATAATTCTCTCAATGCTGTTAAAAGTCCCAAGAACATGCTGTCACATTCGATTTACATGTTCTCAGAATCCTTATACAGTCCTTGGACATAACGCAAAGGGTTCATAACCGCATGACAAAAGATCGAAATCATACGGTAAGTTTTACGCCGACAGGCGTGGGGATGTCGTGTTCAGATCGAAGCAGGGTCATGCAATAATATGCCAAATTGAGCTGCATACGTGGCGCCACTGTATTGCTGCCATCTTTTATGGAATAATGGTTTAAAAGTGATTTTCTTCAAAACTCTCTCGCAATGATGAGCTCAATCATGGTTAACTGATCAAATATTTTTTATGATTCTGATTACAAGAGGAATAAATAATAGATTATACTTTGGGAATTGATTAATGTGTTTGTCTCCTGTTCTTGCAAAGCAGTGAATCGCGGCTCACAAGGTTTGCTAGGAACAGTCCATCATTGTTTGGAGAATGTCATGCGCAAATAATTTCGCGAATGCGTTCCTGATCTTCCTTTCTAAAACCAATGGAAACAAGGTACTTTTCGATCGATCCAAACTCCTCATCAATGAAATGGAGCACATCACGCATAGTCTGTTCAAGAAAAAACAAAATATCAATCGCATGCACTTCCATGTCATCGTATTTTGCCAACACCATAAACTTACCTCAGGTAATGCATTGGCAAAATCTTTCGAGAGACCGGCGTCCACCACGTGTTTCACCACATCGGAATAAATAGGGGCCAAGCCTGGTTGCGACATTGCATAATCTTTGACGATTATCTCAGTCGGTACGCCGGCGATCCCACAAACGAGAGCAGATACAAGTCCCGTCCTGTCTTTGCCTTGTGTACAGTGGATGTGGATGGGATAGTTGGATGGGATGGTGAATGTGTAGAGCGCTTGACGGATTTCGTCTTTGCAGTGCAACAAAAACTGCTTATACAGGTTGGGGACGCCCATGGGGGTCATGACCTCTCTTCCAACCAAATATCCCGCCCGTCGCCGGTTGCACATAATGCTGTATGCAATCACTCGTCTAGATAGAATAGGCAGGATTATTATGAGCTTATGCTTTCGAAGATTTCCTCTACTTACAGCTTTAAATATGGGGAACAGTTTGCAAAGACGTAATTGCGCTGGAATCCCTGACCGACAAAATCAATTCTGTACTTTTTTCTCAACGAAGTTTGTTTATCTAAAACATCCCTTTTCTCCACATCGGCACGTTTGGCCGACATGACTGTAAAAACATCCACCTACACAACAGTAATTGGCATAAGTATGTAGAATCATTCATCACCGAATGAAGCTACCCACGTCAACGAGTGCTGTGGTCGGAAAGAGCTGATCGATAGGGGATGCTTTTCCTTCTGCACTGAGAAAAACGGAAGGCCTTAGCGAAGGCGCAGATACCCAAATTGACTAGTCAGGCCGCCGGTGACTAGTCAGGTCGCTTCAAGTCAACTTACCGAGACCGCAAATCCAGTATGGTATGAATATTGTGCGACAAGATGAAATCGTTTACATCGTCGTGTTCCATGCCGTCCATGGTGGCGGATCGAAAGACCATGCCTTCTTTAATATATCTGTTCGGTGTTAACATGGAGCGCCAACGGCCAAATGTCAGACCTCAATGTACCTCTTCTGGCTGGCATTATCCGAGGTAGAAACTCCAATATCTCGAAAGTTGATCAAGCCGTGGCGTGCCTGAGAAGGATGGTTCATGTTGTTGGTGGCAACCAAAAGAAAGACCAGCAAGACGTTCGATTGAATATGTATTATGGAGAGCGGAGTTTTGTATTCGCAGACCCGCTGGTGGTTTGACAGCAGCAACCCCTATTTCTTTAAGCTTTTGGCGTAACCACGGCCCAGAAAACTGGGTGGAACCCGCTGCCAGCTACCGAGCAACAAGGGTGTATTCCGCTTGTTCACAAACCAGGAAGAATCACTTGATCTATCATGATTGTCTATTCTCGCAGTGATCCGAGTTTTTGGAAAATTCCAAAACGAGGTTTTACTTAATGATGATGACAACTCCATTTTTTCTCATCGTCATTTTGTTTAGCAATGTATGCTGTGTCCCAGTCTTGGCGAAACCTCCCCACAGCAACATTTTCTGAACTCTTATATTCGTTCGTCCGGGTTGGAATTATTCCATGCGTTGTTTGCTGATCTGCGAAGACGGCAGATACTCTACGCAGCATTTTGCTTTACAACTGGCCGAGATCACATTTTTTGGCCTCCGACAGGGCAACCTGGTCTCATACAAAGTGTTGCAGATTTAGCTGCCAGGCAATCATGGCTTTGATTGGTGCACCCGGCGGATGCAAGCGACCAACTGCACTTGCACGGAAAGAACCCCCGTTTCGTGATTTTGCCGTGTTTGTTGTTTTACCGACTGATCAACGCAAAGTAACCATTGCAAATCTGCAAGCTGCCAATCTCATTATTCCCCCATGCCGACCAAATGTGATAATGTCCGTGATGTCGGCGAGTCTTATATTTTTGCATATTCACTCCATGATACGATCTTTTCTCGTTTTGCCCTGTTCAACTGCATGATACGGCAATCGAATCCAAAAAAAATTTATTCTGGAGAAATCATCTTTTCAGGTCTGACCCATTCGTCAAATTCCTTCTCCGTCAGGAAGCCAAGAGAGCATGCTGCTTCTTTCAAAGTAGTGCCTTCTTTATGTGCTTTTTTCGCACATTGTGCTGCTTTGTCATAGCCAATCTTGGGGTTGAGCGAAGTGACCAACATAAGAGACTACCCCACCATTCATTAGAACAGCTTTCATATCATTTCTTTGCTTTATATTCTCACCTCGTTCATGATCGTATTAATCTTATCACGGTTGGCTTGAATACCGACCACGGTATTCTTGGTGAACGATCGAGAAGCGTCCGAAAGTAAGGTAATCGATTGAAGCAGGTTTTTGATAAGCACCGGCTTGAAAACATTCAGCTATATAACACCCATTTCAGAAAAAGCTTTAGAAAACATCCATTTGACGCGAATGCTGTGGAGGATGAGCTTACTTCGAATTGTCCTTGGCTGCCTGCAATGGAGATAGTAGTATTATTTCCCATCACCTGAGCGCATACCATGGTCATTGCTTCGCATTGCGTGGGATTGACTTTGCCCGGCATGATGGACGAGCCAGGTTCATTCTCTGGCAACGATAATTCACCGAGTCCACAACGGGGACCCGAACCGAGCCAGCGGATATCGTTGGCAATCTTCATTAAAGAGACAGCCACAGTATTGAGAGCACCGGAACATTCAACAATCGCGTCATTGCTGGCCAACGCTTCAAACTACACATGATTTGCGGTGAATATCCTTCAAGACAACCCACAAAAAGAAAAAAAGTCCAGTAACGACTTTTTGCCGTCGCTTATGCTGTAACGACTTTTTGGCATCGCTTTTTATGAGTCACGCACCTTGTTAGGAGCCGTTTCAAACGAATAGCCGGTCAATTGAGACACCGTCTCCGCAATCTTCACGTCAAAACCTTTTCGCGTATTCAAACCTGTGCCTACGGCTGTACCACCTTGAGCCAGACGGGACAGACGAGGAAGGGTGGCCTTGATACGCTCAATGCCATACGTAAGTTGTTGGACATAGCCCGAGAACTCCTGACCCAGGGTAAGCGGAGTGGCGTCCTGCAGGTGAGTTCGTCCAATTTTGATAATATCCGAAAATTCTTTCGATTTGGCATCCAATGCGTCACGCAAGGCTGTCAATGCGGGAACCAACTGATCATTGATTTCACACACAGCAGCGATATGCATTGCCGTTGGAAATCTAACCGATCCATCATTAGCACCCCCGGTAAACTATCCGGTGAATCGACTCGTTCCGAAGATCACTCACGTATCATTGGATGACTGGCTCATATTTACATGGTCGTTGGGATGCACAGGCGTTTTACTTCCAAGTTCGCCACCCAATAATTCAATGGCACGGTTGGAAAGAACCTAACAGCCCATTTTCACTGTGTCAATATCATGGCACGGTAAAGCCGTAAATCGTTTATCTTCAATGATTTCTTGCCTCGTTCACATTCATGCTATCCGTTAAAAAAAAAAAAAACAAATTGTTCAGTTTCTTTTGGAGTCGATATGCCAGGAGCTTTTGAATTTGGATAGCTTACTGAGTTTGGGTACCCGATCCCGTTTGCCAAACCACCAGTGGGAAGTGGTCCATGAGTTTGCCGTCAATGACCTCGTCTGCGGCCTGAACAATAGCATCGGCCAACTTTTTATCGAGGCCATAACCTACATTGATCAGAGCCGCTGCCTTTTTTAAGATACCAAAAGCCCTGATCAATGCTGGGGGCATTCTTTCGCTCGAGCCGCCAATCTCAAAATTTTGCAGGGATCTTGAACATACAATGATGCTGCATAAATATACCGCTTTGCCTCACTTTTGATTTTCGTCCGTTACAAGGACAACTAAATTACCGCTGGGTCTGTGCGCCCCAGTAGACGTTGGAAGGCACTTTAAGCTCGCCAAAGGTATCGCGTTCGGTTCGAAAGGAGTTGCTGGATGCCATCTTGTTTAGGAAAGTGAAAGAAAAAAAAAAGGCTCAAAATAAAGAGAGAAAAAAGGCACTAAAATTTGCCAATCCGATGTGACTTGCAGTGGTAACACCGCTTTTTATTTTTGGCAATGGGATGCTTTTTTCTTTGTTTGTTGCAATGTGCAAGTCAATAGTGTTTATTGTCAGTTGATATACTGATTGTGCTTTTTATGCCACTCTTCGAGAGAAACGTCGGGATACTCTTGAAAAGTATGCTTGGATGGCGGGACAATGGCCCAGTTTGCTTTGGACTTGTCATTCAGCATAATGCAATAGACATCTTCATGCGACAATTCCGGTAAAGGCGTGTCAATGGCACATGCCATGGGGTACACAAAATCCGAATAAGATTCATTGTATGCATACAGATGACTGCCGCATTCGCTGCAAAAATAGCGAATATTGCCACTGCCATGAAGGGTTAATGATATACAGCCGTCATGTTTGGCCAAAAAAAATCACAGGCAACAGCTGGGACTTACCAAAGTTCATTCGTTTCTTTATCACGAAGGGCTCGGTACTCTCTATCATTCTGATTAAGGAGAAGAAAAATATCGTGTGAAAGTGATACAACATACCGAACATGCTCTCGACCGTTCACCTTTAATGTTTTATGCTGTGTATCCCACCGAGTTAGTCAGTATCGATCCAACTCGCGCGTCGAGCAACTTTTTTTCCTACCTGTCCCATGATGTTAATTGCATAACCGCCACCACCTTGACATTTACGGCAAATAGAACTGAACAAGTCCATTTTCAGAGAATCATTCACGACCCTTTGGCGTACAATGAACACTGATCCAGATCGCTTACCAGTAACAACGCATAAACTAAACAGCGGAATGTTAACTTTTTTATTGTTTTTCGACAAACTTTAAACCCTCCCAAAAAAAAAAAAACATTTACCGGTGCAGGTGTATGAGAGGTAACGCTAAAGGAAACTTTTCCACAGTGACAAGAACCTTGTAATTCCATATTGACAGCAGAGAGCAATGCGAAATGCTTGTCAGGTCTCAAACGAAACTTTTTTTATATATTTCTTTTCAATTCTCCGCGGCCCGATGGACGCTGGGCAATCAACTTGACGTCACCTGTAAACTCCGTTACGCCACGCGTTGATTGGCCAATTAACTGTGACCGTGTCTCTTAAATTTTCGATTTTTGTGTAAATCCCAAATAAGGCCCCGGAGGCCGGGAACCCAGGTGAGGGTTCTTTTGAACCGTTTCCGATTCAAGGATGTTGTATTGCGATTACAGTTCATAACAGTGGGCTTTTTTTTCTTCACTTTTCACACTATTCATTGTTGCCGTTTTCTGCTTCTCAATGGCGCGATCTCCCTATGAAGTGCTTGGAGTGGGACGATTCGCGAGTCAAAAGGAAATCCGACTGAAATACTTGGACCTTTGTAAAAAGCATCATCCCGATGTTGCCAAAACTTCCGAAACGGACTTCCGAGAAATCACAACGGCTTATCAGCAACTGACACAAAAAGGCCACCCTGTCTCCTTATCTAATACCACCAGCGTTCATCGGCCTCAAGCTACCATGGCCAATGCCAGGTTATGGACCAATCGATCACTGATAGCCGGGTTCGGTCTCGCTGCTACCATTGTCGCCTATATCTTGTATGAACCTTCCCATCCTGAATTCGACCGTCCTCTCCCTCACCATCATACTGCACGTTCTGCTGAAAACTTTCGGCAATGGCGCAAGCAATAGAAAGAAAGAATTCTCGAGTCACGCGCCGCGCCATCTGGTGTGCTTACTTTTTTCTGCTATGGTTGGATGGATTCCAAATAGACAATCACTGTTCTTTTTCATTTTTTTTTCCCCATTTCGCCCTAAGAGTTTACCTTCTCGTCCCTTGTGTTGCATCCTTTTTTTTTATTTTTTTTCGTTGCAACTTATTGTATAAATAATATTTGGTCTATCAATCAGTGTTGACACTTTATTGACGTTCTCTTTCTTTTCACTCTTGTTATTTTCTTTTACTTCTTCTTCCGTGATAATTTCTCTATTCTATGCCAACCATTCTATCTCCTTTACCTATGAATTTGTTGTCGACAGGCACCGGTAAGTCTTCGTACCGAGATATCATCAAGCAACTGGCTGCCCAGTCGCCCCAACCCTACGGTGTCATTCCTCCTTTGCATAAATCTCGGAGAAAGAAAAAGCCCTCATCTCAGCATGAGTCCATGACGGATTCCACTTTGGTTCAGCGTCAGCGACTCTTGCGACGCATGTCTCATGTGGAAGATTGGGTGGTGGTAGATAGTAAAGAAAGTCTTCCCGATGAAGAGGAATTGGTACATAGTTTTTCTATTTCCGACAATCAAAAGAGTGCAACAGGAAACAAGGGCGAGCTCACTCATTATCCATCATCGATTGGCCTTTTTATTTCTGGTCATTTTAGGTCCATGAGTCGCTTTTTGGAAACTTTTTGTCAGCCGACGTGTTTACGCAGGTGTTACCGTTGCATATGCCACCACCTTCTTTGAGTGATCCCACCGCTTACTCCGAACCTAAAGAATTGCTATTGTCTTCGTCCAATGATCATTATCTTGCAACAGATCCATATGCTGTGAGTCCAAGGAAAAGGCATCCATTCGATGGGATTAAAACGCCGTCTACCGGTTTACAGGTGAGTCCGCACTGGACAATACCGGGGGTCCAAAAACTGTCAAGGCAGTATCACCGACGAACAAAGCATGGCATGAAAGACGAGGATCGCAAACGAAAGCGGACCATTGCATCCAAGTCGCAAACGCCATCCACATCCACCACGGCTTCGTCGGTGCTTTCATCATCTCCCCCTCGGATGTCGGATATTCATCAAATGCGATGGTTACAGACCATTGCCCACCTTAAGCGTTCCTTGGATCAGGTGAAATCTTCTCCTGCCAAGCGCACTCTGATTCCTATGCCGCCTCCTCCACCCAAGCGTCCCATGTCTCGACACCGACGATCCGAAGCCACGACTCAACCACGGTTCGATCCGGAAACCAATACCTATACCCGTGATACTCGGTCGAACCCTGATCATCTGAGAATGATATCAGCTGAACTGAACATGATGCGTTCACGCAAACTCTTGAGTCCTCTAAAGCCACGTGGATTTCTTCCAAGGCGCAAGGATCCATTCATACGCGGTACGAATCGTCGAGAATCCTGTTTGCGCAAAGAACTGTGACTTTAATTCATTGAATGTCGCTGCTTGTAATTTTTTTTTTTTTTTTTTTTGACTCTTTCCCTTTTCCAAATTTCCCTTCCGAAAAAAAAAGCCCCTCTCTCTTTTTTCTTCTCTCTCACTTACTCTCGCTTTTCGTTTGACCTTTGTTTTTTTTTTCTTCGCAACCAGCTCTCTCCTTTTACGAAAACGCCAAAGAATTCCGCCACGCGGCCATCACGAATTTTCATTATCAGAGTTTAAAATAAAAATACGATGCCTCCCCACGCGGGCGCGAGACGCACTCAGAAATATACTTCTTCTGGAAATGACTTTAAAACCCTGAAGCATCTTTACCGCGATCATTTGGCCACATTACGGGAATTGTTCCCCGACTGGAGTCAGGAAGACTTGGTATTCGTCATGCACGAAGCCAACGGTGATCTCGACCTCACCATTGGCCGCATCTCTGAAGGTAAAGCCCTTCCGCCTTCATTTGCTTATCCTAGTGATACCTTTATTTTGACATGGCAACTGACACCTGGGGTACTTTTTAAAAAAAAATATTTTAGGTCATGCAAGTCAATGGGGTCAAGTCAAGTCAAAGAAACCCAAAGCAGTCGCGTCACAACAACAACAACAACCACAGCAACCTATAAAGCAGGCCTTTACACACAGCGGTAAAAAGTCTTTTCCTCGTTCAAGTGGTATGTTACTAGTTACAAACTTTTCTTTTTCTTGTCGAATCACTTATCTTAACACCATTCGTAGACAGCATTCGTGGTGGCAAGACAAGGGGTACTGGTCGATCAAGTAAGCGTCGTGGTTTTTTTTTTTTCGTACAGATGAATTCATGTCAACGGGATTGACTAATGACGGGTATGGTGAATTAGATAGAGGAGGTCGTTTCGGTGACAGAGCCAATCGTACACAGCCGAGTCCCGCCGAACCCGAGCCTGAAAAGAAACCAGAAGAAGTAAAGCCGTCGTGGGCTAGTATACTCAAAGGCCCACCGAAACCAGAACCCGTCCCTGCACCTGAACCTGAAATTGAAGCCGCTCCTGCGACAGCAACATCCACAGAAAATGAAAAACCAAAGGTGACCGATGATGACGTCGCGGCCACATCGACGGAGCCATCTTTATCCAATGCAACGCCAAAACAACCCAGTGAATCCAATGACACAACAGAAGCGACACCCATGCAGAACAATGTAGAAAATCACGACGAGGGAGAGAAAGGAGATGAAGAGGAGACACCGAGGGATTCACCTACAGCTGACAGTGAATCCAAGGCTCAAACTGAAGATAAACCATTGAAGGACGATAAGGAAGTGGAGAAAGTGACCGATGAGAATGTGGAGTCACTCCAAGTGGAGAATGCGGCCATGGTGGTGGAGGAGACTTTGACCACCGTCAAGAAACCGGTAGTGAGACGATTGAAGCAAAGTGAACCGGTCGTACTACGTGTTAATCAAACCACCGAATTGGGAACAGTCAGTATGCAATTTGGCAGTCTTCATCTTGCCAATGGTGAGGAAACAGAACCGGACAAATCGATTCATGAAGATATACCAGAGTCGGAGAGTGTGGCCGATTCCGCTGTGGCGCTGGTATCGACACCAGCCTCAGTCCCTGCTTCTACCCCAGCCCCCGCGCCCGCCGCCGCTGAGTCCATGTCATCCTCAGGTGGCGAATCCATGCCTGTCTCTAACCAACAACAACAACAACAGCAAGATTCGTTGAATGCACCTGCAGCCGGTATGGCGGGCTATTCGCGAACTCCCGAAGATCATTCCTCATTGGCGGGTTATCAATCACAACCACAGGCATCGCTTCCTCAGGAACCGCCACAATTACAACAGCCGCAACCTTATCTTCCTCCTCATCAACAACAGCAACCACCTCAGACACAACAAGCTCAACCACAACCACCTTCGGCCATGGATCCCGTGGTCAATCATTACGCGCCTTACATGGCCAACAACCTTCCCAATACAGCCACTCTTTCCAATTTTGCAATGAATCCTGCCATGATCTCCTTACCCGAGTATGCCTTGTATTCATCCGGTGCTCAACGAGCAGCGGCTATGGTAAGCATAAAAAAAGGGAATTCATGAGGTGGAAGGGGAAGGGACATGGAGAAAAAAAGCAATCGCATTTTTTTTTTTTGGAGTTACAAGGTCTGGAAATACGGATGGAATGGAAGGAAACTCAAAAAGATGACAAAAATAGGGTTATTGTGATCCATCTATATACGGACAATCCCCGTCGCTGGCGGCTGCAACCATGTATACGCGTGACAAATTTAATTCTCAAGAACCGATGCCGGTCTCTTCGGGGGCGGTGGGCATGGTTCCGAATACACAGAATACGGCTCCGATGATGCAACAACAACAGCAACAGCAATCAGGATACGCTGGTATGCCTTACTATTCCTACTACTACATGCCGACGAACCAGTATCCCAACTATCAGCAATCGTATCAACCCACGTATGTGGGAAAGAATATGTATTCGATGTATGGTAAACCCGGCAATTCGCCCTATCATGATTACACTTCGCCGAGCTACGAGGATATGTTGCACCATCAGCAGGCCCATGGCATGATGCCATATGATAAACCGTATCCACACATGCCACAACAGTACATGCCTCCTCAGCCAATGCAGTTAAAAAATGATATGATGAATGGTTACGATAAATCATCGTCCCAGCAGCAACAACCCAATGTCCAGCAGCAACAGCAGCAACAGCAGCAGCCCATGGCCCCGATGTATCATCAACAGTTGCAACAACAACAGCAACAATTTTTGTATCCACATCAACAGCAGCAATTAGCACCCGCACAACAGCAACAGCAGCAACAGCAGCAACAGCAGCAACAGCAGCCACATCATCACCAACAAGCTCAGCAGCAGTATCCTTTCCAACAACCACAACCAACGCTTCACCATTCTGCTGCTGGCCAACCCATGGCTCACGCTACTTACCCGTCTCGTCAGCAACCTTATTGGCATCAAGCATAATCACTTTTTTTTTTTCCTTTTTATTTTCACTGTTTAAACTGAATTCTTTATTGTGTCTCTTTTTTTTTTTTTTGTCTTCTTTGCCCCATTTTTCTGTAGTCCTTTTTTGTTTGTGTTTTTTCCCCTCCTGAATAGTAGTGTGTTGCAATCATCATCAAAGAAAAAAATAAACCCAAATTCCCAAAAGTGTAAAAAAAAAAAAAAAAAAAGAAATAGACGGTTTCCATAAATAACCTTCCAATTTCGTCTCCTATTGGGAAACAGTGACATGAACAAGCAAATTTTTTGAACTGCCTTTGTCCTTTTGTTCCTTTCCATCTTATGCATTTTATTGACTCGAAAGGATTGTGGAGTGCTTTAGCCGTTGCGCTGCTGGCCAGCTTAACGCAAGCGCTCGGCATCTCCTTGCAACGACGTTCTCATCTGGAAGCTCGTACCGATGCCCTGTTTCGTCGGCCTTTATGGGTGTCTGGTTTTCTGATTTATACCTTGTCGACCATTGTCGGCTCCACCATCACCATCGGCTATCTTCCCATCGTTATTCTGGCTCCTATAGGAGCTATCGGTCTTGTGTTCAATGCTATTTTCGCTCGTTTGGTGTTGGGCGACCCTTTTACCGCCAGAACGGTGCTAGGTAACCTATTTCCGGCTTTTTTTTTCTGTGCAAAAAAAAGTTTTGGTTGACTTGCAAAACGGTAATGATGTTTTCGTTTCTGCATAACTAATGGCGAGAGCAATGATAGGTACCTCCTTGATTGTGGTGGGAGCGGTTCTTGTTGGTGGTTTCGGCGTGGTTCCGGAACCTAAACATTCTCTGCAAGACCTTATCAAGCTGTACAAGCGACCTGCTTTCATTGCTTACTTTGCCGTTATCGAGACGTTCACGTGCCTAGGTCTTTTGGTAACGCATGTGCTGGAGTATGGCATGAACAAGAAGAAACCCCATCCCCATGGCCTGTGGAGTCATCCAGATCTAAAAATGTGGTTGGGCATCAGTTACGGTATGCTTGGTGCGAATATCAGTAGCCAAGCGATGCTGTTTGCCAAAAGCGGATTAGAGTTACTGACGCTCACGATCTTCCAGCATGAGAATCAGTTTGTGTATCCTTTGACTTGGGCTATCGTGTTTGCTCTGATTTTTACAGCAATTCTTCAGGTGAGTGGCTATCAAAAGGAAGGGGTGGTTTCCATTTGGATAGAGTTTTAAACAATGAGGGATTCCCTGTTTAGCTTCATTATCTGAATCGTGGCGTGCAACTCTGTGATACCATTATTCTCGTTCCGCTCAATTTTTGCTCTTTCAACGTGTCTTGTCTGTTCAATGGATTGATGTATTACAACCAATGGGACCAGTTGTTTTGGTGGCAAGTCGTGGCCGTTCTCTCTGGGATTGTCATCCTTGTCTACGGTGTACTGGTCATCTTTTTCCAACCATCGACGACCCGTCTGAAAGACGTCGATCCCGATCACAACATCAAGGGACAGCAGAAAAATATACCAAGCGAACGTACACCCCTCTTGGCATCTGCCTAACATGCACAAGATCTCTCTCTCTTTATCACCATTTTTATACTCGTACGATCTAAATGTATATCCCTTTTGTTATCTGTTTTTCCACTTTTCTCAAGCACATGGAAAAATCCTATCTAGGTTTCATCGCTGATCATTCATTTGCTCTGTTTTCTCATTCCTTCTTTTGTTTGCATTTTCTTTTTATCTCACATGCTTTCTGTTCATTGCATGTGGTATTTACCCTTTTCTCTGTAAATAAACAATTTAATTTATATTAAAAGCATTCATTGGATCCAAATTGACACGTCCTATTTCACGAACGACGACGGTTCATTTGATTTTTCAAATCCATTAATGGTTTGCGAGGAGCCACACGTTGAGTTTCAGACGCTTGTTTCTTCAATGGCGGTTCAACTGTCGTGTAGTCATCCTCATTCTCGTCCGTTCGTTTTCTTCGTGCTCCGTGAGGTTTCATGCTCGAAACACCCCATGAGGGACGTTGGTCTTTCTCGTTTGCGTCGAATGATGGTGAAAATTTTTGACGCCATGATCCCGCTGGCCGCTGGCCTGTGTTTCCTTCTTCAGAACCCACATGGTCATCGAACCGAATATATTTATTGAAATAAGTTTTATCGCGAATCTCGCCACGATCAATACGGTCGTTGTACATGTCCTCGTCTTCCTCATCATATTCGCTGTGAGTGTTGTCATCATCATTATCGGGCTCATCAAGGGACCAGGAGCGTTCCGGTAAATACGATTCCAGAATGGACCCGGATGGAGATGATTCAATGGTCATCGAGGAACTCGTGGATTTCGGAGTTTCAGATCCATCTTCATGGGCAAAGTTCATGATATAAAAAAGACTGTGCAGAGATAAAAGACGAGAAGAAAAGAGACAGAAGAAAATTAAATGGTTTGAACAAAGGATGACGTTGATTTATACAATGCGGTCAATTTTTGTGGCAGAGGGGTGATGGAAAATATGTAAAATGAATTTTTTTCTTTCTTTTTTTTTTGCGCGCACATCATGCATTTTGATTTTTATGACGGTCGTTGTGTAATCTCGGAGCATTGGCCTCCAGCCAACGCTGGGCCAAGTCAAGGTCCTCGTTCTCTGTTTCCAACGCTTTGATGCACCAATCGATCCCGAACCGATTCGCGTTATTGTCTACCAAAATATCGGCCAAGAAGTGCTTGCGAGAAGTGGCTTCGTCCACACAGAAATATAGCTCCGGCTTTGGATGAACCGACGTGAGCTCACGTTGTAAGGATTGAATCATGGGTATCAGCATACTTGCAGCGGTGGTCGCATCTTTGGGATCCTTTGTAGCGGTAGCGCAAAACTACAAAAGGAACAAGCCGACGATCAGTTACATCCTTCTTAAAAAAAACAGAAAGAAATGCTTGGACCCGCAGGACCTACCTTGTTACCACACCATGACTTTTCGCAACCCACCGTGAGTTGAGAATGCAGTTTACGAGCCACGCGTTGAATTAATTTCATGTTTTTCGGATCGTCTTCGCTCACCCAAAACGGGCCGAAACAGTATTGACACAAGCGTAACCGGTTATTAGCTCTTGGACGTGTACAATTCTTATTGCTGCATAATGGAGGAAGCTTCTGATTCTGCCGATGTACTTCATGGATCTTGGCATGCACTTGTATATCTTTGATAGGTATCTGACGTTGACATTTCTGGCAAGTAATGGTTCGTGACCCACAGTAACTTTCATGGGAATGCAACCCTAGCAGCCGATCACGAGCGTCAGCCGATGACACCCCTTGAGGTACGAGATTCTGTAAACCCCAGTTAGCCTTCCGTAACATACCGACTCACTCGAAGTACTTACATGGCAGTAGCGACAGGTGATTAAACGTTCGGGGCAGCTCGTTCGACGATGTGCAGCGAGCTTTTCATACGAATCGGTTGTGCAATGAGAGCATGAACACACTTTTTCAGCGTGATAGTAAGCCATATGTTTGGGTTCGTCTTCGATTTGTCCGACTTTACTGCACAGCGGGCAATGCCAATGGTGTCGTGCTTCATCGCTATCCCTTTTAAAGACTCGACCACACCCTTGGGAACAAACAATATTATTACGCAAGCAGAACCCTTCGTGAAGCATCAGTGTGCGTTCGGGTAGCCATGCTTTACAATGGTGACACTGCACAAACCCTTCTTGCGGCGCGGTTTCTGAAGGCTGATCGGTTTGAAGCTGTGGTTGCTGATCATCGTTCGGTGTAGACAGGCACTCCCATGTGAACACGCTATCCGTATACCCATGAAAGGTGATGTATACGGAAGACGCATTTGATCCCATCCCTTTATCTTGCAATGAAATATAACGTTCTGAATCCGATGATAAATCGCTCCACAAATGGTTCTCTAGCGTCGGATTCGGCCTGTCGCTCAAAAGCACATCTATTTGATACGTAAGCATACTGTACGTTGTCCACTGCTATTGCATTTATTTTTCTGCACTTACCGAGGTCACCGGATTCCACCACCACTCGGATTGCTGCGCCTTGCTTCAGTTGCCAATGCTTGGACTCTCCTTGGGATACCGCAACCGAAACGATGGGTTGATCCACAGAAGCTACCGAGACTTCACTTTGAGAAAAGAAGTTATTTTCATCGGTACTGAGTTCCTTTGGTAATGGTTCAAGATCTACTTCGAGATCGGTGTCAGTAATGCAAACGGCGGCTTCGGGCTTGAGTTCCAGCACGGTGAATCGGTACAACTGCGATCCGTACCGGCAGATCAATGTCTGACCCGTGGTTAACGTATTATAGTGGCTACGCAGATGGGCTTCGAGAGCGGCTCGGTAATCCACAATGTCGGTATAGTTACTGGACAATGGCCGTAATCGCACCCACGTGCCTTTGGGTAAATCTCGAGCTTTGATCATGATGCGATCATTCGCTTTAAGGTCGAGCGCATTCATCATCCAAGCCGGTAATTGCACAATGTCCGCATCATTGCCAGAGAATTCTTTGACGCCACCGTGAAGCATAGCACCGGTATGTGGATGGCGAAGTTCAAATGTGAGTGGGGAAGGCAGACTTCCGCCCGGGGCTGCTTGCAACAACTGCTCGAGCGATTGAGACGGTAGAATGATCTTGTCACCTTCCTCCAAATGGCTAGGTGAAGGTTGGACGTGGAAGACCTTGGTCCAAGTAATCATGGTATATAAGACAAAGCTGGGTTGATTAAGACAAAACGATTCGTAGCATACGTCAGGTAATTGCTTTGTCATGCGGCGGCGATGCTACGGCAATCACGTGACGCATTCGTCAGCCAATGTCCTTTTTGGGGGATTTGCAGCAGGCTTGAATCGCAAGCAGCCTCGAAGTTTTTGAGATACGATTTGACAATAGTGATGACATATCCCACAGGAAACATGAGTAAAGAAAAGAAAGTCTACCGTCTCTAAAGTACATATTTTAGCACAACTTCCTCAGAAAACTACTCTTTTTATCTATAAATGGGAGCCATTTGACGTCTCGCAAACAGATGACCATTCATATGTATGTATCCTCGTTTCCGATTATCCATTTAATGCAGAAAAATGGAGGGTTTGAAGCAAAGAGTATTCCAAGAGTGGAAAGGATGTCAAAAGCCAGAAGTCGCATGTTAAATACATGTAATTGTCTAGCTGATTGTTATCGTGCACCATTTGAACGTGGAACCTGATAAAATTGGTCGACTATCCATTTTCGCGATTAGTCGCTTATCACTTTCTACCCGCAATCTTTCGCTTTTAATCACTTGCTAATGAGAAAATTGAGCAGAAGAGAGGAGAAATCCCCATTATTCGCTCTGTTTGAAGAATGGCCAATCATTTCGACTAACGCGAGATCAGGCCAAAAAACAGATTCTTGCCTCAGGCCACCTTGCCTGGTTTCCGCGGGCAAGGACAACGCTACGCTTGTAGGTCGGTCCCGTTTCATCAACTGTTGGCATACTAACAATCGCTACTCCATTCACAATGGACCCCATATTTCATGCCCTATAGCAAAAGAATCAAAGAATGTTCACCTCTTGCAACTAGGCCTGCCATTGTAACCCTATCTTTTTTCGATCTGCTATCGTATTTTTGGAAACTAAAGGTGACTGGCTCGAGTCAGGGTCAACAGTTTGTCAGGGAAACGAAACGCTTGATGTTGATGAGAACCCTGGTAGATTAAAGATTACCGGAAGTATCTTGATCGGAAATTCGAGTGTCCAAGTAAGTCTCATTTCGATAAGGGGGCGATCAACACACAAGTTAGCTGTCAACGTGCGCTGGCAGCAAGTGAATAGACCTGGCAGCCGATCTGACACCTTTGACAGTTTTTTTCAATCTACAGCCCCATTGATGCTTGATAGAGACCTATCGTGAGTGAGCTTTGCCAGTGATGATATTATCTCGGTTTTATGCCAACGAACAATTGCTGGGAACTTTAACTATACCCATGCCGATAGGAACGCTTACTGAGAGATACATCCATTAGTTCAAAGGAAAGACCACATTAAATCTGATGAATTCTTCGTGCATGCCGTCCCAAGCATTGGCACTAATATCATGTGTTATATGCTTTACGATGATTCTTTATTTCAGACGATGGGCCTCTGTCATCTTTTGGGCTGAGCCATCATTGAGACAAGGTAGACGTTTTTCTGACTTTTAAAAAGGCATGATATTGGGTGAGTGATGGAACTAGAGTCGGGCACTTGGAAAATGCACCTCGACATAACCATGCTTCATCAAACCCACCAACGGTTCCCCTGGCCATCAACGTTTCAATGATTGCAATCCGCGGTATGCAGTTTGGGGTATTTTGGAAACGAGACGTATTTTTTTTTGCTGTGGACATGTATATTTTTGCCTTGGCTGTCATGTTTTCCATACGGCGGAGAATCATTTTGCCAAGGACCACTGCATTTGATCGTCCAATGAAATGCATTGAATTAATCGTATGGCATGAAAAAGAAAAACAGGTTGAATCAGATGGAAAAAAATACCTTCTTGGATCCTGCAGAATAAACCTACATGCATATGGATCGAAAGATAAGAACAGATGGTAGGTGAAACCCATTCCTTTTGATATTTCTTGGGGGCACCTCTTTTCTGACACCATGATGCTGGGTATTACCAAGAAATCACCCTTGGTGCGTTTAACTCGAGGTCGTGAAACTGCAAGGTGCTAACCAATAGGTTCATACACGATAACCCTAGTGAAGCACGTGAAAAAATAAAAAAGAATCAAATAGTTATTCACGCATCTTAAGGACCGGATCAAGGAATCAACCGATGATTGAAAAAACGTGTGGATCCAATGATGTCGGTACCGTGATATTGGGCTACTATTTACATTCGGGTCCCGTGCCGAAATGGGGGGCGATCCATTTATGGTCTGAGAACCATTGAGCAGTGAATGAATAACAATTGTTCTCATTGGTGATGGATTCCGATTTCGTGTCCCACGGCCAGTCGGCCATTGTTGTCTAATCATGAAAAGGATAATATATTAATGACGGTAACGAAATTTCTATATGGGAACTGCAGGCTTGAAGATGATGATCCAAGCTGTCGGTTTTTTTTTTTTTTTTTTTTTTTTTTTTTTGGTTTTCCATTGTATACACTGAACACGCAACAAGTGGGTGTGGAATTGTTTTGAGAAACTTTGATCCTTATTGGTCTCACAATTTCGTATCATTGGCACATCCTGATATTGCTTGTCGTATTTTAGTCCGATTGGGGAGGGGGGAGGTTTGCCTTTTATGGAAGGAACTATGGATGTGGTTGGTTCATTTTCATCCACTGGGCTTCCAGATGAAGCTCAGCGGGATATCAATCTGCACAAGGTCCAGACTTCAATGCAAGCAAAAGGAAAAAAAAAAAAAAAAAAAAAGTGGAAAAAAAGACATATATCTGTGCCTTCTCCCCTACTTTTTTTTTCCATCTTCTTGTCTTTTTTTACTTCTCTTCCTTTCGGCTCGTCTTGTACTCGACAAACTGGATTACTTTAGCTATCAACATCAAAGGCGACGTTCTAGTGGCAATCCAACCGTCTTACCTCCATCACCTTTCTCCGACGGTGAAGGTGCCGAACCTATTCAACTTCCTGCCGTCTCACTCCCATCACCTCCTGTCGTCTCACCTGCGCCCTTTCTTTCCACATCATGGCCATCGTACCTTGATCGCAAATGTCTGTCCAAAAACAATTCACCTCAACGATTGAACATCATGTTGGTTGACGACAATCCCATCAATCTTCAAATATTATCGCGCGCCCTGCGAGTGCACCTACCTGACTTGATAAATCACATGGAATTGGTGGACAGTGGTATCAAGGCACTGAATATTCTTCGCGAACGCGCATTTGATCTGATCCTCATGGATATCGATATGCCAATCATGAACGGAATAGAGACAGTACGCTGTATCCGAAATCCTTGCAGCAGCTCGGTCCTTCCGTGTAATCGAATCATTCCCATCATCGCAGTGACTACCAATGATTCGCTCAAACAACGCCAAACGTACGCGGGCATCGGCATGGTAATTTGAAATAGAAAGAAAAGAAAAAACAGAAAGTTTAACCGACCAATTTCCATTGGACTAACTTTTTATTTTTTCCCCTTTTGGTGCATTCGTTATTTAGAATGGCTGCATTAGCAAACCTTTCACACCGGCCTTGCTGATACGAACACTGTCCAAGATTCTTTGTTTCTAGTTAAAAAAAAAAACGCCAATATCACTAGCATTGGATCCCTTGGGTGTGGGCTCCCCCCTTGGATAATCTCTTTTGTTTTTCCTTCCTTCCTTCCTTTTTTTTTCCCTTTCCTTGCATATTGTACATACTGCATCTTTTCACACACTTTTTTTTTATTATTTCACCCCCATCTTACCAGCATACTCATACCTAGTTTATACGTATACAAAAAGAAATAATTCAATCCATCCTTTATAATTACCAGAGACAATGGAGGATATATCTTTTGTATGATTCCATCTTGGACCTTTTTTTTTTCTTTTTGGGTTTTTTGATTTTTTTTTTTCGGCCGGTTCCTGGCTAAAACATTGGGAACCGTGAAAAAAGAACCGCAGCGACAAATTTTCCATGGACAGAGTCGCGACAAATCAACCCCGTGATTCGTCCACTGTCTCACGTGTCAAGATGTTGATTGGCTGAAAGTCGATTGACAGCCTACTTGGAATTGTAAAACATGAGCTGATGTTAAGGCCAACTTCTTTTTCGCTGATTGAAATGCAGCGGGTATGTGCGGAAAAAGGAGAAGCCCAACCTCGGACAAGTTCCCCGTGCTGTTTATTTGTCAATGTTTGTCGGGGTCGAATGAACTTTGACCAAGTTGGCTATAAACAAACAAATAACTTTCTGGTTCGGATTCACTTTTTTCATCATACGCTTTTTGTGTCACTTTTTCATCGCCTGCGATTGACTTGGCGAATGAGGTGATTATTTTCACTCATTTTCAGACTCCCGTGCCGGGGTTTTCCATTCCTTTTTTCTTTTTTGTATAAAAAGGTAGTCCACCAAAAACTCACCCCAGGAACCTTTGTTTTATTACCTGTCTTTTTCATCCCCCACTCTCTATTTCATTATCAATCATCATGGAACATATTGATTCTGCCAAGTTGTATGCCGATGGTGGCTACCGCTTTGAATACGTTGCCAAGTTTATGGATTTCGGTATGTCATCTGTGTTATTTTTTTTTTTTTTTTTTTTTTTTGTTGGTGCAATGCATTGCCAATGTAAACAAAAGGATCAATATATATGCTGACTGCATCCACCACTCTCCTTTTTTTTCTTAATTTGCAGGTGAGGCTGATATCAACGCTATCAAGTCCGTTGCCGAAAAGGTCCGTCCTCTTATTCCTGTCGTGGTCGATGCTGTGTACAACAAGTTGTTCCAGTACGATGTGACCAAGAAGCATTTCCTTCCCAAGAATGAAGGTTTCGAAGGTGAGGTCGCCACTTCGTTGGAAGACTTGACCTTGGAACATCCTCAGATCAAATTCCGTAAGGATTTCCTGTCAAAATATTTGAACAAGCTTTTGGATGGCCCCTATGATGATCGCTTCCTTCGTTACCTTGACTGGGTCGCCAAGATCCACACCGATACTCCTACCAAGAAATCCAAGATCAATGTCGATTATATCCACATCAATGCACTGATGGGCTTTGTCGAAACCACATTGGTCGGTGGTTTGTTGTCTCTCAACTTGGATCGTGAAACCGAAGGTGCCGCTTTGGGTGCTTTCAACAAGCTTCTCTGGATCCAAAACGATTACTTTGCCAAATACTACTGCAATCCTGTCCTTGCTGCTCCCACCGCGGAGGCAAAGAAGTGCTGTGCCAAGCTCTGTGACAACCCTATCATCCCTGTAATTGTTGGTGCTTTGGCTGGTGGCTTGGGTGTTTGGTTCTCCATGCAACGCAAGTAAAACCCCTTCATCATTTGCCCATTTACTTTATTTTCTTTTTTTTCCCTGGGTCTCTCTTCTCTATTTTATTTCTGTAAATACGACTGTAATTGATAACTCAAAATTAACAATTAAAAATTTATTGTTTAACAATTTGAATGAAAAAAAAAAGGCGTGTATGTGGGCAGGGATGGAAACTTTCCTTTTCCTCCAAAATGACGTAAATAAAAATCTTTCCAGCCGGCCATGGATAAAAAAGCTCCTTATTACCCCATGTTGCACAATCGAGAAGTTTCCTTTTTTTTCTTTGTTTCTTTTTTTTTTTTGTCAGTCAGCTGGTATATAAACATATATTACGAAGTAAAGCAGAAAAGATGTTTGGATAGCATCTCTCTCCAAGGTTGTATAGTTTGATGTTTGTGGTTTTTCTTGAGGGGGTTTTTTAACCTTGAGGTTTTTGTTGAGTTGTATCATATACACGGATAATCTTGGTTTGATCGCTGTCGTTTTGTGAAAAGGCATAACCTCGATTACGCTTAAGACGCTGTATCCGTCGGACTTTGTTGACGGCTTGTCGGAATCGATCCATACGCGGTCGGTAATCGGGAAGATTGTATTTCTGGATTTCTTGAATAAAGTGGTACGGCAACGGTCGGTACATGCGTTTCGCACTGCAAATCAAAGATTCAATCAATCAGTCAGTCAGTCATCCTATTCAATAGTTTTCATCCCACACAAATGACTTACTATTTCCAGAAAAAGTCACGCAAATTGCAGACAAATGGCACAAGGATAATAAATAACCAGAAATTCAAATTGCCCCAAAGCATAGGTACAAGACCATAGTATTCAGGGAACACATTCACAGAAATAGCAGGCCCAATGTATGCCACTACCGGAAGATACAGGAACCATACTGCCATGGATCCTGGAATAGCAATCACTGTATACTTTGTCCAGATACTAACATTCCAAGGATTAGTTTCTTTCTTTTTCTTGGTGGGATTTTCTTTTCAAAGAAGGGAAAAAAAGAAGAATACTTACTCGGTGCTCAATGCGCACTTCCACAGAATACAGCCCAAGACAGCCGTGAAAACAGCCGAACCTGCCCACCATTGGCCACCCACAAGACCATTGCTGAAAACACCATCCGTTTTAAATGCAGCAACACCCAGGAAAAATAGCAACTACACACGAAAGCGGGGTTTGACTGCCGTTCATTTTTCTTTTTTTTTTTTTCATTCCACAGAGTACTTACCAGCGAATGGAAACAGGCATTGGCAAACCAACCCCAGAATCGTTTCTGATTAAAGAATTCGTTGTTTTGACCAAGCATGTACATTTGCGGATACTTGTCAAGCAGTCGCGCCGATACCAATTGATCAAAAATACCCATCACCAAAGGCGGCAAAAATGTGAAGATGACGTTAAAACACGACATGGTCCATGATTCGTACAACGTCGAGCCCGAAAAGCCGTTGTAAAAGGCATACTAAAACAGCGCGTGTACGTGAGTTGTGTATCCATCAAACCCTGTTTCTTTGCCCGTACTTACCCAAAATTGTGTAAGATACAAGGCCACGTTCTTGTAAAAGTAGAAAAAGATCATTTTACTGAGTCGCTGATAGGCCCATGCACCATGAACGAGCAAAAGTTTCTTGAGGAACCGGAATTGGGAAATGGCAAAATCGGCACTTCGAGCCGCCTGAAGACCTTCCACACCAGAAATACCCACTCCCACGTGCGCGGCTTGAATCATTGACACATCGTTGGCACCATCACCAATGGCCAAAAGGATCGATTTGTCGTACTTTTTCACAAGCTTGACCACCAACGCCTTTTGCAACGGAGACACACGACAGCACACCACGGCTTTGCACAGAACCGCCAGATCGAATAAAATCTTTTCAATATCCTTCTCCAGTGCAAACGTCAATGCCTTGCCATCAATCACCAAAGCAAGAGGCTAATAAAAAGGGTGCGCGTTAATTTTAGAAAACTTTTTTTTTTTTTGGCCTCAATTTTCTCCACTTACTTCCATGTCTTCACCGCGGTTCAACACATCGGTAATGTCGCGCAATTTTCTTTCAAGGAAATTCTTGGTCTCCCAATGACTTTCTTCGTTGCACACAATCAAACTCATTTCTTCGTTCAATAACTTGCAAGAGTAACCAATGTTGATGGCTGTTTCCTGACGATCACCCGTCAGCACCCACACTTTGATACCGGCTTCCTGCAATGTGTGAATCGTATCTGGCACACCGTCTTGAAGCTTATCCTCGATGGCAGTGGCTCCCAGTAAAAACAAGTCCTTTTCAATCATCTCAGCCGCTCGATCCAATTCATCCGATCGGTTCACCAGTGTCGTCGATGCCTTGTCGTAAATCTGAGACCAACGAGCATACTCTTCTTCAGGAATCTCACGCATCGCGATACACAAAGTACGTAAACCTTCCGAGGCATAATCTTCCAAATGAACCAGCGTCGATTCGACAAACGGGTTATTTTCTGCTAACCGTTCCAAAATCACTGTATCGGCGCCTTTGCAGTACAACTTGATCTTTCCATCAGGGCCACGAATGATCGCCGACATACGCTTGCGAGTGGAATTGAATTCGCATACATTCAGTACTTGGAACTCCATATCATGACCGCGAATACTGCAGGTAATGGAATTCGGTCGTCGCGTCTATACACATGAGAGAGATACAATGTTTAATAAAATCACCACAAACTTTTAATGCACACTGTCGAAAGAGTGACTTACGTGGAATGTGTAGCCAAGTTGGCTTGCTCCTTTGACAAGAGCTCCTTCATCGGGTGACGACGCTTGATACACGATATCCTCACTGTTCTCCTGTTTTTCGGGGATAACAGTGTGACAACAAGCAAGCAGGGTGAGAAATTCGTTGATAACGTTGGCAGTCGGGTGAGTTTTCAGATGCTCTTGCAGTTGAGCAAACGTGTATTGAAGGGACGGATCATCCACACCGTCGCGTGCTTGTTTATCCGAATCCACCTTGTCTGCATACGAGAGACCAGCGATCGACGATTGTCGAAACTGCATCTCGTTACACGTTAATGTACCCGTCTTGTCAGAGAACACGAATTTCACCTGTAACCGCGTCGAGTTATATTTCATCGGATTCCAAAAAAGAATAGCTCCATAATAATCACTGAAGCTTACCTGACCAAGTTCTTCGATCAAACTACTACTTCTTGCCACCGCAGGTGTATCGGTCTTGTCATAATACATGTCCAAATCCGCCTCAATCAAGTAAGACAGGACAAATTTCACAATTTCCATCGTGACCATTAAACTATTACGATGACGTTGAGGAACAACTGGTTTTGCCGTTGAATAATTGGAAAAGTAAAGTCTTACCTGATAGGGATGAAACTATTGAAAAGAATCAAAAACGTCAAGATATCATAACCAAATTCTTCCCCCCGACTTTGTTGGCCCAACGGAAGATAAGACACTTCGTCTCCTTTGTAAATCTAATAATCCAGGATCCCACCAAGCTGATCAGTATACCCGTAAATTCACCGTCAACTTTTTTTTCCCCACTTACCGTGAATACCAAACCACCAATGGCGCCGGCAATACTCATGGCTACAAGGATCGCGAAAAGATACAGGATATTGCGGTTGGTAATATGTGTCACATTTGAGATTTTGGATGGTTTTTTGCTGTCAATTCGACCCCATTAATAAACTGGCACGTTAAAGTTTGCTCAGCAAGTTCCCTTACCTTGAGTTGAGCATCAACTTGGTCTCGTGACCAGTGAATACAACGATACCGTAAATCCAGGATGTATTTCGAAGCTGGGCGCCACGTAGTAACAGCTGAGTGGGGTCCAGAGCGTAATCGCGCGCTTTGCCCATTTCATCCGCAGAAGACGTCGATAAAACGCCATCGTAGTTGTATAAACGATTGTTGGGTTGTTCCGATTTGATGACTCCTTGCAAACGGCTCACTTCAATAGGATTCAGAATCTGAGCCGTTTGTGGAAGCGCTTGCTTGATTTTCAAATTGACTTCACTGAATGCGGGCGGGGTTTGGAGGATGAGTGAAAAAAGATTGTATAACCTGGGCCACAAAGAAAAAAAAAATCTAAGCCTACTTACCCATCGAGGTTGCTTGTTTCAATATAGCATAAGCCTTCAGGTTCCGAACTGCTGACCAAAATAAGATCGGCCGGAAAGTTCTCGCCACCCTCGACACGTAAAATATCACCCACAGCCACATCACGCCAAGCTTTTTCAACAAATTGGGTTCCAACCAGCACTTTACATTTTTTCGCGTTGAGTTCGGCGTCAGATCGATGAACTCCCTGGAAAATGCCATCCATGAATGAGTAATTCATCATACTCGCTTGCAAAGAAAATGTACCATACAAGGCGCAAAACACATACCCAATCTTCTACAATTTCCTTGATAGCCGTGATGAACAGTACAATCACCAAAGGGACCAAGGTCGTCCAACGTGAAGTAGGCGAGATACCGGGAATTTGCTATTGTGCAAATGAACCTTATCAATACATAGGTCCCCCAAAGACAAAAAAAAAATAGTCGATGATGTTTTTGTTGATGAATGTCTTACCTGGATACCAGATACGAACAAGAAGAACAGATTGGCGTACTTTGAGAATTCTTCGTACAAAAACTTGGGAAGGAAAGTGATCGCGGTATATTTCGCTGTAAAAATCTTGTTGTGCAAGAATCGTTGCTGATCATTGAGATCTTGGTTATTTAAGTAGATGATACGTTCGCCACCTTCGCCGGCAGTACCGGAAGCGGTTCCAGGACGGCCCAACAGATTATTCACCGTGCCTTTAATGGTCTCCTTGAATCCTCGTCGTTTCCGGGTACGACTTGTCGGTGCCGCCGATATCCCGGCCGCTGAACGAAGCTGAATAGCACTACCAGCATCTGACGGTGTAGGCGTAGGATTGTACCGCGCACCAGCAATCGGGCCTTGATGCGAAAGAAGTTGCAAATCATCCTCGTCATCAAATGCGGTTGTATCATCGTAAATAGAACCGCCTAACAAAGATTCGTTAACAAATCACTTTTTTCCTTCATCACCAACTACCCCCAACCTCTCCTTCTTTTGCGCGTTGGCGTGTTGGCGAAAGGGAGAAAGTGGTGGTTATTTTTTTGTCACTGTACCATTATCTGTGTTGAATGTCTCTGTTCGATTCAGTGGATTGTGTGAATGAGTCGGCGCAGTGGTGGATGTTGAATGATTTCGCACACGCGTTGCATTGGGAGGGGTGACATCGGTCGGCACAAAAGGAGAAGGCTCAGTGGCTATGGTCGCTGTTGCTGGTACTACATTAGCCGGGGATTGGGGCTGTCGTGATTGACCATTCTGGAGATCAATAAGGTCAGCCGTGTAAACGGAAGGAGAATAAGTGGTAGGTTGGCCATGAGGCGACGGCGAGCTTGCATTCACAGGCGTGGGGTTGGCAAAAGGATTGGCGGTGGCATCATCGCCTCCAAATGCGGAAGGCATGGGTGGATGCCGCTGCCAAGACTCGGCTTCCGATGCCTCATCGCCAAAGGGGTTATGCGGATTATTGGACGCCACTTTGAGTGGATGATATTATGGCACGTAGAAAATAACAGACGTTCGTTCAAGACTATCTACCGTCTGGAACGCTAATACAATATATAGAGAAAGGACCAAGAAAAGCAAGGAAAAAAAAGGGAAAAAAGGTTAATCTGCCTTTATTCTGTGCACACCAGCGAAAAAAGAAATGTCTGCTGCCTTTTTTTAAACGGCGCTTCAAGAACCACAAGAAACAAGGTCCGTTCAGCCAAGAAAATACCAACAACGAAAAAGAGAAGACCTCTTCATGAACCCAAGTTCCAACGTTCATTAATGTTGTCAGCTATGGCGCAGAAGCTGGACATTGAGAGTTGACTGCAATTGCGACTGGTGGTGAAAGAAAAAATTTAGCAGCGTGTAATTTAGAATTTGGTTCTTATTTTTATTTTTTATTTCGTAGTACTGCCGTGATGGGAAGTGACTGGTGCAATTCACAATTGGCGATTATTATGAGATAACAAAACGGTAAAACTACCTTTCGATGCCAAATAACGATCAATACGGTCAATGATGGGTTGATGATCCATTACTTTCCTGTCAATTGGTACATCGGATACAAGCATAGTGATTCTCCTTAAAAATTTAAATACGACAATTAACCCATTTATTACCATTGACTGTCATCACGAACTTGTTTACATAGAAATTTAAGATGGATACAGCACTTGTGCATACTGTACTTGTAGAAATAATTCGTTCAACCCTTGGCTGCTGTTTTGAGATATCGATGTGCCAAAAGAACAGCAGCTATGCTTGTCAAAGTCCATAAAAGACCAATGACAAGTTCGACAATCTGATGCTTTTCCGACGTCACCAAGAAAATCCTTAATTTGGGGGTGTTCCATCTATTGCAACGAGACCAAAGATGAGTGGAAATTGAACCCTTTTAGCATTTAAAGTAAAATTGAATCTTACGTGCTCTCGGTCCATGTGCCTTTGGTCGGATCCACCACACCAAGTTTTCCTTCGGCTTCATCGTAATGCAGCCCGGTGCCGTAGGCTGGGTGATATTCTGTAAACGTCTTTACACATTTTTGCTTGATACAGTATTCACCCGGGTTGCAATCCTGGATTTGATGACAACTGACGACTTGTCCCTGACTGTCTTTGCGTGGCGTGCCCGTCACACCACTGAGGTAGCTAAAAACGAACCGAGGAACCAGTTGCGGCATAGGATCTTCAAATGAATACACAGAAGTATAATGGCTAATGCTGCCTATTTTCGACACTATGGTTGTGCGCAAATGAGTCGCCACATTCTACTTTTTCACCGGACCGAAACTCGTCATCACAACTTTACCGTTAAAGTAATCTTGCATAAAAGGACAGGAGAAATTGGTGGATAGACAATCGAGCAAAGACTGAACCACCGTGCAATTGGCATTGATCAAATCCGCGCCGTCGGAAGACCCTTGCGCTTGAATAAATGTGGTACGCGCTGTGGCATTTACAAGTTTGCAGATGGATTGTGTCATCGGTTCAAGGTTCAACAAATAATCCATGTCACTGTGATAATATCTACAATAACATGCGGCCTTCCCGTTTAACAATCCATAATGGGAGACGTATCCAGTAATGGACATTTTACCTGCCAAACTCTTTCTGATAATCCGTGACTACCGTTGCTGGAATGGTACGCTTCTTGTCCAGGAAACTCATGATGCTGCTGGGAGGTAGTTTCCTCTGTGTATCTGCATAGGCATTACGAAGTTCGCTTCCTGTCAGCCTGGTTTGTTGCGCTAAAGCATCCACCAAGCCTTTGCTGGTGTCAATATCATCGACATGAGCCCAGTAGCCACCGCTGTAATTGGAAGTTCTGCCAGTCACCGATTTGAATTCGATAATGGAATCGATCTTTTCCATATTAATGCGCGTAAATTTGTCGCTGCGTATGCATGGAAATGTACAAGGCGCGTTTGTAAACGGACACGGCGTAGCTCGCGTCGCATTGGTGCACTGGAAAGGGGTAGAAATATCCTTGACAAACCGTTGAGAACCTGCAAATCCCCACGATTCGGCAGTGAAAGCCGTGTACATAATGTGCTTTCCCAGAGTATCCAGTGCCTTGGGCGCCTAAATGACTCGATGGTGAGAAAAAAGCATCAAGGCAACATTAGCTTAGTAACAGGGTTACCCGACTCAGCGTTTCTGCCACTGCCAGCAGAGCGACCAGCCCAGACACATCGTCTTCCACTCCGACTGTCAGGTCTTGAAACATGGAACGACTGTCCATGGCCGCCGTCAACATCAAAATAGGTTTATCATCTTGGGCATTCATTTCTAACGAGGGCGTGGAATAGACGGACAATCCACCAATAGCCTGACACCAGCCTATATAGCCGATTTTGTATGAGTCCGAATGCTTTTCCCTTGGTAACAGTATCTAGTTTACCGCGTCTTAGACATGTCCCAGAGTTGACAGCGGCCCACATGAATAAATCGAAATCAACAGCCTGAAGTGGGTAATGTTGATACTGTTTCTCCTTGTTGTAATTTAATGCCTAGGTTACCTGATCAGTCTGTGCGTTCTTGTATATGCAATGCAGTGGGAGTATTCATTACCCGAGTAAAGTACTGATACACTTTCTTGGTTAATGCATTTTCCGGCTTGATCGCGAAAATCGGAAAATTGAAATGTTCTTGCAACAAACCATCTCCCTAATATCATCAAAAACAGTTGACGCGAATTCCCAGCCTACATCTGCGAAACCTGGTCAGTACGACGAACCTGGGGATTCCACATATATTGATTCGGCTCGTTGGCATAAAGACCATATTCGCAATTCGGACACATCGCATCGGGTGATATCACTGAGACGTTGTTCTCGGATGACAGCCACGCAATGATTCCCGTAATTCGTTGGCTTGCCTCCAGTTTTTGGATATTCGTCCTGTGAAATAAAAATATGAATTGACGAAACATGGGGTATGCTTATGATAACCAAGCCATATACTTTGTCAATAAATAATACGGTAGAAATACAGCATACGACCGACTATCGCCTTGGAAAGGCGGAAACTGATCAATGTCGTCTTGTGTTTCGATTTCATACAAGATACCACTGGCCGTATGGGGCGCTTATGCGTCGACAGATCAAATAAAGAGTCAGCGATCGCGTTTGACGAATGAGCCATAGTTTCATGGACCGGACTTACCGTGGCAGCCCACTGTGCCATTGGCATGGAGTAATCGCACGCATGGGTAGTTATTAAGATTGGTATATATGTAGGGATATAAACTAGAAGCAATGTCCTGTGCTAAGAATGATCGTGAATACAGTCATTAAGGGTTTTCTTGTTCAATGGTAACCAACCCAAGATGGACGTTCCGTAGCATAAAAGGGCAAGGACAGTAATGAACGGCTTTATGACATGCATAACCATCCACCATTTACTGAAAGACAATCTATTCAAGTCGCATATTGAAGAATTGGATTTTTTTTTATTTTTCTTAGTTTTTTATTCCTTATCGCGGTTTTCAAGTTCAGTTCATTATTGCATGTTTGTAAGCCCATTCTACCAGATAGATCACCCTTTGTTCAGATTATTCCTTGTCACTTTTTTTTTTCTCTCTTTTGTTCATGCATTGATGACTGTTTTAAGAGAATCAAGGATACACATGCATATCTTTACAATGTTGCGTATGGTATCTTTTAAAATCCTCCACCATCCATTGCAGTGATTTTGATCAGTAAATGAAACCTAAGGGGCGCAGCATCAAGCGCCCGAATAATAGCTAGAGCATAACCGAGACGCAAAAAACCCTTCGGCCTTAGTCTTCGATCCAATACTGGTATTCATAAGGGTAAAAGTTTGTGTGAGAGAGGAAAGCCAAGCAAAGATGACTTTATTTTCAGGTGGTCAAATTTACAGAGGCAACTAGTACAAACATACTATGATAGCTAATATTAAAGCACCCGGCAGAAAGCGAATTCGGACTTGGACCAATGTGATTTCCAGGAGTTGGAGGCAGATAGCGGCGGAAAGATGATGGATGACAAGCAAATGACAAGCGAAAAGGAAAAACAAAATAAAAAAGTAATGGAACTCACCCTGGAGCAGTAGACTGTTCACGGGCGGCGTCGTATCTATTTAATCAAGAATCAGCTCCATAGCTACCTTCCCGATGGTCTACCCTACTGGAAACCTACAAATGGTCAGTCTCAAACTGTAAAAAAATAAGGAAAAAAAAAGCGCAAGTTAGTAAAAAGATGTCCTTCAACTTGTACTTGTGATAGCAATAAAAAATTGCTGTCAAGTGCTGTCATCCATCAACGCTCAAGAAAAAGGCACCAGGCACCTAAGAAAAAAATGAACGAGGCATAAGCATTTTTATTAAACGGGTTTATATTAAGCGAACCAGTGAGAGCGGATGGATGGATAGAAACAGTATAAGGATAAAGAGAAAGAGGAAGATGCAGAAAAAGAGCGAAGAAAACGAAAAACGATTCTCTTTCCCTTTTTATACTCATACTTCTGCGTTTAAAGTTTTTCGCGTTCAGTTCATTTCCATTGGAACAAACCAGCGTTTTCATTATGCAATTACGCCCTTTCCTGTCGTGGAACATGTCGCTATGAAATCATTATTCTTTACCGCAGCACCTTCTTATCTACGTAGAATTGTCACCTAAGCAACAGGCTTAGATGTAGTGTGTTCCAAATGATCCATCCTTTCAACTCTTAATATAGTTTCAATGTGCATTTTCCGATAAGCTTTCATTTATTTAAAAGCGATTCCATTTTAAAATTTCGCATGCGCCTTTTTCTGTCAATTGCCGGAGAGGTCCCGATTTGGTTACAGTTCTTTTTTTTATATTGTTTATTTTATCATATCTGAAACCTGGCTCCCTTGGTGTAACCAAAAAACCGCACATTCTGCAAAATACAATCTTCTCTATCAACCTCAATGTCGATGAAAAAAGGTGCAGAAAGTTGCTAATCCACTATTATCGGTGCCAAGGAAAATGATGGTGCAATGTATGTGAAGGGTTAGGTTTGATGAAAGCCATGCAAATGACTTGGGAAAGCCCATAACGTAAAATAACCTTTTGATCAGTGGGCCTGTCGATAAGAAAAAGGGGGTGTGTGGGACAGCTTTCTTGAGTGGCACCACTTTGCAGATATCGTTCAATCACAGTGCATGAATGACGTTTGAATGATTTCTCAACACTACAGTAATTTTTTTATATCAAAATGCTGCGCACCCTTCCTGTGGATCGATATCTGGCCATATGCACGAGGAATTAAAGCTTTTTTGTTGTTGTCATGAAAAATGCACTCTAATGTAGGAAAGCAAGATTTCGATGCACTTTAAGTTATCCAGGTTATTTCTTTTTTCTTCATCGCTGTTAGTGAAGGAATAGTTTATCAATACCCTGATTTTGCTTCCTCGGTTGTCTAAAATCAAGACTACGGTGAGAAAAAAAACGTGGTTCTGGATTTACCGAGTCACTCAAATTGAATCGAACCAATAAAGCCATCTTTAAGGCCTTTGAAGCGGGTGGTCCTATTTTAATTACAAAGTTTATCTATTCCACAACAAAAATCCGTCAAGATGAGAGAGCGCAACTGCAAGTGTTGAGGGAATATCTGTTTATTGGGATAGTATGCACGAAGTTGTCTATGCATGCACTGCAACATAAAATACTGAAAAAGCATATCACAAGTAAAAATGGAAAGTAAAAAAGCACGAACAATAATAATAAACGACAGATTTCATCTTGATGAGAAACTGGCTGAATTTCTCTGAGAGCAATATCTACTGTGGTTTGTCCTGAGCGGCCAAGCGGGTCAAGAATCCAACCACTTCAAAGCTTGTCCGGACGTGCCAGTTGGCCATGGTTTTCTTCTCGGGGGGTCCTACCGTAATTGAGAACAGGGAGGAATCGCGTTGCATCCATCCTGAAGGCAAAACAGGAGATAGTGGCAAAGTCGAAGACGGTCGACGAGCCGTGGTAGGTGAATTGGGTTGAGAGGAACTGCCCGAGTGGCACACGTTGAGCATTCTAAACATATCTTCATCCGTTTTGTCATCACCAGCGCAGATGACGAGTTCGCATGCAGCGTTCCGGGTCAATATCCGCTTGACAATTTCTCCCTTATTGATGGACATGGGGCGCACTTCTAGATTCTTCTTGCCAACGAGGATTTCTACCGGCAATCGAGACACGATTGCGTTCTCAAGATGGCTCTGACACTCTTTTGCTTGGAACGCTCTGATTTAAGGATGCACATTTAGTCAACGCATTCATCATAGGTACGGTATGTCCTTTTACTTACCCGTATTCGGCATCAGCCATGCGATAATGCCATGTGATGGATGATTTTTTATGTTCTACAAAGCTGCCTTGGGTTCGCTCGGTGTAATAATCAAAAATCATAGTGACATCTTGCTTCCAACTCATATCCACATCATTGACAATGCTTGTCCAGTTGGCTTCACCGGGTGATTTGATGTAACAACCATGCTCCGCACTGAGGCCCAAATTGGGAACAGCATTGCCGAGCCATTCATCCAAGGTAGCTTGATCACGACCAGAGATAACCCACACCTCGTTACGTGGATCACGGCAAAGAACTCTTAAAGCTTCCAGCATGTCGGCGGCTGGCTTTGCATCGGACGGCACAGAAACAATGGGCGTCAAAGTACCCTAATGTTATCCGATGCGTGAGTTTACATTGATTGTGACCCATAGCCTGATGGAAAAAACTTACATCGTAATCGAAAAAGAGCAGTCGTTTCTTTGCATTGGTGTAAGCATGCACCAGTTTATCCAGATCCAGGGCAGGCGTGGAATGCGAACGAAGCGACTGTTGTTGGCTACAGTCCACCAACTGTTTCACAAACGAATGCGCCCAGAATTCGGCGGTATGGCTAATGACATGCTGATAAAGTTGCTGTATCAAGTCAAGGAAAGTAATATCAGTAAAAACGTCAACGCTGGTTCTTTTTTTTTTCAGATTAACTTACTTCATGACGCGTGGACTTCTCTTCTGGTAACATGGTGAGTGCATCATGGATGGCCTTTGCTACTTCAGCATAATCCCATGGGTTGATAAGCATTGCGGCACTCAGGGAATTGGCGGTGCCTGCGAATTCACTGAGAATCAACGGAGCATGCGTTTCATGTTGGCAAATGGTGAATTCAAACGAAGTCGTATTCATGCCATCGCGCACGCAGGTAATCAATCCCACATCGGCCACCGACAGTAATGCATAGTATTCATCCCGATCGATATCTTGATGGAAATAGTGCACCGGCGTAAACTGCAACGAGCCATAAGTCCCATTGATGTGGCTTACTGTTTCCGAGATTTTGGCTTCCAATTTGGCGTGTTCGCCGTGTGTAGGCGTGGCGACTTGGATCAAGACCACGTTATTACGCCATTCCGGATAATCGTGCAAGAACTTTTCAAACGCCAAGAGTTTCTGCAGAACGCCTTTCGTCTCATCCAACTTGTCACGGCCAATCACGATCTTCTTGCCAGCATACATGTCCCTGATAGCGTTGATTTTCGGCGCTACACCTGGCTCCTTGCAAAACCGGTGCACACGGTCGGCGTCGATACCGATAGGGAAGGCACCCACAGATACAATATGGCCATTATGATTCACGCCTACTTGATTGGATTCACATCCCAGAACACGGGTGCAGGATGAAATGAAATGGCGAGCATACGAATACGTCTGGCACAAAGCACCAAGCACACATTAAGTTTGAATAACAAGAGAAAAAAAAAGATCTTTTTTCTTCTTTACCTGGAACCCAGCTAATGTCGCTCCCAACATGCCTTCCAATATTTCACTCCGGGCTAACCAAAGAGTAAGTCAATGTTACTTTAGCCAATAGTGATTCATTTCACTTTACTTGTCAAGCAACGAAAGATTTCGGAACTGGGAAAGGTGGCGTGGATAAAGATGCCAATGGTGGCTTCTGGTAACTGCGTTCTCAGCATTTGAGGTACCAGCAACAGATGATAATCATGAATGCATACTAATCTCATCAATGAATAAGCGTTCCAAATACCTTTCACACGGAGTTTTTCGCTTACCAATATCGCCGGGTTGATAATGAGCAATGATGGTGTCTGCAAACTGTCGGTTCACAGCGACATAATCGGCCCAGTTATTGAGTTCTGCACGGCCGTCGGTAGCTTTGGACGAAACGATGTAATGGAACAAGGGCCACAGGACTGTTTCAAAACAGATTAAGTAAGCATGCAAAAAAAAAGAATGCGAGAGGAAAATAAAACGAAAAAAAAAATTAAAGTTTTCATTTTGGACTACCTTCTTTACAGTAACCTTCGTAATGACCATGCGATGTTTTGTCCAAGAAAATAGGTACCACATGGGCCTTGTTCCACAACAATTCCTGCAATTTCTTCTTATCCTCAAGAGCGACTTGTTCCGGTGCCACTTGTTTTTTACTGCCTTTGATACGAATGGGACCGGTCCATCCGATATGGAGGGTCTCCCAGTTCTTGTTCAAACTTTGCAATCCGGCATAGAGCGCCTGATGGCCCCGACGTTCGACCACCGTCCAGTCGGCCGCGTGGAACTTTGCCCGCAAAGTACGGCTACGATAATGATGGCGAGCCAGTCGGCTCACGGGAGCGGCTGCCGCCGGATCCTTTCCGTTACCATGGTCCACTGGGGACGACGGAGGCAACGTTTCGGGGACACTGACTTGTTCCTGAGCTCCGGATTTATCATGAACCGCCGGAGGAGGCGAGTAAGGTGGCGACAAGGGAAAAACGTCTTTCCGTATAGCAGAGGCGGTGTCCTGCGTTCGAAGAATATTGTACGGTATTTGATGTGTGACGTTGATAATGCGTCCTGGAATCTCGGGAAGATGACCGGATAAAGGTAGGTAGTTGGCCACTTTTTCGGCCGTCAACGATTCACTGGACGGAAGAATCATTGGGAATCAAAGGGGAATTGTATTGTAGTCAGTAGCAGTGAAAAGAGGCAACAGAAACCAAAGGTACAAAAATACAAAGCCAAAGCGAAAGGAAAAAGAGACCCAAGGAGAAGCGAGAAGAAGGAAAAAAAAAAAAGAAGCCGAACGATTTGAAATTTCAGAAAGACAAAGGGTTGATTAAAAAAACGTGTTGTTATTTATACCATGCCTCCACTTTTTTGTATTGATCATGGGAAATGCCCGGTTTGAGTTACCAAAAGATGATGAAATGGGCAAATGCCAGCAGGTGACTCGTGCACCCGACCGATCCTGCCGGTCTTCCTTGTAGCATGGGCCACAAAAAAAACCAGGAAAAAAAATCCCATCGTAACGTATGATAAATTAAGCAACCCCCCACCCCCCCATCCCACCCCATTTTCCACCCAGCGGGCTATTTCCTTTGGATCTTTTCAAGGACAAAACTCCTACCACCGTGCCGTACCATCATCTGTGAATCTTTTTCGTCACACTGAAATCTCAAATATAACTCGTTACGGAAGATCTGAACTTTAACAGCTACAAACACGTAAGAAAAAAAATAAGAAAAAAAATTGTAAAATGAACATCCCGTTGGAAGACCAATTGGCACAAACTGTTTACCCATTACAGCAAGTGTCTCATGATGTTTTTACTTGTAATTAGGGACCCCCGTTTATCTTTCACTCACTTTTTTTTTGTATTCTCTCTCTCTCTCTTTTTTAGTGCCTATTTTTTGATTTTTCTCGCACACCATCCGCAAAACTTGGGCAGACACCGACAAGTTCGGTTGTGCCTAGATTTTTTGCCTTTGTTCTTTCGGAGTTTTCGAACGTTTGCGAAATTGAAGGAACCAGTATGTGCCACGGTGTGCTCCGTGCTTTGCCTACGTAACGGAATACAAGATTTTTTTTTTTCATGTCTAACAATGGGTCTTTATTGTGCATTTTTCTGTGTCGCTAAGAATGTGGATAGGGGTGATTACTTGCGGCAAGTTTCGTAGTTCTCAACGAACCACTCGACGGACTCCTTGACAGCTAGAAAAACAAACAACGTCTGAATAAAACTCATCCAAAATGGAAAACTCCAGGTTTGTCCATGATGTCAAAGCACTTACCAACGTCAAATGGAGTGAACTTAAAGTCGGGAAGGTACTTTCTCAACTTGGCATTGCTGGCGGTCTTTTTGTATTGACCATCAGCCCGGCTTGTGTCAAACTAATAGGTAGAGGGATGAGCATGCGACAGAGCATCAACAAATCAAAAAGTCTCCACTATTATATTACCGAGTAATCGCCCTTGAAATCAATAGCCTTCACGATGGCATCAGCGACATCCTTGATAGAAACTTCATCTTCTTCCCCAACTAGATACGCAGCGATTGATTAGTCACACAAGCTTTTACCTAAACGATCAGAATCGTTTTTCGTGCTGTACCTGAAAGAATGATGGGATCGATTTCCTTGTATTCACGCAAAGTCCAGATAAACAACTTGGCGAGATCGCGCGAGTAGATGAACTGGCGAAGGGGTTTGCCAGTGCCACTCACAACAAAGGGTTTACCTTCCTCTGTAGAAAAACCAAAAAAAAAAAGTCAATATGGAGAAAAGGTTGGGAACCGGCGATACGATGATCTTACTCTTGGCCAAGTAGCACTTGTGGGTGAGACCAGGAAGGACGTGGGAATCTTCCAGGTTGTAGTTATCATGGGGACCGAAAATGTTGGTAGGAATGACCGAAGTGAAGTTGCAACCAAACTGATCATGATAAGCACTGTGACGTGGATGACTGTGAGTGAGCTATTCCCCATCAGGTCGTACTACTTGCACGTCGACCGAAAACAAGAGGAAAAGAATCATATGCTTCCTTACCGGTTATATACATCAATCATACGCTTGCCGTGAGCGTAGCCAAAGTTGGATTCGTGGGGAGGACCGTTGTGGACCATGGTTTCGTCAATAGGATAGCTGGTCTTGTCAGGGAAGATACAGGTCGACAGACAGGACACCACTTTCTTGACCTACAATCCAGGACCATGTCAATTCTCGGCCACTATTTTTACATTCGCATTCGTAAAAAGTCAATCGCACTTACACCAAATTCTTTGGCCATGAAGAGCACATTATCGTTGATGAGCATGTTGTCACGCAAGAAATCGAGCTTGTACTTCATGTTCTTAAACAAGCCACCCACGAGAGCAGCCAAGTGAATGACATGAGTAGGGCGATACTTTTCAAAGATGGCCTTGGTATCTTCAAGCTTTCTGTAAATAAAAGGAAAGCTACCTGTGAGTTGAAACCCTTTTTTTAAATAGGCCAAGGACAGTCCAAAATGAACACTTCACCTGAGATCACCATCCTTGGACGTCAGGAAGATCCACTTCTCGCCCTCCTTCTTTCCGAATTGCTCGGACTTATCATTCTCAATGACCCAGCTAATAGCTTTTCCAACAAGGCCGGAACCACCGGTAACAAGAATTACAGATTCAGAAGACATGCTTGCAATAAGATGAGGAAAGAAAAAAAACGAGGAAAGTAGGAAATCGAAATCTTTTTGAGGCCAGTTCAATAAAGTTAGGCTAGTGCAAATCGATTGGTCGAGAAATATACAAAGATCGACAGCCCGAACGTGTGGGCTATTTTCGGAGAATGCTGCGCGTTCCCAGGTTATTCCAGCACCTCCAACCTCGCGCTGAAGTCGGTCGTGCGTAATTCACTCCACGCATTTTCTATGTTACAAGACCGAGGTCAATTGGTGGTCCCATTTCATTCCTTGTCATTTTGTTATTCAGAGAGCACTCACTGTTTAATGGCATAGTCGGCGTTACGGGGTCTTGATGTTGAGTGGTTTTTGTCCGTTTGATGCTCGGTCCCAGCCGTTCCTGCAACTGCAACCATACCATATAAGTTTCTTCAACAGTAAGACCCTTTCTCTTTCGCAACGTGGGTGACGGCGTACTGAGAGTTGGTGTCGGTTCGCTGGACAAAGGTTCGTCGACGGATTCAGTTTCCGGAACGTTGTCAGAATACGATGCCGGGCTGTCGGCTTTGGGGCTGGTTGGTTCAAAGGAGGAAGTGACATGGGAAGAGGATGGTTTTATGGAATCGTCCATGCTGGCAGTATCTGTGAGTGGATCGGTGGCAACCGATTTGGGTGTGGCTGCAATGGATTCTGTTTTGGATGTAGATTGTTGGGTCGATGACGGTGATGCATGCTTCAATCGCCAAACGATGGAATCAGCTTGATCGGCAGGGATGTCAAGCGAGTTTTCAGCGAGTTCAAACTTTGAACTGGTAGCGAGGATTTGTAATACGGGAGCCTGTGCGAGTAGATCAGTAAATTCCTGCAGAATTTCTCACTCGTATCCTGGTTTGGTTTTTACCAAGTTACCACCGGTGAACTCTTGTGGTCCACGTCGCGCCATGGCTTCAGCAATATCTTTGGTATTGACACCGTCAGCAGCAGATTCAAGAATCTCAGCAATCATAGATTCATAAGTACTGCTATCTTCGTCAACACATTGTTGCGGTGTGCTAGCTTCGGAAGCGGTGGCGTTTGCATTGGAACTCTTGGTGCTGTCTGGCCGTCGGTTTTGAGCTTCTGCAGGTAAAATGAAAATGAATCGAGTACCATTGATTTCTAGCAATGAACTTTTGCCGATGGGCAGGGTTAGAGGTATGGTCTACCGTGACTCCCTTCTTTTCACCGTACCCAGTCGTAAGAGGGATGGCCTTGACAGGCGGTTTTCTCAATGTCGAATTCACAGTGACTCCATTGGCACCGTGAATTACCAATTCCCACCGTTTTCGTGATCTGCTGAAACGTATTTCTGCATGCTTACGCGAGATCAACTTGGACGGACCAAAGTCGACGTCTGGTCGTCGCTGTCGGGTAGACTGTTCTGTAGAACGTCCAAGCACCGCAGAATCCCCCGTAATATAACAGGTCCAGTTGGATCCAGTAAGCCTTGGATAATACTGTATTTCATCCGAAGGCACCGACGGTGTACGTACTTTGACGGTGGGTTCCAGATCGGTCAACAGATGAAGACCGCTTTGCAGCTCAGATCGCGTCCACTGTGAATCCGTTATTGTCATGACGTTATCATTACTGTCATTGCAGGCAAGTAAAAACACCATTGGAAGGGATTTACTTACAGAAGAGGAAGCCGACTGCGTGGTATCTTTATCCATAAACGTCAAGGGTAAAAAACCTACCGCCAAAATAGGTGGACGTCTTTTGCAAAGGAGTTCATTATTCCATTCGTGCTGAGTGTTCGCTATCTCCGGAATTTCCAAAAATGGCATAAAGAAAAAAAAAGTTCATGACAGAGAAACGAATGACATCTTTCCCAAAGATCATTTTGTATCTATCGTATTTCATCGGCTGTTTGCTCACAATCTCCATTTAAAATTAGCTGCATCATTTGAATAAAAGGAACGCTTTTAATGATTTTTTCTCCACGACGAAAACCAATGAAAGGGTCACTGCGAATCAGAAAATCGAATGGTGTGTTTCGCTCCTTGTCTTTTGTTCCTGAGATGTTTGACAGGTTCGTTCCAGACTTTTTTGTTGGAATATCATACCATACTCGGGATCGCGTTGTAGCCTGCTCAATATCAGACTAGCAATGGTTATGGTTGGACAAGGCTATTGCTTGATATATAAGTTACTGTTTTAACAAGCCGTACACCCGCTGTGCAATGGATGCCACCTGCTACTGGATGCCGCACTCTTACATTGAGCGACATTCGTCAGACAAAAGCCTAACGCAATACGGCATAACCTGGGCGAGACTCTTGATGGAACTTTGGTATATTAATGTCAATACTCTGGCATACCATGAAACACTTTTAATGAACAAAGCAGCACTTATTGACCCCCTCCATTCTGTCCCGCCCAAGGTTATGATAGATCTACAAAGATGTGTGGGAATGTTGGGTATTTAAAAAAAATGAGTTAGTAAGCTCTTTGGTTGATTCAAATTTCGTTGAGATATTTTACCTTTGATGTTTGATGCAGCAGATACCGAGGGCTTCCCGACCGAAATAAAGAAAGGATACAAATATAAAAAAAAAAAGTAAATACAATAGGTGCGTCTGTAAAAACCCCCTAAAAACCCTGTGGGAAAAAAAAGGAGGAAAAAACTGCAAGAAGACTATTCACTAAAATACAAAATACATACTACAACTACAAAATAAAATGGTCGGGAAGAAATATCGAAGGCGATACCACGGGCAGCAATCCATATGAGAGGAACCTGGGGAGGACGCGTCAGCGTTTCCCGATGAAAAAGAGAGCCACACGACCGAAGATGTTTTGACGACAAAAACCGGATTGGCCACAATCTGGTGCCCGAACAAAGTAGAAAGGTTTTGGAGGGATGGATGGCTTGAATGGCTTGCCAGGCAAAAGAAAACCGGAGAGAAAACCAAAAGCTAAAGACAGAATAGAGAAAAAGGACAGGTAAATTTTTTCTTGTCGAAAAACGGATAGTCGTATCACACAAAAGGTACCTTTTTTCATAATAATCGAATCGACCGGATCAGATACACGCCATAGTCTGGATGATGGATGATGGATGCAATGATAGTGAGGGATTTCCAGGCAAACAGAAGAGATGCAAAACTAAAGAAGAAGAAAAAATTCGGACAAAAATATGTGATTTTCCATGGATGAAACAATAGTCACCTCACTGATGCATGAATGATGAGCTACACAGATCGAAGCATATCTGCTCCATGTATCATTCGATTACTGAAGAGAATGAAAGGGCATATATAGTATAACTGACAGATAACCCAAATTAAATGATGCTACAAAACACCAGATCGTCGTATCGTCAATCACCTTTCTTCAAAAAAGAGCTCCACTCACATTTTATGTGAACGGCGACGATGCTCTGTTTAACCACAACTGGCGCAAACGGCATCTTGCTGCTGATTGTTTCGCCTATTATCGTGAAAGTGGGCAGCGAGGCATGGTTGAAAGATGAAAAAAAGGTTTAACAGGTCTTGATAACTTAGTGTAGATCATGTGATTTACAAAATCGCTTAATGTCTAGCATAGAAAAGAAATCATCGCGCGTCGACAACCACTCTCAACTTTTTTTTTTTTTTTGTTATTTACGAGGATTACGCCGTCTTGGAACCCGGTACATATAACATCAGCTGCGTTTTTTAAAACTATATATTACGCATCTGATACCCATCTTTTTTCACCAAGTACATGAATGCGCCAGAACTCATCCACCGAGCCTATTCGATTTTTACCCACAAAAGAAAGAGATCTCCGGAGAATAACACTGAGGGTGGACATTATCATATTGTTTGGTCTTGTTTTTTAATTTATTTCTTTTTTAACCCAAATTGGAATCCTCCTGGTTTCTTTTGAGGAAGTCCAAAACTGAACTTGCTGGCTCCTTGGGTCTGTGGCTTGTTTCCACTGTTTGTGCTCAGCAGGGCTTCCGTCGCTGGAGTCGTGCTTATGGATGTTGGTGACGATGCAGTTGGCTGAACTGAGGGAAGCGGGTTTGAAGGAGGAGTCGCTGTGGAAGTAGGTTGGGTGGTACTGGAAGTCACAGCGGTCCATCCACTGGCAGCTGGTACAGAGGCCCAACCTCCAGCTGAAGGCGCTGATGATGTCGGTGTAACTGCTGTCGCTGCTGTCACCGTGGTCCACCCACTGGAGGCTGCGCTTGCGGGCAAAGGGTTCACATTTGTCCAACCTCCCCCGCCTCCAGTCCCGCTTGCAGAACTGGATGACGGAGACGGTTTGGGGATACTAGTTACCGGCTTTTTCCCTTCTTTCTCTAAATCATTCATGCGTTTTTGTGCCGTTTCCTGTATTCGTCTTAATTCGCGTTCTTCTCTCTTTTTTTCACGTTCGCGTTTCTTTTTCTGCTCATTCAGCGCCACGGCCGATTTTTTCGTTTGTTCTCGCATATCTTTAAACCGCTACACAAAGGATTTAAGCATCTGAAATGGTTTTTTGTTGGACGCAGCAAAAAAATAAATAAATAAAGTACCTTTCGATGGTGATGATCATAGCTTTGTAAGTGCTGCTCGTATTCACTAATCTTCTTATATTGCTTATCGCACAGTTCGCAATAGAATGCTCGTTTTACTTCCTCCAGTTCCCGTTGAATTGCCTCCTTTTTCTGAGCTTTCATCTCTCGTTTCGCACGATCTTCTTCCGTTTCTTCCAGTTGTTTCTCGCTGTCCAGCGCTTTTCGCCGAGCAGTGGATGATATATGATAAGACTGCTCCTCTTCAGCCTTGCCGACACCGAGAGAATCTTCCTTGAGCTCAGTGCGAATCGGTTCAAGGCGACCTGTGCCCATGATTCAGGTTAAGCTCGTGTGTCCCATTGTCAACCATGGTGTTGCTGATGATTGTACCTTGACCTGAACTGCCTAATCCTGATCCCGCCTTCCAGCCCATCTTTTGCAATAGTAGGTATCCTTTATTCGTCGCCGGGATAGGACTATCCAGCGTTATTTGATCGGTGGATTCGTAATCAAGATAACCCGATGTTCCAGCAAAGCGAGGTTGTGAGAATTCTTCGTAATCATCATCGCTGTCTGTGTCGCTAAGGTCACGCTTGAAAATTGGAATGATAAAGAAAAAAAAAGAAAACAAGTAATGGTAGAAATGGCGAATTGATTTTCAATCATAGGACGTTTATCAAACAACACGGACTTTTTATGAACACAACAATCCGTTGGCTGTGAAGAAGTTCCGGTGGTGTTGATAGGTTACCTACCTTGGCTGTTGCAGATGAAGCCATGCTGTTATACTTTCCGGAAAACTCTCGGTGCACTTTTGCAAGTTTCCCTGCGTGATTGAATCCCGTTGTGACGGCTGTGATTGAATTTTTCCAACCATCAGCTGCCGCACTGAGCTCCGCGACCTCTTTTCGAAAGATTAATAGACAGTGCGGCAATTCACCAGTATAAATGAAGTGTTTACTAGATTGCATATGAATTTGCAAAGGAAGTTGCACTGTTATTTGCGTTTGCTTTGGCAATGGATAAGTTTTTTTTTTTTTTTTTTTTTTTTTTTTTTTTTTTTTTTTCAAAGGCAACAGAGATGCAGTTTATTACTTAGAATGGATAAAGATTATCGCTCAACTCACTATCAAGATTCCATCTGCCCTGATCAGCTTTATGTAAGATTCATATGGAAGGACTGTCAGCTTGAAAATACCGGTAGACAAGGTATAGTAGAATAGAGTCTTTTTTTTCATGTTCAGCGCCCAGCTTGATAAGGAAATATACCAAAAGCGGATATAGGCTTACTAAAACAGCAATGTCCATCCTTCCCGATCTATCGCTCAACAGTAAGATGATGTGGTAAGGATACATTTTAAAGAGGCAGCTTTTAGTTTATTTTACATCTTTGGTAGAAGAAGCCTCCCATCTGATCACAAGTTCGGACGGCGAGACCACTGGAAAGGCGGTAAAATACCAATGGGCACAATTCCAGCCATTGATGATCTCCGAAGCCAAGTAAAAAAAGTTTACCATGCAGGAACAGAGGTTCACGGTACGATGGATCCTTGTGTCTGTACTGTTCATTGCTCGTTGAGTAATATATTTATTTGTTTGCATTACCCTCACATCTTTTGTAGTCAAAGTGAGTTGCAAAAAAAAGTAACGGATTGAATTGGATTCAACTGTCAAAGGAAGAGTCGGGAGACATAATCGTGCGAAAATTTGTCCAAACGCGGGGAAAGCGGAGTAGAACTTTGTGAACCATGTGAAATTTCGTTCACGTTATAGGACTTTTTTTTTGTTTCCTTGGTCCCTCACGAACCACCGCCCTTTCTTTTCCGCCTTATTCTTCCTCATGTTGAGATCTGCTGTTCGCTCTGTTGGTTTAGCTGCCCGTGCTCTCCCCAAGAGGTAAGCTGAATAATACATTAGGTGAACAAAACGTACGCTAACCTTTTTTTTTTTCCTCGGTGTGGGTCGGCTTGGTCTTGACAGAACTTTTACTTCTTCGGCTGTTGCTCGTAATGTCGCTGGCATTCCCGCTTCTCTTCAGGTGTTTACCGAGGAGGAAATGATGTTGAAAGATGCTGGTAAGTAGACTAGAAAAGCGTGCGTGGTTGTTATTTGGTCTAAATGTGTGCCTAGTCTCCAAATTCGCCCAGGAGGTCGTCAAGCCTAAAGTGTTGGCTATGGACGAAAAAGAATACATGGACGAGACAATTTTGAAGGGGTTGTTTGATCAAGGCGTAAGTAGAAAAGATAAGCAAGTTGTATAATCATTGGGGTTATTGACGGAATGCAATTTGTAAATGTTATTAGCTAATGGGTATTGAGACGGAGGATGAATATCAAGGTTCCAACTGCTCCTTCACCTCGGCTATTATCACTATCGAAGAACTGGCCAAGGTGGATCCCTCCGTTTCCGTTCTTTGCGATGTACAGGTACGACAAACATTATCGATTGCATTTTGCTAGTCATGACTCGATATTGATTTGGACATGAGTAGAACACATTGGTCGGCACGGTTGTCCGCAAATACGGCAACAAGGATATCAAGTCTCGATACCTGCCTCGATTGGCTACAGATACTGTTGGCAGTTTCTGTTTGTCCGAAGCCGGTTCTGGCTCCGATGCGTTTGCCCTTCAAACACGTGCTGTTGAAAAGGATGATCACTATGTGCTCAACGGTTCCAAGATGTGGATCACCAACTCCAAGGAAGCAGACATCTTCTTGGTCTTTGCCAACGTGTAAGATGGGCTCATTTTATGACCTGTTGCGTCGATGTAACTAAAACTTCTTTCTTTTGGGCTATTACAGCGATCCTTCCAAGGGTTACAAGGGTATCACATGTTTCGTCGTTGAAAAATCGATGGGTGTGGAGATTGCCAAGAAGGAAAGCAAGGTAAGTTTTGAGTGCGGATGGTTGCAAGGAACGATGGATAGATCCTAAGTTTTTGTTTTAGCTGGGTATTCGCGCCTCCTCAACTTGCGTTTTGAACTTTGACGACGTCAAAGTACCCAAGGAGAATGTTCTCGGTGAAGTGGGCAAGGGTTACAAGTATGCTATTGAAATCTTGAACGAAGGTAGAATCGGTATTGCCGCGCAAATGTTGGGTCTTGCTCAGGGTGCCTTTGACCTGGCTTTACCTTATATCATGCAGCGCCAGCAATTTGGTAAACCTGTTGGCGAATTCCAAGGCATGCAACATCAGTATGCTCAAAGTAAGTAGAAACCAAAAAGAGCTGGATTCTGTTGATGGTTTTTTTTGGGGGGTGTTCTGATATGTCCATCCCGCTATTATAGTTGCTATGGAAATTGAAGCTGCTCGTCTGTTGACTTACAATGCTGCCCGCTTGAAGGAAGAAGGCAAGTCGTTCATCAAGGAAGCTGCCATGGCAAAGTTGTATGCTTCGCAAATTGCTGAAAAGGCTTCCAGCCGTGCCATTGAATGGTGTGGCGGTGTTGGATTCACCCGTGAAATGGGTGTGGAGAAATTCTACAGAGATGCCAAAATCGGTGCTATCTATGAAGGTACCACCAACATTCAGCTTCAAACGATCGCCAAGATTGTCTCTAGCCAATATAAATAGACAATTTCTTCTCATTTGCTGTAAATACAAGCCCTTTTTCTTCATCCACCAACTTTTGTTTTTGTTCAACAGCCCTTTGTTTATGATACATGGGCGTAGCCATTAATACCTGCGCTACGACTCTTTCTTATCTTGCCAATTTACTCATTTACGGCGCTTTATGTCAACCTTGTGAACATCAGAATACAACTGAGCATAGCTATCATGATACTTATATTGTGGGTCATGCCCCGTAGCTTTACATTTGCTAACGTTGCATCACATGCTGAAACCTCGCAGGTGTACATTTTGTTTGCAAACGCCAGTAATCACTTTATGAAATGATAAACTTTGGTCACATATGGAAGGCCCAACCTATTAGCGCCAATGTGGGATTTACAACGCGCTTCAGCGGAAAAAAATTCCAGGAACGATGATCATCCAATGAACTGTTGCGGACCCAAATTCACTCCGGCAGAACTCCGCTATGACGTAGAAAGCTTGCGCTGACGTAGAAAAGGGTTGGTTGGGCTGGGCCAGGAAGAAAGATATTGACTTCTTTTTTATATCGTGTCGTGTCCTCGGTGCCTACTTCAGCCGTTGTTCGCTGTGTAAATTACCAAAAGACATACCTTTTTAAAAAAAGTACGTGGCGCCGTTTATTTTTCGTGCTTACTTTTCTTTATACTTAAATTCTCTTCCTCTTGGTTGTAGAGCATGAGTGAACCGCTACCTATAAAATTCCAAGAGCATGCACAAGTAAGTTGGCATTTTCCAGATGAAAAAGTAGTACTTTCTCATCTGGTCGTTGGTTGAAAAAAAAATACTCATTTCTGTATTGCCATCTTCTTCTATTAGCTGCAATCTCTTGGTGTCAATGCCGCGAGTATTGGCTTCAACACGCTGACCATGGAATCTGAACGGTTCATTTGCGTGCGTGAGCAAGTCAATAATGCCAACCAGGTGGTCATCATCGACCTTCAGAATAACAATGAAATCATGAGACGACCTATTACGGCTGATTCCGTTATTATGCACCCCACTACCAAAGTGATGGCGCTCAAGGGTAAGTGCTTGGCATTACCAATATGATGAATTGACCATGTTGACTTTTTTTTTTCTTGGCATCTTTTTTTTTTTGGGTCATGGTAGCTGCACGACAGCTTCAAGTGTTCAATCTCGAGATGAAGTCCAAACTCAAGTCGCATATGATGCATGAGGATGTTGTTTTCTGGAAGTGGATCAACTTGAAGACGCTTGGTTTGGTGACCGAAACCGCCGTCTATCATTGGTCTATCGAAGGCGATGCTCCTCCCGCCAAAGTGTTTGACAGACATTCGAGCTTGGCTGGTTGCCAAATTATCAATTATCGAAGTTCCACAGACGAAAAATGGCTCGTTCTCATTGGTATTTCCGCTCAGCAAGGCCGTGTCGTCGGTTCCATGCAGTTATACTCCAAGGATCGTGGCGTCAGTCAACCTATCGAAGGTCATGCTGCTGCCTTTGCCGAGTTGCGTCTCGAAGACTCTCAGACTCCCACCAAACTCTTCACATTTGCTGTTCGTTCTGCCAATGGTGCAGCCAAGGTACGCTCCATTTTTTTTTTTTTTTTTTTTTTTTTTGGCTTACACACACATAGTCAGGTTCTCACCACTCATTATTGTCTTTTTTCTTTCCTTTGCTCTCCTGTGCTTTGGGTATTGTTTTTGCGCGTCTAATAGTTGCAAGTCATTGAAGTCGATCATCAAGAGGGTAACGCTCCTTTCCAAAAGAAGGCTGTCGATGTATTTTTCCCACCGGAAGCCGCCAGTGATTTTCCCGTCGCTATGCAAATTAGTCACAAATACGGTATCATTTACCTTGTTACAAAGATGGGCTTCATTCACTTGTACGATTTGGAAACCGGCACTTGTATTTATATGAACCGTATCAGTGGCGATACCATTTTCGTCACGGCTGAATACGAACCGACGTCCGGTATCATCGGTGTAAACAAGAAGGGTCAGGTAGGAGATGATTCAAGCCCATACCGGCAATAGTTCTTTTTTTTTTTGATGTCTCATCCGTTGGTTGTCCCATGTAGGTGTTGTCTGTCTCCTTGGATGAGAATACCATCATTCCTTATATTATCAATACATTGAACAACACCGAGTTGGCGCTGAAGCTGGCTTCGCGAGGCGGTCTTTCCGGCGCTGATGACTTGTACATTCAACGTTTCAACCAACTCTTCTCGTCGGGCGCCTATGGCGAAGCTGCCAAAGTAGCGGCCAATTCTCCCAGGGTAACGATTTTCTGCCTAACCCAGGCATCCCACTTATGACTGTTATGGTTATTGATTCTTTTTGTCATTTCTATAGGGCATACTTCGTACAGTCCAAACCATTGAGCGATTCCGACAAATTGCAGCCACGCCCAACCAGTTATCTCCTATTTTGCAGTATTTCGGTATCTTGTTGGAAAAGGGCGGCCTCAACAAATATGAATCCTTGGAGCTTGCCAAACCTATTTTGACTCAAAACCGCAAGCCTTTGCTTGAAAAGTGGCTAAAGGAAGATAAATTGGAATGCAGTGAAGAGCTTGGTGACTTTGTGAAACAATACGATTCCGTACTTGCTTTATCCGTGTATTTGCGCGCCAATGTTCCTAACAAGGTAAGCACTGATACCAGCCTACGGTGGTCAAGGGGAGCATAACAATAATGATTCCATGTGATAGGTGGTGGTCTGCTTTGCCGAGAACCGACAATACGACAAGATTCTTGCCTATGCCAAGACGGTGGGGTTCACTCCCGATTACAGCTCCTTGCTCTACAACGTTGCCCGTACCGATCGTGATAAGGCCGCCGATTTTGCTGCCGCTCTTGTCAACGATGAGAACGGTCCTCTCATTGAACCCGATAAGGTACGATTTTTTTTTTTTGGAATAGATTCAAAGCTAGAGGATGTTCATTGATTGATCTATTTTCGACTGATAGGTTGTCGATGTGTTCCTTTCGCAAAACATGATCCAGCAAGCGACTTCCTTCTTGTTGGATTATTTGAAGGGTGATCGTGAGCAGGATGCGGCTTTGCAAACCCGTGTTCTGGAAATGAATTTGATCCACGCTCCCCAGGTGGCGGATGCTATTCTGGGAACTGGCATGTTGACGCACTATGATCGTGTCTTGATCGGTTCGCTTTGTGAAAAGGCTGGATTATATCAGCGTGTAAGTGACATTGGCGTGTAGATGCGCAAAGAACATATAACTTATGGTCGATGTTTAGGCGCTTGAACATTACTCCGACATTCACGACATCAAACGCATTATTCCTCACACCCATTTGATGCAAGCGGACTGGCTTGTCAACTACTTTGGCAACCTATCCGTTGATCAGACATTGGAATGTCTCAAGGAGATGTTGACCAATAACCTTCGTCAGAACCTCCAAGTGGTGGTACAAATAGCCATCAAGTATTCTGAGCAATTGCAAGCTCATAATCTCATTGACTTGTTTGAATCATTCAAGAGCAACGAAGGTAAAATTGAAGGCGCCAGAGGGATTGATTCTCCGTAGATTGCATGCTCACCACATATTTGTGCTTCATTTAGGATTGTACTATTACTTGGGCTCCATTGTCAACGTCAGCCAGGATCCTCTTGTCCATTTCAAATATATTCAAGCTGCCTGCCGCACTGGCAATATCCGCGAAGCCGAACGTATCTGTCGTGAAAGCAACTACTATGATGCGGAGAAAGTCAAGAACTTTTTAAAGGTAAGATCGAAAGAAGCCAATCTCTGTTGTTTTTATTAGAAGACCGTCTCGATTAACGAAATCAATCCAAATTATAGGAAGCTAAATTGAGTGATCAACTTCCTTTGATCATTGTTTGCGATCGCTTTGGCTTTGTGCATGATCTCGTGTTGTACCTCTACCATAACAACCTCCAAAAATTCATCGAAGTGTATGTTCAAAAGGTGAATCCTTCTCGTACACCTGAAGTGGTGGGCGGCTTATTGGATGTGGGTTGTGATGAAGATGTGATCAAGAATCTTCTCATGTCTGTCAAGGGGGATATTCCGGTTGGCAAGTTGTGCGAGGAAGTCGAACAGCGAAACCGCCTCAAGTTGCTTTTGCCCTGGCTCAATCTTCGTGTCACCGAAGGCAGCCAAGATCCCGAAGTATACAACGCATTGGCCAAGATTTACATTGATACCAACAACAATCCTGAACCATTTTTGAAGGAGAATGAGGTGGGTTTTATTTACTGATTGAAAAGAATGGACGGTCTTGAAAATTTTGGAACTCACCAATGGCTGTTTCCGATAGTTCTACCAACCTCGAGTGATTGGTCGCTACTGTGAGAAGCGCGATCCCTATCTGGCTTACATCTGTTACGAAAAGGGACAGTGTGATTATGAACTTATCAACATCACCAATGAAAACTCCATGTTCAAGCACCAGGCCCGTTATTTGGTGCATCGTCGTGATCAAGATCTCTGGAGCTTTGTTCTTCAGGAAAACAATGATAACCGTCGCGAATTGATCGATCAGATCGTGGCCACGGCTCTTCCCGAGTGCACCGATCCTGATGATGTGTCTACGACCGTCAAGGCTTTCATGACAGCCAACTTGCCTAATGAATTGATCGAACTTTTGGAAAAGATCGTGTTGGAAAGCAGTGCCTTTAACGATAACAAGACCTTGCAAAACTTGTTGATCTTTACTGCTGTCAAGGTAAGCAGAAAAAAAAAACAAATTTCAATATCCGATAGATGGAGACTTGCTACGTGTAACAAGGAAGAAAAACTTACCTGTGGATTTTTTCTTTCTAGGCTGATCCTACGCGTGTCATGGACTATATTTCGCGCTTGGATAACTTTGACGCTTCCGATGTGGCCGAAGTTTGTATCGGTGAAAACTTGAACGAGGAAGCATTTGCCATTTTCAAAAAGTACAACGTGAATGCCAACGCTGTCAATGTGCTCATTGAAAAGATTGGCGATCTTGACCGTGCCTACGAATTTGCTGAACGATGCGACCAGCCTGAGGTGTGGAGCAAGTTGGCCAAGGCTCAATTGGATAATATGCGTGTGAAGGAAGCCATTGATTCCTATATTCGTGCCAACGATACTTCCAATTACATGGAGGTCACTCAGAACGCTTCGATGGACGGCAAATGGGAAGATCTCGTGCGTTATTTGCAGATGGCTCGCAAGCAGTCGCGTGAGCCTTTCATTGAAACCGAACTGTTGTACGCTTACGCCAAGACGGACCGCCTGGCTGATTTGGAAGACTTTATTGCTTCGCCCAACATTGCTCAGATCCAGCAAGTCGGTGATCGTTGTTTCCAAGCTCACATGTTCGAGGCGGCCAAGATCCTTTACAGCAGCATTTCCAACCACGCTAGCTTGGCCACGACTTTGGTGCAACTCAAGGACTACCAGGGTGCTGTCGATTGTGCTCGCAAGGCCAACAGCACCAAGGTGTGGAAGGAAGTGAATGCCGAATGTATTTTGCAGCACGAATTCCGTCTTGCCCAGATTTGCGGTCTTCACATCATTGTTCACGCCGAAGAATTGGAAGCGTTGGTCAAGACATATGAAAACAATGGTTTCTTTGAAGAATTGATCAAGCTTCTGGAAGCCGGTCTTGGTTTGGAACGCGCTCACATGGGTATGTTCACGGAACTTGCCATTTTGTATGCCAAGTATGCTCCCGAGAAGATGATGGAACATTTGAAACTGTTCGTATCCCGCATCAACATTCCCAAGGTCATCAAGGCGTGCAATGACGCTCATCTTTGGCGCGAAGTCGTGTTCTTGTATGTGCACTACGATGAATTCGATAATGCGGTGGTGGCCATGATGGATCATGCTACCGATTCTTGGGAACATTCCGCTTTCAAGGATATCATTGTCAAGGTGTCCAATGTCGAACTGTACTACAAGGCCCTACGTTTCTATCTCAACGAGCATCCTTTATTGCTGAACGATCTTTTGGCGGTGATGGTACCTCGTATCAAACATACTCGTGTGGTGCAACTGTTTGAAAAGTCGGATAACATTCCCTTGATCAAACCTTACTTGGTGTCTGTGCAAGAAACCAACAACAAGGCGGTCAACGGTGCTTTGAACGAACTGTATATTGAAGAAGAAGATTACGAGTCTCTGAGAGATTCGATCGATAATCACGATAACATTGACACCTACGACCTTGCTCAACGCCTGGAGAAACACGAATTACTCGAGTTCCGACGAATTGCCGCCCATTTATACAAGAAGAACCGACGATGGAGACAATCGATTGCGTTGTCCAAGGAAGATCGCTTATTCAAGGATGCCATGGAAACCGCGGCGGAATCCAAAGATCGCGATGTGGCCGAAGAATTGCTCCAATACTTTATCGAAGTTGGCAAGCGAGAATGCTTTGCTGCTATGCTGTATACTTGTTACGACTTGATGAGACCTGATATCGTGATGGAACTCGCCTGGCGTCACGGTCTCAATGATTTTGCTATGCCCTATATGATTAATACTTTGAAGGAACAGTTCAGCAAGGTGAGTTAAAACCAAGTTAACATTGGGTGCTTATCGCTTTCTATGCAGTGTGTACTGATACTGGGTTGATGTGGCAGATTGAAATGTTAGACAAGGATGTGAAGGATCTTAAGGAGAAGATGAGCAAGCACGAAAGTGAGAATGAAAATGGTGAGTTGACACTACATCATACGATGGGTTCGATAGTAATGCTTACATATCTTTTTGTTTTTCCAGCATCCAATGTTCCTGCTATTGCCGGCGCAGGGTTAGGCAATCCTCTGATGTTAACCGCTGCCCCCACCGGAGGTTCTCTACCTCAACAACAATCTCCCATTAACTGGGGTTAAACAGAAAAAACAAACGAAAAAAGAAACCAATGTTTATATGAGCTACTTATGTCCCTTTAAAATATAAAAACATATTTTGTGAATGAAATTATTATTAACCGCTGACCAAGTGTCCACACATGCGATATGCTATTTTATGACCTCAATATCCATTTCCTCGAGCATTTGTGTATGATATCAGTCATGGATGATCCCTCTGATATTGTTATACATATTTATACATCTTGTCGTTCATGAGTCCAAATTGCATCTATTATTATATGTTCCTGTGTTAGCTGGTTTCATAAAAAGGACAAAATACTGGTCTCTGCTGGTTTGGTTTCATTATTTCATTACAATCTTTCTAGTTTTATGTTTGCGTTTATCAAAGTTTTAATTTATGACTATTGTTTATAATGTTGCCTAACAGGAACTTTGTTGCTGTAAAATTCATGCATGACAGACAAGTAACAAGAGCCGGCATTCTCAATGAGTGGCTTGTAAAATTTTGCCTGCATCTCAAAAAGAAATTAAAAAAAAAAGTGTAAAAGTCGGCGAAAGGGTCTATGCTATTGGCATCCAAACGTTTGCATTCTTTGTTCAATTCCTCATTCTCCCCTTTCCGACGCTTACTTACAATGGCCACCGGTGACATTGACATTTCTTTGTATAACACGGTCACCGAAGGAAAAGCGACCATTCTTTTCCCGAAGCAAAATGAGGTGTTTTACAATCCCGTGCAAGAATTCAATCGCGACATGTCCATTGCCGCCATTCGCACCTGGAGTGAAATATTCCTCCAGGAAAAGAGAGACCGTATTGAAAAGAAAATCCAAAAAGTCAAAGGTAACATTAGAAAAAAAAATGTCTTGTTTTCGTTTCGAGATGCTCATTGTGTGTGTAGATGAAGAAGAACGCAAGAAAATGGAAGCAGTAAGTCCATGGACGCATAGATTCCCAATGCATTTGACAATGTTGGACTAACAGATTTGGGTGGTGGTAATAGTCTCTCAATGAGCATATCAATGCAAAGAACTTTACCATCTTGGAGGCTTTGGCTGCCAGTGGGTTGCGATCGGTGCGTTATGCTAAAGAAATTCCCAACTTGAGACAAGTGGTCACGAACGATATTGAAGCCGAAGCTGTCGAATCGATCAAACGTAATGCGAAATACAACGGTATCAGCGAAGATCTTTTGCTCCCCAATAGGGGAGATGCCATGTAAGCTGTCAAATTCGACGAAAATCTTTCTTGATCTGCGCCAAATTTTTAGCTCACACCGATGGATTCGAATCTTCTTAGGCAGGTCATGTACAGCACGGTAGGGACATCAAAGCGATACGATGTAGTCGATCTGGATCCCTACGGCAGTGCAGCTCCCTTCATTGATGGTGCAGTCCAAGCGGTTTCAGAAGGAGGTAATTGACATAAGGCTAGTGGTCAGAGCCATTTTGGCAGATGCTGATGTGTAGGTGGAGATTAGGCCTCTTATGTGTCACATGCACGGATCTTGCTATTCTTACGGGCTCTATGCATCCTGAAACCTGGTACGTCTGGTATGCATAAGAACAATACCCGACTTGTGTTTTGATAAATGTCCTTGCTTAGCTTTGGCAAGTATGGTGGTATGCCTTTGAAGGGAACGTTTCCCCATGAAATGGCCCTTCGTCTGGTACTTCAACAACTTCAAACTTCCGCCGGTAGATACAAACGATACATTGTGCCTCTCGTTTCTTGCAGTATCGACTTTTATCTTCGTGTATTCGTCCGTGTATTCACTTCCGCTTCCGAAGTGAAAAAGGCAGCTAGGTAAAGTTCATTCATTTACTCTACCGATTCATACTCGCTGATATTGATGGATGATCTGTTTTTTTTATTCAACAGCAAAATGGCGATCATGTACGAGTGTTCAGGTTGCCACGCCTTTGCTACGCAACCTCTTGGTAAAATCGCCATGAAGGAAAACGGCCATGAAAGACACACACCCGCCACTGGTCCAGTAGTCAATGAACACTGTGTCAACTGTGGTAATACGCATCATGTAAGTTTCATGTGCAGATGATAGACTAGAAAGGTCTTCTTTACTCATACATATCGTATGTGTAGATTGGTGGCCCGGCATGGGGCAGTGCTCTCCACGAAAAGAGTTTTGTCGCGAAAATGCTGAATCACGTCAAGGAAAACGAAAAGAACTATGGTACCCATCAGCGTATGAAGGGTATGTTGACTGTCATTGGTGAAGAGTTGGATGCACCTCTCTACTGGACCATGAGTCGATTGTGTGGTACCCTGCACTGTACAAGTATTCCTCAGGTTGATTTATTGTAAGTTGAATATAAGCTCGGAGGGTTGAATGTGGGCAAAGATACTCATGTGTGCTTGATCATATCAATGCTACTGTAGCTCTGCCATCCTCAATGCTGGTTACAAAGTATCCGCTTCTCATTGCGGCCCACTGACCATCAAAACCGATGCCCCTTCTCACATTGTATGGGATATTCTTCGTGCTTGGGTAAGATTCTTTTTTTTTCTTATATCTGCTGTCATAATGATCCATGGATCTCATCCGTTAATCATTACTTTTTTTTTCCAGGTCAAGAAGAATCCTGTAACAATGGCCAATATCGCCCAAAACTCACCGGCCCGTGTGATCTTGAGCAAAGAACCAAGGTAACAAAGCTAACTTTAACATGGTTCTATTGGATTTTGATGACTTATTTGTGATATTTGCAGTATTGAGGTCGATTTTACACGACATCCTGAAGCATTCCCTGAGTCCCGATCGATTCAATTAGTACGCTATCAAGTGAACCCTACGCCCAATTGGGGACCTAAAGCGCGAGCAGGCACCAAGAGAAAGGCTGCTGATAAATAAAATACATATTCATCTAGACCCATCCGTAACCATATCCTATTTAACCTTATAACAAAAAAACTGCTATCTCACAAAAACGACGTCAAAGCAAAATAACAGACAGTTCCAATCAGAGGTTGTATTTTCGGGTTTGTGCCAATGGGGAAGCTGGTCGTCGGAGTTTGATCCACTCTCTTAATGCTCAGAATTTTGGGACACCGTTGGAACTTTCTGTTGCAGAAGTTTTACCGCTCCAACTGCTCCACCTCTTTTCTTTCCCTCTCTCTCTCTATTCCTTTTTTGTATCCTATTTCCAACTTTGTGCTTTTACAGGTGCACTTCATCTCGACCACCTCATTTTCATTCTTGTGTTATAGTATGTATATACTGTTCACTTTACGTTTTGACCGTCCTTGCTAAACCGAAACTTCTTTCCCTTTCCAGAAACTCTAGTGCTTTTACATCCGAACCATGTCTACACCGTCTCCATCGTCTACTCCTAAATTTCGAGCTTTTGAATCAATGGCAGGCCCCATTACCAGGGAACAGACGGTCGAGGAACGCTACGGTATTCCAGAGAACTTTTTGGAAATCGAAGTGAAGAATCCTCAAACTCACGGTAAGATATCGCTGACGGTTATCATTTTGGTTTGTCCATGTGTATATGCCTTGTGTCTTGTATTCACGTTTTTTCTTTCTTTCAAAGGCTTCGGCCGTAAAATGTATACTGACTATGAAATCATTTGTAAGGTAAAGCACGGACCATGAGATAACCAACGGTTTTAAGAGAGCTACTTGTTTCTATGAGCGATGGAGATACAACAGGATTGCGTATTAACAATGTTTTATTCTAGACAAATATTCCCGCTTTCAAGTTGAAGCAGTCTTCCGTACGCAGACGTTACAGCGACTTTGAATGGTTCCGAGATGTTTTAGAACGGGAGTCTACCCGCGTCAATATCCCACCTCTTCCCGGCAAAGTCTTTACCAATCGATTTGCGGATGAAGTGATTGAACAGCGACGTGAAGGACTCGAACGGTTTTTACAAATGTAAGTTGCAATGCAGGACAGGCTTATTTTTGGGAAAAAGGATCGTTGACTGATCGGTCCATATCATGTAGTGTGGCTGGACATCCTTTATTGCAAACAGGTAGCAAAGTGCTGGCGGCTTTTATCCAAGATCCCAACTTCTCGCGCGACAATTACAACTACTGAATTTAATGTACATTGCTGAATGTTTTACATCTTATACTTTTTTTTTCCCGTTTTATCGTATTCTTGATTCTTGTATTCTTAGAGGGTCCGGAAAACTTGCTTTTTGTCTGCGAGTGACCTTGGGTTCTTATGGCCAGCTGTAAAAAATTGTAATAAAAAAAAGGCAGTAAAGGAGGCTGTGGATTGTCGATGCTCCGAGGACAGTGATATCTGTGAGAAAGAGTATTTATCATTTGGATACCGTTGGAATGGTGGCAATATCCTCAAGGGTGAATCAACTGCGATTTGTTCATTTTTAGATAATGTAAAGATATAGTGAGGGTTTCTTTTTATTTACTCAGTTCTAAGCAATAGCAGACAGCACAATCTGCGAAATGACAGTGTCATCGCTTCGGACTGCCAACTCAAATGCAACGCCTGTTGTGTTGCTAAACGTCATTCTGCATCGCGCCAGTACTTTGCTACCTCCTACAAAGATACCTGCCAAAAGCAAGGTATGTACATTGCTACTCTTTGGCAACGCTGTATCTTCCAGTGCTTGCATGCCAAGAAGATCCATGATGGCAACACATGCAGCTAAAGGAGATAGATCATTTTTCATCAATAATCCATGCGTCGTTCTACCGATGGGTTCCTCAAAAACTCACCCTTCAAACTTGGAGCCTTCTCTTTATCCAAAGCAAATGTTTCTATTGCTTCATTTTCAGCAAGCGGTTCCCATTCTTCAGCAAAACTAGAGATGTATGTCGGACGAATGTAATCGCTTGTGAGCACTTCCACATCTTCCACTTGGTATTCGTCTTCATAACCCTCAGGGTCAGGCTCGCCCGTCGTTGGATCGCAATCTTTCACCACGAATTTAAGTGTATTTGTAAACGATACTATGGAGTAACACAGCCAATGATGGATGTCAGTGATCAAACATCATAATGCCCCTTTCCTTCGGTCTCTTTGCGAAAGTAACTTACCCACAGGGAATTCATCTGCTTGTTCTTTCTGGAAAGCAAGATACAGGACACCTGTCACGTTGTATTCTAATTTCTCGGCTGCAATACTGGCCACTTGGACAAGTCCACAATCGTCAATTTCGGGTTGCATGAGCATTTCTACACTCTCCAATAACTGATCGTTGAGCGTATTTGTACAGTTGAATTGGAAGACGATGTGATTCAGGTACGTGTGTTTGACACAGTGCACAACGTATTCCGTTTCGCTTTCGGTGAGTTCAACAGGCTTGCTAGAACTCTTGAATAAGGGACCAAATGTGGCAAATTCGGGAATGGCCGACAGTTTTTCGGCATACATGGCCTGTTGATCCAAGCTAGAAACACCCGCAGCAGGGGCACCCGGTGTCGACGGTGTAGCAGGGGTGCCAGGTTGTGCGGTAGAGGGCGTTGCCAACGTAGGCCCAGCTGTAATATCTTGTGTACGGAGACCTACAAGTTTTCTCATGCATAAGTTTGACATTCTTCTTTTTTTCCTTAAAATTTTAACTTACGTCGTCGCTCCTCTTCTTCTTGAGCTTTGCTGATGACAGGAATATTCTGCAAATCGAATTCCTGGTCATTACCGAGAGGGTTATTAAGATATTCAACAAGTTGATGTTCCAATGTAGGAAGTGCAAAGGTGGCATCTACAAAAAGCAACGTTAACATAAAAAAAAAAGATCAATCGACAAGTCCCCTGCAGAAAGCGTTACCATCCTTCACGAAACGTTTGGCGAGATCGGTGTGATCCATAAAAGTGAGATACAATGTAGCGCGGTCACGCACTTCGTCATCTGTATCATCAAGACATCTATACAAAATTTGTTTTTGTTAGCACAAACATTGCGCTTTCCGTTGAATGGGCTTGGATTAGGCAGACATACCTTGTCAATAAGACGTGAACACTCTTCTTGACGAGTGGATCTTCCACATTGACACCAAATTTAGCGAGAGCGCTGACGGCCGCTGCTCGCACAATCGAATTTTCAAGTATCACGCGGTTGTAAATGTAGCGAATAAACTTGGTAGGGGTCGTTGTCTTGGGACCTTCGACACCGAGAACGTGAAGAATACGCACCGACAATTTGGTGAATTCACAATCTTCAATAAACTCGCAAAGGTACGACAAGGCTATTGTGTTTTTGCAAAACAAAAAAAAAAGTAGGTCACATCAGCACAAATCACAGCAACGAAAGGTGACGTTGAAGCTCTCAAGTTTACCTGTATCTTTGCTTTCGGGAATGAATTTGATCATGTCAAAAATGGCTTCTACCACGGCCTTTTTAAAGTCGTAACCGCCTTCGTCACGTAACACTCCGCTCAAAAAGGTGAGCATGACGACTTGCTTGGCGGGGAATTTGAGGCACAACGATCGGATGGCATCCACCACAATCACCTTGAATTCATCCGAGATTTCACCCATGAAACCCGAAATTTGTTTCATCAAACGATCCACTGAGGCCTCGTTGCCGGTCTTGAGTAATGTGGTGATGGCAAAGGTGGCCACGCTACGGTTTTGATCGGTAATCAAGTTTTCAATATCCAGGTTGCAGGGCGACACCACCGCAGGTTTGGATTGGGCCAGTTTGTTCAGGATACGGATAGCCGCGAAACGCAAGGTCGGTTTAGGCGATGAAAGGAAGAGTTGCAAGACTAGACAACGAAAAAATCACATAACCATTGGTCAGCCCTTTCAACGGAAATACAGCACGTATATCCCCAATACACACCTGAGATGGCAGGATAGAGTTCTTTGGATGACATGTCTGGAATTTCACAAATAGCGCGTGCCGCTTCCAAATTGACCATATCACTGCGATGACGCAAAAATCCTTCCAAAAGTTCATACATACGACGGGTAGCACTACGCATTGTTGGTAAGATGCCGTTCCCTTTTTGCAACCATTGTCCCTTTTTTTCCAACTTGGTGACTTACCTTGGATCATCTTCCATAACTTTGCATGCATAGCGAATCAACAAGCATACAGCAGCAGGATTCTTCAAAGGACTTCCGCCACCACCAAGAATACCTCCGCTACGACCACCTGCAAATGCCTGCACCAATTTGGCCACCGCCATTCGATCGTGCTGTCTAATTTGATACAAGAGGCCCAAAGCGTGATACTGCGTAATATTGCTGGCTGAGATCACCACGTTCGATTTATCGGCCGCTCCGCCAAAGCTAGACATGTAACTGGAGGCGGCCGAGGCAAATCCACTGCTTGACTTTGCATGCACCGCTTCCTGTACTTCGTTTGACCATCTGCGAACGATATCCTTGGCGACGCCATAGAGATGATAGGATGACACGAGCGCTGCCGATGAAACAGAAGGCGTTTTATCCACGATGGATGCTTTCAAGATACGTTCGATACCTTGAATCATCGATGGCTAGTCGCCGGTAACGAGGGAAAGCGGCGTTAGTCATTCAAATGGGTGAAAAAAAAAAAAGATAGTTTTGCTGACTTACATCAGTGATGAGGCACAAGGCGCGAATAGCATTGGCACGATAAATGGTTTCTTGCTTGGATTGAATATCTTTGATAAGTGACTGGGTCACCATAATCACGTCTTCTGCTGTTTTGGAAAGTTCTTTGATGACAAGATACATCATTTGGCGTAAGGATGTCTAACCAGAATAGAGTGTGAGACTGGGTATGTTTTTGCTCCAAAAAGCAAGAGGATCGAGAGCTTACGTCTTTTGACTGAAAGAGTTTGATGACGTTGAAGAAAAGGTCGGTGGCTTCCTTTGTAGCGAACGGTTCGCCCAAGTAAAGCAAATAAATGATTTTGGTCAGAAGAAGACGACATTTTCTTGCACTGATAGGCGTGTCGTTGAAAGCGCGGGCTTCCTGAAGAACCACCGTTTTGTCGAGATGATAGAAAAGGCCGACTTCACCTATAAAGAAAACAAGGTCATGGGAAGAGCATGAGCAAGTGAGGTATGAATCCGACAATCACAAGACGCGCTTCCTCTCTTCTGCTGTGCTTCACCGCAACCCAAAATGCCACTTCTTGCTATCCAACTGCCCATGGACTTGCGGTGACGGGAAAGTTCACTTGTCCATGGTTCATGCGACGTGTAACCCCCCAAATGGAGCAGATGACAGTTTTACAGCAGAGCTTTCCGGTTGTGTGCTAGAGGTTTTTCCATCCCGTGTCCTTTTCGATGCCACCAACTAGATGAAAGTAATAAAAAAGAGAAAATATGTACCAGTGTCGTCGTCTCGTTTGCCGTAACTCATGATGCCACTATTCTTTTTTATTTCAGGGAACGAGGAGTGCTGCTGAAAAGAAATAAAAGGCGATGAGTCAAGTGGCGGTGTTGGTCAAAGGTGTTCGTCTTTTACACGTATAGCTCGTTTACAAGCCGGGATGAGATGAAAGGAATTCGTGCAAGTAAAAGAGAAAACACAAGCTGAACGAAAAGCGGAAACTTCCCACTTTCCCTATCTACGTGGTGCACAGCGCGAAAACACAAGTGGCGTCGGGCTTCTATTCCACCTAAAATGATTGGCCGACAAAAGTAGATCGACGTCACTCTCTCAATAACCAACGCGCTTTGGCATCCCACAGCCAATCCGATTCAACAATGAACAATGGGAAATCGCATGTTAGGACCCAACACAGCTTGGTACAGCCATCCTCTCTTGTGCTTGCTAAATCGACACCCATACTTTGCTTGATTCTATGTCATAGGTATACATATAAAGTCGATTCCTATATTAAACCAACTCAAGCATAACCGTACTGGAAAATCCATGCTGGCTATACCATATGCTGATCAAGAACGTATCTCAACATTTGACCGATTCGAGGTTGTCTATTTGCTAATGATCATATTTGGCCGTTTTATTTGAATAACCGTCACACGGATTCGTTATTTTATGTCGCAAAGATCAACGCAAATGGACAAAAGGGGGGTCCTTTATCGAATACCTTTCCAAGGCATTTAAGGGGAATAAGAGAAAAAATAAGTTGATACAGATCAAACAAGTGATACACACTTGATCAATCAAAATCACACTCATTGGTTGTTCATCACTCAAAACTACCTGTTATTGAAGACGCCATGGCTGTAAGTGTCGGCAATTGAACAGCCGCTGGAATTACCGTATAGATTTCATTTAAAGTCCGACGGTATCGTTCAACGTGAGCGACAAGGACCTTTTCTTTTTCCATTGCTGGATTAAGAGATACACACACCATTTCGTCATGTCCATATTCGCCCAGTCCATCAATCAATTTCTCGAAAAAAAACCTTTAAACACCAAACTTACGCTTACCGCCGTGGCGTCTTCGGCATTGACGGCGTTTGGTGTGTTGGGATACCAAGCATTACGGCGTCAACAGCGTACGCGAGCTCTCAAGCGGGAATTGCGATCCAGCGATCAGTATCAAAATGAACACAACGCGCCCAAGTTTATGGATCACCTGGATCAAGTCGGAAATCTCACCGCTCAACCTACCGAGTTTGACGAATCCTTGATCGATCAACAATTGGCGAGAAATACCGAATTCTTGGGCAAAGAGGGATCGAAAAAGATTCGCGACGCATTTGTGATTGTTGTTGGTGCTGGTGGTGTCGGTTCATGGGCAGCACTTATGCTGCTTCGTTCTGGCATTGGCAAAATTCGTATCATTGATTTTGATCAAGTCACCCTCAGTAGCTTGAATCGTCACGCCGTAGCGACATTGGGCGACGTCGGCACACCAAAAGTTACCGCGATCAAGAAACATTTCAAAGATATTGCCCCGTTTGTCGAGGTGGACAGCGTTGTTGATTTATTTACAGCAGAAAATGCGGATGAATTATTAAGTGGTAGGCAATCTATTTTTTATGAGACTCCAATTTGTTCAACCTATCATGGATATTGAGTTTCCGGTTGGTTTGTAGGCAATCCGGATTATGTGATTGATGCAATTGACAATATTGATACAAAACTGGATCTTATCAAGTACTGTTATGATAAAAAGTTGGAAGTCATCAGTTCCATGGGCGCAGGTGCCAAGGCAGATCCTTCCAGAATTCAAATAGCCGACATCAGTGAAACCATGGGTAAAATAGTGTGAGCAAAAAAATTGAATCTGTCCATGGACTAATGACGCTGGGCTTTCTACAGAGGATCCATTAGCTCGTGCTGTCCGAAGAAAATTAAAGAAGATGGGGGTTGAAAAAGGTGTTCCTGTTGCTTACTCTACCGAAAAACCCCATCACGTCAAGCTCTTACCGTTGGGTAATATTTTGGGATAGGCAGGGTTGCATATCGATAACCCATTAAACTCATTCATATATCTATTGATTAGAGGAAGAGCGGGTAGCCAACGCCGATGATTTTGCAGCATTGCCAGAATTCCGATCCCGTATTTTGCCGGTTCTGGGCACTATTCCCAGTATGTTTGGTATGGCGATTGCCACTTATATCCTTCTTCGATTGGCCAAATTCCCGTCGTTTGATCCTCTGGCCATCAAGTTACGCGAAGGTTTATATGCGCGTCTTCATCGCGATTTAAGAGCTCGTGAAATGAAGCATTATAACAATAAGTAAGTGCGAGTGAAAATTTCAATGCCATGAGACCGGTCTTGACGGATCATTGGATCTTTTTAGAGTGTGTCCCTTGGACGTACGAGATGTGGGCTACATTTTCGAACGGATGTGGCATGGAGGCAGCATTATTTCTGGACCGCAAGATCGACTCGCTCTAACCCGATGGGATCGAACCAAGCCTCTAAGTTCACTCAATGCTGTGTGTTTGAGCCGAACAGAAGCTGATGCTCACGATAAACTGCCACCCCATACCGACCTGAAAGCATACTATGGCGAAGGTAAAAATCATGGCTGCTTATTTATTCACCATTATTCTACCCTCACATCCTACTCTTCTCTTCAATAGATGTCTACAGCAGAGTAGAGACAGCATTCCAAGAAGAGGAAAAAACACGACGCATATGGGATGATGTGTTGTAAAAGGAGTCGAACTTACATTACATTCAACTGTGCGATTCCGAGATCATCCACATGATTTGTTCTCTGATGAAGAATATTTACAAGCAATAGACACAAAATACATCCAATAGAAAAGATATGAATAGTATCGTAGAATATGCTGCCTATATTTTCTATGACAACGCCTTGTATTTGTATTTCAAGGCGAAAGCACTAATTGCTGATTTTATCGACCTCCAATCGAGCCTCTTTCCAAGATTCCAAGTTCTGTGAAAAAAAAAAAAATTAGTCATTTTGCAAAGAAGAAAAAAAAAAGACGACGTTCCGTACCTGTTGGCAGTAGCGAATGTGCACTTTGGCGTAGGCAATCAACATATTACGCAAATCCTTGATTTTCTCGCGTTGGAATCGATCCAAATCAGCTTGAAGCTCCACCGATGCACCGGCAAGATCCTTGCGCGTAATTTCCAGTGCTTCCTCAAGCTGTAAACGAAAAAGTCATATTCAGTGAACAAGATCAGCACGTAAATGATGATGTTCGTTCCATAGACGTACCACACCCATTGCGTCTTTTGTTTTGCCGATCTGGTTGCGGCGGGTCGCTTCTGGATCGACATCAATGATGCCTTGGATTGTGTGACCAACAGCATTAATCACCTGCATCGGTCCGTTCCAATTTCGTGATCGGGACTTGTGCAGTCTCGGTTCAGTGTGATGAACAGCGTATGGATTCTCCTCGGTCGCTTCACCAGACCCGGTTTCCGAGTTGCCACCATTAATTTCGTCGATATCGACGGCGTTGCTTCCAATCGTTCGTTCTCTTGTTATGGCTTCCTCCAACCGCCGCGCCTCGCTTTCCATTTCCAAAAGGGTTTCCAGTCGCTCTTTCTTATTTTTCAGCGAATTTTCTATCAGCTCTACCTGAGCATGCTTCATGTGACGAAATCTCAAGACCTGCTTGATCGTCTGTGCAAATTGTGAATGCTCTTGTATGGGTTCGGCAAATTCACTCTCCAGCGTTTTCACCTGAGTTCCACAAAAAAGAAAACAACAAAAATAAGTACGCCACTCAATAACAAATTTCCCATGGAAACAGGAGAAATAGAGCCGTACCATTTGACCTGTCTCTGTATAGGATGCATCGACTGCTTGCCCAATTTTTTCAATCGCATTGGCAACAGCACCTGATTCATTCAAACTAAAACCATTGTACACCGCTCCGAGTTCTGCATAATCGTTGGCTAATTCTGTTTGCAAGTGGAAAGGGAGGGGGAAATTCAAGATCAGAAATGATGGGTGACGAAAAGAGTCATACGTGATATATCAATACATACCACCTAAACGTCGAATCACTTTACGTTGGCTTTTCTCCAAATTATTGCTCATATAATTGGCGATACGGTAGGTGAACTGTTCTGATTGTTCAAACTGAGGATCGGGATTTTTCAACGTATACGCCGCTGTAGGAGTTGGAATCAGACTACTATTGAGGATCGCAGCATTGCCTGGTGCGGAAGCATCACTGTCCTTGCTTACAGCCATTTGCAAAGGATTGCTGGGAAGCAAAGAGAGAGGCGGTGAGTGTAATACGTCATTCTAAGCAAGTAAAATAATATTCAGCATCGAAACCAACCTCTCACCCCAACGCACCCCCGCCCCCTCCCCATCATCAATAAAGAAACTACCTACCCATTGCACACCACTTTCTAGAAAACGATGAAATACATGATCGCGTCCCAGATCAGGATGCTTTGCTACTCGATTCAGGAACGTCTGCAACATGCGTTTTCTCTTTTCAATCATGAATAAATCGTCTCTAAGCCTGGTTTGCAACGCTGCATAATCAACTATGACCTTGAATTAGCGAATCGTTCCTCTTGAGTCCCTTATCTAATACAAGAAACGCAACGAACCAAGTGAATGCTTTTCGGGTATCGGCGGAACAATGACGTTGGGGTGTAATTTGACGAGGGATTTACGAAGCGATTCGAATTCGCTGTATCGATGCTTTGTTTCAACATCCTAGACAGCAAAGCATGAGCGACAATGCGTTACAACAGAAATCAAATACTGCCTCAATCCCAGAACTTTTTTTCTTTTTGGTAGAGATTTTCTCTTTTGGAGTAGAAGCAAATAGAGGGCAAATAGAGGGAAGCACTTACCCCCACACGAATATCGTAGGTTATATAGGATTTCTTGGCGGCCGTATTCGATTGTTTCTGAGTTCCAGTTATAAAGATGAACTCATCATCGTGGTAAATTAAGCGGTCAATCTTGCAGTTGCAAGCCGATTTATTGGTCATGATTGAAAAATGAGGAATTGGTAAAGATGGTTGATTTGTATTGAATGTGTGTCGATAGAAAAGAAATCAAAGCGCAAACAACAAAAACCAAAAATAGCATTGAAGCGCCGCATGACATCCGTTCAAAAAAAGGAAATTCCCGATGACGATGACGTTAATGGGAAGGCGGCCACCCTCGAATGGAGCTCAGGTCATCATTTAATGAAACATCCATATAGAATAAATGGTTCACAAAAACCAAAGTCTATTGTTTTAGTCGATGAAGATTTTACGATCATTAGGTATGAAAAAGACGCCTGCGTATCTAAGAAAACACGCGGCGTTTCGTTGGTAATCCTTTGGCCCGCACAACACAACTCAATGCCTAATGCGTTCCTGGTGTAACGCGATCAAGCAAATAGCGCAACAGCGTTGTTTCCAGATTCTATGTGAACACCCCGGATAAAGCTCAGTGCATTAGTGTGAAGCTTTAACGACTAGTCAAACCAAGGCCAAATGGGCCGTAATCCATCAGCATTATTGTTCATCCAACGATGAAGGAAAGTTGTGCAATCGGCTTGACAAGCAGGAATATAAGGTGGCGAAGTGATAGCGCCTGACCGCTTGTCATTCGGAAGCAATATTGAACCTCAAGTATTTTCGGTGATTCTTGGGAAGCCAGAGGTTGATATCTTGAGGTGATTTTTGCTAACCCTGCAATCAAATCCTATACCGAAGAAGCCTTGCAAAAAAAAAAAAAAAAGTCGGCATTTCAAGCTAAATCAATCATTTGTCTTCTTTAGATGGTCCACTTGGAGGACAGTCTTTCTCGGTATGCAAGCATCTTTCTCAATAAATTATGTCAATACAGAGCTCATGGAGTATAGTTATGGTGGCTCGAAAACCGTATTTTCTTGGGCATTCGCTCCCTATCTGCACATTTCCCAATCTAGATATTAACGATGTGTGCAACTCTAAACATTAGTAAATATCGGATTGTTACTGTCGCCATATACTATTTTAGCCGTGTGCCATAAATGCCTGTATGAAACATGTGGGGTGGACACGGCATGGTTCTAGATACTGTTTTCTATCAGAAAACAGACAAAAAATGGCCCTCCAAACAAAAACAATTACAGAGTAAAAATGTCGACGGGAATTGTGCGTGCAAAATGGTTTGTCGAGATGAGAAGAATGAACCATGGGATCAGAAAACACGAAAAACTTTATCCTTGGACTGTTTTCGTCAAGATCAAAAAAATATTCTCATCACACAGAATGTCCATTTAAGGAAATTTATCTGACTTATCAAAGGGTAATACTGCAGATCGTTAATAACACTCGGAAGCGGATTGGTCTTGGCGCGCTATAAACTTGTCCTTCTATCTAGTCGAACGAACCTGAGAATATCTCACACGCGCAACGGACTGGACCGCTATTCTTCAACCGCCACGGAAATAAAAGTTAGATAAGCAGCTTTAACAGTTTATCGCTTTTCATTTCTCACTTTTCCACTTTTTTTTCCACTTTAATTTATACGCTTATTTCTTTGCAATTCCTTTTTTTTTTTTTTTTTTTTACGAGTGATCTTATCCAAACGATATTTTTGATCAAACATGAATGTATCAAGTGGAAAACAATTATGCAAGGAAGGCAGTGATACGTGCTCAACAGACAAAGATCTTGAAACTCCTGCCAATGGCATGCCTTACAAGTCGCCCGAAGAAAAACGTTTTGTTCGTAAAATGAATTGGACTATTCTACCGCTTGTCGCCTTTATCATTTTTATCCAGGTACTTTTGAAAGGTTGTCTTTCTGCTTCTATTTTGTTTCTGACAAAGGCCTTTTTTTCAATGACCGCAGTTTGCCGATAAAGCAGCCATTAGCGTTGCCGCAGTACTAGGCTTAATGGAAGACACTCATATCAGTGGAGAACAGTTCAGTTGGGTTGCCTCCATTTTTTACTTGGGCTATCTCGTATATCAAGTAAGTGCTTATCCATGATGGAATGTTCAGAGAAATTATACCGTTGCTGAGCCTTGAAAATTGTCAGTTACCCAACAACTATCTTTTACAAAAAGTACCACATGGACGCTATCTTGGCGTGTTACTCTTAATGTGGGGTACGGTGATGTGTACCACCTCATTATGCCATAATTTTGCGGAATTGATGGCCACACGTTTCCTGCTGGGTCTTTTTGAAGCCGGCACGAGCCCTTGTATCTTTATCATCTTGAATACTTTATATCGTCGCACAGAACAAGCCGCATGCTTTGGTTATGTGGCCGCATGCACAGGTATGGGGGCCGTTATCGGTACCCTCTTATCATTTGCTATTTCATTTATGGAAGGCGTGGCCGGTCTCCGAGCATGGCGATGGTAAATCCAAAATTACACAGAAAGAAGACCGTCCCGAATAATCCATCTAATTTTAACCTTTATATTATGTCAGGGTCTACATTATTCTCGGTGCCATCACGATTTTCTTTGGCTTTATTGTATTTTTCTTCTTGGCCGATGACCCCAACCACAAATTACTTCGATTGACCGAAGTGGAGAAAGAAATTGTAAAGGAGCGTACCCAAGACAATGCCGTAGTCCGCAGCAGAAAGATCAAAACGTATCAAATGTGGGAAGCATTGAAAGAGCCCCGCTTATGGCTCATATTACTGGCTTCGTTATGCATCAACTTTCAAAACGGTGCACTCGTGAATTTCAGCGCGACCTTGGTGAAAGGATTCAATTTCTCTGTAAGCTTCTCGAAAAACGAATAAGCCGATTTCTTCAATGCTCATACATCTGGCTAGGCTACAGAATCGATCATATTACAAATTCCCAGCGGTTTAGCGGCAGCGTTTGCTGCTATCATTGCTGTCATAACTGCGCGAAAGTCACGTCAAGCCATTTATACTGGCATTGGCATGGGCATTGTATCTGCTATTGGCTGTTTATTACTGGCAGTGATTCCTCAGAGTGCCGGAGCAGTCAAGTTATTGGGTTATTACTTGAGCTGGGCAATGGCCGGCGCCTACACGATCATTCTTACCGTGATCGCCAACAACGTATCGGGTTATACCAAAAAGATCTTTTATAACGGGGCTTATATGATCTTCTCTACCTTTGGTAACTTTATCGGTCCGCTGATGATGGTCCAAACGCAAGCTCCCGGCTACGTTGGTGGTATGATAGGCTACACAGTAGCCAATGTTGTTGTCATCATTTGCTTGATCTTGATACGATACATCATGGCCAAAGAAAATCGTCGACGCTTAGCCGATCCTCCCACGGAACCGACGGATGTGTACCTCGATCTCACCGATGCCGAAGATAGAAATTACATCTATCGCCTATAATGTTACTGGCTTTCAGGGTGCGGAACTGACTCGTCATGTCAGAGCACGACATATTCTCTATTGTATTCTACATCTCACATGATGCTATGTTACACTTGTATGAGCAATCAGTCTTTGTATTTTAATAACTCTATTGATTGGATGACAATCGCGATCACATAGTAAATTATGACAAATTATTTCAGGATTATTGAATGCGTTTCCTTTTGAAAGGACAATGTGATTTGCGTTTTGTTCATAATTGAAAACAAAACAGTCAAGCTATTGGCCAGTTTACCTTTTTCTTTTTCCTGCACAATGATTAGCGTGGAAATTTTTTTAAGATTTCTGATCCATGTCAGATGATAGGTTGCAGCTTTGTGACACTTAGCTTGCATGAAATGTGCTGGAACTTGAGATTTGCAGATGTATCAATTGGCATTGTCATTCGAAATGAAAAATAAATACGCCATGTTCTTTTAAGAAACCAATCAACTCGTACCGTTACCTCGTAAGGCATACCGATCTTGCCTCAATTCACCGTTCGTGATCCTGCTCTGTAGATAGGGTCTGCTTTTTAGTTTAGACCAAAAAACATCCCACGGAAAATAAGTTGACACATCTTTATTTGTCGTGAGAATCTTTGGACATTCACCATTTGGCCATGTGAACCGCTCGAATGAATCCAACGTTAAAGCACTGTAAGAGCGCGACGCTACATACCCTCACATACCAGAATACCACATAATCTTCAGTTCGACATTTTAACCGAGCACAACATTAGCTTCATAGTAAATTAATATATCATTTGCTTATGCTCAAAGTTTTATGAAGCAGGGCTGCTTCTTCGCTTCATCATTATATAAGGACTTTTTTTAGTAACAAAAGGGTACTTCAAAATTCCACGACCAAATTACATTAATGATGCAGATCTGGATCTCTCAACTTGTAAGATTTCTCAACATGGGAAAAAGAAAAAATAAAGGCCGTATCACCCAGCAGCTTAAAATAAAAAATTTGGATGCAACTCTGCCATCAATGACAAGCGAAAATAATGAACTGTAAGAAAGAGCCATTGCAAATTTCAGCAACGCAAGAAAGAAGGCAACCTTATATTCAGAGATCATTTGGAATTTTACACGCTATTCTTCTTCTTCTCCTTTACATGTTTGACTAAAAGGCGTACCAATTCAGTACTTCGGTAATCGGGCGGCACACCATCGATCATTGCATTCATGGTGTAGCCGACGCCAATCTTGTATTCTTCATTCCACCAAAAGATACTGCCACCATTCCCTTCCCAGCCTGCAAAGACAACGCCATCAATGGTTTGGCCCGGTCCGATGCCAAATCCACCTCGAAGACTTGGCGAAGGAGCTCCGTTAAGCAGGACATCTACATCCACAGGGACCGGCTTCATGGCTTCTGTCCACGTTTTCTCGTTCAAAAGGTCCGGCTCGCCTTTCACTATAGCGTGGCCCTTATTGGCCATCATTGCAGCCAGTTTCGCCATCTGCGATTATCCCGTCCATATATATGAGAAAAAAAAAGGTACTTGTTGTTTTCCACCATGTATTGCATGAACACTTACGGAGCGTGAATTGGTGTAGCCGTTGTAGGCAGGACCTTCAACGTGGCGTATCTTCCACATTTCGGTATGCGCCACTTGATCCGGCATGGAGATACCTGCTGCCCTGTAAATGAGGTCATAGTCTACCGTTACGGTTGAATCCGCATCGTCATAAAGGTTAAGCCCAAGACTTTTGGCCCATTGTCGCATTTTTCGGTAGAAGGGCGAAGGTTTATAGTGTGGACCAATGCGTCGATCGAATTTGGGCTCATGCGGCTTGAGGTACCATTCAATATTGTAGACCTTATTAAGCTCGGCAGCGATATCGTTGATGGTTCGATGTGCTGGGTCAACCCGGCGAATGATTTCATTAATACACCATCCTTGTGTCACTGCATGATAACCTCGCGTGCGTACGCCACCAAAGTTGTGAGGCTGTTTCGCTAAAACAATCGCCAGTTGGTCCAAATCGGCGGCGACCGCAGCTGATAACGGTTCGTCAAGCCAACTCACTCCGGCGGCATGTTGCATCTATGAACATTGTCGCTTTTTCAGCTTTTTGGATCCTCTCTTGGCGCTTTTTACAAAGACTTACCAGATCGCCCAACGTGACGTCGCTCTTATTGTTTTGGGCGAATTCCGGCCAATAGGTAGCGATTTTTTCATCGTAAGACAAAAGTCCCTTTTCGACATACTGTGCAACAATGATGGCGCTCTACAGCAAAACACATAAATATCAACCAAACAGGTTCGCTTGCTTCTCGCTTGATGCAAGTCTGTTCCCAATACACCTACAAGCATTTTCGTGCTGGACCAGCTAAGTTGGAGTGTTTCGTTGGTGTAAGGAATCCGTTTCTTTGCATCTTGCCATCCACCGTAGGCATCGATCACCAGTTCCCCATCCACGTAAGCTGTCACCATAGCGCCCACTTCACGACCTCGGTTAAAGTTCTCTTGAAACTTAGCAAACACGTCCGCATATTCGAGTTGGGCGAAACCAGAGAATGGTATGTCTCGAGGGCATTTGTATTCGAACAAGGCACATGTCCATGGGATATAAGGGCCTTTGGACAAGTACTGATGAACGAGAGCCGCACCAACGGCCAAAGCCGCTAAAAAAAAGCCTGAACTAAACATAATACAGGTGGTCGACTGCCACTTGTAGAGAAGAGGGGAAAAAAACCGCAAAGGTCTGTCATCTGCTTTAAATCCAAATTTTTCTCACCATTGCGGCTTCTCAAAAAAAGAAATGTCTCGGCTTTCAAAGCCGAAAAGCCGTCGTCCACCGTTTGCATGAAAATTTCATATTGTCTTTACAATTGCCCTGTGTACGATTTTGTCTTCATTAGATTATTCATCACAGAGCAACCCTTATATCATCTACAGATGCATTTCCTTCAAACTTCTCTCTACTGCTTGCTGTACTGCAATGCAGTGTGTGGAAAAATAGGTTGTAAACATTTCTGCCTTGACATCTTTCACGTCTGTATTCATCAAAAATGTTGCGCCTCATCATACAACATCAGAGATTCATGTTATATGTGGTTTCAAACGCACTTTTGAAAGACTGGATATGATATCACATTCGACAAAGAGTAGAGCTGATTATTTGACTGTGAGAAGAAAAAAAAAATAGGGTATCGTATGTGATAAACTCTGTTTTAAAGTAAAGAGCTGAGTATAAGGATATAATGGATAATGGATAATGGATAATGGAAATAGAAAAAAAAAGATATAATGCATGATAGGTGATGCCAATGCGATGAATAATAGGGATAGAAGGGGGAGAAAAAAAAAAAAAAAAGGAAACGCTAACTGGAAATCCATAGGGATGATGTTTGGTTCAAAGGAAATGAAACAGCCGAGTTTAACCGGATGAGTAGGATACCGAGAAATCAACAAACAAATGCCTGTATGGATCATCTCCGGGTGTGGCATTGCAGTCGGTTTCGAGAGCTGCAGTATCTGGGTACTTTTCAAAATTACTGGTATCACCAGGATGTCGATAAGGAGGAACAATAGGTGCCTGGTTCAAAATCAATGAGCCCACTTTTTTCCATAAAAAGTGACAGTGGGTCATGCGCGCTGTTAACCTACCCGTACAGTTTTTTCAAGCAGACCTATCCAGTCAACGCCTCTAAACCATTTATGTCGTTTTACGTCATCTGACCCGGACTACATCCACATGAAGTATTAATCAATGCACATTGACAGCCAAGCCCACTGTTTGTCATACACACCTTCAAATTACCTAATCGTTTCGTCCGATCCCCTACTAGGAACCGTTTCAGCAGGTCTTTAGCTAAAGGGTCAAAGTGAGCAGGAAACTGCACTTTGCCGGCTAGAATTTTCTCATAGATGCCAAAGGAGTTGTCGTCAAAAAACGGCGGATATCTATCTGCTTTGTCAATATGCGGCCGTCCAACCCGTTTGGTGCTTAATGCATGAAACTTACCCTGCAAGCATTTCAAAGATGAGAATGCCCAAAGCCCACCAGTCCACTGCTTTGCCATGGCCTTTGCTCTGAATGATTTCAGGCGCCAGATACTCAGGTGTGCCACAAAGGGTCCATGTACTAGTCGATTCAAAATACCCATCAGTCAAACCTCCAACCTCTTTTGAATCACAGATTCTTTTTTTTCTTACCGATCTTCCACTTTCTTGGCAAAGCCAAAATCTGTAATTTTGATGTGACCCTGATGGTCTATCAGAAGATTCTCAGGTTTCAGATCACGGTAAATGATATTTTTGGAATGCAAATATTCGATGGCAAGCACGATTTCGGATGCATAAAATCGAGTCATATCATTCGTGAAGCGACCGGCTCGGCGCAGGTGGGTGAAAAGCTCTCCACCGACCACATATTCCAGTAACATGTACAGATTCGCATCATCTTGAAAAGTACAGAAACTATAGTACCCAGTTAGATGAGAGTTTCTCTTTGCAGGTCCGTGTGTCACCTACAGATCGACAACAAACGGAAATCGAATGGAGGCCAGAATTTCTTTTTCCGACATGATATGCTCGACTTGCTTCAATCTAACCACTTCTGACTTTTTCAGCACCTTCATTGCATAATACTTTTGTGTTGTTCTGAATTTCGTCAGATACACTCTGCCAAAAGTTCCAGTGCCTAGTAAAAAAAAAAAAATAAGGGATAACAAGGGATATTGGTTAGTACCTTTGCTAATTTGCCAAACAGTTCAGCAAGTGCATTAAATAATACTAATAATGATAGAAAGAACACATGTTGTATACACACACAGATAATGAGATCGCTACATTACCAAGCGTATCCTGCAGTTCGAATTCCGCCAGTCCGAACGAAGGGTTACGAACATAGACCGGTGGTCGTGTATGAAAATGTTGTAACCGAGATGCTTGCTGTTGATGATAAGCGGCAATATTGCCAAGTCCGGCAAGGGGATGATTAGGAGGAAAAGATAAATCAGTCTGGCGTTTGGCGGTGGACGATTGGAGTCTCACTGTTGTCCGTGATGGGGACTGGAATGGCTGGGTTCCTCCTTGTGTACCACGAGGACTGGTGAGGTAGATGGAGTGACTGACAAGCGTAGAGTTACTTTTAGGTTTGCCGTTATTGAAAGAACGCAGAAATGGTGGTGTCGATTGAGTGTCATCGTGCTCCGCTATGGACTCCATGCTGACAGAAGACGCATCTGCTGCTGCGGTAGATAAAGTCTGATATGCTAAATTTTCGAATTCCAACATGTGAAATGGAGTTTAGCAGAAGGTGAGAATGGAGAAACGGCGAGGATAAAGCAGCGAAGCTACAAAGAGGTACAAAAGTGATGGTAGTACCAGAAGCGAAGCACAGGTAAAAGTGGGAAAGGAAAGCCACAAGAAACAGTGGTGAAAAAAAAAAAAAAAAAAACAGAGCTCTTAGCAGACTTTCATCACTGGCCACTTTGTATAATCATTCAGAAAAAAAAAACGGGGGAAAGCTGAAAATTATGGCAACAGTTGCTGCTTTGGTTCGTGTGAATTCGCCCCTCAGTTGAAAAGGCAACAAAAGGAAAAAAGGGGCACAAGCATCTTTGAAATCTTTTTGTCCTCATTCATAATTACAGAAGAAGCAAAGGGAGCATTTCTTGTATACCATATTAAATACCAGATACATCAACTACATATTCGCAACCCAAAATAAAGAAGCCCCCCGAAAACGCCAGCTTCTTGAGGTGGTCAATATATGCAAAGCACACAGTTCCTTCTCCTCGAAAATTTTGTGGACAATTTAGGCAATCATAAAGACAAAGTAAAATCAATGTGCCTCAACTTTCCTCCTCTTATGCTTTGTTTTCCGGAGCAACGTTAAGAACATGATAATATCGCGTCTTTGCGGTGTGAAAGTCTGTATTCTTGGAAATGCGCAGAGGAGCCATGGCTGCAGCATAAATCGCATTGGAACTCAGACATGATCCGTTCTGGAATTACAAAATCTAAAATAGCGGGAACAATGAACAACCAGTAGAAACCACAAACACTGGTTGGACGTCCCCGAAACTTATTGAAAGAGTTATGAGATAGCTGGCAAGATGCGTAAAAGAAGAACAGGCGGACAACTTCAAGGGACATTACGAGACGAGCACCCGACAAAGATGTCCGAGCCGATAACTCAACATGCCATCATTTCATACTACTAAGCCGTATTCTCTTATCAAAACAAATTGATAGTAAATAATATGACACTACATGATGTGAGCCGCTTAATTTCTTTCTGATTTATTGTTGGACCATTAGAGAAGATCATATCTATCAAAAGCGATGAGCTGTTTCTTTTCTTCATTTGACATCCACTTTCATTATCTTGCAAGAATACCCATTGCATACATATTTTCATTTGCATATACAGAACATCTTTCATGTTTTTTTTATATATCGTTACATTTACTTCAATTACTGTACGCATACTGGGGATGACAACAATTGTCAACGATCTAAATTTCTACATGTATCATAGCTTGCGCACCAACAACTTTTCTTTGGTTGGCGATTTATCTAACGTTTTTCCAAGTTAAATTTCCTGTCAAGTGCCTTGCTTTCTGAATTTTTATACCCCATCACTGCTCCAAAACACCAACTTATAGTTTAATGGGTTAAACTCCGATGTCAACGCCAGATCTAATGTCTACTTTGAGCTATTATATCTTTTCATTTGGATAGTAAAACTCGAAAAAAAAACTCGTTATTGATTACTAGAAACATGTAAAAAATTACATTCCAACTTTGCATGTGCCTTTGGAACTTGTAGTTCGATATGTCTTTTTTGTAAAAGCTACTTATTTCTAAAGGATCTCCGACCCTAGATCTAGTGTCTATTTCAAATACATAATTCAAATATGCGCAAATCCCATGCCTGAATGATGCGCCCGCAATCCCAATAGACAAAAGGGTTTTGTCCTGTAAATGAAGAAAAGGAGAGTACTTCTCGCTTTATGAGCTCATATTTTTTTTTTCTTTTGGGTTCCTCTCTTCGGCCACTTGGAACACTTCCGGATAACTTGACTTGATTAGTTTTACACAACTTTATAACTATCTTTATTTTCACTAGATTTTTTTTTACGAAAATGTGCTCGATGATCCTCAAACTGCTGTATTTTCTTTATTTTCAACGCGGAGGCTGGTTTTGTTGGGTTGCAATACCGTATTCAGGATGGATCAATAGCTTTGGCGGAGATTCACAAAATCAACGTCACATGTGACGTAGCGCTCGAAAAAACATCGGCGAACTCCACTTCCGTTGAAGAACAAAAAAGCCTTCCATTTACGGTTCGCGCGATCATTTCTAACGAACGACCATGGACGATTCTCTTTATGATGAGTTTGGCAATTATATCGGTCCCGATATTGAGGACGAAGACGAGGACCTGGAATTAGACGAAACCGAAGAGTACGTCGAACCTGTGCAGCCTACAGTATCCCACTATGAAAGCGGCGAAGAGGAGGAAGAGGTCGTCGACGAATCGGCCTTGATGCAAGTGGATGGTATGCTCGCTAGGATTCGTCTCTCAGTTCAATGATAACTGCAAGGATACTAACCATGGTGTGCACAGATATTCCCGCCAATCAGATCGTTTTGCACGAAGACAAGAAATATTACCCTTCTGCCGAAGAAGTCTATGGCCCTGACGTCGAAGCCATGGTCCAAGAAGAAGACACTCAACCGTTGACCGAACCTATCATCGCCCCCATCAAGGTGCGAAAGTTCCATGTCACTGAAAAGGATTTGCCAGAGACACGATTCAGCAAAGAGTAGGCAGTTGTTTTGTTGTTTGCTCACGCAAGAACCCAGTGGAATTAACGTTTTCGATAGATTTTTGATGGATCTCATGACGTTCCCTAATCTCGTTCGTAACATTGCTGTGGTTGGCCATCTTCATCACGGCAAAACTTCGTTTCTCGATATGCTCGTATCCGAAACCCACGACATTCCTATCAACGTAGATCAACCTGTACGTTCTGTGACCCTGACGATGAACGACATTCCTCCAGTGCTCTGACATGCCGTTATTTTGTAGGAACGTTATACGGATACACATACTTTGGAAAGAGAGCGTGGTGTTAGTATTAAGAGCATGCCAATGACCATGGTGATGCAGGATCTTAACGACAAGTCCTATGTCTTGAACGTTCTCGATACGCCAGGTAAAATTGCTACTTGCTGACGTTTTCCATCTCTGTGACATATACTTACGTATTTATTTTTGCTACAGGACATACCAACTTTATCGATGAAGTTGTGGCAGCTACGCGTTTGGCAGATGGTGTTGCTTTGATTGTCGATGTTGTAGAGGGAGTAAGTAATCGTGTTGTAAAGGGGAAAAAAAAAGTGAATCTCGTTCGTGCTGTGCTGAGGCATCGATTTTCTTGCTAGGTGATGGTGAACACAGAACAGATCATCAAGCACTGCATTCGTGAAAAATTGGCAATGACTCTGGTGATCAACAAGATGGACCGCCTTATTCTTGAACTCAAGTTACCCCCGGCTGATGCTTACTTCAAATTGCGATATGCCATTGAAGAGGTGAACAGCATTATCAGGTACGTTGGTTATATAATGGGCGCTTTGTATATCAAAAACACTCACGGTTTTAATTGCTATGGTACCGTAAAGATCGACCCCTGGCGGTGAAAACATCCGACTGTCCCCCGAACTTGGCAACGTGTGTTTCGCATCGACCCAATACGGCTGGTGCTTCTCTTTGAAATCATTCAGCAATCTTTACGCGGATTCCTATGGTGCGTAGGATAAAAAAAAAGTTGTTTCGAAAAAAATGAACTAACCTGATACGGTATTTTTTTTTTATAGAGGAAGAAATAGATGTTGATGAATTTGCAAAACGTCTTTGGGGTGATATCTTTTACAATCCTGAACGTGGCAGTTTCCACCGCAAATCGCAAGGGCCCGATAGCCGACGTACTTTTGTCCACTTTATCTTGGATCCTCTTTACAAGGTCTATTCTCACGTAAGTAGAATCTTGGGGTAAAAAGTGATGATGCATCTGTGCACTCATTACCTGCTCGTCGTTGTCGTTGTTAGGTCATGAGTGAAGACACTGCGGGATTGAAAAAGACGTTGCGACATCTTGGCATTTATTTGAAGGAAAAGGATTTTGCTTTGAATATGAAGCCTTTGTTACGTCTCGTTTTAGCGCAATTTTTCGGTCCCTCATCCAGTTTTGTGGATATGACAGTCAAACATATTCCGTCACCCGCCGAAAACGCTGTCAACAAAGTTCAACATATCTATACAGGTCCTTTGGACACCAAGGTGGCTAGAGCTATGCAAGAATGCGATGCTGACGGTCCTTTGATGATCCAAGTTACCAAATTGTACAATAACGATGATGCCAGCGAGTTCCGCGCTTTCGGACGTGTATTTAGCGGTAGTGTCAAGTCTGGTCAGATGGTCCGTGTGCTTGGTGAAAATTACTCGGTGGATGACGAAGAAGATATGATGATGCAAAAAGTATCCAATGTCTGGATCCATGAATCAAGGTAACTATTGGAATCATTTTCATCGTGGAAATTTTGACAGAGGTCCTAATCTACTGCTGTTGATGCTGTGCAGATATCAAATCGAAGTGGATGGCGTCCCCGCTGGTGGCTGGGTGTTATTGGGCGGTGTGGACAGTTCAATTATCAAGACAGCTACAATTGTGGATCAAAAATCACCTGAAGATGCCTACATTTTCCGACCTTTACATTTCCCTACAGCTGCCACTTTGAAGGTAGCCATCGAACCAGTGAACCCCTCTGAATTACCGAAAATGCTCGATGGTTTACGAAAGATCAATAAGAGCTATCCAATTGTCACCACAAAGGTTTGTAATTGCCTCGCTTCCTCAAAAGTTTGATTTATCTGTGGCTCATGCGAAATATAGGTTGAAGAGTCGGGTGAACACATTTTACTGGGAACAGGTGAACTGTATCTGGATTGTGTACTTCACGATCTCCGTCGTATGTATGCCGAAATCGAACTCAAGGTCGCCGATGCTGTTGTCCGCTTCTGTGAAACTGTCGTTGAAACTTCTGCCCTGAAATGCTTTGCTGAAACTCCCAATAAGAAGTAAGCACTCAAAAATCGCCACGTTTTTTCATAAAGTGAGAATCAATTTCTAATTCAACCTCTTTTTTTTTTTTTCAACAGAAACAAATTGACGTTTATTGCGGAACCGTTAGAAAAAGGACTTGCAGAAGAGATTGAAGGCGGCCGCGTGAGTATTCACTGGCCTGCAAAGCAACTTGGAAGTTACTTGCAAGAAAAACATGGTTGGGATGTTCTTGCTGCACGATCCATATGGGCTTTCGGTCCCGATGATATGGGTCCTAATGTCCTGGTGGATGATACCTTACCATCGGAAGTGGACAAGAAGTTGTTGCACTCTGTAAAGGATTCTATTCGACAGGGTTTCCAATGGGGTGCACGTGAAGGACCTCTGTGTGATGAACGTAAGTGCTTTCTATATATCCGTCGTCGGATGATGCGTTGCTGACGTTGTTTTTGCTTTTTATTAGCCATCCGCAATGTGAAATTCAAGATTTTGGACGCTGTTTTATCAAACGAGCCCATTTATAGAGGCGGCGGTCAAATTATCCCCACTGCTCGCCGTGTATGTTACTCATCTTTCCTCACTGTAAGTATTGACACGCTGCATCAGAATTGAAGCTGGGGAATGAAATAGCACTTCTGACAATGGAAAACTTTTAGGCAACACCGCGTTTGATGGAACCTGTATACTACGTAGAGATCCAAGCACCGGCAGATTGTGTATCAGCTGTATATGCCGTGCTCCAACGAAGAAGGTAACAAAAAGAGGGATGGCGGCTGTATATGAAAATGACAATACTGAATTTATTGTTTTCGTTTTGCAGAGGTCATGTTACACAGGATATCCCGAAACCCGGATCTCCACTGTACACTGTCAAGGCGTATATCCCCGTGATTGATTCATGCGGTTTTGAAACAGATTTGCGAACACATACTCAGGGTCAAGCTTTCTGTCAACAAATCTTTGATCATTGGCAGATTGTGCCAGGTGATCCTTTGGACACCAGTATTGTATTAAGACCTTTGGAAGCTAGCCCAGCACAGCATCTGGCAAGAGACTTTATGGTGAAGACAAGAAGACGAAAGGTAAGATCCACTTTCATTTAACACTGTTGTTGAAATGGACATATTTGACTGATGACATATTCTTTTGTAGGGTTTATCGGAAGATGTCAGTATAAACAAATATTTCGATGATCCAATGCTGTTAGCTTTGGCACAAAGTGATGTTTTAGGAGGAACGTACACCGCACAGTAACTAAAAAAGAAAAGAGAAAAGAGGGTATACTACAAATAAAATAAAATACAACATGTTGTTCTCATTCTTATTTCACTTGGTATGCGAATCCATTATCATCGTTTGTTGAAGAACACACTCACTGTTTCATATGACACGTATTATTGATCCAAAGTTTGGCCATGAAAACCAGCTTCAAAAAAAAAGATACAATAAAAAGCAAGCTCGAAAAGAAGTTTATTGCATTAATGACTTGCAGTGATAGCTTTTCAAAGAGGTTGTGACGATTTTTTTCATTTTCTGCTTTTGGTAATCAATACGTACAATCATTTTGCTGAGCGGAGCACTTGACTGTAATTTGTTTGAATCGATGTTGGATCTTTCAAGGAAACATATTTCAGTATACTTCAATTAGCCTTGCTTCCTTGTCAAGATTCTCATTCAAAGAATGCCTGCAAAGATTGGTCGACAAACCATGGAATATAATTTATCAGAGATGTGGTCAGCTTATTTGGCTTGATTATTCACAGTGGCTTGTCATTGTTCACATACCGCACATTCGACCTCACCTTATCTATGGTTAGCATATGATTTGATAGAGTGCTGTTGCTTCCCAGCCATTGTGTGAACGAAGCAGAAATGTTGGGAGTTCAGAATTTGTATGCGAGAAAAAAGACACTTACCATTTTAGGTAATCTGTAATGATTTTGGTGTGAAACCGCAATGGCTGACCTTGGTGTGACTGTGAATTAATGGAAATTGAATAAAAAGACCATTCATTTTTTTCTGGATTTGTCAGGAAAAAGGAATCGTACTTTCTTTCGCAACTCTTGTCAGAAATATCATGAACCCAGCTCGCTTTATCGCCAGACCTACTGCACAGATCGCTCGTGGTAAATATCAGTTGTTATGATTTTTCTTTCTGTCATCACTCGTATTGATGCGAACTTTGTATGTCAGTGGCCGCAAGCCGACGTGCATTCCACGTCGCCCGACCCTGTTTGACCGGAAAGACCTTGGAAGGAACCGAAGAGAATTTTGATGAACTCGTCATCAACGCCGACCACCCTGTCATTGTCGATTTTTACGCCGAGTAAGCATGATACGGATGTATTTCGAAAAGCAAAAAAATTGGTTTTAATTTCTCGAGCGATCGAAAACAGTTGGTGTGGACCTTGCAAAGTATTGGGTCCTTTGCTTACAAAGGCAGTGGCTGCCAATCCCACGGTGACGTTGGTGAAAGTGAACGTTGATAAATACCAGGAGCTCGCTACCGAGTTTAACGTAAGTGATATATTTCGGGAAGGGCGGGTGGGGAATATCAGTGGTGCGCCTATATTTTTTTCCTTTTGGTGCGGTGACCGGCGGAAAAGACAAAAAAGTGGAAAATAGGTCAAAGATCCTAGTCTTAATATGTCATTGATGTTGAACTTGGACTTGTTTATTTTAAACAGATTGCGGCATTGCCGACGGTCATGGCTTTCCAAAATGGTGAAGTGGCCGATCAATTTGTCGGTATGCGCAATGGTGCTGCATTGCAAGAGTTTGTGAAGAAACATGCTTCCAGTGCGTGAAGAGAACAATTACTCAACTATTTTCTAAAAAAAAAAAAAAGAAAAAAAGTACCACCAATAAAAATATAGATTTCGCCAATGGATATGTTAAAGGAGCTACAAACTATGGCTTTGCAGCCTTGTCTGCCACACTAAAATCGTAATCCTTTCGAGCTTTTACCGACTTGGGCTCCCGGTTGCTTTTGAATGATGATTCAAATCGCGCAACGGAGTTTTTTTACCATTGCAAGTTCAAAAAAAAAATACAACCATAAAAAATGCCATGAGGAATTACATTGATCTGTGAGACTTTTAACATTATCTTTAATTTATCAAGAGCGAGGGTTATTCTATTTTCTAAAGCAAGGGAATAAACATGAAAAAAAAAGAAGCAAGTATATACAAAAAACAATGATCCGTTTATCTACTTAGGCCCAAACATCTTCCTGGTATCTGCCCGTTTTACGAAGCATATCAACATATTCCGTGGCTTTGGCATCATCCAAACCGCCAAATTCTTTCGCAAATTCCATCACAGTTTGAGATACATCCTTCGCCATACGTTTAGCATCACCGCATACGTAGAAATAGGCTTTTTTTTCCAGCAAGTCCCACATCTCCGCGCCGTTCTCCTTCAAACGATGCTGAACATATACTTTTGCGTCAGTTTCTCGTGAAAAGGCGGTAATAATGCGAGAGGGCGATGGCAACTGTTCAAACAATTCGGGCCACTCTTCGGCGTACAGAAAATCTTCAGTCGATCGACGACATCCAAAGTATAAGATAGTGGGACCCACGGGTTGGCCTTGTTTAGCTTGATACGCACGTTCATGCACAAATCCTCGGAAAGGTGCAATACCAGTTCCAGGACCCACCATAATGACCGGCGCCCGAGTATCGACTGGCAGCTTAAAATTGGACCGACGAACGTGCACGGGAATCTTTGCCATACTAAGCTTTTGATCATAATACTGTCCGCTGGGGCCGTCAATCATATACACCGGTTTTCCCTTTTCCATTGCCGTATTGTGAATGGCGTTATGCACCGCCCACAGGTAGTTTGTGTTCACACCGTACACCATGCGATCGGGAGCCATGGCTGGATTGTAGCTAAGGGTGACGGCTGTAATGCTGATAACATCAGGGCTTTCACTGGACGATGAAGAGATCGAATAATAGCGTGGCTGCAAGCGACTGAAGCATTCCACCAGGATATCCAAAGGTACAGTGCTGAATGCCCCTTCCTTTGCACTACCGTCGACACCTGATTTCGAGAGACAATATTCCAATGTTTCGGCAAGGTTACGAACACCATCCTGGACCACACGTCGATGCTCCTCCTTGTCGTCGGCCAAAGTCTTCAATAACTCCTTGCATGCATCATTCGGTGCGTAATCGACGAGTAAGCTCAAAGTGGGACGGCTTGGCAGCTGGCAGATTTCAAGATAATGTCTGAACATGGCCAAGTAGCTGGTAGGGGAAGGGAACGGTGACTTTTTGGAAGCCGATTGATCACGGAACTGGACGGAAATAATCTTGTCCAACTTGTCCTTCAATCCAAACAACGCTGCCACACGGATCACTTCATCTTCGGAATTGGTGGGCCATACACCGAGATGATCGCCCGTCTGATAAGAGATGCCGGAACCTGTAATGTCGAGATCAATGTGCATGCAGTGTCTATCGGAGGTGGCCGTCATGTCTTTTGTTGTAACAAGAGCGGGGTACGGTTTCTTGACGTCCCAAATTGTCTGTGTTGCATCTCCCAATTCGCCCAAATGAGGATTCTCACATGCATCGATTTCTTCGGCAACATAGGTGGACACAGTGACAGTGTCTGCTTCTTCGTTGGCCGTCACACCAAGGTTTTCTGCCAACAACGGCCAGAACTGTTCTTGCCAGGCAAGGAAATCGTCTTCAATGTCGGCATCGTCATCGCCTTCACCTCGTTCACCAAGTCTGGTAGCACCGAATTTCCGCAGCTTCTCATCGATCACTCGAGCGGCCCCGTTGAAATAGGTGTAAGAGCTGTTACCTAAACCAAACACAAAATAGCGCAAGTTGTTCAAAGGCTGATCGTCCCCTGTGCCTTGCGAGAATTCGGGTTGTTCGGCATGAAGCAGGTCCCAGAACTTCACAGCGTTATCGGTGGGTTCACCCTCACCATAGGTGGCCACCACAAACACCACCAAACTGTCGGACGGGATTTGATCCAAACAAGACATATCATGCTGTTCGATATCGGCAACAATAGCTTCAATGCCCTTTTGTTTACACTGCTTTCCTAAGCGTGATGCAAAATCTTCGGCTGTGCCTGTTTGCGAACCATAAAAGATGCAAACTCGGCGACCCTACGCCCACTATTAGTTTTTCCTCGGTTGACATGAGGGAAGAATTCTTGCAACTTACTTCATTTTTCATTTTATCGGCAATGGATTCCGTCTTCTGTTTTGGAACCCGGGCAACGTTTTTCGTTGAAGCGACCGTTTTGCTGGTGAATTGATTTTTAAGTAACCAGGCCAAAGCACCCAGACCCAGTGTGCCTGCCAAGATCATCATTAAATGACGATCATTTAAGGACGAACTGGAACTTTTGTTCATGGGTAAAAAAGTACAGCAAACAGCGTAAAAAAGTGTATGTGGAGTTAAAAAAATAAAAAATAACGGGAAAATGGATTGATATCAAGTCGTGGTTCTTATATTGCCCCTCAATTCGGAGGTCGTCGGCCCGTGTTTCTTGATTCCTATTGGATATATTGTTCGGTACCATGATTATCCTGGATCTCCCAACCGGCAATTCCCTGAATGTCCGATGACTCAAATGCACTCCACGCCGTCTTTTCCCTCTTGAGATCCGTCACCAAATCTAGGTGCATGTGTTCCCTCCAATAGCATATGTTTATCAGGATCCCTGTAAACTATGATTACAATGTGTCTGATATGATCAAAATCACAGAAAAGCTAATAGATAAAACTGTTTGCGCTTTTGCAGCGATTAATTGGCGCACTTTCAAAAAGTCGCTTTCGACAAATAGGATTCCATCTGAGCTTTCCATACTTGAAAGGATATGAAAAATTACAAAGTAGGCATAGGTAGACTGAATCAATGGGTAGACAGCTATTCTGAACAATAACAGCCGGGGTTGCAAAAGATGGTGCATCCTGGGAGGGTCCAAGGCACATTCATGTTGAATAATCTTGAAACAAGTTTTTGTTTTTATTGTCAGTTGCTGCACGTCAGCCAGCCAATGCCCCTTTCCGAAACGTCATTGATGATGTCGGCTGCAGATGCCTAAGATAGGCCCAACTGCCACATACGGAAAATGATTCATTTCGCATAGAATTTTTAACCTGTTCAGCCAAGACCAAGCCCGTACCACTTGATTTACGAATACTGCGGATTAAGTCTATTTGTTTATTATTTTTAGTTTTCAGCAAGTTGCCTTGCTTAGCCAATTCCACTTTCTTCAAGGTGATTTACAGTATGAAGGTTATTTGAGTATGAGACATAGAAAATAATTGGCTGATGCCAACGTGTTGCCGACGGCGACAATGACCTGCTGGAACGATGGATACTTCGATAGGCTACATATTTGTCTGCGGTTGGTCTATCGGCTATTCTTTAACGAAGCCTCATAGGGAGCATATTAGCGCAAACAATTTATTATTGCGATATAAGGTTTGCTATGTAGATACTTTGAAAGTCGAGTTCCAACCGCAATTAGCAATGACTTCGAAAAAAAAAACTGTGTGGGGCATTGTCTCCAGAGTGCGGTGTCCATGGTGAGGCTTTTTTGATCTCCCGAAGTTCATATAATTTCGCTGTCACAAATCTGGTTCGTTGAAATGGGGACAGGGAGATAAACAAAATTTTGGATATCAGCCATAAGCAACCGATTCCTTTGTCACCATGTCGGTCATGTCACTTGGTATGAAAGCCCATTTTCTATTGTAAACGCACGTTGCTTATATAGTCTACTTGTAGTCTCGTCTTTTAAGGCGTTGCATCCTTTCAAGAGAGCATCGACCTTTACGGGAGTGTTCGCTTCGCAGTCGGCCAGGTAAACAGTTACATGCCTGAAATCGTTGCACGAATCTCGATGAATAACCCTGTGCGCAGTTTTTCCAATGCAGCAGCTCGTTTAGCTGAACAACCTCCCAGTGAGCGACCACAAATCGGAGCTTCCTCTTTATTCGAGAATGTACAAGTGGAAGCGGAAGAGACTTTGACAAAAACCGGAGACAAGCCTGTCGATAAAGAAGTACGTTGTGCCATTCGTCGTCTTTTGCAGCTTAATGTGGGTCTTGTATTGATTATGAGTTTATAGTATCGTTGGTCGTCTACCAATTTCAAAACGAGTCCCCGAAAGTTGAACATGATTGCAAGACAGTTGCGCAATCTTCCCATCGATGAAGCCATCAAACAGTTGGAATTCTCACCAAAGCGATCAGCAAAGAAGATTATGCACAACTTGGCATTTGCCAAGAAGAATGCTCAAGATCAAAAGGGTTTAACAAACTTGGTTGTCGGTAAGCATATGAACATATTATTATTTAGCCAGGGGTCAGTACGCTTAATATGAATTTTATGATGGAAAATTAGCACAAGCGTGGGTTGGAAAAGGACGATATATCCAACGTATCAAGCCTCACGCCCGTGGTCAGTTTGGTATTGTGCATCGCAAAGAAGCACACATGAAGTTCCTTCTCAAAGAATTGGATCCCAAGGAGGAAGCCTTAAAATCACAACGACGAAATGTTCGAGGATGGCACGATAGAAAGAAGGTGTGGACACCTTTGGCGGAGAACAAGCCTATCTACAACCCCAAGCCTTTCTATAACTGGTAATAAAGTTATTGCATATAATAGAGATTTTTCAAATGTAAAAAGAAAATTAAACGCAACATCTGGATCTGATAAAATGGAAATATTTCAATCTGAAAAAAAGATTGATAAATGAACGAACGATGTGTGGATGGTTTTGACGGATGATGGAGAGTTTGGGGGCAGGTTCTCTGCGCAGAAGTCAACGGAGTGTTGAGCAGTGCTGTGGTGCGGTAAGCACAGATAAGGACAATGAAGGCTATTTGAGGATATATTGAAAAATATGTTTGGAGAAAGCGGACTTCTTACACATCCACGGGCTGCATGCACATCACTACATCAATTAAACCCTCTCCCACCCCCCAATGCCGCATATTTTTTGGCGCCTGTTTGCCGAAATAGTAACCGAACGATTTCATGGTTCAAAATACATTTGCATCATTCAGGCGTTTTGGGGGTGACCTATACATATTGATAATGTATGCATAGGTTTCTGATCTTACATGCTGGTATCAATGTTTGGTACGCATGAGGCTGCAGAACAAGACCGACTCTGCACATTGTTGGGAATTGAAGGATAGACTTTTAGCATTCCCCCACCCCCACGCTTCTCTATTCGTGCCCTTCTTTCCTTTACCCTGGTCAATTATGTTAGTTAACTATTTGACAGGATGTAGTGCATAAATGTTATTACTTTGAGAATTTTGACCATCCCAACGTTTTCGCTGTCTGGGATTGACAACTGAAAAAGCATGGCTCGAAAATGAGTCGTCACAGCATTGTGACTTGATTTTTCCTATTTTCCCTCATTTTGCCTTCTCCGGGGATTTATGCAACAGCAAACTTCTCCTCATTTCTCGATCCGTACGAGGCAATTCAAGTTACCATTGCCATGAAACCAAATTCGCTACGGCGTTACAGTTTGGAATCGAGAATAACTCCCGGAATTGCGGCGTATCTCAGAAATGCACCCGAGCAAGTCAATCAAAGTGAAGGCGATCTTTCCGCAGCTGCTGCGATTCCAAGCTCGGACGCTTTAATAAAATTCAAAGACGACATGGAAAAATTAATACCTCACTCATACAATCGCCTTGCATCTTTGAAGCACGATCTGATACAGATAGAACGTCTTGCCGATCCGTCGAGAAAAGGTAGCGTGGAACGACATGCGTATATCATTGTTTGCTCCTGACATTGACCACTTTTGTAATTTGATAAAAAGTTTTCTCGGATGAGCCTATCAATGGCGCAGTAGTGAAAGAGGAAGGTAAGTAAACACACGGCCATAAACTGGACCTTTTTTAATTCCAAGTGTGTATGCAGACTCGGGCAAGGATATCGCGGCAGTTACACAAGATAAAACAAGGAGCCAATCGACTGGGATCGAAAGCAAGGCAGAACGCGATAAAATGGAACCACTATCTACTAGGCAGGTAAATATCTCATCATCTTTTCCAAATACCGCATTGAAGAAAACGTAATAGTTGCTTCATGGAAAATAGAATAACGGAACATCAACAGCGACGCATATTATTAACGAAGCACCTACCGAAGAACCTTCAACGCGACGAAAAAAGCAAGCAACCCAAAATACACGGCAGCTTCCTCCACAAACACAGTTTACTGCTTCTTCCGACTCGGCGCCAGATGATCTCGATTTCGTACGCATGAAACCAAAAGATCAGGTTTCCATTCATACGTTCTGGGGAGCGGTGGATCCTTTGTTTCGCCCATTATCAGAAGAAGATCGATTATTCCTATTGGAAAAGGTATGTCATGGAAGGCAGCTGCGGCTGGGAGCTTTTATATAAGGGCATACATATAGAGTATAATCTAACTGGGATGTTACAGGGTGATAATGTCAAACCATATATCATTCCGCCTCTAGGCCGCCACTATTCGCAAGTGTGGGCAGATGAAGACAAACGATATGGCATACCGCCATCGCTGGACGAAAATTCCTTCAATGATTCCATATCCCAGTCCAGCAAAAAGCCTTTTACAAAAGGCTCTGCTTCAACCAAGAGGGCAGATGCAATGATGAGGGGCGCTCATCGCGGCAATCTTATCGATCGGTTGTTGAGCAGTTTAGTGCAGGAAGATATTGTTGATGAATCATCACTGCTGCATGAGTCGAATACTACACACACTCCTACGGAAGAAGCCAAGGGAAGTGGATCAGGGGATTTGCAAGTATGGCCTTGTGAATCGTACGATATTATTAATCTTGAAGAAAGAATGAGACGCGAGTTACGTTATGTTGGATTATTAAGCGCTGACGAGGTGAGTTTTGATTATTTTTTTATTATTGCGCATCTGTTGGGATTGACGAGGTTGTCTAACACACGACAGATTGATTTCGACGCTCAAGAAGATGATGAAATTTGTGCTGAACTACGAGCAGCGGGTCGAGAATTGCAAAAACAAGTGAAAGAGAACGAGTTTCGCAAAGCACGACTGCTTGACATTGTGGATCAACAGCTACAGTACGAGCAATATCGTCAGATGCTTGAAAAATTAAACTCACAAGTGGAGCAAAGTTACATGAAACGTTTCGTAAGTGTAGATATGACGGATCTGAATGAGAGCAAGAGACTCATGCTTTAGCTTATAGAGAACCCATACATCCAAAAAGAGAAAAACCGCCTCTTCCGCCAAGATAAATGCAGCTTACGCTATGCAAAGGCGAAATACTTGGATCAACTCGCTGGATGATATCTTCCGCAATAAGAATTTGATCTTGCCGGAAGAATCCATCTACAAGCAACAGGACTAGTTTCACCACGCGACAAAAATACCCTTTTAAAGCTTCTGTACTTTTTACATGCGCACATTTCTCGTCCAACTTCCTATTCACATCATCAAATCTTTCGATTCCTATCCTCTTTTTCCCTTTCACTCATATTTCGACATTTTCATGTATATATTATTATTTCTAGGTTTGATCCCTTCTTATCCCTATACCGATTACCTTCCATGCAGTGAAGAAAAGATATAAAAAAAAAAAAAGGAAGAGGACAAATTTCTCGTCGTCATCAGATCAAAAATTTAAAATAGGATTTCAATAAAAAACCGAAACACGGTTATTTCATCTTCGCCTTTGGATCATCTTTTGACTTTAGAGAAATCCATCCTTTTTTGCTTTTCTGATTTACTGCATTTCACTTTTTGCCTGGAATCTCTGATTGAAAACTACATTATTTGGCTTACACGGTTAAAAATAACTTCAAGCCTTACAATTGTCATCCTTGATTATAACAAAAAGTTTCTAATGTATAGAGAGAGCAATTAGTCAATGGAAAAACTACAGATGACGAGAATGGCGGTGACGACTTACACGACAGCTCCTCAGAAATAAAAAAAGATGAAAGCCATCCATGTCGAGAGTGGGTGCTCACAATGAAATATCTTCAGATGTCTGTTCCAAAATTCATCGTTTCAAAAGATCTGAAATAATCCCCACACGTGTGTGCTTTTGTGTTTTTTCTTCATCAGATACTTTTTTCACCGTGTACCCAAGCTTTCCTCGACAAAGACGCTCCCCGCCAAAAACAAAAACAGGCGCCAGTGATGAAGAAAATTTGATTGGGAGTCACGTGCAAAATTTGAGTCTCAGTAAGCTTCCCCGCAGGACATGCCTACAGATGGCTCGATAACAGTCAACATAAAAAGTGTAGAGGCCGATCTTCAACGGGACTGATAATATTGAAAATTTGCTTGAGAAAAGGATTTAATGAAACACAATAGGTAACGTGCAAAGAACAATATGCTGTAGTTTGCAATGACGTTTTTTTTTCGGTTTTTGTTTAAAATGTTGTGCTGATGAAAATGTCGCAACGTAGTGTGGTCGACATTGACCGCAGCACATCGCACCGAGGATATCACCCTTTGATGTCTGTCCATTAACTAGTCTGAGTATAACTTTTTTAGATATGCTGGCCTTTCAAAAAAAAAAAAAAAAAAAAAAAAAAAAAAAAAAAGAGATATGCAATGTTCTTGTTTGAGAAGCATAATCTGAACAAACAAAAGATAAGCCTAGACAATACGGTACTCAGCCCCGTTTTGTAGTAGCCTTATCTTTTTACTGCAGCTTATCCCTAATGCAAAGTGAGTAAAAAAAGTCGGGACATTTGAAAATCAAAAGAAATAAAAAGAATATCCCCAACTCGGAGGAATAAATATTTTTTGGCGGAGCTGACGAACGATACGATCTCTCCCCTTCGCGAACGGAGCGGCAAATTGGCAATCTATGCATTGACCTGAAAATCTTTTTTATTTCTTTTTTTATTTCGGTCGTTGATGTTATCGTAGATTTGGCCACGATAGGAAACACTGGTACGATATCGCGTAAAGGGAAGGTAAGCTAAAAAGGTACAGTTTCTTGCGATCAGTGAATATCAAAGTTTTTTGTGTTCCCCAATTTTTATTTTTTTTGTTTACTGTAAAATGAACAAGCTTGCACTAGGTAAAATATAGTAACCCTATTTTCATGTTTTGGGGTGGGAAACAAAGAAAAAGAAAAATGCATCTGTTTGTTGTTGTTATAAAAAGTCGTGTTGCCGAAAACCGTTGGGAAATTTGACATTGGAGAATGTTGCACAACATGTTCGAGATTTTTTTTTGGTTTCGTGATAAGTACCAAATATGTGAACTTGGACCATGTGCTTTCGTGATGCTCGGCAGCGATCGCATTTCCTTTCAGAAATATTCACCGATATGGGAACGATGAGGTGCTCAAGATCTTGGATGGTTCAAGACCTGCAGAAGATTTTTGGCGTCCAAATTTAAACCAGTGTTTTTTTTTCTCGCCCTTGTAATTAACCAATCAGTTTTCAAACAATCCAGTCACTACTTGTTTTTTTGGTTTTTGCGCTCAGGGCAGGTTTGTCCTACGTTTGTGTCACCTCATCGGCTTACACGATCCATCAACTCCGCTGTTAAGGCTGTCCCTTGGGAAAAAAAATCAAGGAAATTGGAAGGTAGTGCAAATGGCGTATATACCATTGATGCAACAATACAAAGAGAACTAGAATAATTGATACAATAAGATCACTTTATTCATATTGAATACCCACAGAAAAAAAAAATTGAGATTTTAGTTTTTGTAACACAATACAAGCGGGAGAATAATCAGTTTTGAGAAAAATGAAAACAACTTGAACCAAAGATAGAAAAAGAAAAGCAATATGTACATGATAAGGGAGGAATAAGGTGTCTTTGGTCGTGGGAGGGGGAGGAACATTTTTTGAGATGACGAAAGGGAGATAATATGAATGAAGCGAATTTCAAAGGAATAAACATAGAATGGGGTTGTAGAAAAACTAATGAAAGAGGAGAGTAAAAAAAAAAAAACCAATTAACCACGAATGGGCCTGGGAGAGGCAGAGAGGGTAGTATCTATCGGATCGCTATAGAAACAGTATTTGCTCACGAAATCTTGATAACCGGTTTGCCAATCAAAGCCGCCAGAGGTGGGTGATGATGAAAAGATGGGGCTATCCACAGGAGATGGGGCGGCGGGAGAAATAGGAGGTTCGATTTTCTTGGGAGCGGAGGGTGAGAAGTAAGAGTAGGTGGTGGCGGGTTCGAAAGAGTAGTTCTTGGAGAGGTAAAAGAAGGAAGGAGGATATGATAGCATGGATTCTCGGCCTTCGTCTACGGGTGTAGGAGGTGAAGCAGGAGGCGACCATGGCTTGCGTGCGGCTGAAAGTGAGGCACCAAAATCGTACCTTTGAGCTAATTTCTTGGTTCGTTCCTTGGGCGCTATTAAGTTTTGAATATCCTCGTCTTCGTCCTCGTCGTCGGTCAGATCATTTTCACTGCTGGTTTCCTCAAACGGTACTTGTGGAACGATTTCGAGTTCGTAGTTGTGACCATTGTTATTGTCCCAAAAATCTTGACCATTCACGGTATAGAGCAACGCCAAATAGATCGTCTGAGCGCCCTGCTTGGGTGATACAGGAATCGAAAAGGAAAACCGATCCCATTTGTTGCCACTGCTGCTAATCGCTTCACGGTAACAAGCAATTGTTTCGTGGTGTGTCTGCCAGTAATCGAGGGTATAGCGCACCTTGACTTGTTTTTCAAACGCGACATTGGCCACGCGGCATCGACCAATCAGACACAGGTTACCATGCGAATCCTCATGCTCGTCCAAATAAACATTCTCCATACGGATGTTGACGTTTTGCTTGCGGTATAATGTTGTCTTGGCAGGCCAATTGGGATACTTCAATTCATGTCGTGGAATGGGATCACTGTGTACTGCTTTGGGGGTTTGTGATTTCAAGAAAAGTCGCACGTCTTCCAGGTCTTCACGGAAGCGGACCGTCTTTTTAGGTTTAAGATTGACATTGGAAGTGGGCGCGGCGGCTGCATTGGTTGAAACTTTATGAAGCATGACCGGTATACGATTACTGGGTGCGCGTTTGAGTGACACTCTACGTTCTACCACAGGTCGAAGCGCCATAGGAAAATGTGAGGATGGAAATGAAGATACTGTCAGAGACATGGTTTTTTATATGTACATGCAAAAATGAAAAAAAAAAATGGAAAAAAAAAATAAACCAAAATGGTTTTTCCAAGAATGAAAAAAAGGTACGCTAAAGCAAAAAGGCTTTGCACTAAAGAGAAAAAGAAGAAATGTAAAGAGAGGGCGGTCAGTTTCCAATTATATTTATATAAAAAAACTGAAAAAATTTCAAACAGCCTAGATTATGCGAATGTCAGATTCCATGGTTTCACAAAGAAGTTGAATTCCAATTTCTTGCAATCTTTGAATCCCCGGTTTAGATATCTTATCGGGGAGAGTGATACCAAAGTGGCGAGCATCCCAAATGCGTTATCATGGTAGAATCTAGCAGAAAGAAAGAAAAAAAAAAAACTAAAAATATAGTTTCCTGTTCGTCTTTTTTTTGTTCTCCTTCACACACTGCGCAATGCTCGATAAATCAACTGTGCAAGCTTTTTCGAAATGTTATACCATTTTGGCATGATATTTCACATAACGAAAAAAACTTTTTTTCGGTGGTGCCTAATTCCTTATCAACCATCTTGAATCCGGCGGATCTTCATTTTTTTTTCGGATCAGAGCTTGGTTACAGGGAGAGGAGCTTATCAAATGACCCCCTTTCCACTTGCTCTTTCCCTTTTGCTTATCCACCATGACCCCCCAATCTATTTCCTTGGTATCGGGACCCCCCAAAGGGTTTTGCTTTTTTGGTTATGGACCTCCCCCAACATCCGAAAAAAAATCCCTTCATGCAATTTTGTCTTCTTTTTTTCTTTCTAACCCAATTGTGTAGGCGCTTCAAGACCTGAAACAATTTATCCACAAATGGCAACTCAACATGGACTCAGCGCACTGAGATGAATCTGGTATGGGATGAGCGGGATTGATCTAAATAGTACATTCGATGCATCACGAAGATCCACAAAAAAGAAAATCACAAAAAAGCGTTGATTACTCAAGTGTCGGATGAACACGGTGAGCTTCCGTAAATGAAACACTTTGAACGCGACAAAATTTATCAATAAGATCTGTCTTCCCACGACTTACCCGCCTTTTTCCCCCTTTTTTCCTATGCCAAAAAGAAAAAAAGGGGGCTAACAAAAACAATCCAAAGACACAGGGAGCGCGGCGAGGAGGTCATGCATTAAAATATCAAAGAAAAAAAAAGTGATAGTGGGACTGGCGTAAACCCGAAAATAGTTGTTTTTGTTTATATCACTCATTGCTCAATCGTTGGTCCCATTGATTGCTTAATAATAAAACAACAATAAGCCGGGCAATCGTAATGAATCGTTTTTCGTTCCTTTGTTACAATTGTCTCCCATTTTGCCGTCGGAGAAAATCCATTTTTTATTTTATTTTCTTTTTCAACAAAGACATGAAAAAAAAAGTAAACAATGCAAAACTTTCTAAAAAAGGCTCATAAACTTGTATCCAAGTCGTTTGTCTATTTTTCTTCAATCTTTGTCCCCTATTTTTTCCTTTTTATTTTGCATGTACTGTGTAAAAATAAAAAAAAAGAGCATGGCAGGAGCTTGCATTATGTAAGAAGGCACCAGTTGTTGTCTATAAGGGAACGAAAAAAAAAAAAAAAAAAAAAAAAAAAAAAAAAAAACGCCGCATCGGTGTGGCACTGTTTTGAAATTTTCAAAAACGCAGCCAACCAACGGTCGTCGTTCCTCATTGATGGAACTCAAAATAGCCAGACGACTGGCTGAAAGTGACATTGAATGAGCAACCATCGGCCATCCCGATATCCCCGACAACTCGAACCTGAATCCTTTCCCCTTTTCCATTTACTGGAACTGAGGACAACGCCGCTGGCAAAGGATTTATGCGCATGAAAATAAACGGCAACCAAATGCCAAAACTCTTTTCCTATCGACGAAAATTCCATGTGTTTATCACTTGTAAAAGAAAATCATGCCGATTAGGAACAGATAAACGAAAACAACCAAGTACGCGGTTAGAACCGTATTTGAAATAAGCCCTCCCACTAGACCATGTAAAGCAAAGTCTACTTTGTGTATGGGTTTTTTTGGGCCTTTTTTTTGTAGTCTATTTTTTTTCCCCCTACAAAAATTCGGTATCCAATCATTTTATTGCGCCCCTTCAAACCAACACCAATCCCCACCATTTGCGACGGCACAATTTCAGACGTTTATCTTTTTGTTGTTGCAGAGTGGACGGGGAATCGGAACAACAACTGCCCCAATGGTCTGGAGTGATGATCATCATACAACAGATCTGGGGTCTGGGGTTAAAATAAGTGGTGTGGGAATCAATATGCAATTGGCTCCTGCGGGATCGATACATCTATGCTAACTCTATCGTGTGCGAATATCAGTTTCGGACTTGCACCAGAATATCTGATATGATATCTTTTCCGCAAGAGCTCAACTCAGTTCGTTACACCCGCTTCATTGTTCTCGCGCTTGGACGACACTTATCTCGGCAAAAAGAAAAAAAAAATGCACCATATTTCCACATCTTCTGTGACTCATCAAAAAAAAAAAAAAGGAACTTCAGCAATTGCAAGCGTGTTCTCATCGAACAAGTTTCCCTACTTGCGATCCATATCAGCCAATTCACAAGAGTAACTATAACCAAATTTCACCCCACTGTTTATCCCCGCCTAGTTCCACCATGGGAATACAATCCTCTGCTCCCCCATGGTATTGGGCAGATTGGGTAGATTGGGGTGATAGCAGATATAAACTCATAGAATGCTTCACCCTCTGCAATTTTGGGCGCGATGATCGGAAATGACGATATTATTGAATGAATCATGCGAAGCTTTGCCATAGAGACGGTAGAATTCCTTGCATATCATGATTAAAACCGTTGCTGCATGTCAACGTACTTCTTGACAAATCTGTGTTCTTGGCGCTCGATATCATGCAAGGAACGTTCTAAGCTTGGCAATGCAAAAAGGGACATATATCATCCGATATCATTGAAACCTGCAATGCACTTTAGGCTAAACCAAGAACTGTCGATTTTTCCATGTCTGTGGCCTTTGCTAGAGTTCGCTGGGGTCATCTGATGATTTTGGCAATGGAATTCAGTTTTATATGTTAGCTTGACATAATGGATGTTGTTTTGTATAAACAATGCAAAAGAACGACGTTTCATCCTTCTCATATAACTTTATCCTACATGTCTATTTGCTTTGTGATCATAATCTAACTATTTTTTCTGCCATTTCGAGCGGTATCATTTTTTTCTATGCTTGTTGCCTTTATTATGTTTCGAAATACCATACCATCCATAAACATTTGGTCAGCTGCCGTGCATCGCAGAAAATTGGGACGTCAAATGACTTCAAATTTTCAATTTCGCCTTTTGATGACGATTTTTTTAGGTTTTTAATACCACTCTAAACGTCTATTCACAACACAAATTAGCAGCTCTTGTCAACTCTCTGAGTGAGCAATCTTTTCGTTGTATGTAAACAGAGATGTCTGTGCGATTTGTTCCTGAGGCGACAATGCCATCGCTACGCCCCAGGAAAATTCATGGAGAATGGGACGCGGGCAAACAACTTACAAAGCCGTATTTCTGTGGACGAACAGGAAGAAAGCTTTGAAGCCTACCAAGGCGCGAGATAAAGTGAAATATGAAAGCCATTGTATCATAAAGAATGAGTTTCGTCGAAATTTGCATCAACTAGAATTTTTATGGGCTTGCCCTCTGGGAAATATGCAATGCTCAAGAGAAAACCATATTTTCAAGCTACAGACAAGTTAAGAAATAACCACTATATATGAACTTTCGCAGCTTGTAAACGTGTTACTGTAGTTATGCCGAGAAATCAGCTCATTCCATTGGTTACCATGTAGGTGAATAGGGCACTTTCAAATTGAGAGATCCACACCTCGTGCGCCCATAACACACATGAAATACACAATCATAAACGTCCATATCGTTAACAGAACTCCATGGAGCACATGGTTTTATTACAGGTGGACAACACTCCATAAAAGAGCTCCAAGAGTTGCAAGTTTTGGCATGAAAAAGAGATACGAAAAGGACATAGCACAAGGGAGGTGATGATTGTGGGCTCCCAAAAAGAACGTCACTATTTCAATGCTCATCACAGAACAAATTCTCTATGATTCCGCGTAAAAGGGTGCTTTTGCACACAAGGTTTTGTCCTATTACTCTTGCAACGTTGCGTGCGGTGTCAATTGCTGCCAGCGATTAAATTTTTGTTCCTCTGATTTCATTCTACAACTGGAAAAACTGAGCTATTCGTGCAATTGAAGGACCGCATGTGATTGATTGGATATCATACACAAATTAAGAGGACCTTTTTTGAGAAAATGCATCATCCCTTTTCTCCACTTGCACTTTTTTTTTTTTCTTTCCTGACAAAATGACATATACCAAACCAATGCCCCACTTTGATCTTGTTGATCACCCTACTTCGGAAACCATAAAGATGCTAACGGGACTGTTGGAGCGCATCACAAAAGCAAACGATCAATTGTTCGCTACGCATGCCGAATCTCATCGCAAGTCGAAATCGGCACTGTTATCATATAACTGTTTCCATGCTCGCTCCATTCCGACCATCGATATTCACTCTTATCTTGTTCGCATTTTAAAGTATTGTCCTTGCAGTAACGAGTGCTTCCTCAGCTTACTGGTGTATTTCGATCGTATGTCTCGCAAATCGGTCGGATTACGTATTGACTCGTTCAACATCCACCGATTGATCATCTCTGGTGTTATGCTTGCCAGCAAATTCTTTTCAGATGTCTTTTATACCAATGCACGATATGCCAAGGTAAATTCTTCTTTCGTTATTGAAAAACCGGTTGGAAAGTGAAGTCATCGGAAGGGGAAGGAACATTTCATGTGCCCTTTTTCGGACCCTTTCCTGGAATTGGACTCTCTCATGTGATAGGCTGCTGACTTTACATTGTCTTAAACGCTATGAATCTTTTTTTTTTTTTTTTTTTTTGATTGTAGGTCGGAGGGCTGCCGGTGATGGAATTGAACGCATTAGAACTGGAATTCTTGCAGTTGAACGACTTTAATATAAATGTAAAGGTGGAGGAATTACAGCAATATGGAGACAGACTGCTTCGACATTGGATTCGTGAAGAAGAACGACGAAAAGAAAGCGAGAAGAGAAAACGCGAACTACTGGTGATACACAAATTCTGCTCCGAAGACGGCGCATATCGTTCATCCAAACTTCCTGCAGAAATGCATCGATCTTCCAGCACTGGCCATTCACGATACAGAGATACCCCTTCCGCATCATTAACTACTCAACTGCGATCGCATGCATTACACAATGATACCGAATCACCAGCGAATCGCGGTTGTTGCTTGGATACGCCAAAAATATATCAATTCAGCATCGCACCATCACTCCATTGATTTCATCCTTATTTTATCCGCATCAAGCTAATGTATAATACATCTCTCGATGGCAGTCTAATCGAAACAGATTAAAGCGGATCGATGAACTGTATAATAAATGGCTTTTCGTTCGCCCTCCATCAAATCATAAAGTCGGACAAAATGGAGAAATGGTAGCCAAAATTTGACAGAAACGTCATGGAATAGGTTGGACGAAAGTTCTATGATAGGCTATGCATTCAGTAGTTCAAAAGTTTTGATTCCAGGGGATATGTATCTGATGTATATACAAAATTGGCTCATTGTTACTTAGTATGGGTGTTAGCAACAATGATCTTGCGTTCCAAATCCGAGAAAATGTCGATGCCGGCTTCCAGGGACTCGATCAGCATGTTTAACCGCACGGTATTAAGTTCAGGTTCCTGCAAGAGATTAAAAAAAAAAAGGCGTATAAGTTGGATGGAAGCGTCAGATGCATGCCGAAATTTACCTGTCGAAGTTGATCCAAATCGGTCGCAAATGCTTGGGTCATTTGTGACATGTAATGATCACGGAATTGTTTGGCTTCCGAAGCATCTTCTGTGTCTTGTTTCGTTTCAACCGATTCTTCCTGTGTTTCTGCATTTTTGCGCCCGTTCTCGGTGCTGGACCGATCCACGTCGTCCACATCGTCCATATCATGATCAGATGAGCTATCGTTGTCATTAGCACCAATGTCAAAGTCGCTGTTATTCTCGTTTTGTTCTTGATCGCTGTCGCCAGATTCGAGTTCCTGCAGAGTTTGTTCCAATTGTGACGGATCCATCTCTTCATCGAGATTATCAAATAGTCCCTCTTCTACAATAGCAATGATTTAGTCAGCCATACAATATGTTTCCCTTTTCATCAGTATAACAATCGTCGCTTTACCTTGGATCTGTGATCGAGAATAAAAAAGGAACATGGCAAAGTTATTCATCGCTATAATCAAATGCGGACATCCATTGCTTTACCTTTTCTTCTTCTTCCTCTACTACAACAGCCTTTTTGGCTTGCTTCGCCACCGGTTTCTCAGAAGCTTTTTTTGCACGTCTTTTGATACCCATACTGTCACTGGTGTCTTGCAACTGTTCTCGTATGCAAGTGTTCACACTCTTTTTTTATTCCGCTGGCAAGTCCAAAATTGGATAGCTAAGCCACCTGTGATCTATGCGCTTTTTAAACATCACTGCAACAGATGGCCCGTTGTGTCGATTAATATAATGTGGAACCCCATACGAGCCAAAAGAAGCAAGATATCTATTGATTCCATGTGCCATAAAGCAAGGAGTAGAGAGACTATAACGCTAGCCTGAATTTAGATGTTAACCTGAATGATACTGATAAAATCAAGGAACAAAAAAAAGAAAAAGCGATGTCGTGTTGCCAGTGATAGTTCTTGGAACAAGACAATTTTGTATGCTGCATGTTAAGGTAGTTTTCTACGTTACTGTGTACAGCAACGATTCTGTGTTGTAGCCTCCTTCGTACTACGGAGATGACTTGTTGGTGGTCATCTGATCTCACATTTTCTACTAAAATTTATTGGTTGTTCTTGCCCGGCATAAAAAAAAGTGGTTGTTCTTGCAAGAATGCAACAGCCACATCAATGTACTCACTGAAACAGATATATTGGCGGCCGTCTCGACGATGGTCATTGTCTTATCTGAAGCGTTGTAGAAACACATGTCACAGACATGCTATGAGAACAAGTTATACGACAATGAATCGACAAGTGAGGTATTTGGCGTAGGAATGTGAACAACGCACAGTATATGAATACAACATGTTTTCAAATGGGCTAGTATAGAATCTTTGAAATACTGTAAAGTGCTCCAAAATTCCAAGTGCTATCAGTATATCCGCAAACTTCTTTCAGGTTCGCTTTTAATCCGGATGTCGGTCCGATATTTTCATATGAATGACCAAAAAGAAAAGAAAAAAAGATGGGGAGATTTAATATGGACGACATGTTCATGCCCTTCTTTCGTGTTTCCAATAATTTCGATAACAATGTGGAACCAATCAGATGCATGATGTTCGATATGAGCCGATAAATACAGTTGCGTGCTGGTTCAGGATGGTTGTACAAATGTCAAACCAAACGGGCTCAGAAAAGTTATACATTACTACAACAATGAAAGGAGAGCGGTCTCCATGGCGTCATTTTTAGGGAAATGAAAATGGATCATCCCACAACAGGAGAAAAATGGCACCGTTTGACAGGTAAGCTTCAGAATTATCCGAGATCTTTTTTTAATCTTTTTACAATCACTTGATCAGGAGACATTCTGTCGGAGCGATGGATGGAAATGTATGATTTTTTTCATACTGGCAGTTGACATTGGCAACAATAAAAAAAAAAAAGGCTGGCCTTGCACCAATGAGTCCCGACTGCATGATAATGGTAAATGTTTATTGTTTGTCATAGAAACGCTACTTAAATGGCGAAAAAAGAAAAGATTCGCATATGTGATGCCATAGTTGACAACTCTATTAAGGTTCTCCTGCGGAAGGAAAGGGAAAGGGGACACGCCAGTTGCACAAAAGGCAACTTCGCATTGAACCAATGATTGACAGCGGGGTTTTGAGAAATGGGTGAAGCCCAATATTTAAAAAGGATCGTTTCGTGATTTTTTTGTTTTTTCATTCTTCAAAAACTATCTGTTAACAGAATGCAATCAACTATACATATTACACCTGATGAAGTCGATGTTCATGCCCCTGCCAGTACCTATTACACCACAGGCAACAATGCCGGCGGTTTGATTGGTCGCCTCAGAACTGTATCGGTAATCTATGATGGACTTGCCTGTGCAAGAAAAACGATAAACACGTAACAATACACTAACAAGTTTGGTTCACCTTTAGAGTCGTCATACTGGGTTGCGGGATGCACCTCAACGCCGACGAAGGGCGTCTCACGGTGAGTTTCAGTCACGGTCTTGCGCCCATCCCATGTTCAAAGCATGTCCTGATGACTGACACCTCTCTCTCTCATGATCTGTAGATGATAAGAGCAAGGCACAAAAATTCCTTCTCGATGTCAAGGAGACCCAACGAATCTTGGTAGAACAGGAAGACACCGATGGTGATTTCCAGATCACGGTCAATGACCTTGGACCCAAAACATTATCGGTCGGTACGGCTGACAGCGGCGGATATCGAAAAATCGAGATTCGCGGTACCTACATGCTGTCGAATCTGCTGCAAGAATTGGCTCTCGCCGAAGACTATGGACGTAAACATATTGTGCTTGACGAAGCGCGTCTCAACGAAAATCCCGTGGACCGGCTTTCCCGCATGATTCGTCACAATTTCTGGGATGGTCTCACTCGACGGATCGACGCTGAAGGATTGGAAATTATTTGTGCGGATCCAAAAAACCGCTCGGCCAACCATACCCCGCGCATCTATATCCCTTACTCCGAGGATGAAGTGTATGCTTACTACCAGCACGTGGCGGAAACCCGAAAACATCTTAACCTTGAAGTCGTTCGTCTGCCAAAGGATATCACCCCCGAGTTTGTCCAGAGTATCAATGACCGACCTGGTATTCTCGCTTTAGCGATGCGACGTGCGGTCGATTCTCAGGGCCAACCCACTCTTCGAGGTGTTCCTTTTGTCGTGCCTGGTGGACGATTCAACGAAATGTACGGATGGGATTCGTACTTTGAGACTTTGGGGCTATTGATTGACGACCGAGTGGAACTTGCGCAGGGAATGGTGGACAACTTTATTTATGAAATCAAACATTACGGCAAGATTCTCAACGCCAACCGATCGTATTACTTATCGAGATCGCAGCCACCGTTTTTGACAGACATGGCTCTCAGTGTGTACGAAAAACTGCCTGCAAACAATGAAGAAGAAAACAAACAATGGCTTCGCAGCGCTCTGCAAGCAGCCGTGAAAGAGTATCATACCGTGTGGATGGCCGAACCTCGTCTGGATCCAAAAACACAGCTGTCCCGATTCCGACCTGACGGTGTCGGTATTCCTCCCGAAACAGAAGCCTCTCATTTTGACCATGTCATTGCACCCTTTGCCAACGACATCGGAGTCTCAATCACCGACTACATGCACATGTACAACAATGGCGCCGTGAAAAACTCAGCTCTCGATGAATACTTTTTGCATGATCGTGCTGTCCGTGAATCAGGCCACGATACCACTTACCGCTACGATGGACGCTGTGCTAACCTGGCAACAATCGATCTGAACTCGCTTTTATACAAATATGAAACGGACATTGCCTATGGTATCGAGTGCCTTCTTGATCATGATCTCTACGACTATGACGGTGTACGACAGGAAGCCAGTGTGTGGGCGCAACGAGCCAAGGACCGAAAAGAGCGCATTGACAAGTATTTGTGGAATGAAGAGAAGAGTTTGTTTTACGACTACGATACCGTCAAAGAAGAGCAGATTACTTACGAATCTGTGACCGCCTTTTGGGCCATGTGGGCCAACTGTGCTAGTCCCGAACAAGCCGAGAAGATGACGGAACATTCTTTGTGTAAATTTGAAGTGCTGGGTGGTCTTGTTTCCGGAACCGAAGAATCCAGAGGCGCTATTTCTTTGGACCGACCGAATCGTCAGTGGGATTTCCCGTTTGGCTGGGCGCCTCATCAAATCATGGCTTGGAAGGCTTTCGAAAACTATGGCAAGTTGGATGTTGCACGGCGACTCGCTTACCGCTGGTTGTACACGTAAGTAAAAAAAAAAAAAGAAAAAACAAACATTGAGAACCCTATGCATTGCATGGCAGATACATAATGATTCATGATGACCCCGTTCTACAGTATCACCAAATCATTTGTCGATTTTAACGGGGTTGTACCGGAAAAATACGATGTGGTGAGCTTGACCCACAAAGTCCAAGTCGAATATGGCAACGTCGGTGTTGATTTCAAATTTGTTCCCCGTGAAGGCTTTGGATGGATGAACGCTTCGTATCAAGTTGGACTGTCGCTCTTGAATACCCAGATGCGACGCGCTCTTGGTACCTGTACGAACCCTGATCTGTTCTTCGAGAAAGCATTGATGCGACAAAATATGTTCAACGAAACCATGTTACGTCGTCGTCGGTCTTCTGAAACAGCCGCCAGAGCCATTACCCGAAACGGTCAGATTACAGCCGCCATTACGCGTTTCGGTGCGGAATCCGGCATTGGAGGCTCTTCACCCTATCTCGTGTCATCGCCTGTTGAACGTGTCATGGAAAATCATCCACTGTACTTTGACGACTCGCACAGTGACCATTCCGCTTCAGCTCAAGATACCAGTGACAATACAAGCAGTGATGAACCAGCAACCGATCTTGCCTAGTGTAAGATTTTTTTAAAAAGAAAAGAGAGGATTCACAGCCATCACCCTATTCATTTTGCTTTGTCTTCTTATTTCCATCATGTTATATTTTGTTCTATCTGATTCCCCCCATTTGTCTATTTGTTAATGCAAATCCCTTAGATACAAGCACAGATGTTTTATTGACAAACGGGATGCCAATGTCCATATTTTTATAGTTTCAACTCTGCCTTTTTTTTTCTTTTTTTCTTTTTCGCTTATCTTTCTTCATCGCTTTTCTTTGTCTCTTCTGTGCTTGGCTTGTATTGCATTTCATAATAAAAAATGGGCACACATGCTCTTGTGTACATTCAAATATTCAACAACCATTTTTTTTATTTCCCCTTAAGATGTGTATTTTCTGGTTAGCTGCATGACGCCTGACATGGGAACGACTTCCACGTCCCTTGCGCGAGCCTTGACACTCAAGTTACGATCACCAGTGACGAGACACACGCGAGCACATGTCGACGGGGATCCATTGTCGGGAGCAGATCGATTCCACCAGAGACACGTCGAAAGGACAAGGTCATCGAGATTCTTGTCAGTTTCACCAAATACAAATTGCTCGGAGCGAATGGAGATATCAGACAAAAAGTTATTGTGAGAAGTCTGGATTCGAAGACCGCGTTTGTAACGTTGCTTATCCGCAAGGGTATCTTCAATCAACTTTAGCGCATCCATGGCGGTGGTACCAAGAGGAGGGGAGTTGCCACATAATCCATCGAGTTCAGTGATAACTATTCGAAAGTAGGTATAAATCAGGTTGACTGATTTTCTTGGTTTTTTTTTTTTTTCACACTTACCAACAAGCGGGATCACAATAATCCATGTATGAGATGCCATCAGCTTTTTGACGTGGTTCAGGTGACCAATAAAGCAATTGGTATCTAACACTAGAGTCGTGTATTCGGGTATCAATTTCTCTTCCAACCGTTTCAACCGTGCCTCACGCTCCTTGACACGAGTAGGTAACTTGCGGTAACCAAATCGTTGTTCATCTGTCACTGACACCATCATCTGCTGCAACTGATCGCGTCGTTTCTTCAATTGACTCAACATATCAGTATCGGCATCGTCTTCTTCATCCAGAGAATCGGTTTCATTGGATAACAGAACAGCGTCATCCATCTCGGCCAACGTAGCCACAACCGCATCGTCATCGCTGTGATGGTCGAATTCCTCTTCGTCCATATCGTCCACGTCATCCACTTGCAACGAACCGACTTTGTGCAGCAATTCGTGTTCCGTCGGACCATCATCATCCAAAAATCCCATAGATGCCGCATATTCCGCTATGAAGAACGTTTCCTCCACTGGATCAAAGCATACGACATCCTTCATTTGCTATATATATATATATATATATATGTATAAATAAGAGGATGTGAGACTGTGAGAGCAACGATAGATGCTGCCGAGTTTCTTTTTACCTGAACCAATGTAAATCCATAATGAAGCAGTTTCAGGCGTCGCTGTGTTGCCAAAGGATAAGAAGCTAGCGATTGATGAGATTCGGACGTCGGTGTATTGGTGAAACTGCCCGTAATATCGTCGATCCAACCAAGGCCGAGCAGATAATGTTCCTCAGGCAATAGAGGTGTGTTTCCAAGTATTCTTTGGATTTGTTGTGCGAAACGGTCTGCAGGAGTGAGATGGTTTTCATTCGTACCACTGGTATCGTGCTCCTGTGAAATGGAAGGCTCGTCATGGTCCAGCAAATGATAGTTGATCAATTCATATTTCATGTCATCCGAGAGTTCATGCAATATGGTGTTGAGGAATTCCATCAGCAGGGACCAGAAACTCGGGGATATGATTGACCCGGTACTGTCAAGCTCAGTATCATGTCCACGAGGGTGACGAACGGCTGCAGTATCCTTGCATGGCTCACTGATCACATATTCCCATACACTGTCAAGCGTAGCCGCCATCTCTGCTTTTTCGGTTTTCTCTCGAGGCAGGCTTCGTACACATACCCCGCTCATCACCATCCACTGGAGTAATACTTGCAAGTAAACCATCCAATCTTCTTGATCGTCCTCTTTCCCGCTTTCGTCGTCATCCCGCACGCATAGAGAACTGTCACCCATTGTTTCATTCACAGCCGAGCGTCCAAACAGCATTTTTTCATTGTCGCAGAGCGTCATGGAGATTTTTGGTAGTTGTGGCATGGTTGGAGCGGACATGGCCGGTCGTGTGGTAGAGTCAATGTATCGTTGGATCAGTTCAACAGCAATCTGACATGTCAAATCGATGCCGTGACTGAATACGACGCTTTCTTTGAGTTCATTTTTCATATTTTCCACAGAAGCATTCACAGTGATATTCTCGGTGGCGGAATCGGAGAGAACAGCGGCTGAACCGTCCGATAAACTCGATCTGGTGCGATAAAAGGACGTGACTCTGGACAGTTGCGCGGTCGAAAATTCATAGCGATAAAGGGATGAAAGACACAGAATAGCCGTTTCTAACCAAAACATGCTTCTTCCGCTCAGAGCGTGTGTTGTACGATCAGTGCAAGTAGGTGCATGGATGGCTGGATTTGGTTCACAAGACGTCATTGTATTTGAAAGAAGAGCGTCAAAGAAGCGTCTCTTGACCTGGGCAAATTGATCGAGACCGATTTTGGTAAACATCATCCCGTGCAAGCGAACAAACGTCCCGGCAATGATATCATCCGTGGTGAGTTCGGCGGCCGTGTCCCTGGAAACTTGTTTAGCCTGGGCATTATTCGATTTGTCTGACATGGTGGCGATCGCATTGGTCTTTTGCTTGGACTTTTTGCGGCGATTCTTGTCGTGCTGGAGATCGATGTAAGACTGATACCATCGGCGGTTGCTCTCGAATAAGACGAGCATTCCTTCACGAGCGTTGACAAACCCATTACGACGCACCATTAAGCTTCGTGTACTGAAATATAGTTTGTGAAGGTCGTCCTTCACACTTGGGTTTCTTTGGATGGGATCGTTCAAAAGAAGCGATAAATGAAAATAAGGTTTCCCGGTGCCTGGCATCAGCCAAGAGGTGAGATGGTACCACTGCCAAGCTTCAGCGAACGAGTCATTGGTCGAAAGGGAATCATCATCGACCAACATGCGTGCCTTTTTCAGACTCGAATGGACTGCCCATTTATACCGTGCCAGGTCGCCGCGAATAGGGACACACTTGTACCATTTTGATCGGACGGTCCGTCGCCATCCTTGCAGTTGGTGTTCGTGATGCTCCATATAGCTTTCACCATCACCTGAAAACGCCGATTGATCCAAGTTGCGTAGCATGACCATAAGATCGCGGTAAAACTCATCTGCTTTGTCTAGGAACGATACGTAGCACTCTTTCAACATGGCAATGGCTTGGTCTTTGATCGTACTCTCGGTTAGTTCCGCGTCCAATTTGACCATGGTCATCCCGGTTTCATCGATGACTGGGTAAGCGATCTCTTCGTCTGTGGCATGTTCATCTTTTGCCAGGTCATTCTCCGCGCCAGTACGCATACTCATGCAAGTCTTGAATGACTGGCGAAACAAGTCCACCAGGGAGTAAATGGCACGTTTCCAGCACAAACTTTCAAGACTCTTCTTTTCCGCAAAGTTGTAATCGAGCTGCAATACATCCAAATATTTGTACGCAAGCTTCATGTGCAAGTCAATCTTTTCTTCAAAGTACTTCTCGGCTAGCTCTATATCTTTAGGTGTGAGTATGGCTTGTTCCGCCACTGAAGATTCTGCCGGTTCAGGAGGGCTACGACGATACGATAGGAACTGTCCGCCGTCGCGATTTCGTACGTTGGCCGGGTGATCCTCGTTGCCAAGAGATCTTTCGTTGAAGAACACCAATGTCTTGGAGGCGGTCGACAGCTCTGCGATTTTTGTTTCAATGATATGGAGATCGTAAAGTAAGGCTTTGATAAGTTTCTTGTGCGGATCTATCTCTGGCTTAGGAACCGTTTTCGCCTTTGGCATTATCGGGTGAGAAGATATTGCAGTGGGGGATTCATGTGATTTCACGGTAGACGGCTCTTCAGAGGACTGGGATGACGTTTCTTTTCGGTGGAGAAACTGGGGTGGTAACAAGACTGGCGACTTAGTTTCCTTCACCACTTTATGCGTGGGTGGTTGTTCGTTTTTAGGTGGCGAGTGCTTGGATGAACTCTCGTTGGCATGCCATAACTTGCCTTTACTGGGGCCTCTTCTAGCATATACGACCTCGTCATCCTCATCATCATCATCGTCACAAGGTCTCTGGGAGGACTTTGCCGAAATGGAGCGCAAAGGCAGGCCAGCACGGCTGCTGGTTTCGTTATTGATAATGGAACCTTCTTTATGTCTATTCAGATAAGAGCGTCGGTTGGAAGCGGATGATAGCATAGAGGTAGGTTGACGATGGGGCGTTCGTTGCTCCACTTCGGGTACGGATTTGGCTTGCGCATTAAATGCTATAGGATTATCAGAGTTGGGATTGAAAAGTTGTCTGTGAACTGATTTTTCTCGTCCGGGGGTCAAATCGCGCGTATAATCGTCATCAGGTGGATAACGGCGTCGGCCTGAACTGCCTCGGTCGGATCGTCTAGATGACCGTCGCATGGAATTTCAGAATGGGAATGGGAACTGGAGAATGGCTCGGGCAGAGTCTTCCTTTTTATCGATAAAAAAGAGGAAATCAAACACAAAAAGGGATAAATAAATACAATGTTAAATATATAAAAGTAAGCTGCAATGGTTTGATAAAACTCTCGTCGACTTGGCAGCAGAATCTGACTTTGCAAGAAGACACATTAGTCAGAAGAAAGCTGATGAAGCAATAAAAAGGAAATTCAAATAAAGAAGCTTTCCAAAGAAGTATAAATAAGATGGCAGGAATTAGAAAGCTGAAGGTCGGTAGGTGGGGTAAACGTGTTCGCGTCCGTATCTGTGTTCGTTTATATTGTATAACTGTGGGGAGAGACTGAAAGCGCAAGCCAAGATAGGGCGAGATCTCTGATGAAAAAGGAGATGTGAAACAGCAGGATGACAAGCTTGTTTTTCCGTCCCGAACCCATTTCCTGCTCAGGCATTCATTCCCGGAAAGTGGTCACAAGTGACGGTCTTTCATTTGAAATTCAAACTTTTTTTTTTTTTGTGAGATCAGGTCGCTCGAAGAAAAAAAAGCAGCCCGGAAAGACAGAAGTAAAAAAAGACCGTTTTTGTACCGCTTGACAGACAGAGGTTGAACCATGGGCAAACAATCTTTTAAACGTAATCCCAATACGTCCGTGGTGACAACGTCCGAAACGGCGGCGGCTACCGCTGGTATCTTGTTCTCGGCATTTGACGACGGTGTCTCGGCTGATCAGTTTGCTATCGTAACTCATGGCGTTGATCGCCAACGATTACGAATTTTTAACGTTCGCAGCGGCACAGTTAATAACGATTACGCATCAGAGAACAAGGAAAAGTTTACTTCGTTGACATGGGGTCGCATTGTCCATAGTGATCTGATTCAGGTAACGTAACGACAGCGTGTCAATCAAGATCGGTTTAAAATATCTCATTCTGGGGTTTTTCTGTTTCCTTGCACACACACACAGAATGCCACCGCGAAAAGCAACAAAAAGGCCAAAAAACCAACATCAAAGACCATTCGTGTGATTGCTCTTGGCACCCAAAGTGGCAATATTCTTTTCTTCTCCCTTGCTCACGGCGACATTGTCCATTCATTAACGGGATCACATACCATGCCTGTCACTGATTTTGTTTTCAACCAAGACGGCACCAGAGGATACTCGGTATCACACGACAACTATATTGTGGAATGGAATCTTGAAGACGGAACAGAGATCACGTACGTAGCTGTTACTTGTCCGCACCTAGTATGCAGATGGTCAACCTCATTTCGGTTTATTCACTAACCTATTCTTTTCTTCTCCCTCTCATGTACAGCAAATGGAAGACTGAAGTTAAAAATGCCCGCAAACTCAAATTAAGTCATGATGAAACCAAATTAGCCATCGCCAGTCATCGAATTCACCTCTACGACGTCAAGACCCGAGAAGTGATCAAGGTAAACATGATGAGAGATCCAGGCAAAAGCGACTGCAGCGGAAGGTTCTAAATGGAATATGATTTTGCAGCAATACACAGGCCATGCAAGCTATGTAAGCCATTTGGCTTTCTCGCCCAAGGATGATATTTTGGTCTCAAGCGCTGAGGACGATCGATACATGAATGTTTGGGACAGTCAAACTGACAACCAGAACACGAACAATTTATCGTCATTAACCATTGAAAGCAATGTTGCACACATCGCTTTCTCATCCACCGAGTCGGCCGTACTGGCAGTGTCAGAAGACGGTATGGTAGCGATTTGGCAAAATGCGGGGGGTACTTCTGCTGGATCGTCGGCTCGTGGCCATTCTCGACGCAAGATGATCCGATCCTTGACCCGACAACCCGATTCCTCTGTGAAAATTGTATCCGAGGAAGCGGAAGATGCGGTCATTCCTATTCTGTTGGCAGCCTTTATTCCTGATAATAACGGTAAATCCATCATGGTGGCTCGTGGTTCCAGTGTCAAACCCTCTTTCGAGGCAGTGGTAAGTTGGCGCTTAATCAAAGGAAAAAAAAAAAGAGAAATTTGATAAATTGACGAATTGCTTGGTTTTAGCGTTATACCAATGAGGAGACGCACGCTGTGATGAGTGAAGTTACTCTGACACGACATTCAGTGACCAACTTTTTGCTCGACGACGCATCGATTGCTGCCAATAACCTGAAACTGTCACGAAAGGCGTACGATGAAATGTCGGTGAATGTGCTTGGTGAAGGCGATTTTGTGATTCAAAAGCCAGCTTTGAAAGAAGCCGAGGCGGAATCGGAGCTTACCATTGAGCAGAAACTGCAATCCATGAATGTGGAAGAGGAGGAAGAAGAGGAGGAGGAGGATCAGGAAGTCGAGGTGACGAAACAGCGCGTACAAAATCCCACACCCGGCGTCCCATCTGCAGGATCTTTGCAGCAAGCCCTCGTACAAGCACTACATTCCAACGATCGCCAACTGTTGGAAGCATGCTTGGGACACAAAAAGGAAGTCGTTTACAGCACGGTGCAAAGATTACCAGCAAATTATGTGATTCCTTTATTAAAACAACTGATTGCTCGATTCGAAGAAAAACCGATCCGAGCTCCGACCTTATTGATGTGGATTCAAGCGGTGCTGTTATTACATACCACCTATCTAATGACGGTGCCTGACTTGGTTGGCAAACTTGGCGGCTTCTATCAAGCATTAAATACCCGTTTGACTCTTTTCCCGAAAATGCAAAAACTGTACGGCCGCTTGGAACTCGTTGACAGTCAGATCGAATCACGACGCCGATTTATGTTGGCGGATAAACAGGTGGAGAAGGCCAACCAACCTGTCAATGTTTACGATGAAGAAGACTCTGATGATGAGGCTGCCCATGCTGAAACCTCGGCCCTCCAAGAAGAAGACATGGAAGAATTAGAAGGCTTCACAGACGAGGAAGATATGGAGGTAGGTTTAATTGAATGAGTTCACGAAAAAAAAAAGTATCAGCTTCTTAAATGTATCTCTTGTAGGACGACGACGAGTCGATGGAAGAAGGAGATGACATTTTTGAAGGGGAGGACGAAGATGAAGATGAAGAAGATGACGAAGACCAGGAGCACGAAGAGTAAATTTTATTTTTTTCCCTACAAAATCTTGACGATTACCACATGCATTCACAATCAATAGTGTATATTTTAGACTAACCATTAAAACCGATCATCATATGGAAGAAACATGCAATAAGACAAACTATTTTGACTTTGTAAAATTATCAGTTGGCTTTCTTCATCATGATTTCCTTGATTTAATGTATTGGCATGGATACCGTAGGATAAAACTTGAGTGTGACGGAAAAATGTTGAACAGCATTTATCATACATACTCTGGATATTGATCATGTAATCACTGACTTGTTTGTCACCATTTTAGTCAACAACGGCAATTATGCAGCAGTATTATACATCTTTGTTTCTGTGAAAAAGGTTTCTGTCGGGCGTGATTCTGTTTTCGGCATGGTTCAGGTCGTGCAAAAAGATGGGGTTAAAACGCGCATACGCACATTAATGTTCAACCGGTCATCAAAGTTTGTCCGAGGCCAGCCAAAACCCGGCTATTTTTTTCCAGCGTTGTCTATTCTTGCCAAAGTTTAAATCTTCAGTGACCTTTTTAAGTTGTAAGGTTGCATTTGCTGCTTTACATACATGAAACCTGTAACAGGAGAATTTGACTAGATTGATCATATACAGTGCACTTCTATTTTAGCTTTATGTATGTGAAGAAAAATCACATGATCGAATATGAACACCATTTTCTTTAAGTACGAGAATCATCCCTGTGTTAAGCAATTGGTATATCCTGTATTACAATATTGAAGAGCACGGCACATACTGTCGTACATCGTTTGAATGTGCCCTGCCTTGTCCGCTAACCTTTTGCCGCAAGATCTCTCTAGCTCGCTTTTCATCAGTAGCGAATCACGTCACATTTGTTGTTTGCTTACGAGCGTGTTCATCTAATAAAAACTAGTAGTGATACCCAGTCGAATGCTATCTAATCTGGCGTGTTATAGTTTTCATAATAAGCAGCATCTGGAGGTATGACAAGGAAAAAAAGCCAAGTCTGAAGAGCAGAATTAGCTTGGCTAAAAGCCGCTAGAATTGGATGTAACCTAGATTTGACCGGCGAAGCAATTTGAAAAGGTAATATGCCAGCCACTCCTCCGTTCATGATCAAGACCCGAAGCCGAAATGTGAAGAGATAAAAAAAATAAAAAAAAATCTGCCAATGCATAGTTACACAAGCAGATGAAAGTTCAATTTATGAGACGTTTTTTCTCAGTTTTATCACCTCTTTTTCCTTTCTTTCTTGTTCTGCATATTACGGTTGTGATTATCCAGCATGTCGTTTTTCACCAACCTGGCTTCCATGGTAACTGATTTGTTCCACGGTGATGATGATGAAGACAAGCGTGAAGAAGAATACATGAAAGAATATCATCGTTATGATTCTTTTGCTCCCGTTCGACACGGGGCTCGCGTGAAAACGTACGTCGACGGTCAAGATTATTGCTGGTAAGAAAACTAACAAGTATCAGACTTCAACTATGGATGCGCGGATCACAAATTAAACTCTGACCGTAGGGCTGTGTCTGAAGCCATCGAACACGCAAAGGAGTCGATTTTCATTGAGGATTGGTGGTTGGTAAGTGATGTTGACTTTGTTTTATCGGGCAACACAAAGGATTTGTATAACAAAGCTTATTCTTGTTTTATTTTTTCTCTCACTTTGAGTAGACGCCCGAATTGGTGAGTTTAGTAACGAGGAAGGATCATAAAATCATTTGACCAACGCGTCGTTTTTCAGTACCTTCGAAGACCGCCTGTCAAGTATCCTGAGTATCGTCTTGATGCTCTTTTGAAGAGAAAAGCAGAACAGGGCGTGAAAATTTATGTCGTTATTTACAAGGTAAGATGATGACACAGTGAAAAGAAGTTTATTACTGTATCGGGTTGTACTGCGTACCAAGATTTTTTTTTTCCCAAAAACATGCACACTTTTTTCCTCTGACATGTGCATTTTAGGAAGTGGAATTGGCACTGACACTTGACAGTGAGCATACGAAGAAAACACTGCAAGCCTTGCATGAAAATATTGTCGGTACGTTGCTCAATAAAGTTCGTTTCTCGCAGATCTATGACAACGTATCTAACTCTCGGGATGTTTAGTGCTTCGTCATCCTGATCACGCTATTGGTGGTACCTTTTTCTGGTCTCATCACGAAAAGTTTGTTGTGGTGGATAACCGCATCGCCTTCTTGGGCGGTATCGATTTGTGTTTCGGGTAACTATTTTTCGTTTATCGTATACTCCTCTCTTTCCCACTAATCATTTTTGATCTAGACGCTGGGATACGCATGCTCATCGACTGGCTGATTTCCACTATGCAGAACCTGGCTTGGAAATTTTCCCTGGTACGTCAATTTAAACTTATAAGATGGCGGACTTTTTTGGTTGGTGTGACCGATCACTGACGGTGGGCTTCCCTCGATATAGGTCAAGATTACAGCGATGCTCGTGTCCGTGATTTCGAAGATGGTAATATACAATGCCCATTGTGTCCAAAGGTTTCTTTTACTTACAATGTATATTTTACCAATGAATCACAGTGAAAAATTGGGATATGCGTTTGATTGATAAAACCGTCGTTCCGAGAATGCCATGGCACGACATGTCATTGTGTATCGTATGTGTTACCGGGAAACAGGTTTAACTACCGTTGTCACCGCCAAACTAAAACAATTTGGGAAAATGTAGCTTGGTGGACCTGTATTGGATGTCGCTCATCATTTCTGCGAACGGTGGAATTTCATCAAACACGAGAAAGCCATGGATCACGATAACGTGCCGTTCTTGCAACCCCCTCTTGGTGGTTTCGCTGGTCATCAGCGTTTCGTCATTCCTAATGAAGATCCAGAGAACCACCGTCATCAACGTCGTCGCTTCCAACATGGAACTCGCGGTGTCACCGGTACGTGCCGCGCTCAAGTCCTTCGTAGCAGCGGCGAGTGGAGCTTGGATATCCCTACAGAGGTAAGATGAAGTTTCTGCTCCAGCATGTTCCCGAACAGTGTTTATTCATCAGCAACCACTTTGAACCATAGCATTCTATTCAGAACGCCTACCTTGCTGCGATCTATGGTGCTGAGCACTATGTTTACATTGAAAATCAATTCTTCAGTAAGTGTACATCTATCAAAATTTAGAAAAGGATGTAATAATTCATCCCATTTTCTCTAGTTACTTCGACCGAAAAGGACGATGATTATATTTTGAAGAATTTGATTGGTCAAGCGATTGTCAACCGTATTATTCGTGCGCACGAAGAACGGTCCAAGTTTAAGGTCTTTGTCGTCATGCCATTGATGCCTGCCTTCCCAGCTGATCTCAGTACCAAGGAAGCAGCCACAGCTAGGTAAAACTTTCGTTTATCATCCTTTGCGTCGCAAATCCATAAAGAACTAAGCTGAACTATTTTTTTACGTTAATAGATTGGTGATGCATTATCAATATGTGTCGATCTCCCGTGGTGGCAAGAGTATTATTGATAAGCTTCAACAGGCGAATATTGATCCCAACGAATACATCCGCTTCTACAGTTTGAGAAGCTACGATCGCATCAACCGCAACAGAATGGAAGAGATGTTGGCTTCTCAAGCCGGTTACAGCAGCGAGGATCAACAGTTGAATGAAGCTGGTCAAAGAGATGAGGAACAACGAGCTCAATTTATTCGTCATGCTGGCGATCCCGATTTTGTTCGAGGCACAAAGGGCGAGAGCCGCGTCGACGACGAAGTGGAATATGCTCGTGTGGCTGGAAGAGAAGAAGCAGAAAGAATGCAAGAGGAGTACCGTCGCCGCGCCGAAGAGTACGATGGAGAACCTGGTATCGCTTCCGACTCGATCGCTCATAATGCCATGAAGGGTGGTGATCTTCAATCAGAACCCTGGGTGGATGATACAGCCACCAGTCAACCCCGAGATGAAGCAGCCGAAAAGGACGAAGCCCGTGATTATGTCAGCGAAGAACTCTACATCCATGCCAAACTTTTGATTGCTGATGGTAATAATGTTTGATCAAAAAAAAAAAGTGACCCTCGATCAACATCAAACCATATTAATTTTGTTTCCTCTTTTTTCCAGATCGTGTGGTGATTATGGGTTCCGCCAATTTGAATGATCGCTCGCAGTGTGGTGACCGCGATTCCGAGATTGCATTATTAGTGGAAGATCAGGACATGATCCCCTCCCGCATGAATGGACGTTATGTAAGTGAATAATTCAACGCTGCTACACATCGTCCAAAAACCACGACAACTGAGTGTGTCATTATTGTAGTATGAAGCTAGCCGATTTGCTGCCACTTTGCGTCGCAAATTGTGGAAAGAACATCTTGGATTGATCCCTGATCGTCCCACGGATGAAGTGAACGCGGATATGTTGCCTTTGCCTATTCCTCCCGTGGATACCACAGATTCTGAGGAGGATGCCATCGTTATGGATCCCTTGGGTGAGGAGACTTTGGAGTTATGGAATGATACCGCCAAAGTAAACACGGTTGCTTTCCGCGAAGTCTTCCATTGTGTTCCCGACGATAATGGTAAGAACGTGCCAACAATCCACTCGTGGCCCCTTTGAATATTTGGATTGACTTGTTTTTGTGCATTTTTTAGTCCGTGACTGGGAAGAATACAAGGCCTTCTATCCCGATCCCAGCCAGATCGATATCGGCCACGTATGGGATCCTGAAATGTCCGTTGAGACTATCCGTGGTCATCTGAGTGAAATTCGCGGTCATTTGGTAGAGTTCCCTCTTCATTTCTTGGAGAACATTGATTTGCAAGGCGAATCTATTCCCTTCATTAGCGATGTTGTGCAGGAACTGTATACCTAAGTTTATTTTTTGTTTATCTGTATATCCCCACTTCCAATATCCAATAAATTAGAAAATGCTGATCACTGAAATTATTCAGTGAGCCAGAAGAAAAAAAAAAATAGCTTTCCGGGACCCATGGAGATAAAGGAATGCCTTATCGTGAGAACGTGTTGCATCATGCCTGCATTCGGCGGTGGTGCCGAATGCTTGATTAGCCCCATAGCTTAAAGTATGCATGCTGAGCCAAAAAAAAATAAAAAAATAACAACCGTGGTAATGGAAAATGAGCAATTCTATGATATTTTGCCATGTGGCAACCATCTGCCGTTGCCATAAATAGCCTCAAATTCCCTTACACGGTTGTCGTGGGGGAAGGGGCGATTAATTACGAAAGGGAGTTTCTAGACTCCGACAAGGGCCACTTCGGTGGCGCGTACAAACACGTCAGATGAAAGGAGATCAGGAAAACTGGGAAGCTTGAAGAATTTTAATAACGTGAAGGCAGAAAAATGTTGAGTGTGGGGTAAAAAAAAGGTCTTGTGAAGGAAACACAGGGTGCCTGACAAAATAGGCGAAGGGCATCATCAAAGGGCAGACGGGAGATTAATACTCCGAAAGCTTCAAAATTTGAATCATCCGGAGCAAGACGGGAACGTGGGTCATCCGAAGGCAACAATGTGGAAATTAGGGATCTCCTTTTGTTCAGCCACTATAAAACCACAGACCAGACTGCGGCAGAAAGAAAAAAAAAAGTACCTGTGTACACATCTCACATGACTATCCTTGGAAGCTTACCATTGTTTGGATCCCTCTTCTCGTCTACGTCCAAACCTGACCGTATTCGCAAGAGCATCGCGCCCATCTCCACGGTTCTCAAGCGACAACAACCCTTTTCCACTTCCTCTATCCGCGCTTACCCTCATCCTCATCCGCAAGTCAAAGGAGCTGATGCGTACCACCACCATACAGGGTCGTCCCACACTGAACCTATTACCGAGAGCTCGATTATGAGTAATTTCCCTCGTCCCAATCTCATGCCAACGTTACACTTTTCCTTGTTCGGACTTCAGTCCCCACCCAACTCTGACGATACTTTCAAAACCAAAAAATGCTCCAATTGCGCAGGTCCTCATTCAACCGATTTCTGTCCCTGCTAGACCATACCAGTTGCTTATTGTTGTTTCTTTTTTTTTTACTTCTCTGTATCATATTGCGTGTTCTTGTTTATTACCTTGATTTACTTTTTTTTATTTTCTTTGTGTTTCCATATACAATCTTTAAATATTTGGATTTCAAACCACAGTATCTCTTTACATGCTTCTTTTCTCTGGTGTCCTGATGAGTGCAGCAGTTCTTTGATTCAGTTGCAATTACTCTGTACGATATGACAGACAGATCAAGCAAATGCCCCATGCAAACAGGATCTTGACATTTACAAGATTATAAAAGTCGTCAACCCAAAACGGCAATGCTCTGCAATGCATCAGCTAGACAAAAGAACATCATATTGTTACACAAGGATTTGAAAATTTTTATTTCAGAATGACATTTTTCCAAATACACTGTGTTGCTGTGTTTTAGCACGCCAAGTAAATGAAATATGCAAAAAGCGATAAGCGAACACATGGCAGCATAGACGGTGTGAGTGATCATGACAGGTTCACGTTCAACTTTTCACTTTTTTTTCGCATTTTTGGTGTAGGTCCCTTTCAGCATTATATGCATCCACCACTTGGTAGTTTATGCAATTAATGCTTCAACACTATGCTTTTAAGTGCGTAGTCGAGGCGATCGTTTCTAGAGGTTACATCATGAATATTTACAAATCACGGTTACTGTGTGTCGAGAAACCATACTAGTACCCCATGTCGGCACTTTTTTTTTCAGGAGAAGCGTAACCGTTCCCATGAAGATCACATAGTTTTGCGAGACATTATTGATAGATTGTCATGGCGTCATAAACAAAAGCACAAAGAATAACAACTGGTCTCTACATGATTTATCTTTACTCAATTCCTTCTACAGAGTTGTTGTAAGATAGGTCATCATTGACTATCTCAAAGGACATCCAAAAATTGAAAAAAGATACAGTGAACAAACTGGATGAAATTCTGTTTAACAACACGAGCCCCTTCTTTTAAGCTCTAACCATCTTTTTTTAACGTAAAGAACGACCCGTCTATTCTTTTTAAGTGCCAACATTTTAATATTTCTTTTCTTTTTCCCTTTTGTTCATTTCGTCCTTTGCTCCTGTCTTTTTTCTTCGCCAGTATGTTTGAGGAAAAATATATTGGTCTTATTCTCGCTATGAGTTCAAGTGTTTTTATTGGACTGTCATTCATTATCACCAAGAAGGGGCTAATGAATGCCCGACAATACCACGGTACATGCTAAATGAGGGCATGTTACGTTCCATGGCAGTAGCTAATCTTGCCATGCTGCAATTAGGCGTCTCAGCTGTTGACGGGAAACATCATTATCTGAAAAATTGGACGTGGTGGACCGGCATAGGCACCAGTAAGTGGACATTGATTTTGCAAAATGTGAAAGATGGATCCACTCAACGGCACTACACTTTTTTTCGCATAGTGGCTGTGGGTGAAATTTTGAATTTCTCTGCGTATTCTTTTGCACCACCGATCCTTGTCACTCCATTGGGTGCATTAAGCGTTATTCTTGGGTAAGAATAGCAGTGATATCTGGGATGTATGAATGAATGTCTGGCAGCTTTGTGATATTCATCGAAAAGCGATCTATAGCGCTATTTTCGCGTCGATATTTTTGAAGGAGCGTCTCGGTGCCATTGGGAAAATCGGATGCATGCTCTCAGTTGTAGGCGCACTGATAGTGGTACTTCATGCGCCGGCGGACAAAGAAGTTTCATCCATTGATGAATTATTATTTTATGCCTTGCAACCCGGTAAGCATGATGTGATTAGCCTCAACGTACTGGAATGCTAAAAGAAAAGGGATTATTATCTGCTGTAAAAAGGCTTCATGATGTATTGCACACTTGTGGTGACAGTGAGCCTGTTCATGATCTATAAAGTAGTACCACGTTATGGGAAGCGGAACCCGTTTATCTATGTTTCTATATGCTCGCTCGTAGGCTCTGTATCGGTGATGGCCATCAAAGCCTTTGGTTTTGCATTGAAGCTGACGATTGCTGGCAATAATCAGTTCACCCATCCATCTACCTATGTCTTTGGAATAGTGGTCGCTGTATGTATTGTGACTCAAATGAATTATTTCAACAAAGCCTTGGATCAATTTTCCACCAACGTGTAAGTGTGTTCTCTCGTGATGATAGTTTTTTTTTTCCCTGTTGGTTTTACTAACTGGACGGCCTATGTCATCCGTGGTATTGCCAAATTAGTGTCAATCCCATTTACTTTGTTTGCTTTACTACTGCCACGATTGCGGCTTCAGCGATTCTGTTTCACGGTTTCAATACCAATGATCTTGTCAATATTATCTCGTTGATGAGTGGGTTTATCATCATTTTTGCCGGGGTTTATCTCTTGGACTCAATTGCGCGGGCCACCACAAACGAAGCCAGTCATTCAGATAACCGATATGGTGAAGACGAACGGCTGCTGATGAGTGAAGTTAATATGATGGAAAATGAAGATTGCGTCAACCTGAACGAATTCGAGGATACCTTTCATAGCCAACCTATGATCATGCGATGATTAACATTCCCATGTTCCACTAACCGTTATATCCTTCAATCCATATATTTGTCTCTTCTTATTGTATTCATAGCTACATCCATTCTTTAGATTGTTCACGTCTTGTTTAAATTGAACGTTTTCTTTTTTTTTTTTCTCTCTTATCTGCCCTTATTAAAAGTGCAAAATGCTGATCTCTACTTTTATATCTATCATATAAGTACATTCTTCAGTACAGTAGTATTCGAATCATGTTCTTGCGGTGAAAAGCTCCCAATTTAAAGTAGAGGATCTGGACCCAAGAATAGCGTACTTAATTTACGCGTTGCATCTAACCGCACGAGAATGAACAGTTCTTAACGTCAACATGACGTACCATCTTGTAGTTTACTATCGACCAGCGCCTTTATCCAAGCTGTGGTAAAGATCTACCTGTGTTAAATGTTTTCTCAAGATAACAAAAGACTGTTCTCCTTGAGAATAATTGGTGGGTGAATCACCCTTTTCCAGCTTCCAAAATTGGGCGTAAACAAGTCGATAAAGGACCAAAGACAGGGACAATAAGAAAAGAGAAAGAGAAAATAGGCTATGTCGTTATCATTTGCTGTTGAAGATGTCGTATTTCTAAAAGGAAATCGGAAGAATATAGGATAGAATCTCCCATCTGTCCTTTTGTTTGTCCATGCAATGCTTACTATCGGAGAGTTTGAAGTTGCCAAACTCCGCAATATCAACCGGTGGAGGTCAACTAGAATTGTCATTCATTCACTGGCGTCACAGTCGTTTTCGCCGAAATCAGATGGGGAATCCAACATCATAAAAAAGGGTCCTTGAACGAGTAATAATATACAATAAACACGTGGAAATGCATTTCTTTATTCATAATAACATTTTAATCCATGGCAGGCGGCGAGGAGGTCATTGGAGGGATGATCTTTTTAAACTCTTCAAAGTCAATATAACCATCCTTGTTGGTATCTGCATCCTCCATCATGTTTTTGATCTCGTCAGGCGACAATTTTTCGCCAAGCTTGTTCAATACTTCTTCCAGTTCTTTTCTGCTGATTTGCCCATCTTGGTTCTTGTCGAAAGCTTTGAAACATTCCATCAGCTCATCTTCCTCGTGGTAACTCATGCGCTGGTTGTTGAAGCTTTTATGTCGGTTATCTGTGGGAGGATACGACTTGGTTTTTCGCAGATTCTCGTCTTGTGATTGCCCTTCGTCGTCTTTTGGCATCAGCTTGTCCATTGCTGAAACAAATTCGTCAAAGTCAATGACATCGTCCTTGTTCTTATCTATAGCTTGCACAAGGCTCTTCAAATGCTTTTCGTCCGATGCAACGCCGAGACTCTTGAGAATATTCTCGAATTCCTCGAGTGTGATGCTTCCATCCTTGTCGTGATCGTACAGTTGAAAAGCTATGTTTTATCCGTGTCAATTCGCGGTGCATTGATCGCATTCGCACTCTAGAAATACCTTCTTTCAAAGAAGCCAACTCGTCTTTGTTAATTTTAGCTGAAGAATCACTCATATTAATATTCGTTACGTGAAAAAAGAAGTATATGACAGGACTTGGCAAGGAATTTATAGCAGTTTTCACGAACTCAGCCTGAGCCCGTTTCGGTTTCCTAATGAAGAAATATAATCTCAGACGATTGGCGCGACGTAAACTGATCGTCATTGACGATCCAACCGTAACCGACAATGACACAAATCTTTAGAAAAGCTAGATATAACAATTATCATTTCCCCCAACATCAGTGATTCAAATACCGTGATATTTACCCTAGGCACATTCATCTACTGATAATCATTTTCGGACGCGGCATCCCTGAAACCGTTATTTATGACAGGAGGATCGTCAACACCACCTATTATTCGGGAAGCCTGATCGATACACAGGAAAAGAATGTAACGCTTATCGCCGCTGTAATTGATGGTCTTTCTTGAAAAGTGGATCATGTGGTGCTATGAACAAACTCGCTACTTTTAGATTAAGCAATCTGACTAACGGAAGATATGAGTTTCGACAGATCAGTTTAATCCAATCGTCCATGCCAAAAAGTCGTGAAATGAAAACCCAGACTGAGATGACAAATGAAGATGATTTTTATTGAACGTTTATTTTGTCACTGTCGCCGCTTGACGAAGGTTTGCTCGCGGTTTTCCTGTATCGCCTCCGCCTGGGATTACGGCAGCCGTCGCTGACGCTGTTGGCGGTATCGTTGTCAATGAAGTTGCTTCTTGTGTTTTTTAATCTGCAATAAATTATCTCTTAGTATTCAATCTTTAGAGCCAATGTGTGGTATCGGGAAAGACATACTTGGGGTTCATGAGGACCATGCTGCGGAAGAGGCCGTGCATCCTTTTTGGTATAAATGTGCTGTACAGTATGAATACTGTCATTACGTTCTTGAAAATAAACATTTGAGATGTCTTTTTCCACATCAAGTCTCTGTTTTTATTTATAAGCTCGTAGACAAAGAAATGCAATCGAACATGGATTTCTATCCCAGCTATTACAAGGTCGGACAATCATGCTGCTTCCACTTTCGATTGTAGAATGTCATCTTTTGTTTGCTTCTTTGGGACTCTGCTGTATTACCACCTATCCCCCCCCGTTTTATTTATTTACTATGCATCGCAGCGGGTGTTATGATACTTCTCACGAGGATTCCCAACATGACCGATTTAAATGGCGGTATATCATGGAAGTCTTAAAAAATGGGCACTCACCGCGTCTGTCAAAGGTCTTTTCTTTTTATTTTTCGAACCTCTATCCTACCTTTCAAATTGTCTTTTTTTCTTGCCTGGGACACTCAAGACTGTCGTTGAAGCAAGCGGAACATGAAGGGTAGGTCGTCGTACTCAGGCTTTCTTTTTTTTCTTTCCTTTCTAGGTGTACTCCTGCTGCGAAAGAAAGGCGCCACAAAGAGTAAACGAGCCGGCAGAATATGCTTCACTTTTCCACGTCCTCAAGTGCGAGAGACTTGCAATCGACGTGAATCAAGTCGGAATATGCGAAACATTGCCCTTGAGGGATTTATGGGATAATCCAGGCCTATAGTCTTCACTCGTCAGTTTGAATTTGCTCACGAAGAAGAAGAGGACGAACGAGTTCTTCGCACGCCAATTTCTTTGCCCAAATATAAGGAAAGACAAATTCCCAAAATAGCAATTTCCTTTTTCGACCGTCTGACCTTTTTTTTTGGAAGAAACAAGAAAAAATAGTGGAAACATTGAAGCATACCCTGCATTTTGGCATTCCGAATTTTCACCATCCGAGAATATCAACAAAATGGACACAAAAAACTTTCTGACAGCGCAAGCGTGAACTCAACGCACGAGTGGCTTGTTCGGTGCCAAATGATAAATGGGCTGTGCCTGAGCCATACTTCAAACACCACTTGATCTTTTTAGCGTAAATGGCAGCTTTTGATACAATCTACGTTATATGTATGAGTCTATGTATAGCCATATGAAGATTTGATGGATGTTGTTCATCGTAAAATTTCGCTGCAATGTTAGCATCGCAAAGATTCACTGCCAGCGCTCTTGAAGATCTGCGAAAGTACAAAATGCCTTTCTTGGAAACCGTGGCGGTGATTTTTCAAACCGCGAGATTAAATTCGTATAGTTGCAACATTGGTTCTGAAAAAGAAAAAAATTACAGTGTTGGTTTGTCTCTCATTGTTTTCTTTTTTTTTGAATGCCAGTGCGCAAACCATCACAATACCGCCCTTTTGTCGATCGCGTATTTCTGCCTGCGGTTCGCACTTTGCTAACTGTAGTAGGGCTATTCGCTCTTATTGCAGCCACTTGGATAGAGACCAGTCCCTCCATCGACAGTTGCGGGTTCCGAAGCAACATGGCGATCCTCGACGTCTCAGTTTATCGCAATATATCTGAACACCTCGATGCACCTGATACGGTGACGTTTGGACTCTGGAAGCACTGTTTTATATATTCTCGAAACTGTACTTGCGCCGATACGAAGCTTAATTATGAAGTCAGTAAGTGTGGTTTCCGAGCAGCTGTTTTTGTTGTTATTATGAACCTTATCCCAATCTAATTATCCTCAATTTTCTCCCCTGCTTTTCTTCCCATCCTGTCTCCTTGGCAACAACAATTTCTCCCTGCTTCGACGAAAAAAAAAAAAAAAAAAAAAGATGCGCTTCAAGTTCTTTCATATGCAATCAGTAACCAGTCATCGTCATTGAACACGACAATTCCCGAGTTTGATTATACACCTTCGTATACGCGCGTCGTTCCGTTGATCATGGCCAGCGTATTCGGTATCGTTGCGATACTGTTCAATGTTTGGAGCAACCGTCAAGTGGTAGCTTATCGTCGCAGCTGGAGCTGTTGGATCAACGTAGGGGTGGACGCGATCGCTGTCGGTCTTATCGCGCTTGCGTTGGGTTGCACTTACCGCTCTTATTCTCAAAATATTGAGGCGGCTTGCCAAGTTTTAGCGACCCGCGATGTGCACTGTGCCAACACTTCGGTGGGATTGGAAGTGATTTTATTCGCTATTGCCATTGGTTGCTTAACGTTGGCCTGCATCTTATGGGTGTCAAGAGGCCTTCAATTCATATCAGGGGATGCTACTTCGCAGCAAATTGATTCGTTTGTTTCTGAAAAATTCCCAGACGACAAACTACAGGGATACAAGTCGTTTCAGCGTGGTCGAACTCCGTCACCGATGAACCGTCGCGATGATGCCGTGGCCGCGTGGCAAGATGCGACGCATGCTTTTGATCACGAAACGAATCACGCACGACACCACAGCCAGGGATCGTCATTCTTATTAAGCAATTTTCACTTAAGACCACCACCCCATATTCGGATAGGCGAACAACAACAAGTGCCTAATGCTTCTCATGATTGGTATCACGATGCAGAAGCCGAGACCCAGGCCGCGGCCATTGGTCATTTGTACGACGACGTCGAACTAATTCCGCCGACGCTTCCCTACGCAAACAAGCGACCGAAACCCGTGCGACAGAGTTCAGGCAATACATTTGGTGCTAGCGAGATGCTTGGCCATTCTCGAGCCTCAACAGCGAGTACACTCGAGGATATGTATTCCGTCCAGCGACGGCACCCTTCCACGGATCTTTCCTCATTTCGCGATTCTCGAGGTTCCTTTTGCATCACACCGACTCAAAATTACAGTCCTTCTCCTCATGGCTCGTTTGACAGCATTGCAGAATATGATCCACCCTCGACGTCGCCAACAACAGTGCCCACACTACAAACCCCTCCTCCACCAACAGGCCAGGTTCTCCATCCCTTGAATCGAAAAGTCATCCGAGATCAACGTATAGGCGCTTATCTTCAGACAAGGCCCGCCTCTTCATCTAGTTAGTCCCATTTTTTGTATCATAGCCCATATAGTTCCCTTTTTTTTTCTTCATGCGAACCCCTTTTTATTATCCATTGCTACTACGTATATTACATGTTTACCATTTGTTTTTCTGTAAAAATAGACTGTCTCGTTCAACTTTAGTTTGTGGTTTTTCATTTTTTTTCTTTATATTGTTTAGTATTGCAATTTCGCGCGACGATCTTCCTGAAGCTTCATTGTACCAATTAAGGAAATCTGATTCAGTCTTTTTAACGCCACAACATCCATCTTTTCTGGTTCCGTTCGATGCACAATTACTATGGAACTGCACACGGTTGACAAAGTTGCCAACACCCAGATTTGTGGGTCTTCACCGCTTCGCGCTCCGAGAGCGGGATGTTTCGTTTTGTAACGCCGGGAGAGTTGTGGGTTAAGCAAGCCACATTGACTTTGTTAGTCGTTATCATGCTTCTGCGGCTCACTTGACATTTTGGCTGCCATACTTTATACCCACATTGAAGCAAACTGTAAGCTTAATAGCAATATCAACACATGCTGCTGTCACCAAGTTACAAGAGCACTGTGGGTCTGAGATCGCTGGTTATTAACAGTAACACAGTCCTCCACCTAGTCAAAGCTGTCCTGCGGATACGTTGCTGTGGCAACAACATTCCATTACGGATATGCTTCCACAATTATGTGATATTGTTCTGTTACAATAAGAAGCGTTGATTTAAACATCTCAATAACATTTGCACAGCCCAGGAGCAGAAGAAACGCCCAGCGTTGGAAGCTTCATTGCAAAAGCGAGCTGTGTATTCACTATTTTGATTCGCAAAACTGATGCTCATTGCAGATAAGGAACTAGAAGATCGTAATAGAAACCGTTGCCAAGCGATATATTAATAACCTAGTTACCAAACGTGAGAAAACGAAACAGGGCAACCGCTTCTAGACAATTATCAACTCAATTGTTTCAAAATGTCATATGCTGTGATCGACTAGACCCATTATTTGGGTTGGTTACGGTTCTCAGAGATTAGCACACGGTCGTGCATCCATGGCGACAACTTGTCGGGCTGGCACCATATCCATCAATTTCCATTTATCGCTGTATTCATTGCCCTACTTTGACTGGCCTCGAACTTTTTCTTTGCTGTATATTTCACCTGATGAGTATGAACTCTTGTCGTAATCCTGGCAAATCAGTGTGCCAGAATTACTGTTCCTTAATCGTGAACAGCTGATGTTTCTTTGCAACCAATGACGAAAAGAATGAAGCACTGAATGCGCCGAATCTAGTTTCGTCTCGAGATCGTAGCCATGATCATCATGAATTACAGATGTAACAAACAAGTACATTGTTAGTGTTATTTGGAATTTACTGTCACAACCTAAACACATGGAACTTTATTTCGAGAGAGTCGATTGACAACTCGTAGACACCTCTAATCAAAAATTCACTCGAGTCTGTCCTCGAAAAACGTTTTTTTTTTCCGCCGATTTCGCCATTTTGTGGAATATGTGGGACTTTTTTGGTAACTTTTTTTTGGCTGCTCGGACCCTTTTTCGATTGTCTTTCCTAGTACGAAAAAAAAGAGCTTTTTGGAGGCAAAAGAAGGGCTATTCCCGTACTTACAAACGTCATACACCATTCTCATTATGCAAAAGGGCAAGGTACTGTAAAATCATCGCCCTGTTTCTTGGCAAAAGCATCCCAATTTTTTGGACCAAAGAGCTAATGCTTTTCCAAAAACTGCCTAGACCCGAAGAGCCGTTCTCTGCACGGCACACTTTGGGCGGGGGATTTGTGTAACCATGGACTTTCTGAGTTCAAATGAAGACCATTTCGGCAAAGTGAGTGAGACTTCTTCCCTTTGATATTACAGTTACATCATTGCCAAGTGCTTTTCGATATAGTCTAGCAAAGACACTAAATTACAGAATAGTAAATAGATCGACGGTTATACTATGGAGGTGGCAGATAAAGTGTGGAAATCGAACCCCCGAGATCGTCATGAGGTTATTTTTTATCCGATAATCATCGGACCTTCATACCGCTTCGATACACTTTCAAATACCAAAGAGTACCATTTGTGAGAGGGCTTCGGCGGTCCTTGGATTTTGCCGTTCCATAACATTATACACGGCGATATAAATATCGTTATCATTATCGTTTTATTATTCGTGATTATTGCCTCATATATCCTTCATTTTTTTCTTTTTGTTGCTTTTTGTTTTCTTTTTTATCTGGATCCATTCTTTTTTCTCTTCTTTCTCTCCTGCCCCCGCATTTGGTATGTCTTCTCGCAATCCAGCTGCGCCGCCACCACCTCCTCCTCAGCATCATTCTCCATACGGAGGCAATGCTCCATCGTGGTCCACCTTGTCTACCACGATAGGTACGGGCGATGAATCTCCAAATGAGTTCAATGGTATGTCTTATAAATGTGGTATCTGTCTACCCTGTTGGTTTTACTAACCGTCATTGATGAAGGTGAAAAGCCTCCGGAATATACTATTAGACAAATCGATGATCCTGAAAACTTGAAGAATCGCCATCGTCGACGACCACTAACTGAAAGAAACCGGTGTGTGCGTTGCTGTTGCTGCGCTTGTTGCTTACCGGTGTGGGCACGCTGGCTCGTATGGTTCATTATCATTGCTATCATCATTGTGATCATTGTTCTTGTCTGTCTGCTCGCCACATTCAAAATGCCCACCATCAATTTCGCTGGAATCGCCCCTGCAAGCGTGGCCAATAGTCTGAGCCCCATCAGCTTCAGCGGTAACAGCCTCAACGTTAAATTCAACCTTATCGTCAATATCCAAAATCCAAATGTGCTTCCTATCAAGCTTTCCAGCGTCAATGCAACAGTAAGTGTGAATCGTTGACTTATTGTTGACATGTAACTGTTTGCTCAACAACCTCGTTAGGCATTCTATCCAACAGCAGCAGGTCGTACCCCTATTGGTGGTGGATTTTTACCCTACCAATATGTACCGAAACAAAGTGACTTCAATTTTACCTATCCATTTGCAATCAAGTACAACCCAAGTCAGGATTCTGATCAAACAATACTGGACAGCATAGCTGACAAATGCGGATTAACTGGTGGCGGGAAACAAGATTTGAACATTGATTATGATATTCATCTGACCGCAAAAGTACTTTTTGTCACCGTTCATCCTACGATTTCATCCAGCGCCTCTTTTCCTTGTCCGCTTGATGTAAGTTTTGCCCCTCAGCTCCGCAGTTGAATAGAGTTTAATGTCTTTTTTTGATGTTAGGGTAACACCTTGCCTGGAATGTCGGCCAATGCTATGGGCAGTATGCTCGGCGGGTCTTCATCCGACAATGACTCTCATTAGTTCACTCTATCTGTAAATAACTGTATATTTCTCATTTTAAAAAAGATTTCTGTACATGTGACATATACCCTCGTTTGTGTTGTCTTTTTTTTTCTGTTCTTTTTCAATACATACAGCTTTGCTTTTCGAGTAAATTAGTTACGTTTCCAAGTGAATAAGTTGGCTCTTTTATCAGCCACTTTGGGACCGCCAAAATTCATGTTGATTCCTCTTGAAGAGGACGTTAGCATAATCAATGAAAGACGTCGGCGTCATAAATAATGACTCTGAAAAAATCCAAGGACCGGTTCAAACAAACCACAATGATGTTTATTTGTTATGGTTGATAGAACTCTTTAGATGAAGATGCAGGGCAGGCGGATTACATTTCAGTGAAACAATAAGGCGGTCATTGAATCGCGAACGTGCCACGTGAAGAAACGCGTAATCGTATTAGAAAGAAAAAGACCCTGCATATCCCTTTCATTTCTGATGGCAGTAAACAATATGTTTTCTCGTTGAAGTTCTGCAGCACTTCTTGACAGTATAATAGCTGAAATGTGAGGACAAATCACGGACGAGACTCAAACAGCATCTAAAGCTTTAAAATTGAAACTTTGAGTCAAACTCTTACCGAAAAAGGACCGGTTATCGAGGGCAATGTATTTATTATGCAAAACTTGACATGGGGAAGAAACTAACATATTTGTTTGAGAGATCGGTGCGTTTTATGAAAAAAGTTGGAGGAGAAAAGGGAGTAAAGGCAAAAAGGATGATGCAGCGAAAAAAAAAAAAAAAAAAAAGAGTCGATGGATTAAACGACGAGTATTAATGTAAAAACAAAACAAAAACAACAGATTAAGTATGCTTTTTGATGAGCTGATAACAGGAGAAAAATAAGTTATGAGTTGTTCGTTCTTTGACGCTGTCGTTGATAATAAGCATTGGATAATCGCTTGTCGGCTTCCATATGTGGTGAACCAAAACCGGCCGGTTTTCCTAGTGGTGCATTATCGTCTTCGTCTTCTACTTCTTCTTGGATACCCCCATTGAATCGTTGAAAGTTATTCCACAAGCCATTGGTGGGCGGATACATGGGGAGTTGTCCGTACATATTGTTGGCTGCAGGCATTCCCATCATCGACATTCGAGGATCCATCATGGGCATACCAACCATATTCATACCGTTCATCATGGGCATACGTGGATCCATCATGGGCATCGATCCCATCATCGCGAAACGAGGATCCATCACAGGCATGCCCATGTTCATTCCCATACCGTAACCCATCATGTTCATCATATAAGGATTGGCACCCATCATCGCCTATGATGACAACGTTAAGGATATGTATTCCCATTATTAACAATCAGAAATACACATACCTGCTGCTGTTGCATCATTTGCTGTCGTTGCTCAAACATGATACGCTCTTGTTCCAGCATGTGCTCTCTCTCCATATCCATCGTCCTTCCTTTGGATGCTTCCTTTTCCTTCTTTTCATGCTCCAATTGAGATATCACGCCAATGAGCCCGGCTTTGGGTTGGGGAGGTTTGTTAGGTAATTGCACCAATGGTTGACCCGATGCTCGCGCCAGCTCTTCTTGGGAATGTACAGGCAGATGTTCACGTCTATAGTTATCTAATAAACTGTTGTGCGTCAAGTGTGGTTCGCCTAAATGCGACATGCCGGCTCCATCCATATATCCATCGTCGCCCCCGTAAACGCTGCCGTCGTATACATTATGCGGATCATTGTAATAGCCAAAAAACGGCGCTGCCGCACCACCCATCATCATACGGGGATCCACCGACGCTGTATCCCACTGTTGTTGGTGCTGTGGATAGATGGATCGACGATCGAAATCGCCATTGACCGATGCAGCGCCCGAAGGTCTTGAAGAAAGAGGAGCCGGTGTCCAACGATGGCCCATGGGAGGAGCTGGGGACGATAAATTGACGGAAGCCACGGATCGAGCTGGACGGCCCACTGCGGCAGTAGGATTTCGAAAGCGAGTACCGGGAAGACTGTTATCCGAGTCGCTAGGTGTCATACTTTGAATACTGGAGCGACTATCACCACTGGCAGAAGCAGCCACTTGATTGCTCGGTACATTGCGTGGACCTCGGTTGGGCGCATATGCACCAGGTTTCACTGCATTGACAGGTGGTTCGGCAGATTTAGGTATATCCACCGTGTGGCTTAACCGATCAGAAGCAACACTGGATGTAGAATCACGGGCTTGCTGCATTGACAAGGGAGACGGTACCGGTTGGATTGATTTTTCTTTGGACTGTGCATCATGGAAGGCTGGCATATCACCAAATATGCTTTGTGCAAAATCGTCGCTGCCACCAATCTGCGGTAACCCGAGGGAGTGATTGACTTTGGAGTCGGTACCTGACAGCGATGTTTGTGATGAACCTGTACTGGTTTTGGAATGTGGACTGACAAGTTGCGGGAGGTGAGATGGTGTAGCCCCATTTTGATGATGTGTAGGTAAGGATGCTTCGGATTTTGATACTGGTAGTTGTCGCTTGAATATTGAACTGACATTGTCATAGTCGGCACTATCGCTTTCATTTTCACTATCATCATTGTCGTCGTCTTCGTCGTCGTCGTCTTCTTCTTCATCTTCGCTATCGTCGCTGGCATAAATTATCTGTTTTGAACGACTGTGCGGAGGACGTGCCATTGCGAAAGAAGCCGGTCGCTGAAGTTGATTGGACGAGGACATCATGGACATTCTATTGGTGGAGAGTATTTGGGCACTAGCTGCCGAGTTCTTTCGGGGCATATCAGCATGCGACGGCAGCGCATTGGATAACAGAGGCATACTATTGGTTCGACCGTTGGTCAGATTAGGTGTTGGTGGCAAAAGAGGGGCAGTTTGCTGAGTTCTCAATTTGTGAGCGAGAATTCCTGCAAAAGTTGCTTTATTATCGAGCAACGTAGTGTCACGGGTCTCCACTTGAGCAACGTCGGCTAATTCCAAGAATAAACGTGGTTGTTCACCAAATACAGGTTCGCCAAAGTTGAGCGCATTGATGTGATTGGGATCGTCCAACAAGCGGGAAGGTCTTCCATAAAGTTTAAAAGCATCGAATATACCAATAAGCCACTGTATCAATTCATCGGGAGTAGCAGCCATGAGCAAAGCACTGGAGGCGGATGGTGTTGTATTTTGATCTCCGTTTAGATAAACGGTTCCTTCCACTTTCAGGAGCACGGCCGCGTTGATAAGTTGCGGAGACTCCGGATAAATTGTGTATGCTTGTACGACATTGAGGATCTTCATAATAGGGTCCTTGGCCTTTTTAGACGGAAAGAGCAACAACTGCCCTCGTGACGGAATGGATTTTTTGCCAAATAATTTCTTCTTCTCACTTTTGTCCGACACAACCGCCCAATATTTCTGCCATTCGGTTGCGCCTGTGGAACGTACTTGAAGAAAACCCTCCACTTTGGAACCGCGCTTCTTTAAAATGTCAGAGAAGGAGGATCGCACGATAAGTTGCCTTGTGTACATTTCTTGAAGTCTCGAACATTCAAAACTTGATAAACGAATGGCACGAATCCACATGCTGCGCATCTCGTCGTCTGCGGCTTGGAAGAGATACCGATTAGCTCCAGCTGAGTTGAGAGCAAAAATATTTTGTTGCGGTGACTGGTCGTGCATTACACCGTCCTCCACATACTCCACTTTGGCGTCCATGATATTGATATACTGTGGTAACGCCATTTGGACGGATTCCTCTTGCTCGGCTTCCCAGAAAGTCAATACAGGTCCGCACAATTCGATATAGCAGCGAGTCCATTTTCTGTTGGCACAAGGTTTTCCGTCGGTATTCAATTCATTTAGTTTGAAAAGGTAACCTTCGGTGTACACTTTTTGGTGGTACGTTTCAAATAGCTTCTGTATGCCAGTCATATCGGAAGGAACAGGTGCTGTAGATTTAGAAGGTTGGTTCGCGGGTTTCATGAAACGAGCCGGTCTCGGTGAATCGGCATACATGGCCAAGTTACGGACCGACATTGGGCGAGAGAAAGAGCTTGAAAATGAGGGCGAGGAATGCATAAGTGATTGACTGTGAATGGATGAGGGTCGATGAACGTTGGCAGAAGACAATGGTTGGTCGTCGTCTGAATCGTCGTCTTCCAGCGAAGGGTCTTGAATGAGATGCGTACTTCGATTCCATCCTGGACTAGTGTGTCCTGGTGCCCCACTATATAATGCTCGTGAATCTCTTTTTGAGACTATCCTGGGGTTATTTGCACGTGGAAGGGGTCGCTGAGACGTGGAGGTATCTGATATACTGAGCGATTCCACCGCAGACGGTAAACTACTGTCGTCTGAAGCTCGGGATATCATGCGTTATTGTTATGTGGCGCTATCTCGGGTCGAAAAAAACCAAAGGTATGGCAACTGGTCTAAATAAAATATGTGGTTCAGTATGTTACATTCAGGATGACGAACCCTGACTTTTTTTTGTAGATAAAAAGCGAACCCCTTCCTCGTGTAAAAAAGGTACTGCGCATAGCCACAGAAAACCAAAAGCATCACCCAATGCGTCGCAAAACAGCAATGTGGGAAGAAAAAGCAAAGAATGACTTACATCGTAATGCAAAAAGAGAATGCTATTGTTGCAATGGCAAAGCGATCAAAATGGGATACACTAGGGAATGGCGCCAATATAAACAAGGTATGAACGGAAAAATGAATAAAATTCGTTCTTTTTGTATTTCGCGTGGTGCCGGCTCGAGCTTGAAAGAGTTGCGGAGAATCAAAACTTTTTTTTTTTTTTTGTTGCAGAGAAATGAGTTCCAGATTATAGAAACCTTTGAGAAATAACTTCAACATTCAATGTCGCCGCTCCCTGAAGCGAAATATGCTCAATTTCCGGGGGGAAGGATTAGCAATTGAAAAAAGAAGGTAACTGTATCACTGCCTCTACAAGGGTCAGTATAAAACAAATCTCATTAACCAAGCTTTAAAATTAGAATAATCCAGCCAAGTGATTCTCTTCTGAATATTATACTTATATTTCACTTACAACCATGCAAAGTAATTATGTTTATATGGCAAGATGTAACAGACGTTGAAACGTCACTATATATAGACATAAAGACGATGCGGACATTTATCATCGCAAGGAAAACTGGAGAAACCATTCACTCGTACAATGCATGCCCTGTTGATGCAGGTGGGACACCCGTTGATATTTCATTCGACCAATTTTTCGATTTTGATGAGCCTTTCTTTTTCGGATGAACTACTCTCTGATAGCAAAACCCTAATTGTGGACCCGTGCAGTTGCTTCGTCATTACCTTGGGTTGTGGTTAGCAGCCAGGTTGACCTCGCCCTTGAAAGCGCACATTCTGTCGTTTGCAGTACCATTGAAAGCTTCCACACGATCACTACGGGAATGGATGGAAACCGCGTTGTAAATGCGAGGTAATAAAAAAAAGCGCGTCTGATTGAAAAAATAAGAATTCCCCCCCATAAACCACGACGTTGGTGGATCCAATACACATGGCTGTTCCGTTTTTCTGCTTCGCCTTGCCTGGATCAGCAAACTCTGCAGAGCCTGCACAAAGGACAAATTGCGGTAGTGATTCTACAACAGGTTCCATACTGCACTTGTTGATTCACCCTTAGAGAGATCTGTGGCTGTTCGCCGGCATCGCAACAAACATTGCAGTCTAATGGAAAAATAGCCGTGCATGCACTTGCAGCCTACTAGCATGATCAACCCTTTTGAATTGGTCATGAATTTCATTTTTAATCGGGAAAATATGTTTTCGATGGTTTATTAATTGATGCCTATTGATTGAAGCTGCTAAACAAACATGAAAAGGTGCACTGCCCATGGCTAAAATGATCAGGGTGATCATCTGCCCTCGATGATCCTTAACGAGGTAATTGCAAGCTGCGGTTGGAGATGCAGAGAGAATAAAGACAAAGTTGTATACTTGTGTATGCAAAGATTTTACTATTTGGTCACAGTTAACCCACCCAACATGTGTTCAACTTCAGCACGGTCCGCCTCTGATTCCAAGAATTGCTGTCCGCCATCCTCGAGAAAATTTTTCCTCACGTATTCTTCATAAGAGTCGTACTGCTCTTCATCTAATCCGTGATCAAATCAGTTTACTGGCCTTAAATGGCTACCTGCCCTGATAATACCTTGTTCGCTCCGCATATATTCCAAGACCGGCATCAGTCTTTCCCATATTTCTGGTTTGTGTAACTTGATTAGTTCGTAGACCTGTAGCATCATGTCCGACCACGGTATACGATTGACATAATGCTGATCCAATATCGCAGTAAAGGCATTATACAGATTCTCGTCATCGATGATTCGTTCACACTGAACTAGCATGGATTTGGAGTTGTCAGAATGTGTTTCGTCGAAAGCGTCACTACTGTGCCGTTGCGAATTCAGTACGTCTGTCACCGCTTCTCGTATCGGCATAGACAAGGTTTGTAAAAAGCCGTTCAAACTTGACATGACTTGGTGATGGGTGGCATTCGGCTCTTCTAACAGTAAGCTGTGTACGAAAGCACTGGATTCTACTTCATCCCGCAGTAACGCGGTCACTTGTTTGAGCGTTCCAAAGCTGTCGACGACCCGTGTCAAAAGAGCAGCATAGGCAGGATCGTAATCAGCAGCAGTGAGAATAGGTATTGCTTGAGCACCCAGCTGCTGTCGAGGAGGATTGTTCTGGAAATGAGGAGCGGTGAGTTCTAAGAGTGAACGCGAGTTATCGGTCGCTGTCACTGGTGAACGTAGCAATGTCAGCAAGTCAGTGAATTCCTGGGGATTGTTGAAAAGTTCATCCGCTTTACACAGAAATTTGTAAATAATAAATGCAGCCATGGAAAAGTATCCAGAAGAAAAGAAACGATAAAAAGTCTACAAAGGCAATACGTTTCGTGACATCATTGACAAATCACCGATTTGAAGGTTTCGCAAAATCCCAACTCGCAAATCCTGCGCTGGGCGAATAAATGCGACGTTCTTTTTGAATAAGAACTCTACGAATTCCATAATTCAAGGTCTAGTTCTTATCACTGCAAATGTGATTTTTAAGGTACTCTTGAATGAGGGCAGACTGAGGAATTTTTCATGGCAGCGATCAATGCAATCGTTGAAAAAAATGTCGGAGACCGGAGACAACGAATTGGAAGGAAAAAAAATAACACGTCACGACGCTCCTTCCCACTTCCTATCAGCCTTTTTCTTCCCTTTCAAATCTTCCTTCTATTCTGTTATGGCCGAAGATACCGATCCTTTTGAATGTCGTCTGATCTTCTCGGACCTTCTCCAAAAGCTAAATGCCTCTCAACAGTCCATACACAAAGTAGCCAATTATGCTATGCGTCATCGCCGATCATCAGAGGATCTATACAACTGCTTACGGGAGGAACTTGACCAGGTAAATGCGGCTTCTTTCTCTTTCTGTTTATTATGCATCTTTTTTTTTTTGGCTACGGGGAACAAATGCTGGCTGCTCTTTGGGCGATGGAAAAAAAAAAGTCACTGGAGGAGATTATGTGGGCTTCTCGATTAGATAAACATCAGCGTAGAAATAACATGGCGAATGACTGGAGGGAATACACTGCGTGCTCTCTCCAGATATAAACAAAGTTGTCGAACCAAAAGAAACCCAATACAATACTGCATATTATTGACCTTACGTGTTTGGCTGATCAAATCCTTCTGTTTTTTTTTTTTCTTTCTCTCCATTTACTCGCCAATGGGGTTGATCTTATTTAGGCGTCTTTAAACGCCCGTCTAAACTTGCTTTACGTACTCGATGCTATCTTATCAGTCAGCCAGAAATCGCGATTCAAAGGCTATATCGAACTCACACGCAGAGATTTCATACCGATTGTGCGCGCTGTCGTATTGAACGATGCCAAAGGGGTCGTCAATCTGCCAAACACGCGAAAGGTAAGAGTGAAATGGCGGCGTCTTAGGTGTAGGAGGGAAGAACTAAGTCAAAACCTCATATAGATCTTGAATAACTGGAAACGCAAAGCCATTTTTGAACCTGCTGCGTTTGAGGAAGTCGATCGTTTACTGTCGGAATCCGATGCTAGGTAAGAAATTAGCCATGCGAAAATGCGAGATTCACACATTTTTATTTGAATATTGACTCTTTTTTTTTGGTTTTTTGGGGGGATACAGTTCAGCTCAGACAGCGTCCTCGTCAGATGGATTTACAAAAGAAGATATATTACGACGTATGGAAGAAGACAGAGAACGCGTAAGTTGAATATATTTTTCTGTTACAATAGCATGTGTCACTAAAAATGAGGTCAATGACAGCATAAACGGTTACGTGAAGAGATCTGGATCCGCCCGTCGGACGAGTCGGCAGATGCCGAGTTTGAACAAATCTGGGAATCGACGCAAGCGCTCGATCCGGAAACGGATTATGAGACGATGATGGTCCAAAACATGCTGCGACTGCCGCAGTATGCTTGGCACATGATGCTCTCTCAACGTACATCAAAAACAAATCAAAACGATGATACATCCTGTACCTCATAGAAATTTTTTTCGTTGTTCTTTTTTTCTTCTATTATCCATTATTATCCTTTGTCGTTTTGCTGTCATACCTTGTCCCTTTTTTTGGGTGTTTTTTTTTTTTCTTTATCTTCACTCATCATCGAATCCCCGCTTCATACCTACTTTGGACCCTACTTTGGGCTTATCTAAAGGAATATAATAAAAACCATTTGAAAAAGATCAGGTCGTTGATAATAAATCATGTTACGTCGCACTGTTATTGATTCTTCTCTTTGATAAGATTGCACAATTTCTCGATACGATCAACGCAATCTGTACAGTCATCAAATGTAAAGGAGACATAGGCAATAATGCAAACAAGCTATAAAAAAAAAAAAAAAAAAAAAAAAAAAAACAATCCCGGTTGAGAGTACATTTGTTTACGAGCGTTGATGCATGTTTCCCGGGATTTCCCCATCAACAAAAAAACAAAAAAAATTTTTTTTTTTGGTACTCATCGCACTAGCGATGTTATATCATCCTGTGATCTTCATCCATCATATTGAGCAATTTGGAAATTGTTTTTCCGTCGTTTTGTTATGAGCCTCCGGCATAGCTTTTCTCCGGAGATAAAAGATATTCGTCACGAACGTGGCAAAACCATCCCACATTAAATTCCCTTATGCGGTAATTTTGCCGCTCTTTTTGGCGCCGCGAGAAAAAAAAAACTGACTGCAAACAAAAAGGTTATAAAAAAGTCGGGGAAGCAAAAAACTTCACTTGATCTCATTTGCAATTTTTCTTCTCTCTTCCTGTTTCCCTCATATCCTTGTCTTATTACTCCATTTTATTCCTAAATCAATTCATATATCATGCTGATGGTACATCCAATGCAGTTAGTACACGGATGTAACTTAAAAATCGACCTCGATACCGATAAAATTGCGCTTCACGGCAATGCAGACGAATCGGCTGGCGTTATGTTGAGAGGAACTGTACGATTCTCTTGTCAGGAACATACCAAAGTAAAATCTGTCACGCTCAAACTGGAAGGCAAAAGCCACGTTCACTGGACTGAAGGTAGGCTACATAGTCTGTATAGAGTGATTGCGAACCAATCAAATACTAACTCTTTCTTTGTCAGGTGCTGGTTCCCAAGTACGCCACTTCAAAGAAGAACGTTCAATAATCCAACACGAGTGGATTTTCTTGGCGTCTAAAGAGAAAGCTCAAGTTTTGAAAGAAGGAGAATACAAATGGTACAGTGATCTCATTGGTTTCTTAAAAATTTGTTTCTGACAGCCTGTTTCGGATTTAGGTGCTTTGAATTACCGCTCCCAGGCGATCTTCCCGAGTCCATTAAACATCCTTTGGGCGAAGTCAGCTATCGTTTGAAAGCCGTGATTGACCGTCCAGCATTCATGATGAACTATGTTGCTAAACGAACCCTTCACGTGTCGCGCCTGTTGTTACCGTCCTCGCTTGAATTAACCCAGTCCATCTTGATTTCCAACGTCTGGACCAATAAGCTCATGTACGAAATTGGCATCCCCCGCAAAGTCTACCTCCCAGATACGAAGATTCCTATCGCCTTTGACCTTGTCCCCATCGCCTCTAACCTTCGAGTACGATCAGTGGCTTGCACACTGAAGGAGTATACAATATTCGCCGCATCTGGGCACCAGCGAACTGAGGGACGGGTAATTACTCACTTGCGCGATGACCATTTTACCCGCTCCGCCAACGGCCATTGGATGAAAACGGAACAATTATACATCCCCTCCCGTGCATCCAATATGCGCGAGATCCAGTACGATGTAACGGGCGACCTTATTAAAGTTAAACACAAGCTCAAATTTATCGTCACATTGGTGAACCTTGATGGCCATATTTCTGGTAGGATTATTTTCCTGGAGTTGATAAATCACATCACGGAATGAATAGCATACTCATATGCAAGGTGACCTTCTTTAGAACTCCGGGCTTCTATTCCTGTTATTATTGCATCTAGCTTGCCTGAACAAGACCTCAACGACCTTCCCACTTACGAAGCTGCTTCTGGTGTCCCTCCTCGTCATGCTGCCTTTGAAAATGGCTTGGTGAGTCACGCTTCATCCGTCTCCATGGCCATTCCTGGCGCAGACATGTGCCAGTCACGGTACAGAGCCAACGAAGATTCAACCGATGATGACGAAGAAGAAGATAGCTTACAGCCATATCAGCCGATACTCTGGAATGGGTTAGACTTATCACGCGTTCCTTCATATACCACTGCCGTTCAAAGCAATCGCTTCTATATCTCGGGCTCATTACCTACTTATGAGTCCATCTGTGTCCCCCCTAGTCAAATAGCCTGAAGTACGCTTTTGACTTGACCTTTTCCCTTTTTTTCCCCTCCATCGAGTTTCTTCCTCTTTTTACCCCATTTTTTCACATCCTTTTCTCTCATATTGTAAATAGATACAGCATCCTTCTTGCATACACTATTGAATTTTTGTTTTACTTTTTCCTTGCCACTTGGTCTTTGAACAGGTGGATCATTTATTGTTCTCCTTTTTCCGTCTTTCTTATGCTTTTATCTTCTTATGGTAATTAAATAAGCGTTTGAATCAGTGATCTATTCGTCAAATTTTTTTTGTTGTTGCTTGCATAGGATGAAATATACTTAAAGAGAAGTCTATCTTGAATGGTCCCTCGGATTGAATACACCAATCCAAGTCAATGACTGGCAACGATTGCTAACTTACAAAGGCACCTCATTCATGACTTCTTCAAACCAATAATATCCCACCCCTTGAGTACCTCCGATGAAATCCTCCTGTGTTCCTTGTTTCACTTAATTGTGCAGATGATGATTGTTGTTGCTTTGCTTTTGTTGACTTTTTAGTGTGTCACCATCTTACATACGTTTGGATCTGTCCTGCATGGTACATGTTACTTAGGGTTGGCATCATAGCAGTGTGAATAATGGATTTTTTCGGCTAAAAACACTAGATGGTCTAGGTATCCTAGGCATTCTGGGTATCCTGGATATTTCCACTGATGTATTTCTGACATGAAAGCATTAATCGTATCAAATGCATATATAACAAGGGTCCTGCAATTGGATGTTATCCAGTACACGTTTGCCTGAATGGAATCCATAGTGGAGGGATCATACTCGTGAAGTGCCTAACTATGTGTAAAAATAAGCAGGCTACGAACAGTCTCATCTCGATCCGTCATTTTGCTTTGTCCATGAAAGTTTGATCGGCATCCACTCGCAAGTTTGTATCACTGAATCAAAAAAAAAAAAAACCAAGACCGGATCATTCAAGCATAGCATAAACGGCTGTGTGAAATGGAGAATCTCACTTTTTACGTGCTCCGCACTGCATCTCTAGGTTTACCTCGGAATCTTATTAGTCGCGCTGTGCCAAGGAGCGATTCGCAGTGATGCGTACCAATCGTCAAGATATGTAATGGATGAGTAATCCTCGCCCTGCAGCCCTGCAGCAATATATTGTGTGAGTCGCGATGCTTCGTTGTCGGCAAGCTGCCAAGTTGATGGGAAATAAAAGAGGATACATGTTCCACGTGTCAACGCATACTTTCTTATCCATGGGCATTGAAGGACCACAATGAGAAACCGAGAAAAATGTAAACATTGTACTGTTATTGTTACTATGGTTCGCCGATTGAATGTCAGATTAGGTTGTGAAAATGGTTCAATACCGATGCTTGACGATTCTGATGACATTTTTCGGGTGTCACTTGTGAGGCCGGGTTCCTTTACGACAAGGAATATAAGTCTTTGTCATCTTTTTCACCTTAAAAGCGGGTATTATTTTCCAAAAAAACATTGAACAGCGACCAGTTCGCTTGATGCCACTAATTATTCCCGCTAATCCCTTCTTTTGGGTACTTTCATTCTGGGATGGAGGCAGAAAAAAAAAAAAAAAAAAAAAAAAAAAAAAAAAAAAAAAGCCGGAAAAGGGTCCTCTTGAATGACCAATAAGTTATAGAGAAACCCCTTGCCTGTTTTGCGTGTGATTAAATTTTCAGCTCCGCTCATGTCGTACAAAAGCAAGTGCCCGTGTCGCTTGTTGTTTCTTTGCTGCTTGCACCGGCCCCGCACCTGGTTCCTGTTTTTGTTGAACTTGAAACCCCCTTACTTTCTCTCCTTTCCTTTTCACTCCAATTCTTCTTTGATCCTGTAATTTTAGGCTCTGAATTAAGTTTTACTGCTATTGCTTACATGCACAGACCATAACCCCGCATTTTCCAAACCATCCTTGGCTCTTAAGCACGAATCCCTTTTTTTTTACCCTTTTTTCACTGCATTTTTTATTGTGCTGTACCATGCCATTATTAGTGATGCATAGATTGGCAACTCGCCTATCTACCTACTTTTATGGGTATGGGAAACTTTGTGCCTCCCATTCTTTGATACTCTTGTTTTTCTCTTTAGCGTGCGTATGTTTCTTGTCCTTGCCCGTCATTACAAACGTCATTCACGCACATACCCACACCTTCACCATACCAACCAGCCACCTCGATGCTAAACTATGGCAATTTTCACCCCATGTTCATTCGATTGATCATTCCTCCAACTCCTTGCGTGCACCTTCCATGATCGCTCAACAGATTCACCTCATGATTCCTGAACAAACGATAACCACCGAACTGCTCAGCGAGACAATGAAGCTTCGAGACGCTCTTCAATCCGTCACCGTCAATGTGAACGGCAAACAGCAATCGCTTCGTTCTATTTGTGTTACGCATCACGGGCAGTGCATAATCCACTCACCTTTGGATTACTGGACTTCGTCGTCTGATTTATTACAAGATACTGCCTGGCCTACTACCATCAGTCGTCGTCAGCATGCTATCTCTCAAACCTCGGGTCTACTTTTGCATCCTTTTTCGCTTTTCGCCAATGTGACCATGAGTGCACAAAATCAATGGATCGATGCGGAGTCAATTATTATGACAGTACTAATCCAGCCGTCGCCTTTTTTTGATGCCCAACATATCTGGGACCTTTTATGGCAACATGCCACAGAATATGTTGGTTTGAAGCACCATCGTGACAGCATCAATTTCCAGACATCTTCCTCCTCGATCCCTCGTGGTTGGTATGATCAATTATTACTACCTCCGCATACGTTGCAATTCAAGGTACGTGAGACAAAATTCAATCAATGAAACTTTGGCGCGCCTCGTCAAAACCCTTGACTTATACGTCATATCAAAAAAATTAGTATCAGTTATTTCCCTATGCGGTTCCCCCTGAAATATATGTATCAATCGGAGCTTGCATCGCTACCTTTTACATGGTGTCGGCCGCCTTTGGCAGATCGAAACTTGTGCGATCTCAATATCTCTTCGGATTAGCCGCTGTTTTCTTGTCCATAGCCTGTTTCACGACAACGTTGGGCATCCTGCACTATCTCGATATCGAACTCACCAGGCTGCCCTGGTACCTGTTACCCGTCGTGGCATGCGTCGCCACCTTGGAGAACGTGTTTCTGTTGACCAACGCCGTCCTAGATGCAGGCTGTGATATGCATGTGAAAGAAAAAGTCGCTCGAGGTGAGTCCTTGAATATTCGGTGCTCTTCATCTATGTGACTTACCAATGGTTTTCAGGCATGCAAAGTGTTGGTCTTCCTATGATGGCCACTTTGATTGCCGAAATGGGCATATTGGCTATCGGTGGTTCCATGGAGAAACCCCTCGTAAAGGAATTTTGTTTCTTTGCCAAGTTACTCTTGCTCGTTGAATACGCTCTTCAAATGACTTTCTTCGTTGCTATATTGACGATTGACGTCAAAAGAGTCGAGGTACGTTCGTGAAAAGTTTTTTCGTAACCGAACAACGTATTTATCAGTGACCATGAATAGCTGGCTGATCTTAACGACAATAAAGTATCCAAGCGCATCCGGGAACTGTCAAAGTATGATGGAGACGTCGGTGACGATCCCGATTTTTGCCCGGTACAGGATACACCCGATGAGTTGCAATCCAAATCATGCGCTGAATGCAAAGAATTCAAAACCCATCGAGCCTTCAACGCCCTCATCGTAAGTATGACCTGGTCTCTGAAAGCAAATGTATCATTGCTGACGGAATGTCTCGCTACGCGCGTTTTTCCACAACTCCATAGCTTTGCCTTGTCCTTCTGGCTCTTTCGGTATTTTGCTCCCATAGCGATTATCCGTTGCCTACAGCTGTGACGATGCCTCCAAAACCATCTTCAACGATGCACAAACTGCTCATCTCCATTTCATCTCGTTTCTGGAGAACCGTCAATCCATCGCATGATATGCAGTCGCTGGTAGTAAATGCACCTTTTATGGTCATTTTTTCTGAAGATGTGGAGAGAAGTTCAGCTGTGCTTCTCCAACATGAAGCGCTATACCCGCCTGTAGCCACGGCATGGTCTGCTTCCGATTCTTTGACAAATGACCATACATCCTCTGTTTTCCGCCATGTCTCGTTTTTATTTATACAATACGCATCGGCACTGGCAGTTAGGATCAATATCCCGTCTGTGCTCTTATGTATCGTCCTTGCCGGTATCATGATATGGATGTCGCCGTACTACCGAAATCGATGGTTAATTCCCTTGTTGAAACATCTTTTCGTCAAAGCCACTCTCCAGCTTTTGCTTTGTATTCAGAAAATCGTACCTTCGTGGTCATCAGCCATTCTCGAGCGGACAACGCTTCGCATTTCCGAATATGACAAGGACGGTGTTCATTTTGGTGCCATCTCAGCCCAAAAACTGTTCAACCAACAACAGCAACGATCCGTGCAAACAGTTACCGTTCAAACACTTTCAGGAAAACACGTGGCCGATTTACGCCAAATAGGCGTCAGTGGAAAATGTACCACCATCGTTTCCAGCGGACAAGATGGGCGTGTCGTACTGTGGGACCCCCAACGAGGTGACTGGATGGCCCGCTTGGATCGATGCTACCAGACAGCCAATGGCAAAATACAAGCCCAGTTGAATACCGCCTACTACCGGGGTGGTCGAAAAAAGCCCACCCTCTCTCTGGATGCTCCAGCACAGCAGAAAACCATCAAATCAGCCAGATGCGTTCAGATTGATAAGAGCAATCAATGGTTAGCTATTGCTTCAGATGAAGCTGTTCTTCAATTGTGGGAGATCAGTACCGGTACGCTTATTCGTGAAATCGATATGCAATCCGCCATGCCCGTAGCGGATCTGCCAGAAGAACAAAATGCTCAGGACGGGCTTCGCCGACGACGAGCAACATTGCCAAAAGGCGAAAAGCCGCGTACCTCGAGGGACCGTGTCATGGCGATCTCTTTTCTAGATACGCTGACGATGAAAACGGCAGATACGTTGGGCGATGGACGGAGCTCACCTATTGCCGAGGAACCACTGCTGCCTCAAACGTCCGTGGTAGTCGTTTTCAAAAGCGGTGTACTGCAAGAGTGGGACATCTTATCGGGCGCGTGCACACAAAGCATCGTAACACAACATGGGAGAAATGTCAAACTGTTGCATGTCGTTGAAAATCGATCGTCGAAGCCAACCGATACGCAATGGATTTTTACAGCCTCAAAAAACGGGATTGTCAGATCTTGGGAACGCAAACTTGTCGACTGTGCTGATAGTGGTGCGGAAACAGACTCGACAGATGACACCTGTCCTGTGCCGACAAGCCGCATACAGTGGCATTGTCGATATGTTATTGATGGTCACAATCATGAATCCATAGTTGCACTGGCAAGCGAGAATTCGGCGGGTTCGGCAGGAATCGTGGTGACGGGTGCCAGTGATGGTGCGCTGAAAGTATGGGGTTTCGATACGGGCGATCATGTACTGACATTGTGCCAAGGCGGTGTCAAGAAGACGCATCCTGAAATCCATGCGGGCGGCCCACTGTTGCGTTTCAGTAAATTTGCTACCAACTCGACAGCCCACAGAGACAACGACGATCAATATCGCGAGCCAGGACAACCGTTGCACAGTGCTGTTGCAGAGATCGTTGTTGCAAGATATTGTGACGCCACGGAAGGCCCAGGTTCCCATCCAAGCCATGAGCGTTGCCTAGGCAGCGGATTTATTGTAGCGTGCAGCTCGATGGATGATACAGTACACGTATGGCGTTTGGACCGTCCTCAGGGTGTTCATGATAAATCGTGTCAGCCATACTCCAAAGATTATCGCCGTCAACAGATCAAGCGCAGTCGAAAACCCAGTATGTCACTGCAAGCTTCTTCAGAAGATGCCTTGTCCGATCCACGAAGCAGTCGGCAAAGACGAAGATTGGCTTCAATGAGCAATGGTACCAATGGAACTAACAAGCGCCGTATTCGTGTTGTTCGTTCTCAATTGACACTCAAGGAGGATGAAGTAACCGATCTCCTGGATATTGAGCAGCTGGCGACTGCACAGGAAAACGACGCTGCGCTGGAACCCATCTTCCTCGGAAAAATACAACAATTCGCTGGTCGAGGGTTGGTTTTCTGTGATAATATGGTGCTTGCCGGTGTCCGACAACGATTGCAAGATGAACACGAAACACATATCCAGTGGGAAGCATGGTTCGCGTCCCTGAGATATCGGGAAGCTCCTGATAGCGACACAACCATTCCTGTAGAAACCTTTAATCTAGAGGTTGATAAAAAGGAAGTGCCAGAAAAGCGACAAGCAACAACAGCCCTGTGGCCGCTTTTTCAGCAGCTGCTTCACCTCCTTTTACCAACACCGACTTCGACCAACAGACGATCGGCGCTTCATAGGCTGAAGTCAAGCAAACCGAAACGCCTACGCAGTTCATTTATGCATAACGAAGATTCAAGTTCGCATGACCAAGATATGGAAGAAGCCAACGAAATTCTTCCATTCGCTGTTATTCGCCACGTTCTTCCTTTGAACGGTAACGGTGTCATTTGCGACTTCGGCAATTTCATCAAGGTAGTCTCCATTGACAATTCAACGACAATCCCATCCGAGAAAGGAGAGTCACCTAGCCTCGATCGAGAAGTGGACCAAGCTCGTGAATCTATCACTGCCATTCAGCCTAGAAACGGCCACATCACCTTGGACGACGGAAGGCAAGACTTCCCACCTATAGAAGGACGGCTCGGATACAGTGGCGGTACTGTATGTAATCCTAGGAATAAGGCCAACTGCGTGCTTAAAGCCAACTGTGCTCGCGCGGCTGACTGTGCCGGAGCGCCAACATCCTTTGGGCGTCAGTAGAAGCATTGTATAACAATTGATTAATCGCATTTTTACCCTCATTTATCTATCATTGTATTCTTACATTCATCAATAAACATATGACCTTGCTTGAGATGAGACATCACCGGAGAAGAAACAAAGGGGACTAAAAATGGCATGTTTATCTGGCCTTCCAAACATACGATTTCATTTTTGAAAATTATCGTACAACACACACCCGACAATAGATAAGAGTATCAGGCGCATCATAGATATGTGCAACGTCGAATGCAGCTATGTTGTGCCCAAGGAGATACAAAACCTTGCCATTGTTTCACATGCCAAGCTACGGTTTTCCTTGCCTCTAATACGATTGAATTAGGTTCCAATTCCTCAGGTATAATGTCTGCCCCATACCTGACAGCAGCATCTAATTTCGTGAACAAGAAGGTGAATGCGTGATTAAAAATTACATTGCAGACTGTGTTCAACCTTATGGCGAAGTTTTGATAGATGGATTCTACGATCATCCCCGTTATGAAGTTGCATTCCCATAATTCGATGTCGATAGGAAAGAAGAGTTACTCAGAAACAATAAAATAAATGACGCAAATGCTGGGTCCCTAGGGATCAGTCTACTTTGACTAAAAGCCTTGGTGTATTTTTTGCTCAAAAAAGATTGCGAATGTTTCCATGAAGATAAGCAGCGAATAAGTTTTCAATTGTATTCGCTGCATTGATTTCACTATATTACGCATGTTTCTATGGCAATACAACTTTGGAACAATTCTGACAAAAGTGAACGTCTCACAATGCGTGATCAGTAATCCAGATCGCATTTTTTGTGTTTGATTTTTTTTGAGGATCATTTGTATAAAACGCTTCATACCATATCCAACCGTTGTCATCGATATAAACAGAGTCATGAGCGAAACTGTGAGTTTAATATTGCATATTTGCTACGGTAACCTTGTGACTATTTATTCCCCTGACGCGAACAAATACCATTCTTTTTTGGGGGGACTTCCTTTCATTCTATTATCGCGATTTCGTCTAAATTGACACTACCTTGATCCGACATAACTCAATATAAGATCGATGAAAATGATCTCCATCTTTCATCAACATTATGTGGAACTTTGCAGTAAACGAGACGCGCGCCAGCAGGAGCTCCAAAAATTACAGCACAACGTTCAACGGTTAGAGCGGCTCCATTTTCACATCAAAAATAAATCAACAGTACAACGACTGGAGCTTTCAGTAATAGAACATCAGATCCGCGACTTGCAATATAACGACATCTGGGTTTCAGCGGATGACTACGATAAGATTCATGAGAATAAAGCATTCATGGAGAAAAATCTTGAAGCGATAATGGACGAATTTGTACGGATTCAGAAACAAATCGAAGAACAATGTGAAGCGGCTCAAAAGGAAGCATCCCATATCATTGGCATAGAAAGGGCGCTTGTATGTCTCGAAATCGAAATGCAGCGACTCACAGAAAGGAAGCATCAACAGCGGTCGCACACATTCACTCGTAGCTCTTCCTCAATTCGACGCCTTTTTATTGACCAACTTTCTTCATGCTGATCTGCCTCCATCATAATATCTCCGACAACCATAGGCTCATAATTAATCAAGGGTAGACAAGAATCCAAGTACTACAACCAAAAACAACCAACCATAATAGCATATCCTGCCATTCAACAGCTTGTATAAAATAGGAAAATCTAATATTTCTTAACTATCACCATTAAAAGCATTCAATGAAGTGACAACGAAGAAAATAAAAAAAACCAAATGCCACTGTGGGTCGCTTCATCTGCGAATTTCCTTCTATGTCACCACAATCACGTGAGGGTGACGTCACGGACATTTTAGTTTTGGTGATCATACACGTGCAAATTTTTAAGAAATAAGCTGATTTGGCCGAGTTGGTCTAAGGCGCCGCACTCAAGTTGCGGTCTCGCAAGAGGCGTGAGTTCGAATCTCACAGTCAGCATTTTGCCCCCAGCAGGGCTCTCTTGGTTTTTTTTTAAGCTGTTGCGTGATGCAGAGCGCGAAGGGCTCTTTTTTGACTAAGAATTATGGGCGAAGAGACGGTATTTTTTTTTTGTAGACGAGATATTTATTCCCTTGTATCATTTTTTTTTTAAAAAAAATATTTATAATTGCTATTCTCTTTGAAGAGGATCAAGTTTATTGCCTTTCATATTTTTTTGGTTGGGTATCCTGTTAAATCATCTTTCTTCGATCTTTTCGCCTAGACGACCTTCTGACGTTTGGGGTTTCCATGAGATGAGTTACTGGAATTTCAGAGCATTTGACAACCGCATTTTTCGTTTGTATTGAGCGAGTGTTTCGACCGCTTTTGACAACGAAATCTCCCGTGTCCTCATAGATGGGATACTAAAGAGTGTATGTACAGACAGACGCCCGCAAGATGGCTATTGTCAATCGTGACTTGTTTTAATTAAAGGCTTCCAAAACGATTGCGAATTGTATCATACTAACTTGTAGTTTTTGCGGGAAGCATATAATATTCTGTCTGACCCCTTGAATCAGAAATACAACTGCAGGATTTTCTGGGTGCAGTAATGGATTGCAGCATCCTTATTTCATAAATTCCAAGTACACGTACCGTGCGAATATATTTCACATAATAGTATAACGTGATTCCGTATCCCTGATTCTCAATCACAAACCGTGATGGTTTGTGGTCTCGATACTGAGATGTCGTGCTTTTCCATTACGCAATGATATTGCGATAATTGATTGGCTGTGAAACTGGGCCGTTTAACCACTGACTAGAGGACCTGAATTTTATTTTCCGAGTCGTCATCAACTTCATGCAATTGAGAATGCAGATAATTCAGCCCTGAATCTATTCTTTTACAATTACGCTTCCTTTCCTAACATGAAGCCGTTGCTATTTAAATGTTTGACGATACTGATTCTCATTAGTACATCGAGTGCCAAGTTGCATAGTTCCATTCTGGGTTCCAAAAAGTCTTATCATCGTATTGAGAGAAATCATACAAGGCCACGGATTCTCGCACCTTTCTCGCGAGCAGACATGGCAAGCCCACTTGAAGTAATCCAGCACCCGTATTTACCAGTTTATGCGGACCCCAATTTTAAGAAAGTAGTACCTACCAATTCATGGATCAGCAACCTCTTCTATCCGAGCTCAGAAGATTTGGCACCCACGACGCCGGATCCGTATATATTGCGTCTTTTGGATGACCATGGCGGTTACCCAGGACTTTCTATCCGTCACACTGATGCAAAAGTAAGTACGAATTAGCAGACTGTATCCCAGCAATGTGGACTTAGGTTTTTATTGTAGACATATGGTTCCTATCCCGCCATGAACGATGTACCAGCTACGCAGATGGGTTTCTTCATCAATGGCGTACTAACGGATTTGCGTTTTACCAGTAAAGAATGGAGTCGAGAGAAACCTGAGCCCAAGGTCACCTATTGGGATCATTTTGGAGCAACGTTGCGACTTTCTTCGCCGCGCAATCCAACCAAACGTATTGATTTTCCGCTAGCGCGTGGCATGCCCTTTGTCACTGGTACATACAGCGGCTTGACGCCCCATTTCTATTCCGAGCATGGCATTCAACAGGTGGTAGCTGCCAGCAACAATAATGGCACTTATGGAGGCCGTAAATTCAAAGTTACCATGAATGATCCTTCACATACTACTTTCATCATCTATGCGCTGGGTGGTCCTCTGCAATTACGAAAAATTGGCAACTCAAAATTGGAAGCAACCACTATCTATAACGGAGTCATTCGCGTTGCGAAATTGCCTAGTCCTGATCATGAGCGACTTCTGGATGACTATTTTGATGTGTGGACCGTTGGCGGCACCATAACTACGGGGACGGATGGGTACGTCACATCAAGGTGATCAATTGGACGTTTTAAAAATAGGTCTAACTCTTTGTGTAAAGCGGTAGCTATACCATTACATGGAAAACAGCAGGCAATACTGCAAAGCCGCCATTGATATATGCCTATCCCCACCATCTACAGACACTGTCCGCGGATGTGAAGCGAACGAGAATGCAGCTGCAATCATCCACCAAGGGCGCTATGACAGCTGTTATCGGCAATTCATGGGTGCTGCGAGAGACGCAGTTGTCGGATATCGGTTGGCTTCCGCGGAATCCTGTTCCTGAACGATCGACTCAAAACGAAATTATGAACGCCCTTGCACAGGATGTGGCCGCCAACTATGAGTCGCAAACCAACAAGGGCGATAATTACTTCTCCGGAAAAGGCCTTCAAAAGTATGCCATGGTCGCACTTATTTTGAATAAGCCAAATGAGACACAGTTGAAGAATCCAGAATTGGCCAAGACGGCTCTCGATAAACTCAAGGCCGCATTCTTGCCTTTTCTTGAAAACAGGCAAGGGGACCCTTTCAAGTACGACAGTGTTTACAAGGGCATTGTAGCACGTGATGGGTTACCTGCATCTATGGGCGGCAAAGGCGATCCAAACGCTGAATTTGGACACACGTACTACAATGATCATCACTATCACCATGGCTATCTCGTCGTTACTGGTAAAATGGAATGACTAAACTCAAAGATTGATACCTAACTTGTCCTCTTCCCTAGCTGCTGTCATCCATCACCTGGATCCAGCATGGAAAACAGCCCAAATTAAACATTGGACGGATGTTTTGATCCGAGATGTTAACGCGGCATCTGATAATGACCCTTATTTTGCCCCTTATCGAAATTGGGACTGGTTTGCCGGTCATAGCTGGGCTGGAGGGATTAAGATAGGTGGTGCATTGGATGGTAGAGATCAGGAGTCTGTCCCAGAGGTAAGCAAGGTGATTTACAGCAATCAGTTCACGATGCTAAAGTGATCGTTTTTCAGGCCATCAACTTTTACTGGGGAGCGAAGCTATGGGGTTTAGCTACTGGAGACGCTGCGATGACACGATTGGCGACATTGCAACTGGCGATCACGAAACGTACCACTTACGAATATTTTTGGATGTTGGACAGCAACAAGAACAGACCACGAGATTTCATCAAGAATAAAGTGACAGGCATATTTTTCGAGCAGAAAATAGATTATGTAAGTGTTTGCCAACGAATATAAGGCACGATAATTTCTAAACATTCTACTTGATTCAGACCACCTATTTTGGCCGATACGTCGAATTCATTCATGGCATTCAACAAATTCCAATGACGCCTATTTTAGCCGATGATATCCGTACACAGCAATTTGTAAAAAAAAAAAAAAAAAAAAAAAGACAAAAAACTGTTATTTTAATAAGCAAACGTTAATGAAATTGATAGGTACAAGAAGAATGGGATCAACGACTCGGTCCAGTTATTGATAATGTGCATAACGGATGGGCCGGTGTCTTGTATCTGAATTACGCTCTTGTGAATCCCGCAGCAGCTTACCCTAAACTTCGCACTGTGGACATTGATGACGGCCAAACCAGATCTTATTCTCTCTATATCGCTGCTACACGGCCCAACTTTTACAGACGGTGTAAGTGGACCAAACTGTGATTGAACCGATGTGGTCAATCATATCTCACACGTTTTTCTTAGCCATTTCCAAGGTGCTTGCGGGACACCAGCACCTCTTATCGCTTGAAGATCCGCATCCTAGCCAAAGCTTTAACGGTGTACGTCGCTTGAACCTCACTAAAACGGAGGAGGATGTCGTCTACGATGACTATTGATGAAAGATGCTGTTTATTATTTACATTGTTCAAATTTTGAAGTAAAAAAAAATGCCAGTTTATGAACGACCCTTCAGTGTTGTCTCAGACCCCGAAGAACTGTCTGCCGTTTGATTATAGACATGAATTGCTGCTTCGAGCTCCTCTTTTCGAACCGGTTTACTGACATAACCGTTCATTCCTAAATTATATCATAATCGATCAGTTGGGAAATGGTCTGTTTCTCTCTGTCCGGTTATCAATGCCAATTACCTGCCGCGAAACACTTTTCACGATCTCCCGCCATGACGCAGGCGGTCATGGCAATAATATAAGGCTGTGTTGGTGATCCTGATAACTCTTGCCGGATCTTTATGGTTGCTTCAATTCCATTCATTTCCGGCATCCAGATGTCCATGAAAACGAGCTGAACAGGGTTATTTTCCTGATGGGCTTGCTGGATAATTTCAAACGCCTGTTTTCCATTGTTGGCTATCAATGGTGAAAGGTTCATTCGGCTTAGCATTCGTGAAAGCACTTTTTGATTGACTGGATTATCGTCCACGAGCAGCGCCTTTACTTTGGACAAATCTTCCGAGAACGAGCTTGTGCTGCCATTCAAATTTCCTTGACGGTTAACCGCAGACAATGACATATTGCTCCGCTTTGTGCGTGAGTTGACTGACGTCGTCTGCCTAGATAAGCGAGTGGTGGTTTCAAAGGTCGTAGGGGACATCAGCTGATGAAGTGTGGTTATCAAGCTGGAATTTTTCAACGGTTTCGTTAGATAGGCTGTCCTGGAGTTCCCGGTATCGTTAAACGGATCGGACTTTTCTTCTTGAGGGGTACACAGCGGTTGGTCAACCTGTCGCGTGCATTGCAACATCGTAGTGTCATGCTCTTTGGCTGTCAACTGATGCGCCGTACGATATCTAATATCCTTGACACAAATGACGTTGCTCGCCAATCCAACAGTGTTTCGCAAATAAGTGAGTACGTCTTCGCTTTTCTGTAGTCGCATATTGGAAACCTGGATATCTTCCATATCCATATCAATAATCAGAATGGTGATGTTGGCTTTGTCCTTTTGTTGTCGTTGTTGTGCAAACCAGCGGGTAACTTCTTCAAAGCCCATGGCACGGACTTGAGGGAATCCTAGATTTGATAACAATTTGATCCACGCCGTTCGCAGTAACGGGTTTTCAGCAATAATCATTGCTTGCACATAATGACTTGACAGTGCCTGCAACTTATTTTGCTCTCCGTAATTCTGAGTCCCTTCTTGTGTTTCTAGCCTTACGCGAAAGTAAAAGGTTGAACCTTCATTATACTTTGATTTGACCCACTATATAATCTGTTAATGCACTTTTCCCAGGCAACGGAGAAATAATTAAGAATGAAAGACAATGTACTTACCATGTCACCTTCCATCAATCTGCACAATTTTCGGCTGATAGCTAGTCCAAGGCCGGTACCACCAAAGTTACGCGTTGTCGACGCATCCACTTGCGAGAAGGACTTGAACAGTTTACGGACCTTACTTTCGGGAATACCGATGCCCGTGTCTTGGACAGAGAATAAAAAATCTAGCATTCTCCGAGAGTCGTTCTTTGCAGCATCTGCATCTGCTGCGCTCTGCTGGTATTCTTCGTCATTACTGAAGCATGACTGACAATCCTCGGAGATACGGCATGTATCATTAACTTGTACATGAACAGATACAAATCCTTTGGCGGTGAACTTGAAAGCATTGGATAACCTATGTTACACGCATGAGTCAAACGTCGGCAACCGCGTGATCCGTGAGTTGACGGTCGCCTTACAAGTTAAGTAAGATCTGTCGAAGCCGTACAAGGTCGCCATATACGTGGATGGGTACGTCTGCTTCGATGGTATACCATAGAATCAGCCCTTTCGTAAGGAAATTAGACGATACCAGTTTCATGGCACTTTCAACAACAAAAGTCTACATTGTTACATAAGTCTCTCTTCCTCTTGCATCTGTTGCCATAGGACACGAATCAGTTACCATATCAAGTTTGCTGCGCTCTAAGCTGAGTTTTCCCGATTCGATTTTTGAGAAATCCAGAATATCATCAATGAGAGCCATTAAATGATTTCCTGTAATGTAATGTCATGTGTTAATTTGACCTTCTTCTTCTTTGATTACTACATACCTGATGATTCGATGGTTTCAGCACATTCGTAAAGGTCTGGAGAAAGGTCGCTCTCCATGAGCATACGCGACATGCCAATGACCGCATTCAATGGCGTGCGTATTTCTGAAAAAATTAAAACTTAGTTGCATGTTGCATTTTTCCTGGTCTTTGGACCGGATTTTTACCATGAGACATATTGGCTAAAAAATTTTGCTTCGAAGCTGCCGCTGCCTCGGCCACTTCTTTAGCGGCTTTGAGATCTGCGCAACCATGCGTTAGAGATTCTCAATAAATTTGTTAGTTGTTAATCTCACCTTTGAGAAGGGTCTGGGTTCGGGCTCTTTCCTCTTCCAATTCCAACGTGCGCTGCTGCAAATTGGCAGTCCGTTTTCGTACTAGATTTTCCATGTCATTTGCGTATTTTTCAAGCTAATCAAAAACTGCATTAACAGGGTTTTCATGCGGTTATTTGCCAAACTCCACGTACTAAGACAGCCATATTGTCCACGACGGATCCTGAGCCTATGGAGTATGGATCTATAGATTGTATGCGTGACTAAAGAAGGAATCAGCTACGCATATCTAAATGTCTTGCAACTGTTATTTTACCCCAATGCCAGAAAACGTCGGCCTTAAGCTTGGGTCGACTTGTAAACAGTCAAGGATGACAGCATTCACATCGTCCGAATATTCGTCCTGCATTGGTAATTGCATTGTAGGTCTCAAGCCTTTATCGCGAATATGCTCAAAGATGACTTCAGGAGAAAGTCCTTGCTCAGTTAGTTCGTGATAAGGCGTTTCTCTGGTCAGTATTTCGTTGATAATAATGCCGGCACTGTATACGTCTGCTGCTTTGCTGGGGTGCGTCAAGTATACATCCAACGGCGAGTACGTTACGGATTCTGGAGCAATCCATAGAAGCTTTTCGTGATTTGGTAACGCTTGTGCCTCCGACTGTTCAGTGGCAGATGCGCCGTTGGATTGTACCGAAGATTGATGGTAGTTTTTGTGTAGCGATAACTGTATCAGCGGGTCGAGCTGCGAGTGGCGCACCTTTTTCAATCCGTAATCGGTAATCTTTAACTCCCATTTGCCAGAGATCATACATGTCTTTGAAGTTAGGCAGCCGTGATATAGAAACTTGGACCGATGTAAAAAAGCCATCCCTAACCAAAAGTAATCATCAGTGGTAGAAAACTTGAACTGGGGAGCAAGCCTTTAAACGTACCGTGGATCAAATCATTGATCAAAGAAAACCGGAAAATCCAGGTCAAATTGATGTCACAATCTGCCAAAACATCCGCCAGGGACCCCTTTGTACAATATTCTTCCACGATCAAGGTACGATGCGGTTCGAGACAAATACCAACAAATTCGGTTAGTTTTGGATGCCGGGCATCTTTCATCAACGCAATCTCCATTCTTATATTGTCATCAATACGTAGGCGTCTGTTCCCAATTTGCTTGATGAATACAGGAAGGTTACGACTAAAACATCATCGGTTAAATTCACCGAGTCAGCCATGACTTGGAATACTTTCAACTTACTGTAACCCTACTGCGTGAATTGATTCACACACCTTTTCGTGGAATTTCGACGAATAACTGGTTTAAAGCATTGATTACAATCGAAGATATTGCACAGAATGTATCGACTTACTTTGACATCTTTGGAGCGTCGGCCTTCAGGGACAACTCGGGTTCCGAGGCGATACGGTAATCTGGTTGCGGCGACCACTCGCGAGAGCTATTAGCCCGATCAATAGCTTCATCCGACATTATTGCTTTGTGGACATGCTGAGCATCGCGACGGGACCATGAAGAAGTACTCGTTATATGCTTTAACGAAGGACGCACCAAGTCATGATAGGATAGTAACCAGGTCTCATCTTCAAGACGACGACGCCGTTTCCATTGGTTGATAACTTTCCAGACAAGAAAACCAAGCAAAGAGAGAAATAACAATAAGCCCAAAGGAAGAAAAATTGCCATGTATACTCTTCGGTGAGCTTCCGATTGCTCAACCACATACGCTGCGCAGTTGGGGCTATTCTGACTGTTATTCGACGAACATTTCGTACAAAACGAAGACCCTGCCGGCGAATAGGTTCCATAATCGCAGGCCCTGCATGCCATTTGATTGGATAGTGGCGTATAAGTGTTGTTTGGACATGGAGTGCATTGAAGAGCTAATCGTGTATGACTGCTTTCGTCCAAGCAAAAGTAGCTGGAAGCTAGTTGATTGTAAAATGTACCGGGAGGACAAATTTCCTTGATGCGTTGAGGTGTGATGATCGTCTTCGCCCAGGGATGCGGACGAATGACGTTGGCAAGTAGAATGTTCATCATCGACATGAAACCAATGGAGAACATGTCCATGTACCTGTCAATAAAAGAGAATCAGTCATACCGTCTCTGCATTCATCGGTTTGGTGTTATCGTACCAGAGTGCTCTTATTCTGCCTTCCAAAAATGCTTGCACTTGACTAAATAAAGTGCCTGATGTATACAACACCTTGTCTTTGCTCATATATCCCTTTTGTTTTCTCTGTTTTACAAAGCGTTAGCACATGACGTCTCTGTGAATATATTCGATCATTTACCGTATCAATGATATTGAAGATATATTCGGATATGGTGATGTACGCATCGGGTGTATAGTTACGTGCCGTCAGGCCATCAATAATGTTCTGAAACTCTGCGTCCATAGATTCAACAGTGGATATGTTGAGCGAGTGAACCACATGGTGCTTGGGTGGCGAGCTTTTGCCTGTAAGATTGCTAAACTTTTTGTAGAAAGCTCCACAGAATGTGCCTGCATGGTGATGTGTATGCTCCGAAAGGCACATAGGGTACTTGACGTGGTCTGTAGCCGCTGCAGAGGCCATTGAGTCGGCCAGCCCAGCCAGATCCAGGGCCACATTCGACGATAACCTGTAAATGCGCATGTTTGGTGGACGCCCTGATCATCATACTGTGAGTGAATCAACACTTACGATTTACCGATATTTAGCGGTTCATAAAAATCGCCTATTTTTGCCAAAGGCACCTCATTCATTTTGCTGATATTGCTTCCATAGTTAAGCACCGAAGGATCACTGGATTGAAGGATGATAGCATTGACACCATGCTTTGAAAAGGTGGCCATTTCATTCTTCAAATTCATGCTTGGAGCAACCGGCTCCGGCTAAATATGAGATTTTGATTTTCAGCAACTGATTAATCATGTTCATCTTGAAATATTGCGTACCTCTAGACTATTTAAAATAGTCCAATTAAGTTTCCGGGCGAGATCATGAGCGCCCACCATCAAAGCACCATTGTATGTATCACCGCGAGCGTTGTGAATGATCGTGCCAACGTACGCATTTTGCTCGCTTAGTGGAATGAGAGTGGTTTGCTCATTCTCAATTGCTGACTGAAGGTTATCAAGTGTGATCAGATGGGGTCCCGTGCTGATCGTCACATTTTGATAGATGTTATGACCCGTAAGAATCTATTCAGACGACTATCATCAATACCCCGCTGCAATAGCTTATCTTACAGTGACACATTTTTACCCTCTGATACATATAGAAAACCGGTAATGCAGTTTGATAGTAAGGCAATTGAGAGACGGCGATCGTATCCTTGTGGCGTTGAAATAATTCTGTTGTGTTCATTCCTCCAAGATCAAAGAACGCTACACCGATACGTTTTTGGCTATCCGATTGTAAAAGATTCAACATGGCCCCCGATGTAATATCTGCGGCAACCTATCGAAGGATAAGAAAAAATCAAGCTATGATGGCTTCCATAGTCTCTTACCGAACCACCCAGAGATACAACCGAGTCGTACGTATTATTACTGGAGACGGCCTGTTTGATCTGCATAATGGGCTGCAAAGTGTTGTTGAACAAAGGTAAAGACAGAACGTCAGGTTCGGAACGCATCACTGCTCTTATGCCGTTCATGCGACTTTCAAATGTCTTTTGATCCAGTGTTGCCAGTCGGATTACCAGCGGACGATTATATCCACGTCGCACAAGTTCCGATGCGAGTTTCTGTCCCGCTTCGGCGTCGTCTTGCAATACTCGTGTTAGACCGAGTCTCTGCGCATATTCGAGTCCGGTATTAAACACAATGACGGGAACATTCTTCCGCAGAGCGTATTCTACCGCTTCGAATACATCGTCGTTGGGTATAGTGACTATGAGTCCATCTATTCCCTAAATTTTTGTAAACGAATCGCTTTTCTTAGGGATTTGAAGAAAAACGTCATGATTTTGTGCAGATCGTTATATTACGCTATCAACGGCGTTGCGTATATCACCGGTCATTTTCGAGTCCGAATCCACCAAATGTCGATTCCAATCGATGCGCAAGTCGAGAATGGCGGCGGCATCACGAGCACCTTGTTCCGGATTATGAACAAAGGTTGTAACAATCGAGTCATGCGATATCACGGCGATGCGTGGTCGCATGGATGAAAATGATCCCGAGTTGGCACAGCTTGGCAAACGCGGCAACTTTAAACTCTGTACATTCTCCCATGAAGTTTGTGATGCTGATAATGTACAAAAATAAAATAATATAATAATACAAAATCGATAATGGAACATTATCAAGTTTCTCAAGATGATAAAAAGACTCTGATTTCGTGAAGATCGTCCATTTACTAATGTCTGAAAATTTGAAGCTTCGGAAGAAATATGGCGGACAAAATTGCGATAAAATGTGTTGTGTGTGTGTGTGTGCAGTTTAATTATGTATGTGTGTGTAGGATAATAAAAGTGTCGAGCGAAAATGAAACGACCCAATGAAAGTTTTACGTAAGTACTTTGATCAAAGAACAAGAAAAAAAAACTATAAGAAAAAAGATAACATATAAAAAATAGAAGCTTAATATGCACGGGCCAGAAAAATACTGACAAGAGAAAAAATTTACAGTCTGCAGTAGCATATAATGAAAGTTGGGAAGAAAGTTAGGGAAGGGGAGAATGCTGTCCATAAAGGGATATATGCTTGTATGATATAAAGTAAAAGACATGTGGGATGGAGGAGCACGAATAGGAGGAATAGGTGTGGAGGTCGGGTTCCGTTCGACAGATCAACCGAATCTCCTTGGCCTTTTTCTTTTTTTGGAATTTTTCTTTTTTTGGTGTGGATTTTCCTTTGTTTTTTTTTTCTTCGACGTCGATTTACATGGCATGACGTTTGCGAATCATACCAGCAACTTTGGCGGATCGGAATTCACATTCACGCCACGAGCGTTCACCCATATCTCGGGCCACGGACTTCCAAGCTTGCTTGAAGAGACGTGCATGTTTTTTCATAGCAAGCATCAGCAAGCGATCCTCAGCGTCCGTCCATTCACGTTGCTCCAAGACCTTGGTTTGAAGGGTTTTAAAACGACCCCAACAGCATCCACGCGATCGATGGGGGAGGTAGGTTGAGGAGATCATGGCCCACGAGAGACCCTGATTATATCCTTGTTGCAATAAATAATCTTCGGCAGGTGTCCAGGGTGTACGGGTCTGCGATGTATTTCGAGCATGCTTTTGCGAGACGGGTCGTGCAGGCATAAGCGGAAGCACGATGGGTGAGCTGGAAGGCGAGAGAGAGGGAAGCGACGAGTACTGAGAAGACATCGATGGACTGTTGGAATAGGAAAATGCAGGTTCGTAATCTCTGATCGAATCGAAGCTGGTAGGTGTCTTTGGGCAAACCGGTTCAGTCAGAACAATGGCTTGATCTTGTTGAGAAAGAGGGCAAAGCAAGTTTTTGATATCCATGGTTGAAGTTGAGATGGGCAAAAGTGATATGATTATTATTAGAAATGGATGGATAACAAAAAAAAAGTCATCAAAGTTTAAGCCTTTATATATGTAATGCGATTAACTTTTTTATTATTATTCCCCACTTTCGCATCCCTAGCGACCTATCTCCTAAGAACATTTGGACCCTCCTCTGGCCCGCACAGAAGCACCTGTCAAGCTCCAGGGGAGGAAAGGGAAGAAAAAAGAAACAAAAAAAAAAGACGCAAGAGGGGAAAAGAAGGAAAAGAAAGAGGACCCTCAGAAACCCATTTCTGTTTTGACTGAGGCGCCCAAACATCGAAAATAATGCCATAGCTTATTTTGGCAACGGACGTTTCAACCAATAAGAATCCATCGATTCGGGTTATTGTCATTAAACTTGCTTTAACAAAATGTTGAGAACCCCTATGTCTCCACTCTGCTCCTTCAAAATGCCTAAAAAAAGCGGACAGCCTGATGGTTGAACCCTCCCGTTTGTTTCGTCACTAACGGAAATTCTCAAGGACCATGCTTTTTCAGCACGCTACAAGTGCCTAATTTATTAATCCTTTCAACTCCTCTTCCCGTGGCTTACTGTGAAGCACCGTTTTGAATGCTCCCTTTCAAACCTTTATTTCTTTTTTGGTTAACATGGGTAGACTATTTTTCTTTAAAGGGTCTAATTTTTTTTTCATCCGAATTTCGCACGACAGTTTCAAGAACAATCTAATCTATTGACGACAACACAGACAGCTGGTTAACGTGACGCATATCCACCATCCATTCTGCTATATAATTACTGTCTCAACTAGCATCCCCATTGTGCTGATGACTGTATTCATTGTATATTCTATTTTAGCGAAAGGAGACTTGTTTGATCTACAAGCCAATTCATGCTGAGTGTCATCATCATCGATCGTTATGACTTTACGGATCAATAAAAAAAAAGTGGATTGTGCCTCAGGGTTCAATTTGGGGCGACCCTTATTCCACCTCCTTGTGTGTCTATTCTCGCACCTCCTATCGCAAAACGTGGATTAGGATACAGATGCGCATGTCTGCTCCCCACATTATCCAAAGAATAAAATCAATGTTCCATCCATCTATTTTCGGTAGTCATGAATGAATGACAGTAGAAAAGACAACAATAAAAAGAAATAAGGATTTATAGTTTAAGATGATATATCAAATGCATAATGAAACATAATATAAAGTTTTATTTTTTACAGTAAATTGCGGATCATTCTTTTCGTCATTTCGAATGTCAAATCTTTTTCACTTTTTGCTCTTCTATTTCATAACGATTCTGTCTTGTTCTTTACTCATTTACTCACGGATCAGCGCCATTCTTTGTGATAAAGGAGCTTCAGGGAAGAAACGCTTCAAAGGAGCATTGCCAGCCAAAACACGGAAAAGAAAAAAAAAAAGTCGTCGCGTGTAGCGTTGTTGATCAAAATGTGTGATTCCTTATACTCACGAGGCTGTCCTAGGAGCATTAGAATGCACGCGCTGCAGAAAGGCGAGTGTTTCAGTTCTAGAATGGTGAGGACAGATTGACGTGCTGTGACGGATGATAAAACGGAAGCATTCACATTTTTGCTTTCTGAAACACGTAGTTGACGAGTGTTCCCTTGTACTCCACCAATTTCACTCTGACATGGGGTGATGCAGGTTATCATTGTATGAAATTAAGATTTGTCCTGTATCGCACGGACACATTCAATGTAAGCTCCTATCCTAAAAACCAGGTATCTAATTTGATTCATTTGCAACCACAACCTCCTTATACTCGACATTTTGTTACGAAAAGAAAATGTTTCAATTCTTTCATCTTTCCCCGAAGAGCTCCTGCATTTACGGCTTGAAAGCAGTCCCCTACTTATGCACCTGTATCCATCGTTGTTTACTGTTTACCTTTTGTTTCAGAAGGAGTTTTGCCTTTCAAAAAACAACAACAACAGCCTCTTCTACGGAGTGTTGTAGCCACCTATGAAAAGGAAGTGAAAAAAGCGGTTATTTACGTCGGTTGGGCACAAGCAAATTGACTTAGTGCCCTCTCGTACGCAAATAATTACCTCCTTGAGTACTCTTTCAAGTTCTTTACTGCAAGATTTTAACAAAATGGAAAGCTTATATTAATTGATACAAGTGCATGCAGCTTTTGGTGAACAGCATTTTCATATTTTGTATCTAGCCTCCAATAAGGAGCTGGAACTAAGCATTTACTACCCTATATACTTGTGCATGGAATATGTTTTCCACCGCATTTTTTGGTGAAAACAGCGTACCACTTTGTTTGTACAACATATGATACAACATATTTATCGCTTCCAAGGTGAAGCTCCAGGCAGACTGTGGCAGACCATCACAAATCCGGGCAAGTTTCTAACCCGGATTCACTGAAATTAAATGAATTGTCCCTCATCAAAATAAAATAGCATGTTCATATCCTCACTCATAAATCAATTAAAAATGCAGCAAGATCCCGAATATCTCTTTTTTTTTTGTAAAATGCTCTTGGAAAACTGCCATTTTTTTCTGTCATATGACAATGCAAAGTTTCTTACTTTCCAGCCGACGTAGAGAAAATGAGGTTATCCTTAAGGAGCTTGGCATTGGAGCTTATTTAAAAAGGATCAAAAAACGCCTAATTCTCACGATATGTTCCCGGTTTTGCGGTCAATGCAGCGTGACGGATTCGCACACTGTTGCTGTCCGACATGATTGGAGCACACGCACCAAAGTTTGTATTCCCCTTTTAATCCCAGAAAACTGTGTCACCTTCTGAATGCGAATTGACTTGCAAAATCCAAAGTCACAACGCCCATAAAGTCAATTGCACCCGGAAATGGAATTCTACGGTTTTTCATCCAAGAAACTCTAGTTTTTGTACGTGGAGTGGAAAACAAAAGCAACACAATACAATGCCCAGTCTATGTTGTAAATCCAAAGGTCATGACAATTTCGCGTCATCAACCGCAACCAACCAGTACGCACCCAACACGGTAATCGAACCAGTGCATCTTGGTGAGTTTCCTTCCAATACATGGCCTGACGCATTATTGTGAAACGAGCTTCAATATTTATGCAATGCGGTGGCCATGGATTAGACATTTCTCTCAAGTTTGGCAACTTGAAGGAGGAAACCATGCACGGAAAGGTCACATTGACTTTCTGCCACAGTGGCCGTGCTTTGATTGGAAAGGACGAACGCTCAACAGTGGTGCTCAACGCGGAACAGTTTGAGGATCTTCAAGTTTTGGGTGAAGGAGTGACCCATACCTATGACGGTCATCATATTCAACTTTTCTGGAGCACGCCTTTTGAGCAAAGTAGCCGACGCGAGGTGACAATCACCTATAAAGTGGAAGAGCCGATCGCTGGTCTATACTTCCAGAAGGCTGACAGTATGATCGGAGCGAGTCCTTTGTGGGCTATCACGGATCATGAAACAGAAAAGTACGTATGCCCTATCGGTTTTATTATATGGACTCTATCTCAAAATTTTTAACAACAGGGCTCGCTACTGGCTGCCTACGGTTGATTTTCCCGCTGTGAGAACTACGTTAACATGGGCTATCACTGCTCCGGAGGAGTACACGTCGTTGGCAAATGGTTCATTTGTATCGCAGGAGACAAAGGATGGATTGACAACCACTTGTTGGGAGTTGAAGCATCTTTGGTAAGTAGCAATAGAATTTCTGTTTTCCTGAATCTCTGCATATGTTGGGAACTTACTTTATTCATGATTCTTTTTTAGTCCGTCCTATCTCATTTGTTTTGCTGTGGGCGAATTCGTGTCCGTGGATGATGGCGAAGTCGACGGACGTCCCATAAAGGTAACTATTGCCTTTTGAGGATATAAAACCCTAAAAAGGAAATCCCGTCTGACCCGATGTTCTATTGCAGTATTTCGCAGCCAAAGGTTATGAACCAGCTGACTTGAAGCGGGCATTCGATAAGACGCCAGCCATGATGCAGTGGTTGCAAAACAAAATTGGTGTATCATGTAAGTTTATGAAGCTACACAGGCATACGTTAGGTCCTTGTCTCATGTGAAATTATGATAGTTCCATGGCCCAAGTATTATCAAATCGCGCTTCCAGCCGTTGGAGGTGCTATGGAAAACATTTCTCTGGTTTGTACACTGGTTTATTAATTAGCTGAACTGGAACTAATGATTGGTCATTTGTAGGTAACCTGGTGTGATACCTTTATTCAGGACGAAACCAACAGTCTTGAGCGCAAGTATTTGACAGATCTCGTCAATATTCACGAAATGGGTAAGCGAGAATATCACTCTAGGCTACAGGCATTAGACTAAGCGTACTTCTCAGGACATACGTATTTCGGTGATCTTCTTGTCATCCGCCATTTCGAGCATGCATGGCTAAAGGTAAACAACCAACGTAGCATGTGAACATCCTACCAACATCATTGACACATTTAAATTTGCAGGAAAGCTGGGCTTCTTACATCGAGTCATGTAGGTTTAAACATTGGCTTTTGTGTTGTCAACTGGTAGCTCAACTATTCTTTAGGTTGGTTGGAGGATAACGTTTCTGTGGATCATTTCCGCCACGAGATGCTTGAGAATGCTCATTCTTACTTTTCCGAATGCCAGCGTTATATGGTATGTAATTTATTGACGCACAGCGTTGATGGTTTTCGTGTTAATCGGATGAAATTTACAGCGTCCTATTGTCACCCGTAAATATGACTCTTCATGGGATTTGTTCGACATGCACACTTATCCTGGTGGCGCATGGCGCATTCACATGCTTCGCAAGCGCTTGGGAGACGAAGCTTTCTGGTGTGGTGTGAACCAATATGTCAAGGAATTTTCTGGAAAGACCGTCCAAACCACTGATTTCCAGACATGTCTTGAGCGAGCATCCGGTCTGAATTTAACCCGCTTCTTCGATGAATGGGTGTATTCCAAAGGATATCCAAAGATCAAGGCACAGTATGAGTACAGCAAAACTGATAACCGCGTCAAGTTTGTCTTGACACAGACCCAAGTTGATGAAGCAAACAACATTCCCTTGTTCGCCACTGATATCGAAATTGAATTTACCGACGACCAAAATCACGTCTACACTACTCGCGTGACGTTTGACCGCGATGCCAGTGTCACCACCTTCATCAATCTGAATGACAAAGCGTCTCCCCAGAGTCTCCGCATTGATCCCGATGGCAAAGTCTTGTTCAGCTTGGAATTGGCCGCTGACCAGGATATCCTGATTAACATGGCTAAAAATGCATCGGATGTTGTGAGTCGTATCACCGCTTACACTGAGTTGATTAAGAAGGGATCGCGCCCATTATTGAAGACTATTCGAGAAGCTATTCAAATTGAACCTTTCTATGGTGTTCGTGTCGCAGGTAAGCCATATTCTCATTGATTCTGACTCATTGACTGCGATACAGGCAGCTAACGTTATTTTCTACATTGCTCTTTAGCTGCTAACGAACTTGCAAAGCTTAACAGCACATTGAGTCTCCAAATCTTGGCAGAAATGCTGGATAATGAAAAAGATCCCATGGCAATGGCTTCCATTGCAGATGCATGCAAGATCCGGGATGATTTGATGCGATCAGCTATTTTGCGATTCCTCGAGAGACCATCGTTGCCTTACCGGTGAGTGAAGCAGCCATTTGCACAAGTGGATATAAGCAAATGATATTTATTGTTTTGTCAAATTTTTCCCCAGAGCTCATGGAGCCGCTTTGATGGCACTTGGTTATCAGCGAAATCCAGAAGATTTGGAATATTTATTGCGCGTGGCTCAGGATGATGGAGCTATCGGACAACATGGCATTGTCAGAAGCGGGGCTTTGAAAGGTAATCCATTATGAGCACAGATATCGTCAGTCAAATTACTAACAGGTATATCAACATTTAGCCCTTGGTTATCATCGCAGCCAAGAAGCCTTCAATTATTTGAATAATCGTGTAGGATCCGAGATTGGTCTTGAGCCTATGCGTGCGCGCCCACAGGGTATTCGCGCTTTACAGCACTCCGCCGAATGGCAAGAAGACAGACTGAAAAAACTCGCCGTCGAATCGATCGGTATGTCATCGTCTTTCGTCCCAAGTTCCTAAAAACTGACCATGGCCATGTTTCTCTTTTGTAGCACAATCGATTCGCAGTCCTCATCCGATTGTCAGAATGCATGCCGTAGGCGCGTTGGCAAGTCTCAAGGCAACGTCAGTTTGCAACGCTATTGCAAGCACGCGCCACATGTACCCTCATGACGATCATTCGTGGCTTAATCGACAACTTAAACGGTTGCAAGACTCGTCCCCTGTTTCAGAAGGGTTGCGCGCCGACAAGGATAAAATAGAAAAGCTTGAAGACCGTGTCAAGAAATTGGAAGAGCAATTAGCTGATTGGATGAAAAAATAGAGGCACGTGACGCGATCGCGTGGATATGACGCGCCTCGTGTGCTGAAAGCGCCCTTCACTTTTTTTTTCAGACACCTTCCCCTTCCCCTATTATTTGCTTAAATTCCTTATTTCTTTTACTTTTTATCCAATTATTGGGGAATAAAACGACGCCATTCATAGTCTCACTCAATTCAGTATGGGAACCTCTTTTTTCCTCGACACATTAAGAAGATACGAATTGGAGCAGGTGTGTTTCACTTTGAGGAGTGCGAAGCATCGTATGCAAGAAAAGAGACATTGAGGCTAATACAATCTGTAGTATTATCCAAAGTAGGCCAAACAGCAGAATGCCGCAACCGGATCACGGATGCGAGCTACTTAATGGGAACGAGCGTCGGTGCTGATCTCTTTTTCCCTTTTCTGATAGTTTATATTCGCAAGGAATGTCATCGCTGGATTATATTGCCGAGGTACGTCTTGTTTGCGAAGCAATGTGTATAATTCAGATGCGGGTTATAACTCGTAATGCCTCAAGTTATCTGCGCAAGATTATACGAAATTAGGCATTCGATCTATTGAAGATAAACGGAAATTCATGGCTTTAGCCCAAGACCTCAAACAACGAAGACAACTGAAAACACAACCCCAGCGTCCAGTGCCACAGCCAACGACGGCATCACCCACAAAAACCAACGAACGAATGTTGCAACCACGAAAACGGTCTACGAATAGTTATGATGCAGGCAAAGACAAAAAAGCGCGACGCATGACGATGGGTCCTCAGAGCATCCCGCGTCATCTACCTTCCAAGTCGCCTGTCAATAACCGTCGACTGTCATGTCTTCCAAAACGTGATGCTGCTCCACTGATTCGTCGATCGCCGGTCCGAGCTGGTGTTGGGGCCGTCATAAAGACCGCCAGCCCATTGAGACAAAATAAACCAAGTGCCAAACTTTTGAAATTCATGGAGGAAGTCAGTAACACCGCAGACACGACAAAAGATGTTATACCAGTTCAGCGAAATCGGACGCGTTTACTAGACGCTTATGGTATACCAATTACACCTTCAAAACGGCGATCGAGCCTCGATCAACTGCAGCCCGTGAGCCACATGTCCTTTGAAGAATACGTGAAGCAACGCCAATCCGGTAATACGACTGCGACAACAACAACCACCGCCACTACATCAAAGGTCACAACAACCTACGCATCGGGTGCAAGTGATTTGCAACAGCGCATCCGAGTGTGTGTACGGAAACGTCCGTTGAACAAAAAAGAACTTGCCTTGAATGAAAAAGATATCGCACCTTTAGTAGGTGCACGGACAATTCAAGTGAATGCGTCAAAGTAAGGCTATAGACCAAGTCAACTTGTATCGTTGTCATATTTTATGCTCATTCATATTGCTACCAGAACCCGTGTAGATTTATCCCGCTTTACTGAGCAGCATTCATTTACCTTTGACGAGGCTTTTGACAGTTATTCAACCAACTCTGAGGTGAGTGCTACGGTGGCTGGTTTAATTCCCCATATACTGATATCGTCTATTTTGTGCGGCAGATCTATCAACGGACTGCTCGACCGTTGGTCGATTATATCTTTGCTGGCGGGAAAGCGACCTGTTTTGCATAGTAAGTTGTACTCAAAAGGGATGGGACTGAATGGTTGAATTAATGCGTCAATTTCTACAGTGGCCAAACAGGCTCGGGAAAAACCTATACCATGCTTGATCCCCAGCACGGCTTGTATGTACAGGCGGCAGCTGACATATTTTCTATGTTAAACGAAGAACGATATTCCCATCTAGCAGCATGGGTTGGCTTTTACGAGATATATCAAGGCCAATTATTTGATCTGCTCAATCAACGTAGTCGACTGATTCCCCGTGAAGACGGAAATAGCAACGTGATCATCGCTGGACTATCCGAATACCCAATCAACGATGTGGATAAACTGATGGAGATCTTTGATTTTGGTAGTCAAGCGAGAACAACAGGTACGCAACTACAAAACCATTCCTACATTCCGACACATACAGAAGGCTGAATGTTGATGGTTAGGAAAAACGGGTGCCAACAGCAACTCTTCACGATCTCATGCCGTTTTGCAAGTTTTGCTGAAACCGAAAGATGAATCGACTGTCCATGGCAAATTGAGTTTCATTGATCTCGCAGGAAGTGAAAGAGGGGCAGATCGAGGTGATGCGAATAACAAGACGAGAATGGAAGGTGCTGAAATCAACAAGAGTCTTTTGGCTCTTAAAGAATGTATACGAGCACTGGATCAGGATAAAAAGCATACGCCTTTCCGAGGTAGTAAGCTTACTCAGGTAAAATACCCTTTTTTTTTCAGTCACTTGATCCACCCCTTCTGGAAGAGAAAGGAAAAAATTAAACCATTGATAATAGGTGCTACGGGATTCCTTTGTAGGCAATTCTCGTACTTGTATGATTGCTACCATATCACCCAATAATATGAATAGTGAACATACATTAAATACCTTGCGATATGCCGACCGGTAAGTCTAGATTGCAAAGTGGTGTGACCAAGGCGGAAAAGATTTGAATACTGACTATGGCGTTGAAAAGTGTAAAGGAGTTGAAAGGAGAGACGGATCCTCGGTTATTACCTGACCCAAAACATTCTGTAACTGAGCGAGCGGTGGAGAACGGCATACAGATGGAAAGGAACGAAGGCTCCAATGTGCAGTCGACGCCGGAACCTGGTGACATGAAAGACGATGCCAAGAGTCTCACCAATTCCGACGCAATTTGGGAGAACGAGACGGCCGAAAACTTGCTGGATGTGGATTTTCCTATTGAAGCCAATGAAGCGCTTAGTACACCTCAAAATGAACGATACTGGAATGTTACCACACCACAACGACAAGAAAATTATATGCGACGACTTTCAACGCCTCCCGATGAGATTTTTCAAACACCCATGGATGGATCGGACCCTTTCGCAGAATCACCGGTGCGACCTGAGCACGCAAAAGAAGAGGTGTTTTCGACCCCTGAGAGATCAAATGGCCTTTCCTTGACAGGCACCCCTGCTGATGGCGAGAAAATCACGGTGGATCATATTAAGAAGTTTATCCGATTACATCGTGCACAGATCAAAGAGTTGGAAGAGTGTATCCGACAAGAAAAGAAACTCATCGCCAAGCTTTCTATGAATCTATCAAGTCATCACGACTTTTCTGAAGAGGGAGAGTTGGATGACGGCAAATCAATGGAAGACTTTGAAGATTATCTGAACGATCTCGACGATATGCTTGAACGAAAAATCGCATGTGTCGAAACCTTGAAGGAACGCGTCAAAGTTGAACTTGGCGATGACGAAGACATGAACGACAGTTTGTAACTCCATATTTGTATACACCTTTTTTAGCCACATCATATTTCCTAGGACTCTTTCCATGGTCAATCCATAGAACGACTTGTATATTACACGCGTATTCCCGCCATCAAAAAAAATAATGCATCTGAAACATATCTAATGGGATTATTTTCTTTTTCTTGTGTTTTTTCTTTTTGGCGTTCACCGCACCGGATTTCCTGTTGACTCCTCCCCCTGGAAACACATACAGTACGCCTTGCCGAATTGCTCTTGTGCCGCGACATTGAATGAGTTCGCGAAAAGGTGGCCGTAAACGGCCAATACCTTTGACAGAGAAGCAGAATGGACAGAAGACCATTAGCAACTTCTTCAGCAAAAAACAGAAATGCATTGCCGATACCCCCACATCAACAGCCGCTGCGGTCGATCCAGATTCACCACTGATGACTGAAAACGAAAATGAACAACCACCTATTACCAGCAGCGGCGTCGATCCTACAGCTTCTGGAGATACCGCAACTGGCGAAAAACCGTTTTTCGAGACCTCAATGTACACGGATGAAATGAATCTACTCCTGGATACGGTCATGAAGGACGAACAACATCTTTTCACAGCAGCTGAAATCGCGTTATGTCGCCGATATCAGCAGTTAGAAGGTAGTTTGGTGTGATTTATTCTCTCTCTGATTTATCGGGTTTGTTGACATGGTTTTAGATCAATCGCAGCATTTACTGGTCCGTCTGCTACTGCGGAAACAACGATGGATCCGTGTCGACAAACTCGACTATACGAGCCATGTTAAGGATATAAAGGCAACGATTGACGATTTATGGCAACAAAAGTTTCTCCTCAAACAATCGTCTTTACATGATATCGATGAAATGCTTGCTTTATTATCCCTGGAAGAACTCAAGAATTTGGCAAAGAAGAAGCGTTTGTTAACAGGCTCTGAGAAACGGGTAAATTTTCTAGAAGCATCCGTAAAACGTGCATATCGTTACTCACGCCGATCTTTGACGCAGCGCATTGATTTTGTCCAATTACTCAAGCAGTATGCATCAAAATCAATACCTCCAATCTATAATGACAAGAAAGCCGACACAAATGACAAAGAGGACAAAGACGATAAGGAAAACAAAAAAACTGTATCAGGGTCTCTTGCGGTCATCCTAGAAGTAGCAGGTATGATTTTTTTCGAAGATTTGCGTTGAATTTTTGTGAGACTCAGGAGTTCAAACTGCAGGACACTGTATACGCGTGGAAGATGATGTGTATCTTTTGTTTCGTCGGTTACAGCTTGTGTATTATCGGAAGACGGATCTGTCGGATACAAATCCCATGTCAGCTGCGCTTCTAGCCCGGCTTAGCCGTCGCAATTATCCTACCTACGAGTATACCCGCACAATCATCTGGAAAAAACGCGACGAACTATTAGCATATGAAGCTGCTTTGCAGACAAGGCAGGTCTTTGATCTGAAATTAGAATCTTTGCAAAAACGCTCTGCGGCTGATACAAATGCCGAAGAGTACGAGCGAAATATTCTCACAGAGTGTGCAGCACTTTGCGAAAATATTATCGGCTTATGGGAAGAACAGGTAGAAGCGTCTAGACAGGATCTGTTCAGCGAGAATCCACGTCCATACTATTTACGACGATTTGAAGCAGGTAAGCACCGGTCTTTCGATCGTAGCATAAACGGCAGGGCAGCTTACAAATAGTGTAGGGTACATTTACACGCATTTATTGGAACACGGCACCAAATGTTTAGCCAAATTACGTGAATACGAACTGGAAGCGCTGATCCTAAGAAAACTGATCGATCAGAAAGTGTATCGTCTTGGCAAAAGAGGACACTGGTATAACCGATTAGCTCTTGTTCAAATGACGCATTTACGCTCAAAAGTGGATCGCCAACACAAGAAAGATGCTTTGCAGACGTGTATTGAAGCTATTCAGGATCCTCGCGTGCATCAGAGTAAATATCGCAAATTGTCTGTCCACTATACGCATTACTGACAATTTTTTGTTCAGTTTATTTGAACGGATTGTATCAACGAATCAAGCGGGTGGAACGCGACCTAAGGATCCCAAAACGAGAACAACACGACTTTTCATACGCCTTACTCAAACAAGCAGAAGAGCGTACGATTTATGGTTAGCATGTCCATCCTTCAAAGTCGTGAGCAGCAACTGACGCAGATTATGTTTTGCTAGGAGAGAGGTTATCCGATTCTGTCACCGGGAAAAAGTCGGTGTGGAGAGATGATGATGGCGCCGAATGCAGTGTGGAACAGTTGGCTTTGAGCTTCTACAAGAAGCAAGGCTATCAAGGGTAAACTCAAATGTGGCTAAACTGTCCATAATCTCGAATGACTTATACAGCTGATAGATTTCATTGCGAGGGAGGTGTTGTCTGCATGCTGGTATGGATTACAGTTGTTGTCAAGCCATTCATATGATATGTTGACTTTTTCGCTTTAGTTTGTTATATTATTCTGGGATATCATATTTGCTTCTATACCCGGCGTTTTCGAAACGCCTTACCAGACGGCGCCATTGGATATTGCGTCGGATACCTTTTATATCGGTATGACTTGCCAAAAAAAAATTTGGTGCCAGTAAATGATTATAACTAAACTTGATCACAGATCGTATTGATATGATCAATCAGCGACTTCGTGAAATCGACGAGGGTCGATACCTGGACATCATACGGGAAGTGGATGAAAGAGAACGTAGTCGGAACACTCTCTGTCTCGGTGTCCGTTGGGATTACGAGCTGGAGCCATTGTTGGAAATAGCAGAGGTAAGTGTTACTTTGGGTGAACCATCCATTAACCCTATATTCAACATCCTCTCGCCTGTTAGTGTATTGGTGGAGCTGGGCTTTCGGCTCTATGTAGATTATTAGCCGAAGAATTTCGCCGCGGAGGGATGCCTGATTTATGGTAAGCAAGATTTATTGTTCTGGTTTGCTGCCTGTTCGTCGCTTACAGATTGAATGCCTAGTTGCTGGAACATTGAAAAGAAGGAGTGCATCTTCTCGGAAGTCAAAGGTCCTGGAGACAAATTAAGCGAAACTCAGAAACTTTGGATTGACACCTTATCGGGGATGGGCATACACGTCGAGGTGTGCCATGTGAAGGAATGGCAGGGCGAACTTCAGTGGGTCAACACTTTGTAAAGCAGAAATCCCTCAGATGATCTGTTTTAACTTATTTTATTCCATTTTTTGGAGATTTCCGTTGTTACGATAATACAAACATGTGATGACATGAATTAAAAGAGAACAAAAAAAAAAGAGAGGGAATAATGCTGTTTTTAGTTGGCGGAACGGAGAGGGTTCATGAGCTTTCTTAACTTGGCGGGACCGGTCCAGGTACCGTTCAACAAACCGTTCCAGTAGATGGAGGGAATGACTTCCTTGTTCAAGAATTGAGCTGCCTGACTAATTTGACGTTGATCAACGGGGAAAGTTTCGAGAGGCGAACCGGTGTAACCCGAGAACTCCGCCAGAATCAATTGGTCACGGCCTACAATCAAAGGACAGCTGGTATAGCCATCGTAGGCAGCTTGTTCCACTTGCTTGCCCTCGAGATCGGCGATCAAGTTGTGCTTGAGCACGCCAGATTCACCAGTAATCGCAGCAGCCGTCTTGGAGGTAGGAAGGGAAGAGCAGTCGCCCAACGCATACACATTCTTGTATTTGTTATGACGCAAGGTCTCCTTGTTCACATCCACGAAGCCAGCCGCATCAGCGAGTTTGGATTCCTTGATGAAGGTGGGGGCACCTTGAGGAGGGGCAACGTGCAAGAAATCGTAGTGAACCTTGTGGGACTCTTTGGTGGCGTTGTTTCTGAACGTAGCTTCGCGATTGCCGGCATCAATTTCGATCAATTCAGTCTGAAAGTTAACCTTGATACCACGTTCGTCAGCCAACTGCTGGAGGACACGTCCATAGTGATCAACACCAAAGATCTTTCCCAAACTAGTATTATAGATGACGTCGGTCTTATCGCGAACACCGTTGCGACGGAAAGCTTCTTCAGCAAGGAAAGTGATCTTTGTAGGAGCACCGGGACACTGATAGCAATACAGAGAATTTCACACATCAATTTCCTGAAGTTTGTCAATATATTCCCGTGATTAAAAAAGTTTACCTTGAGAGGCGTGTTGGGGAAGGTGAACACAGCGTTTCCGCCCTTGAAATCTTGGATAAACTGCCATGTTTTCTGTACGCTGTCGGCGGAATAATTGGATGTAACACCGTCTTTTCCGAGAGCTTCCTTCAAACCCTTGACTTGATCCCAGTTGATTTGGATGCCTGCTGCCACCACCAGATAATCATAGCCAATGACTTCATTGTTGGCCAATGTCACTTGGTTGTTGTCGGGGTCGAGCTTCACCACTCTGTCTTGGATCCATTCAGCATCCTTGGGGACCACCGATCCCATCGGCTTGAAAGATTCGCTGAAATCCTTGATACCGCCACCAACATAAGTCCACAGAGGTTGGTACTACACTCTGTTAGCTCATGTCACTCCCAAAAGTCAAAACAAAAAAAAAATTATACACACATAATGTCTTTGAGCGGGATCGATGACAGCAACCTGATTCTTTCCCAACAATTTGGCAAGAGTGGAGGAGACTATCCGTCGATATCATTGGATGAGTATATCTTGTGATACCCCCAAAAAAAAGCCTCCTCTGGATTTTTCATCGTTTTTTTTTCGGTGGCATGGACGATGATAAGCTTACCGGACAAACCGCCAGGACCAGCACCAACAACAACGACCTTAAATTTCTGGCTTACGGCTTTGGGTTGCTGACTAGCAGCAGCAGCAGCAGCAGCAGTTGCAAAAGAGCGCACTGACGATTGAAGTCTTACCACACGGGGCACTGCCAACATGATGATTTGAAAAGGGGTAAAGTTAAGCAACGATGATAAACAACGGAACAAAAAGAAACAAGAAAAAAAAATAGCACAGTTGTATTAGATGATGTTTTAAATTCCGCAATTGCGTTATCATGCAAAGATCGTTCGGGATTCGCTGGCTTCGATGACTTATTCTTCGGCCACTGATCGTTTCGCGCGTGTTTCCGAATTGAAGCCGTTTCGAACTATGTCTACCTTATTTCGGACAATATCCACGCCCCGTTCCATTTTTCGTAAGAACAAGAGCTTACTGATTCTGTCATTGGCCAAATGTTGACGCAATTCCATAAAATACTTCACGTCATCTTCCAAGTTGTTCTCATCCCTACGTTCTTCTGCTACTTTAGACTCTTCTGATTGTTGTTTCACTTGACTGTTGTCCCCGTATTTCTCGCCATCTCCATGGAACCATTGTTTCAGTTCTCTTTCAATCTCCTCCCCTTCAAATGGATTGGCACCGAGCATGTCGAGTCGGAACGGACGTAGTTGGGCGTGTACAGAGGAAAAGCCAGAGACAAATTTCAAACGCACCACGATTTGTCCGTGGGGGCCCATCTCTGGCCAGATATCCTCGTTTGCGTTGTCCTCGTTGACGTAGTCATGGAGGCCGATAGTGACCGTTTGCCACTCGTTGTCATAGATCTGCTTCATTGACAAACGTCCTGTGGCACGGGTCGTTGTAAGCGTTCCTTGTCGGATGTGCACATAGAGTGCAGTTCGATATCGCATCAAAAGCGGAAAGTACAAATTATTACGACTCCATGTCTTGTTCTCATCAAGATCGCGGGCTTTGAGTCGTTTAACAATGACAGGATCAACGTTGAGTGCAAGAGTTGCTTGAATCGAACCTTCGGGCTCAGAGCCATCGGTGCCAAACTTGTTAATGTGCACACTGCCGATAACCAGGGTACCAACGTCTTTTTTTTTTTTTTGGATTGGTTACTGCAATGTTCCAACGTTGTTTAATTGTTGATTTCCTACCTGCACCTCGCAGTGGCCGTGGTACGGTCAGTTTCACGGGCTTATATTTGAGATTGAGATGGAACTTTCCGAAACCGATGCCGTTGGCGAGAGGGATCCAACGCTCCATTCCCTTATACTACACGAGATGGTGAGAAAAATGACAGCAACGGATTTTCTATAGTGAATTAAGCCTTGCCTTGTCACCTTCTCCTTCCAAGTATTCTTTCAACCGAATCACCTTCGTTCCCAACACCGGATCATGCTCGAGATCTGCATTATTTTTTATAGAGATGCGCAGGAAGTCATGATTGAAATCCTTGATGAAATGCTCTGAAATTGCGTTCCAGTACTACGCACTACAATGTCAGCCGTCTACTTCGTGAAAGGGACGCAATATATGCTATACAATCGCTTACCGGACTGGGGTTATTCAATTTAGCACGCGTTTGGTAGGCTTTTCGATCACTAATGTACAGCACAGCGTATGGACTGATGCCAATGTTTGGATTGTATGGATGTTTCAAATTATCTTGGCTGATAACAGATGGATCTCCAACTTCAAGATCTTTGGCTTCCCTGATCAGAACCGATAGAATCCCTTGGTATGAATCAGGTAAGTTCTCCGTATGAATCCAGTATCTGTTCGGCGATGAATACTACTTACCGCTTGTATGTTCTGGGTCGACCTTTTCTTCTTCTTCTTTGTTCTCTTTCTTTTTGGGGTCAAGATTCAGTAAGTTTGACTTTGGAACAACGTACTTTGGATGGAAGCTCAGTTTGAAATTCAAACGAACTTTACTATTGTCCATTTCTTCGCCATCCATCGGCGCCCATCTATCATTCGATAGCCGGATTATGAATATAAGATGTACACAATCATGACAGTTATTACTTACCCATCGAACACAACACGTTCGGTTTTGCACCAATCCGCGACGTTACCAAGGTTATCAATTTTGCCTCGCACGATGTCTTTGACAGGAAGTGACACAGAGCCCCACAGGTCGTCAAACTTTACTTTATCAGCGTCCCAAACTTTAATATCCACCTTGTTGTCCGCGGTAATATCATCTGCATCGACAGAATCTCTCTGTTAAATAAAGTTCACTTCAAAATGTCGGTTTTCAAGCCTTACCCTCATAAACAAGAGTATACAAGTCTTCATCCCAGCGAGGATCTTTATCGTTCGTCAATATGCGCGTGCTCGATACGTTCTGATGAGGCCGGTTGTTAACCGATACCGTCGCATAAGCATCTTGCATATCTATTGTACGCTTTAGCATTGCAAAATGACTTTGAGCAGTATGCTTCTTAGGTTTTACCTGTGAAGGTGATGGTATCGTCCCTAAACGCTTCACGAACCGTCACTTTGACTACACCAATGGCCTCCGTATCTTGAGCGGCGGCCCCCATCAAAGCCTGGACATTCAGCGTTATGCTTTTAGGATCCACCAGATCAGCAAAGCCAAGTTTGATGCCTTCGTCGACGACAGCCTTTAGCAATGGCAGCTATGCGTAGAGCATATATTTGAATTATATTCTTTTTTGAATCCAGTGTATGACCATTTCTCCTTACTCTCATCACATTGACCTTCTGGGTCAATGGCATGACACTGGTTTCGATAGTCGGAATAGACGCAAATGAAATTGTCACTTTGGAGACAAAGGGTGGTTCAAGGCATGTCAATAGCTTGAACCGCAATTTACCAGTGAGACGAACTAGTTCGGCCTTGATGTCGATAGGTGCATATAGACCTGTCTTGAATCGAATGTTGATACCAGGAGGAGAAGAGACGCCGTGAGTGAGACTTTTGGATGATGCTACTGGATTGGCGATCAGTTGAAAGGACGCGTCCCCGAACTACAGTGAATGGGCAATGACAAATGATGAGATTCCTTCGCTGTACGAATTTTTGGATATCCTTACGATGCTCTCTTCGCGCTGACCCTTTTTCTGCGGATGAATGGTTACTCTAGTTGCATGTCAGTTTTATGTCCTGTGAGAACCATTGCTTTTGATTCTTGATGCTTACTTATCTATTTGGAGAGCATGAACTCCCAGTTCCAAATCGGTCACTTTAACGGCTTTCTGGAGATGCAAAATGAGTAAATACAAACAGATTATCATCATTTCACGACTTACTATAAATGCTGGCGCAATGCCTCCTAGAATATCCTCTAGCAGATCTTCCACCACATTGAAAACAGAGGGGTCGATACTTCTCCATATCCTTCCGATAAAGTAATTTAACCATTGTACAGTCTCGCCGGAGGAATTGAGCTGACAATCAACAGTAAGATATCATACACAAATTCTTGTAGTAGTGTTGCTTATTCTAAATACCGTTTCGGAAGCATCCAATTTTTCGACTTGCCAGGCAAGAGCTTGACGTGTTTCCGATGTCAACAGCCAGTAACCACCACCGCACATACAAGCAATGACAGCACCGCTAAATATGCCAAAATGCATGCGTCCGCATATATAACAAATGGCTCCCGCAACCAGGATATAACGAAGAGCAATAAGCTGAAGACCGTTGGCGATCATGTTCGGATTACTCAAAGGCAATGGCTGTGGAAATTGCAATTTATAACTCTTTCCCGTGACGATTTCACTGTTGGCTGTTCGAACACTGCTTTTGCGCTTTTCTCTGCTATTCCGACTTAACGAATGTCTAGACTTCCCCGGATCTTTTTATACAAAGTATTTTTATTGATGAGAATAAAAAATAAGAATTTGATTGGTAGCCTCAATCAGTTTTCAACTTGCCTACATCGATGTTCTGAGACATTAAATCCGTCTCATCTTCTCCCACTTTTTTGCCTCCCATAATAGGTGCGGTTTGTCGTGCAAATATCTGATCATCATTAACGTTCGCTGACTTCGATAAGGGATCTTGATTCCGTTCGTTGGCATCATGGTACGGGTCGTCGCCGTCGTTTTTGCGGATGGTGGTACCAGTTGTTGGTTTCTCGGGAGCTTTTCCAGCGTTCTCGAAAGACGTCTTCACATCGTTGATCGAATTGATATTTTGTCCTTTTTTAGGCGTATCGTCATACTCTGGCCGTGGAGGAGGGGTGGCAATAGGTACTTGCGAACGATTATTTCCCATGCCAGCCATTGGGTAAGATGGATTTTCTGTGATATCACTTTCTTGTAGAAAAGGAGAATGCCACCTCAATGTGTCAGAGAATAAAAGAAAAAGAAATAACAAACATAATTCTACGAGACAAATCGTCATTTTTACAGAATATAACAGGTAAGACATGGGATTTATTTTGATCCTCATTGAACCATTTAGCATCGTATTGACATTGCAGGGTTTCTGGCAGATGCAGTGTCTGGGTGCTATAAATAATAAGCTACACGTAAGAAGCACACGCTTACTTTGTGTTCTATGAATAAATCACACCGATATGGATGGTGATAATGTGCCATATGAAATTAATCAATTCTCATTTTGTCCTCGAAAAGTAATATTCTCAAAGACATCTGTTTCATGCACATTGCCACAGATGGATCGTTTTGTCAACTTACTTCGGGTTCGCATAAAAGCTAAGCAAAGGACCGAGAGTTGTTGATAACTATGTGTCTTTTATAATGTTACTAGCATCATTTCTATTGTCTAGAGTTGCCACAAAAAATCATCTAGAATCATTTGAATGAGACAGCATAACCAAGTAGTCATCACTCATGGGTCGATTGGATCAGTCAAGTGACTGTTATTCCAACGGGCTGCTGCTAGGGATCCCGACGAGGAAAACGCGAGAACAAAACTTCCGAACTGCTCCACAATGAACTCATCGAGATTAGTGCCTCTCCTCCTCGCTACTGGTATTGGGATTGGGACTGGTGTATACGTATTTCAGCCTTTGTTGAAGGAATATGAAGCGTAAGTTGTTCTGATTTTTTCTTGACGATTTGTACCCCATCGTATACTAATGGCGGAAGGTTTAACAGAGAAACAAACGGTACTTGGCTAAGACCGGGGGATAAAGAACGTTTCCATCTCAAAGAATCGGATACCGTGAAGCCGAAAGATACAAAATCCATAGAAAAGAGCGATCCAACATCATCATAATATGAATAAAAGAAAAACAGTCGAGACTGCTGACCATAAAAATTTATTTTGCTGTTGTACTATTGCATTGTTCCTCTTAGACCACCAGTGACTGGCTGTTTATTACTGTCATGAGTAAACCTCAACCTATTGCCGTGCAAGCACCAACACAGAACGAAGCAACGTACGAGCAACAAAATGTGCATGAAGTATACGAAGCAATAGCAAGTCACTTTAGCGATACACGTTACAAGGTACTTTTACATTTCGTCTCATGGATCGATGGAGTCATTGAAAGACGTGATAGCCATGGCCGGTGGTAGAAAACTTCCTTCATGGACTTGCTCCGGGAAGCCTAGGTGCCGATGTGGGTTGCGGTAATGGCAAATACATTGGCGTTAACCGTAATGCCGTTATACTCGGATCCGACAGGTAAATGTCTGATACTCAGCCAGTTTTCTTAGCACTAAAAGTTGAGCTTGATGAAATAGGAGCTCGAACCTTATAAAAATCGTACGAGATCGAGGATTCGAGGGCATGGTGGCAGATGGCTTGGACTTACCGTATCGCTCTCACCTTTTTGTAAGTGTAGACCGACAGGGAAAACAGCTGAAAAATTACCGCTGATTCCTTGAAATCACAGGATTTTGCGATATCCATTGCCGTGATTCATCACTTTTCTACACCTGAACGAAGGCTGGAGGCACTCAAGGTATGTGAATACAATCTGTGAAGGAAAGTCAGTGCGTTAAATTTTGGCAAAGGAATTGGTACGCATTGTGCGACCCGGCGGACGAATCTTGGTATTTGTGTGGGCACTGGAACAAACAAAATTCAGTAAACGAAATTTCGAGCCAGGAGAACAGGATGTATTTGTGCCATGGATGTTGACCAAAAAGAAAACCTCGGAAGACAACCAAGATGAACCACCTAGGGTCTATAATCGATATTACCACTTATTTAGAAAGGGAGAGTTGGATATCTTATTCGAACAAATCCCCGGGATTACCATCGAATCATCAGGCTACGATCGCGATAACCATTATGTCATTGCAAAAACTTCATCTACTTGATAGCTAATATATGCCGCACAAACGTTTTCCTGGAATTTATTAAATTCTCCCGAGTCTCTTAGACCATCCTTGTATGCCGTAAAATGGTGAAAGCTCACTACCTAGGAAACGCTGGCAGCTTATAGCACAGTGTACTTTTGCGTCAACTGATCTAATGAATGCTGCCTTTATTGATAAGGGTCTGCTATTTGATTTGTCTCTAGAAAGGTTTAGCCAATAAAGTTGTGTGTGACAGTATGCACGTAAACAATAGTGCATGGCTAATCAAGGCGTGCGTTACACGATAAGCTTAAAGGTGGGATAGTTAAAATACCAAAGAGCGTATTTTGCGCATTGTCGATCTTCACGTGGCTTTTAAACCTTTCAAAAATTTATTTCGCGTCTTCCGTGTCGAATAAAGGAACTAAAACTTGCTCTTTCCGCACGCCCCAAAAAGAGCTCATTTTTACGTCAACTGAGATTGTAAAGATGTAGTTTTGTGGGTATTTTTTCGTTTGTCGGACTACCAATTTCCCAGAGTGGATCACACAGCGCAATATTTTTTTTGCGAGCGCAACTTTGGGGAAGGACTTCTTTTTCTTCCAATTCTATCCCAAACTTCGTACTCTCCCTCATAGAGCATCAGTTTTTTGCTGTACCTAGCAAAACCTTTTTATCATGAATCGCACCATGTTAAAGTGTAGAAACTTTCGCCCATTGTGTGCTCAACGTCTCATCCAGACCGGCTCTCGGAGCAGACCCCAAAGCACCAAAGTTGTTCGATACGACCAGGAACACTTTGATCATGCCGGTAAGTCTGTGCAGAGTAGTATTATCAAATATCATTATAGTTGTATTAACTGTAGTTCAATGACAAAAGAAATTAGATACTCGGTACGACCGGTATCGTTTTGGATGGATAAGATTTTGGAGAAGGAAAATAAGCGGCCATTAACCCAGGAAGCCGCGAAACAGGAACGTCAACTCGTCACAAAAAAGGCAAGGTCGATTTTATACTAGTCGGAAATACGATGGGTCATTAAATATAGGAATAGATGTCTGACAGTTACATGGAAGAATACCTTCCATTCAAATCCAGACCTGAATTGTTGGAGGAATATATTTCAACAGGGGGCAATATCAGAATCGGCAAGATTCTCGAAGGTAGCATCATTATCATCATCCGTGATGCCCCATTGTCCTGGCATGACCACTTGCTCATCAGGAATGTTTAGATCTTGATTCATTGGCCGGCTCCATTGGTTACAAGCATGCCGACACAAAGTTGCCTGGACCACCTACAGCCATCGTAACAGCGTCGGTGGATCGCATGGAACTACTTTTGCCCAACAATGTCGAAGACTTGAAAATATCTGGCCATGTCGCCTACGTCGGCAGCAGCAGTATGGAAGGTAAATGTTGTCGGCTCTTGTCATTTAATACTAGGTGGGAACCAGCTGACAGGAGAACCCAGTTTTCGTCAAGGTGGAAACAATGCAGAATTACGATCCGTCGTTTGTCTCCAGAGACGAACCCCCTGTGGATTTTATGGCCAAGCCTACCCCCAACACTGTATTATTCGCACGATTTACCATGGTTTGCATTGATTCGGTCACCGGAAAGTCGGCTAAAGTGAATCCGTTATACTTGGCCAATGATGAAGAAAAGAGCTTGTTCAAATTTGCTCAAGGTAACATCAAGAGGAGTGTCTAGGGTTGTACTGCGTAGACTAACCCTCGTCTTTGGTAGACTCCAAAATGCGAAAGCGCCTGGCCAGTGACACGGCTCTCAGCAAAGCACCGCCCACCGCCGAAGAACGTCTGGCGATCCATGATCTGTATATGAAATATTCAAAGTTTGATAGTATGCATCAGATTCAGTCATATCAAGTATAACCGCTTATCAGTCTTTGTTTTTATATTGTAGAGAAAGAAATGCTCCCCAAGGAAATGGTGTGGATGGAAGACACCTATTTGCAAAGTGTATTCCTGATGCAGCCCCAGGATCGCAATATTCACAACAAGATTTTCGGTGGTTATGTGGGTTACCATCATCTGCCAGCACTGGAACGAACTAGATGAACTCATTATCTTTTTGGTTTCATCATTGATAGCTGATGCGTCGCGCTTATGAATTGGCGCATGCAACCGGACGCATGTTTACCAAGTCTCAAATTAGACTGTTGTCCTTGGACGAAATCCTATTCCGCAAAGCCGTGCCAGTTGGTACATATCTGAACCTTCATTCTCAAATCACTTACGCCCGGGGTGATCCCGAAAAGTCCTTCGAAGTCAGTGTGACGGCCGAAGTCAAAGACGTCGACAACGACACAACCGACGTCACCAACACCTTCCATTTCACTTTCGCCACTGCCGACAAACCCGTCCCTAGCATTCTGCCGCGAACATATGCAGAAAGTATGTCCTATCTGGAAGGCAAACGCCGTGATGAACATGGTGTCATGGCAAAGAAGGAATTATTAGAATTAATGGGCTGCCGGCCGCCTACTGTATCCATTCAAGGATAAGAGCTTGGCTCATACTTCTTATATTTCGTATTTGTCCCACCTAGAATTGCTTCATTACCGAAACATAGAAACATAGAGAAAAGTAGTTAATAAATATGCGTAATAGACATTCCTGTCGGGATCATCGGAATCTTTTTGGCGTCGTACGAATCTTTTGCGGAGAAACGGGGCGTGGGAAAATGATATTTAATCTCCGAACGAGGTTCGTTTCCATAGCAAACTCCCAGTGTGTCCAAAAATTGCTCAAAGTGGTTCAACCAAGAGTAAAGTACACACAGTGTTTTTTTTCATTTACTTTCGATAATTGATAAGGAATCTTCATCGCCTGTCCACACTCTCTGTCCCTCTTTTTTGCCGGACGAAAGCTCTAGCTTAATACGACGTTAACTTTTCATCGTATCGCAATTCAAGCTGAGCTTCATTGGATTCATCACTCTCAATGAGTTGTGGGTTAAGCTGATATTTTGAACAAGGGTTCGTAAAACCACTTTCAAGTGTGATATCGGTGTCGTGCAAACCAGTAACAACTCCAAATTAAAACCATGAAACCAAAAATCTACTGGAAAAGAAATTTTGGTGTCACTTAGTGTACAGCGTATTTGAAGAACCATCATTGTTCATGAAAACGTAATGAATCGTTATTCATATTGAGGAAAGCTGGTTATATTACATGATACGGGTTTTAATGAGGGGACTCGAAAGTGTTACATGAAGCATCTAATGATATGTAAAACTAGGGCCTGGGTGGTCTTTGTTGGATGGCTGGAACGTATTCAATTGATTTTCGTACGCTTCAGCGCATCTCGATGAATAAATAGGGGGCCGATCAGGCCGCAAGTCATTATGCGGTGACGCTGTCGTCTTCTCTCTGATCATCCACAACGGCATCCTCCTGTTGCAAATGCTTCTTCACCGATTTGATGAAATGTCGGAAAGAATTTCGAATCAACACTTCTTTGATAGGCTTTTCCTATGTTTCAACGTTAGGCGTTCATACATCTTTAGCAATTTGCAGGTGTCTCGATTACCTTTTCGATCGTCTCACATAGCGTCAAAATCTTTTGCAAACGATCTTCTCCTCCTTCTGCTATATAGATCTTTGAGAGCATATGGCACATCGTTTTTCGTGTCACTAGATGTACATGTTATGTCAACGCTGTGTACGTTGGTTACAAACGCATATCTTACCTCCTGTCTCGTTGTAGATATTGCTTAAAATCTGAAGTGCCATGTCTGCCTGAAGCCCCAAATCCACCTCTTGATCTTCTAAGCGCGAAATTTTTGATCTGCTTATGATTAGATGGCGGAAAATAAGAAATCGCTGGTTAAAATACCACTCACTTCGCCACTTTTCGAGGGTCTGTCCAATCGGCCAGCATGTCGGATATCTGGGATGGGGATACCATATCTTCATCTTTATCCAGATCAGCATATGTTGAGCAAAGATCTTCTAATGTGGGTATCGCAATCTATAAAAGCAGCACGTATCAGCGGGAAGGATGTTCTATGAACCATGAATGGTGAATCCCCAACCTTGGCCATGATTGCTTGATTTTTCGCAGATGAATAGCAGAATGCAGGGAAAAAGTAGGTCAAGCACTGCTGAGCCTTGGTATTTTCAACACTGCTTGGGTAATAATACAAGAGCACCAACAATTTCAGGGTCTAAAAAAAAATCAAAAGTGATAAGAAAACGTCCTGTGATGGTTCCGATGAAATAAATAGGGAAACTCACCTCTTCGTGTTGAAATAATCGATGGAGCATTAGTTTGGCGATACCCTCGACGGCGATAGCTTGCAGCTCCACGTTGTCATGATCCAAACAGAATTCAAAAATTTCATGAAGCTCAGTCTCCTATAAAACTACTCAGTAACCCATTGAAAGATACTATGTGCCGAAGCAAAACTTACACTTTCCATTTTGGATACAACGGTCGATAAGCCAAATGTCATGATTAGGTCAAAGAGAATCTAGAGTCCAAATCAGCCATAGATTCATTTGCACAGTTTTCCAGCCATTTTGAGGATATCTTACCATGAGGGCTCTTTGTTGGAGCTCGGCATGACCATTTCTCAGTAGGTGAACAAACAAGTTGATGTTGTGTATTCCAAGCGTCTAACAGAGAAAGCGAATCAATACACGGTTTTTCTTGAAATGAAGGACTTGTCATTGTTACCTTGTCCAACATGCAGCAGAGACCCAAGCAATACAAGCCTTCCTCGCGCAGCACAATTTCTTTGCTTTGAACCGAAGGAACGATGAGTTCATTGAGCAAACCATAAACCGTAGAGTTTTGGTGCAACGACTATCATATCATCAGATATCACAGAACAGATGATCATACTGCAGCATTAGGTACCTCTTCAGTGTGCTCCAGCATATGTTTACATATAGTAAGACACTTTAAACGAGCGACCATTTGCCGTAATGCATGAGGATCAGTTTCTTCGTCAGCTTGCTCATTTTTCACGGTCATGGATCGATCCGCAAGTCTCATTCGTTTAGCAGGCAGTTCATTTTCCTAAGGCATGGTTCGCATTAGCCTTCAATTGAGACTATGGTTCAAGGAGGCTTACCATGTCCAAGTCATTGGTATCATCTGTGTCCGCAACTTCTTGTATATCCGAGATAATTTCCATCATCGTTCTATTGTCATGATTTCATCAATACACTGTCATCCTTGAGACGTCGCATACAGCATTGATATACCTAGTAAAATCTTTCTCGTCCAGTGAAATAATGCGGAAAAGTTCTACGATACTTTTCAGATGATCATCCGGTATATCAGGCACCATAAGAATTTCACCTAAAAATTAGCAAGCGGTTACGATAGATGAGCCTATTCTTGGAGACCTAGGATAGACTTACGCAACAAGACAAACATCTTTCGTCTACCGACTTCATCGGCGTAATCAAGACATTTGGCAATATCCAGTAATTGACCAATGATAAATTCATAGTCTCCTTCGGTCTCCTTTGATGCTTGTTGCCATAAATGGTTGTAATTTTGAATATAAAAAGCATGTCGTGTCACCTCTGGAAGTAAGGCGTCTAATTTTTCATCGTACTGGGCGCGTTTTTAGAAAGACGGCGCTTCATCGACCAAATATACGCAAACTACCTTTTTGGATTGCAGAAATTTGATGAATACTTTTGCCAGAAATGCACTCTCAGGAGAAAGATTGTCCCAAAATTGATCTATCGTTACAAACATTAGTGCTTTTAAATTTTTCCATGACGCCTCTCTCATTCGGTACCGTCGAATTTGATATCGTTGATAATATCGATTCTCATGGACAGGAAGGCTGTTAATATGTCTTCCGCGGCATCCCCTTCAACTACATCCATGCGTTCGAGGAACTAAAAAAAAAAAAAAAATCAGATTAATGTACATAATTTATATCATGCGATGAAACGCCTCATGTAAAGTACCTCCAGCAGATTATGATCAGCGTGTCGAATCCAGTGCGTGGCAATGACTCGACTGGCAGCTCTTCTCACCAAAGGATCTCTGTATTACCGGTAAGTATTATGCCAGATTTTACGAATACTTTTACTTTTGCGAACAGTACCTATCGTTGAGACCCCATTTCAATAACTGATGTCGTTGCTGAACCGTGAGCATTCTGAAATCCTGAAGATCGGCCATAGGTTTTAGAAACACAACCCGACGATTGATGGCATCCACATCACGCGCGCGTTCAATAATGAAAGGAAGGGTTTCTTTGGTCTGATCTAAGTTAAATAGGACAACGCGACGTACTTCCCTGTATAATGAATCAATATCTGGTGATTGGGCACACTAAGACACTCAACATACGCGCTTGGGTCATGCTGAAGAATATGAACCAACTTTTGTGTAATCGTTTTGCCGTCAGCTTCGTCTACTTCGTCGTCGGCGTTTTGCAATCGAGAAAGAGCGGTGGCCGCCTGAATACGAATAGAGGACTCCTTATCTTTGATGCGTTCAAACAATGCCTGTCTCAGATCCTGGTACAGGTCTTCATCAATTTCTCCCAGGGAATTGATACTGAGAGCGATAATCTGGCAACAACGTAGTCGAATGGATTTACTTTTCGCTTTCATGCCTCTGAGCAAGTGGCGCATAAGGTATTCGACAAATCGCGATGACACGGTTTCGCTTTCTTCCTCCTCTTCCTCTTCGTTTTCCTCGTCGTTATCTTCTTCTTTCTCCGTATCTTTGCTATCTTTTTTGTTTTTGCATTTCGTCGTATTAGTTTATCATTATGGGCTTTTGGGTGCGATCGACGAACCAACCTAGCTGTTGAGTGTATTGAATAAAGGTAGCGACAAATCGAATGATACGATCAGCATGGGGTTCTCGTTTTCGAATTCGTAGAATCTTATTGAGGTTTCGGATCGTCTCTTGTATAAAAGCTGCTTCACCTTCGGCATCGATATCTTGAGGCTGATCTTCGACAATGGGGCTGTTTAAAGCACACTGTTCCTGAATCTTTCGCAAGGCAATAGCGTGCTTTCGTTGGTTAGCGTTTGGTTTCTGAGCGTCATTGAAGATTTGAGGTATTGTTGTGGATAATGACGCAATAGCTGTCGCCTTTCTAGAAGTAGCTGTCGGCATGAGGTTAAAGATGTTTAAAAAGTCACCTCGATTCAGGTGGCCGATACAAAAAAAAGGCAGTCTTTCAGACGCGGCAATTGAAACGTTCCTATTTCCACTTTCACGCGTCGGCCCCAAATTGAGGAAAAAAATCTTGTTGACGCTTTACACGCGCGAATAGGGATTCCGACAACGGCTTCCCCACAAATAATACACAGGATCTCTTGATAAGGATTTCAGTCATCTGAACTCTATGACCTATTGAATGACTTTTGCATTGCTATTTATCTCCAGTTTAATAAAAAATGCTGTAATGGCATATTATCCCGCCTGAGAAACACGCCAAAGCTGGGTGTGATTTTCAGGTTGCTCAAAGCACAAATCAAAAAGGCAATGTGAACATGAAATATGGGCTTGTAACAAATAGGGCCGCCATCTTTTCCTTGTTCCTTTTTTATCATGTGGGATCGCAGCGATCGTGTTTTACCTACCATTGCTGTCACTGCAGCAGGAATCGCAATCGGCGCTTATTTATATTCTCGGCAGAAAGCTAAAGACGATGGCTTCAAAAAAATACCCACGCCACCAGGGCAGTTGCCTTATGTTGGTATGTTCGCATTGGAGTTTCAATGCACAACTTTTTAGCTATCAGATGCTGATCAGCGGAATTAGGTCATTTGCTGTCGTTGGGTGACATGCCACCCTATCGAATCACAGAGTGGCAGCAGGAGCTAGGTAAGCAAGCGCCACGACAAAATTGTTAAATCAATCAAGGGGGTTGAAAATTTTCTATGCGAGTATAGGGCCCATGATTCAGTTGAATATGGGTGTTCAAACCTGGATTATGATCAGTGACCCGATTATTGCCCACGAGATTTTCGTCACAAGAGGCAGTATAACTTCCGGGCGCACCACCGGCAATTTTGGATACGATATCTATGGCCTTGGCGGCCGGTAAGCGGAAAAAAAAGATCTTTCAGCGAATAACAGAACGTAACCAAATGTGAACTTTTATTTTTCGTCAGAGGCGTGGTTTTCGCGGACTACAGTCGCAAATGGAAAAATGCACGAACTACAGGTAACTCTTCAACATTGTCTGCTGCTTTTTTAATCCATTCACGTATGCTGTTACCGCAGTACTTTCAATTCTCGGTCCTTCCATGGTCGATGAATACAACCATTTGCTGTTAAACGATGCTGATCGATTGGTGATGTCGTTCCTGAAAGCCACAGAACAGAAAGGCAGCGTCTCTCCTGGCGAATTGTTCCATTTGGCTTCTATGAACGCTATTCTGAAGCTCGTTCTCGCAAAACATGTCGAGTCCACGGAAGATATTCTCTTCAAGCAAATTTATAACCTTGTGGATGAAGGAATGAAATACGCTGGCGCTTTTGGATACATCGGTGGATTCTTACCAGCGTTATCATGGATTGATGTATTGACACAAAAAGGCAGACAAATGCGCCATTTCGTAAAAGAGAAGCGCGATAAGATATACAAGGCATTGATCAAGGACGCCATAGAAGGTGACATTCCCTGCCTCGCCAAACAGTTTTACGCATTGAAAGAACAACAGGAACTCGATGACGACGACATCCTTGTCACTATCAGTAAGGAATACTTTATATTTTCTATGAACATTGTCTGCAACTACTGAAATTATACATAGGTGATCTGGTAGCAGCTGGTACAGACACCATTGCTGTCACATTGACGTGGGCGATTGCTATTTTGGTGCATCATCCCGAGGTTCAGCAAAATATTTGCCAAGAATTGGATGGTTTTATCAAAGCCCACAGTCGATTACCTAAATTCACAGAACGCGATGCCCTGCCGTACTTTATTGCGGTCCAAAAAGAATGCATGCGCTATCGACCCTCTGTGCCTTTTAGCGTTCCTCATCGTGCCACAGAAGACTGTATGCTATACTGCTTAGTATATAATATACTATGGGAACAAAAAAATACTAATCAATGTCATTTTACCGTTAGTCGAATACCGAGGTTATCTGATCCGCAAAGATGCGATTTTGATATCTACGATGCATGGTATGCATCTTAATCCGGATATCTACCCTCAACCGGAAATGTTTATTCCCGAACGGTTCTTGTCGAATACCAAGACTATGATGGCTTCCGCTAATGGAACTATTTATCAACGTGACCATTATAATTTCGGATGGGGAAGGTACGTTGGTTGATCACAACAAATATCTAAAATCATAAAAGCTCTAACGGCCCCGATCCTGATATATATTATAGGCGTATATGTCCTGGTATTTATTTGGTAAGGCTATCAGTTAAATGCAGTGGAGTAAAGTATGAGTTCATCTAATGAAACTTTATATGATAGGCCGAGACGGAATGCTTCAGCGTTCTCGTTCGAATCTTTGCTCAATGCACAATTGCCCCACATATCAGTACTGATGGACCAGTGTACCCTGATCTAAACGGGGCAAAGGACGGTGGTGCCGTTTTCTTGCCACCATCTTACCGTGTCCGATTTATAAAAAGAAACAAGGACGGACAACTATCAGCATAATCTGTCGGTTGCATGTCTGACAAATATCCTCTTTTGAAAACCTAGGAAAATTATGTATTTAACGAGTTTCAAATAAAGTAGTGCAACCCAATAATTGCTTTCATTACATAAGGTTAGTTTCTATCACCTATACATTAGTGAATTGTTTTCTCGTCCCAGTCTTTTTCGCCGTTTTCACGATGACTTGGTAAATCTAACATACAAGCCTTCCGATTATTAATGCTTCCAATACCTGATGATGAAGCTAGTGAACATGTGGGACATGAATGATGCTACAAGTGACTTTATGTTTTTTATCCTGTTGTGAAACTATCTTATAATGCTGCTGAGGAACATAGATAAATAAGCGTGTTAGAAGAGAAAGTTTCGAAGAGATCTACAGAATAACAATGTAGTAACAGAGGATAATTTAAGTTTTCATGTTTTGGTGCAGTTTGGCGCTGTGTTCGTTTTTTTTGTATGTAACGTAACAATGAGTGAGTGCAAAGTGTCATTGAAGTGTTGCAACTGCTTTTCAATGTGTCACAATGCATAACAGCAGGCGGCCTTTCAAAGAGTGACTCGGACCGAAGGTCTTCTCCCATAAAACATAAAAGCTTTTTCAGCTTACCTTGCTTATCTTTTCTATTCCCACATTTTTCCTACATTAATATGTCAGACATCTCTGCTCCAAAAACCTTGGGAAACCGTCGATTTCATAACGTGGAAACATCAACTTACTGGTTACCGAACGATGAAAGTGAACTGGATCGCTTGGACGAAGTAAGTGAAGTAGAGTTTCTTCAGAAAAATTCTTGTCTAAAAAATAAGGCATTAGTATCATTTCACTCTGAAAGATTTTTTTGAAGGGTAAACATAATTTCGTCGCATGTCCTATTTCCTCGCAAGCTCCTGATGCACCGATAGAAATGTTCTAGGACCTGGCAAATCGCTGTTCGAAAAACCCGTGAAGGCGCTGGATGTTGGTTGTGGCCCCGGCACTTGGGTGCTTGTAAGTATCACAGTGCGTACATCAAGTAAGATAAAATACCTAATACGCAATAGGATATGAGTACCGAGTATCCGAAAAGCGACTTCACAGGCGTGGATTTGAGGGATGTGACGTTCCCAACTAAAAAGGCATCCAACAGCCATTTCCTGGTGGGAAATGTCCTCACTGGCCTTCCTTTTCCAGACAATACTTTCGACTTCGTGCAAATGCGACTGTTGGTGGCAGCAATTCGAGTGGAGGAATGGCCGTCAGCAATGAAAGAGTTGATGAGAGTGACCAAACCGGGAGGATTGATCCAGTCCATTGAAATCGATCTCAAGGTATGACCAATTTGGCGGCAAAGATGTCCAGATACCAAAGCATAAAATGTTCCTTATCGGTATAATTTAGGTGGACGAAAACGATAAGACAGGATTAGTCAAAGCCAGTAAGTGATACATGCTGTATACCAAAGTTGGACAACATGTACTCAGGCGCGGAGTGACAACAGTGTGTGACGCTTGTACGAGCCGCGGACAGGACCCGCGCGTTGCTATCCGCATCAAAGATTTACTGACGGAAGCTGGCGCACAAGTGCTTCATACCGAGCGACGGGAAGTAAATTTGGGTAATTGTTTGAACGACAAGAACAAGGTTAATCAATAGGCAACAGAAGAGCATTGATTCCGGATTATCTTATAGGCGGCGACGATGCTTTGGCCACCAAGTTTATTTCCGTTTCCAAAAATAGCATCCACAGCATGCTGCCAGTGCTCGGTCCCATCCTCAACATCGATGAGAGCGAAGGTCTCGATAAAGGGCTGGACAGATTCTGCGATCGTTTGCGCAAATCGGAATCACGCTGGTATTACAGCGCCAACTTGGCCCAAAAGCCTGAATAATAACTATCTTCAAGGAGCTATTGCATCTTATAAACATACCCCACGTCAAAGCGTAAATATACTCGACTAAGCAATCAACGGATGTAATTTACAGACCCGATGCAAAGATCTTATTTGTGGCCCGACGTGCGTTTGCATTATTTTCTTTGCTGCTCTCAGAAGCGCAGATAAATGTAACAAGCTTTATCTATCCCTAATCTTAGTTTGTTACGAACGGATGCTCCTTTGCTTTGTTGAGTAACCTTAAATTAATAACATTTGAGCAAATCGTATCGAAGAATGAAATGATCTATTTCGTTTCGCATGAAATTAAAAAAAAAAAGACTATCTACATTAGAGCACCGTATATATAAAAAATGTTGATGATGTCTAAGCTTCATCTTCATCATCCAAGCGTGTGTTATCGATCCATCGTTCTTGCACCTCACTGACATCCTCGTTATAGCCTGATAACATTGCCGTCGTCATAATAGATTCGTTACCTTCGGTTAAACCACCAAAGACAAACCCGCCGGCCTTATCAATGACTTGCTGCAAATTCGTCATGGATTTCTTGTCCTCGACACACAATGTATAGAAGCCAACCAAAGAAAAGTCTTCAATAAGCTCGCACAGTGCTTGATTCAACTTTTTGAATTTGGAGCCGAAAGCATCTTCGTTCAAGGAATCTAAAAGGTACGAAAGATCCATAACGTCGGTGTAATATTGCAAGTTGAACCCTACACGTCGCATCAACAAGTTAGCTTTCAGGTATTTCATCAACAGGCTGTGCGCACAACATACTTAGTTTTCCATACGATTCTATCAGATCGACTTTTGACAAGACATTAACATGCGGTAACTCGAGCTGGATCATCGTCTTAAGCGAGAGGAGTAATACGGAGATATATTTTGCAGGATCGGTGCAGTAGTGAGCGTCGACGAGATGGACAGCAACCAGCTAAAAATTAAACAGCATTAGCTATCTCGAAAGACTGCAATTCTGTACATACATACTCTGTAATTCAGCTTCTGAAGACGATCAAGAATTTCTTTGACAGCAGTATGGTGGGTGAACAGTTCCACTTGGCCCGGGAAATCAAACAGAAAGTAATGATCTATACAAGCAAGTGTTCAGTAATCCCGTTGCGTTATAGTAAAAAAGAAGGTTATTGTTACCCTGCAGTTTGTCCAACTGTTCTGTCAACCAGTCCAGATTCTTCAAAAGATACTCGACGCAAAACATTATGCCGCCATTGGGTCCAAGCCGGAGTTCGTTCATTGTATCTTCCAGCGTGATCAGATCAGCCACATTGATTGCGCAAGGATAAGGTATATGGTCGTTCGCTGGGTCAAGATTCACAACAGCTACTTTTCTATCAATAGAGGAAGCGCTCTAAGCGGACTGATTGTCACATTGTGAGATCGTTATGTCGTCTTTACCTGCCGGCCGCTGTAAGATACTGGTAAGCGCCCCAACAATACGTTGTTTTACCGGAACCAGGTGGCCCAACGATAATCTAATCAGCACATTAGAAACTTCTATCGTCTTCAACACGATCGATCTTATTACCTGTCCGAACGGCATATGAATGAAAATGAGTTTATAGTTTAAAGACGGAACTGTCAAGCGTTAGTCGCCCAATCGGTCTTCATTGCCGGTTTCCGCAGTCCGAAAATTTTGCAGCTGTGGGTCTTGCCCATCAACCAGGACAAGGCATGCTTATGCGGAATGACAATTGCAAATTACCCCATAATAGCGCGTCTCATAGTTATGTTTGGCTCAAGTCTATGCACAGAGAAAAGACTATGATGCAGTGATTGCTTTCATATGACTCAGAGATGAAACGGACTATTGGTGAAAAACAGAGCAATGTCATAAAGTATATATCATACATATCATCATCAGAGTTTACTTTATCCAGACCATATATCTTTTACTGGTCATATAAGCAGCATAAAGCATGTTATGGGATTTAGCAAATAATCATACGCTCGGATAATTGTAATCCTACAGCTGCCACATACTCCTTGATAGCTTTCCAAAGTTTCGACGATTCGGTGTGTGAAGTCACAGATACAGCAGGAGCCACCATCCCACCTTCAACAAGCAGCAGGACTTTTTTCAGGTCTTCGCGAGTCAAGCTCCCTGGATCCAGCCAACCCGGTGGGACTCCTGGGTCGGCATCTTCCTTATCTGGACGTGCAAGCGAAACAAAAGACCTGGTATCCAGCAGTTTCTGATATTCGGCAAGAGGAAACCATTGGTATGCAAGAGGGTCCAGCAGATAGGATGGTTGATATTGGCCCTTGTAGTTCATCTTTGGACAAGAATGAATGTAATAGCCTAACAACAGTGAAATTAGTATTTCCATTTAAAGGCTTGACGAACTGCCACTGCGGATGTAAATTACCCATGTAATACCACTTTAGGTCGTCCTTTCCCTTCTGCTGATTAAGATCTTGAACTAGACTGATTTCGCGGAGAGCGCTGTATTTTCCAAGACCCAAAAATGAATAATCGGGATCATACAAGAAATACACCGAAGAAACGCATTTTGGCAAAATGTCCAGCACAGCCATAGCTATTAGCTTGCCATCGAGCAAGTACTTTTGATGATAGGAGCCGTAACCCACGCTTGTGTTCGTCGTTTTTTCCACCTGAATAATCGGCTCCATTAACACATTGTTTCTTATGTCGGCAGTCGCGGTCGATATTTTACCTTCATCGGCGATTCAACAAGGAACCGCTTAAACGACTTTGTGGAAAGCTCTTCTTTTTTATCGTTATGAACCACCGTCTGATACTTGCAATATACGTCGTATTTCTCTTTCGTATATGAAGCTGGTTCCAACACAATCTGACATGGCTCTTAGTTTAAAATGTACAGACATTGTTACAGTCACCGTTGTACCTCCAATTTGTGCCGATAATCCTTGTCCTGGGTTTCAGCTGCATGAATAATGTCGGTTAATGCCTGGTCATTTTTCGGTTTGGGAGGCTTTTTCTGTCTATTTGATACTGAGGAATAAGTTGATCATGGCAAGAAAAACTCAACACATCCACTTACGGGGTATTCTCACTCTTGGTGTCGGGATCCCATGTGCCGTCAATAAAACGATTGAACTTGTTCAGGACTTTTCGTTGTGATTTGGATATTTTAAATTCTTGTGCGTCCAATCTTTTTCCATTCGTCAATTTTCCCCCATTTCAGACTATTTCAGATCCAGATGTATAGAGAGTACCTTATAGTGTATTGTGGACAGCAGCTCTTGCGCAAGTCGGGTTTATAAACGTAATGCCCTGATCTTCTCGGAAGTGTAAGCTAGCTTGATTACATTGCTACCAAGTACATGAGCAAACCTTCTCCAGCCTCGGTCAATGAGCGATTGATAATCCTAAACTTTCATGAGTTACTGAACGGGTGCTGGACTTTTCCAAGCAAAACGCGCTTACTGAATACGAAAGAGCGTGCGCCCAGATTCCATATGTAAACGACGTGTCCTCCGAGTGACAGTAGCCGCAATCACTATTATTTTTCCCGACAATAGAGATAATGGAGATGGATTCAGCTTCATCCATTTTGTGCAAAGCGAACGAAGAGCCTATGAAATGGCACGTCACATCTGAGTTGCTTTAGAGTGGTCGGTTTTTTTTATGTGCAAACTTTATTCAAAACTTTCTGAAACTTCCTGCATTGATGCGAAATGTGTTTTGCAATCATACAGTACTTCGAGATTGCCTCAAACAAGATGGGTGATATTTTTAATTTGCTTCAAATTTTGTGGATGCCTTAATAAGCATACTATTTTTCTCGTCCTATTTTGCAAATTCTTATGCTGCATATCATCATATGCTCATCGGATTCAGCGCCATGGATCATCGTAAATTACTATTGCTTTGCGTTATTTGAAATACACGCCAAAAATAAACAGCATCATTAAAAAAGATATACAATGGGATAACAGATTAATTTGTTATCATATTTGCCAACGGCTTGTCTGATGGTGATTATTTATGCGCGAAGATTGCGCATTATATAATTTCAGGAAGATCTCATTATATACAATATCTTTGAAAGAAAAGATACATACACTGCAGAGAAATAAAAAGAAGAAACGCTCGTTGCATGATATTTAAATGTAAAGAATCCAGCAAGAAACGGCCTTGGCTAATCCATCCGGATCTTCTTGTAAATGTGTTTTGATGATGACATTTATGATATACCTGCTGATTCGATGTTCTCGCAAATAATTTACATTCATATTCATTGAATTTTCTTTCATTTTTGCTTTGTTTATATTGCTCTATTGTTCATTGAGCGATCATGCTTAGTTGCCATGATCTGGCATGCAAGACAGAAAACTTTGGGCAGCGTTGCTGGCATCCATTGGTCTGATTCGGTGTTCAAACCAATCATTTCCATTCATAAAAACAAATACAAGCGTCTACAGTTCATTAATAAGTGTGAAGATCTGAAGGACTTAAGTAGCTGACCATTTGATCATCTCTGCTGCCTTTTTTTTTTTTTTGCCATCAATAATAACACCACTAGATATTTCGGTCAAGGATGTTCGGAGATTGAAATGTTGAGCAATCGGATGAGGACGGCATTGATGAACGGCGTTGAAGGGGAATGATCGACATTTTTCAGGCTAAAAAATATGGATACCTGGGATAACAGAAAATAGGACCAAACGATCCTTAACATTGGTTTAATTTTATACTGTACTATTGCTAAATAAACTTCAAATAAAAGAGTTTTTTTTTTTTTGAAATTGGGAAGATCACTTTGACCGGTGTCCAGAGGAACCAACATCATCATGAGTGCCAAGACCCAAAAGACAGAAAGATGATCAATCTCCTTTTTTTTCTTTTACTTTTATATATATAACCGCAAAAATTAAATCTTTTTTCTTCATATTTTATCTTCGCTTTTCCAGCAAACTTTTTGATGAACCATCAGCTGGTGTGGACAATTATTTTTGTCATTGCTCACAACGGTCAACTTGCATTCGGCCAAGCACAACATCAAGAGAATAATGTCAATGTCAATGCCAGTGATACCATCAAATTCGGAACGGGCCCCTTCTGGGGTTCCGTTATTGCCGTAATATGCTTAGTAGCCGTGAGCGGCATGGTAGCAGGTATGAGCTTTGGGTCAACTTAACGATCCACATCTGCGATACCAAAGCAAGAGAACGGAAACCAGAGAACTAACAAAAATTTTACAATACATAGGTCTCACATTGGGATTAGTAAGTCAAGCAAACGTGATCAACTGTGATAATAACATTCCCTCATAACGAAAAAACCGTTCTTTTTATTTTCATTTTCTCATGGCCAGTTATCCCTGGATGAAACGAATTTAACGATTTTAGCAACAGCCGGTACAGCAAAAGAGAAACAGCATGCCATGCGGATTTTACCCATCAGAAGAAACTGTCATTTACTCCTCACGGCTCTGGTGTTAACAAACACAGTTGTCAATGAAACCTTGCCCATTGTTTTAGACAGCATTCTTGGTCAAGGTACATTTTCGAGAATGAAGGGGTTTTTTTTCCTCTAATGCATGAGTGAACTGACACCGTCAAAAGGCTATATTGCCGTTATCGCTTCCACCGTTTTGATTGTTATCTTTTCCGAGATCTTGCCACAAGCTGTATGCTCTCGGCATGGTCTCGCTGTGGGCGCCATTTTCGCTACTCCCGTACGTCTCGTGATTTGGTTTTGGTTCATTATTGCCTGGCCTATAGCCAAATGTCTGGACTGGCTGTTGGGCGCCAATCATGGTTCCGTTTACCGCCTCGAAGGTATTGCAGAATTTTCAATCGCTTAGCAAATTTATCAAGTACATATACTCAATTACAATACAGAAATCCGGGAATTGATTGATATGCACGGTGTGGTGAGGGGACGAGGCGGCCAACTACATAGCGGCACCGTACAACTCGTCCATGGATCATTGGAATTGCAGAATAAAACCGCAGGCGAAATTGCACGCTCTGTTGATAATTTCATCCTCGTCGCGTCGAATGAACTGATCACGCCATCATTGTGCCATAAAATCATGCAGCATGGTTGCACACGGATTTTGATTTTCGAACGCATGGATCATGCATCTGGGCGGCGTATATGCGGCAGTTTATCGGCCAAGGTAAGCATCTAGAAGATTGAAATTTTTACATTGTGTGATCTAATTATGGTAATTTTTTATCATTATCACCGATCATTTTTCTCTTGGTCAGCTTCTTTTCAGTTTACATAATCCGGAGGAGGCAATCACGTTATCAAAAATGGCATTGGAACCGGTGGTCAATGTCTTCGACAACGCAGCTGCCGTCACTTTAGTATCCACATTTCGCGATAAACCACGTAAGTGAACCAAGACACGACTTAATTTATCTTTTTTCCCCACCAATTACTGATGATATTTTCTTTTCCCATGATAGATCAAGTCATTGTTGTGTATGCAACGAACGAATGCAATAAAGAGACATTAATCACCATGGATAAACAAGCGGATACTGTATCATCGTTGGACGAAAAGAAAGCGGACTCAATATCTGTTTCAGGGAGTGCAACGACGCTTCACTCTTTACATACTGGCGATGTTATTGGAGTCATTACTTGCGAGGATCTGCTGGCTCAGATACTGTAACAACAACAAATCCGACATTTAACTACTGTACAGCCAACCAAAATGGAATGCATTTGTTCCAATAGTAATGATGTGTCAAGTGACTATTGCTTGTCGTATCTAGTATAAAAGCATCAAACAAGAAAAAGTCTTGCGGATTACCTTGCATAAATAAAAATGAAGCGTAAAATTGTTAGTCAATTGTTAGATAAGAAATTATACAAAAATAATGATATCACTTACTACAAAAAGACCTTGGAGACCCTCATATCATTGCGGTAACTGCTTTATTAATTTGAGCACGTATATTATGGTGTTTAAAGGTGCCTAGTAGCATCTGCTGAAGAGTTGCTACAGTAGAGTGGTTTCAACTCCCACACTGTGAAGAAAAAATGGTTGCCACTTTGCCCGGCCAAATAAATTGGAAATCAATGTCCGATGAGGAGGATCTGAAGCCTTTTCGATCGTCAACGATTCTTTTGACCTTGCATAAGTTCACGATGGATCAGGCAGTTCCCAAAATCACTCGCGAAGGTAATTCAAGGGAGGGGTTCTTTCAAAGTATCGAATACAAGGGATGGCGCATCATCAGCAAAAAGGCAGCCATATGCAATTCAGCCGAAATGGACAGGTACTTGTCTCTTTCTTCATAATGTGCCAGCGCTTGATATTAATCCGCCACACAGCATTCAAACCGACATTGGTATCCCTCCGCCCGAAATGGTGTTTGGAAATAGCGAAGTTTTGTTGAAAAATGAAGATTTTGAGCTTTCCTTCAAGGCGTATGACGCCTTGCGTATGGTTGATACCAGTTCCAACAGCAGTGAACACATCAAGGTGGCCTATGCGGACGACTGGAGTCGCAAAAGGTACTACAGCTCAGAGTGACTTGCTGTGCATCCCAGTACTAATTTATTGCGTATAATTCTAGTGCTGCGAACCATACGGATGTGAAGGACGTGATTAAGCCATACGACTGGACTTATTCTACCGAGTATCAAGGCACATGCGCTGCGTCATTCACAGCAGCGGAAGAACCGAAAATTGATATTGAGCGTCTTAAAAAGCCCGAACCCATTCTTTTCTACGATGAGAATATCCTGTACGAAGATGAATTGGCCGACAATGGCACCGCCATGCTTTCTATTCGATTGGTAAGTTTTTCGCATTCACTTGTGGATCACGATGCAGTAAATCAGTGGATCTCATCAACATATTAACATAATTCATGTATACAGCGTGTCATGCCGTCCTGCTTCCTTGTGCTGCAACGTTTCTTTCTGAGAGTCGATGACGTGTTGTTTCGCATCAACGATACACGCATTTACCATGAATTTGGCACCTCGTATGTGGTACGAGAATATACATCTAAAGAAGCCCCGTATCAATATATCAGAAAGGTAAGTAGGAAATGAGACTATGTTCTGCAGAAGCGGGAGAATGTGAGTTGATATTGGCATATGCTTAGATCATGGGCCATGGCGATGTTTCGCTACTGAATGATGCCAATTGGATCGGGTCAAAATTACCTGAACCGCCCCAAACTTTCGTCCGAGAACATGTGCGCTTGAAACGTTAATAAAAGGAAACAAGAGAAAAGAAAAGCAGGCAAGGGGGAGCGAATGTACAGAAAATTCTTTTATTGTGATATCACCAAAAATCATCGTCCCGTCCAGGCTGAATGAAGCCTATAGATACTCTATCCAAGTTGACTGGTCGCTTTTCAACGGCTCCAAATCGAGAGGGTGGCCATAAGATATGCGTGACTTTAGCTGTAATTAAGGCCATGGGTACCTTTACAATTGGATGAATAAAGGTTCTCGTTTCTGTGGATCCTTTTCCATGTCTTCTTAACATCTCTTTTGAAACTGTTCCCACTCATCCCTTCCAGCTGCCACGAGATCCTCCCAATGATATCATGTAAAACAAGCCATAGACTTACTGTGCCAAAAGAATTGCTGTCTCGTGAGTGGAAAGCCTCGTCACCTTCTACCCAGCAGTGGCCTTTCGGCACATGAACTGAAATGAACAGGCGTAAATATATCGAGTAAGTGGGTTTCCTTTTGCGGTTTTCTTACCTGGAGCAGCTGAATGCCGTAAAGGTTGAACGGTATCGCCTTCAATCGCGATAATTCGTTTTGTGATTTGGAGTTTTGGATCGGTTGGCGATCTACAATCGACCCGACTTTAGATAATGGAAGGCAGGCAACCGAATTGGTAACGAACTTACGTCAGGGTGACTACCTCGCCTCGTTCAAAATTGTGATCATTGACGGCCCATTTATTTAGAAAAACAAAGTCTCGTTTCAATTTGTTGGAATCGGGGTTGAAGGTGGGCTAGCGATGGAAGGTAAGATGAGTTTGCACTGCTGGATAGAATCAAGGGATCAAAAAGACGTACTTGCATTGATCGACCGTTCACAGGTCCATAACTAAAGCCGTGATCAACGACAAAGACCACTACTGGGAGCCAGGTCAGTGCCTTGAGCGCTGATACGGTGTATGGACTGGACCGTAAGCGACCAAACAATCCCATAGATGGCATAAATTGGCACCGATTGAGGCAATTGTTCCCTTTCACTGAACTCTATCAGAATTTTTTGGACATTTTTTAAAACTCCGTGATTGTCAAGGCGCGTTCTGATTATCGCGAACTGTGAAAGTCGTCCCACGTCGATCTCATGTATTCATGCTTAAGGTGCCGATCACTGCATATTACGCGAGGATTGTCGATGTGCAAGATGCAAAATGAAGCGTACCGGGGTTGACACATTTTTCTGCCAATATTGACAGATGGGGTGCATACATCCCCTGCCTATACTTTCTCCATGTGCAGTTGATCACTACGCTTTCCTCTGCATAGTGGCAATAAACTGACTCCCACATTCGAAACGAACAAAAATTCCAAGACAGTTTGGCAGATATTATTACGGTTTTTTATGCATGCAATATGATAGCACGGCTTGTTATCATCAAATTACGCTTGAAATTTGCCAACCATTACCAAATAAAATTTGATTTTGTATTTGGATATCAAAAAGGCTAATTCAATTGTTGCTCCGAAGTGTTCGCATATGCCGGAGGAAGGTGAAATAAAGAAATCGTTTCTATAAAGTTAAGCGTGGAAGCTCAGCAATGGAGGCCTTTAAATAAATCGTTGATGGTATATTGCGACGAGGATTTGGTTTATTCTTCATTGACTATCTACAATTAAATACTACCTTTTTTTTTGTATAATCGTCTCCCGGGTAAGCGTTATATTGTCCGTTTGAACAATCTGATGAACATACTTTGTGTCGAAATTTACGCAGAGTATAAGCAAGATTGTCTATGGGGTTGCCTTGGCTTCGAAACACGTCGGCTTGATAAGATGGAGAAGAGGGCCAAAGCGAAAGCGAACCAGATCTGCTGCCGGAGACACTGTAATGGCTGAAGTGCCTTAAAGTAGGGTATCTGACATTGCTGCCAAGAAGGGTTTTATGACTATCAAAATGAATCAGTTGAAAGCATAAAAAAGTCACCTGCTCAGCAAAGACGACATTTGTTGCCTTATTTTGAACGAAAACGGGCTGTTGGGAGAACACAGTGCTCCAAATGTAAGCTTATGCTTCTTGCCAACGACCATCTGAACATTCCTTCTCCTCTTAAGAAGCTCACAGCAAGTACCGGCGGTCCATTATAGAGAAGAAGCTGGTCCTGTGACCAGACCATCTGGTGGGGTGGAGCGCAACGTTAGCTGAATACCACAGAATATGAATCCCGCCACGACTCTTGGTAATAACGAAGTTTGGGTACTTCCAAGAAGCAAACCATTCGACAATAGCTTTTAGGCTTCAAAGTGTTCGCTGAATTTTGTAAGACTGCAACAAGAGCGCCGGCTGCGCTTCCAAGTAAACTGCATTATTCCGTGCTTCGAACAGGCAATGACACCACTATGACCATTGTAAAACTGATCGCGGGCCAAGCAAAAGTCATAGTTAGAAGAAGCTGCGCCATCGAGGAATCACGTGCAATTTTGGCCTTCGAAAAGAATATAAATATCGTCCTTGACGGGTTTTCATTATTTCTTATCAATCTCGTGTCTTGCTCTCTGGCCCTTGGATTTCCAGCTCATATTTGGCAACGACAGAAGAACTGCTACGGCGTCAATACCAAGACGGATAAGCATTATCTTATCCGTAATTTTTTTATTTCACCCATGGCACCCACTTTACCGTCCAAACCCCGATTTAGACGCCCTGACATTGGAACATTAATCTGACGACCACAACTGCATCAAGGACAACGACGATCTTGTCCGTACCAGCCTTTATCTTATCGGGATTGGCCTTTATTTTGTCAAGATCGACCTTTATCTTCGCAAGGCCGACCTCTATGTTGTCAAGGCCCACCGTTATATTGCTACGACCGGCCTTTATCTTGTCGATTCCCAGCTTTATCTACATTGAAAGGTTTTTGGAGTGGAATGGAAGGACGACCCGACCGTTGTGCTGTTGTATACGGTTGCGAAAGAGCTCTGAACCATGAGATCCAGAATCACCGTTCCGCGATTGATGTATTAGTCGAAACGCATACTGAAACTAACAAGCAGTAAACGTATACTTTAGAAAGTGGTCATTCATACTTCTTTTGGAGCTTTAATTTTTATGCAGCTTCTTTCTGCTTTTCATCTTTACAGTCTTTATCTTCAGTTTTTATTTTGGACTTTTTCTTGGAAAAAGGGTGAATTCATTGTTCTTTGGAGCTCTATTTTTGAAGCTTTTTCTTTTTCGCTTTTATATTTAAAGCTTTTATTTTTGAGCTCTTTTCTTCTTCTTGTCTTCGTTTTTCTCGCACTTCGGTTCAACTAAGAAGTCCTGGTACTATTTTATTTCATCAAGTTCCTAGCTGCATTCCATCGCCCAGACTATGGCTTTCCCGTGTAGCTGACTCGGTTAAATCGACCATCACAATCAGAAGGTACCATCAAATGGTTTTTTATCAGTTCTTCAACAAGAAAAAACTTACCTGTTCTTTTTTCTATTCTTCTTTAGCTTTGGTTTTCTCTCCGGTTTTCTTTTTCGCCTGGCAAGCCATCCATCCTCCAAATCTTTCTACTTTGTCGCGGAGCAAATGTGGCCAATCCGGCTTTTGTCGTCAAAGGGCATCGCCGTTGGTGACTCAATTTTTTCATCGGAAAGTGCTTAGGCGTCCTCCTCAGGTTCGTCTTTGGATTACTTCCCGTGGTATTGTCTTCGATATTTCTTCCCGACCATTTTACTTCGTAGTTTTTGTATATACTTTGTATTTTATTCGATAGACCTTCTTGCAGTCTTTTTCCTCCTTTTTTTTCCCACCTATTGTTTTACTTTTTTCATATTTGTATCGTTTCTTTTTTCCGTTTGGGAAGCTCTCGATATCTGCTGCATCGAATAACAGAGGTAAAATATCTTGACGACACTTGAATCAATCGAAGAGCGTACGAACGCATTTTTTTAATACCCAACATTCCCACACATCATTCTAGGTCTATCATAACGTTGGGCGGGACGGGACTGAGGGGGTCAATAAGTGCTGCTGCACACATGTTTGAAAATCATGACTGTACGGTATGCCAGAGTATTGACATTAATATACCAAAGTTCCATCAAGAGTCTCGCCCAGGTTATGCCGTATTGCGTTAGGCTTTTGTCTGACAAATGTCTATCAATGTAAGAGGGCGACGTCCAGTAGCAGGTGGCATCCATTGCACAACGGGTGTACGGCTTGTTAATGGTGAATTAGTAATTGTCTCTCTCACTCTCCCTCCAGACCTAGTTGTCCGAAACGAACATGCTTTTGATTACGAATAAAATTCGGTTGATCGGGGTCGAGATAGCGCCTTCCACCAGTTTCATGATCTCCAGAGAGGCATACATACGAGTGTATGGCCCATGGTAATCCGGCAAATCCTAATGCAGTCAACGAGTTCGTTGACCAGTCATTTTGGGAGCATGCATTTTACCAAGGACTCCGAGGCAACTATTCGTTTTACAATATTCTCCACCGAATATTTGATCTCGTTGAGGAAAATTAAGGTGACGTGTGTTGAAATCGGTTGTTACTATATGAGCCTGTAACCGCTCACATGTGTGCAAGTCAATGAACTCATGATCCTCATGAGTTCGACAGGGTTTCAGAAGCAGGATACTTGATAATGCTAATATGTGTTGTACATTTTCTTTCAACGTCAAATTCATTGGGCCTTGATCGATATTTGCTTTGACCGCAAGCTGAAAATTGTGAGTGCTCGGAAATGTCCGTGCCCATAAACACGAGGCGGTCATTAGCAGCTCATGGTTGAAATTCAAATGACGAAACAGAAACTGCCACGGTGTTAGTGGGGTTATTCTGATCATATGGTGTATCAGTATCCGTGTCGGTCACGGAATATGGGATGCTGTCCGACGAAGTACAGGTGCTGGGTATAGGTGATTCTTGAACAGTGGAACGCGACGAATTGGAATCAATAATAAGGTTACATTTTAAGATGGTGTTGCTTAGAAAGGTTTTTCGAAAATTGCTTTGCATTCTTCAACAGCGAGGCACCGCCAGGACAAGGAAAACCTTCATTTGTGCGCAACACAGTTGTTTTCGTCTGTGTGATTAAATCGAAGTTCGAATGAAAAAGAAAACGAAGTTATGCAGATGTGATACTCACCGACAAGTATACGAGACACATGTTCGTCCATAGTGTGCTTGTCACGTTCATATTTTGTTCGTAGACTTTTTTCACAATGTGCACATCTAATATCGGTCATCTTGCTCACAACAAGGAAAAAGCAAAAAAAAAGTCCATATTTCTTTGTAGCCTTTGAAGCCTGTTCGCGGCCTTTGCAGCCTTGCTTCTGGAGTCTTTCTGCACCGCCAAAGAATGATTACCATTTTAGGCACAGTCACTGTTCCAAGCCACGCACAAATCGACAGCCGGCCCATGTTCGGTTCCCTGGCCCGAACTTCAGTCTCCTTTGACTTGTCATTTTTTTTTCACTTCTCAGATTCGTCTGTTCGACATCGATCATGTTGCGTTCCGCCGCTGTGAAAGCAGTCCGTCAATGTACCTCAGTTCATATTCTCAAGGTACGTTACGTCCAAAATTGCAACAGAACGTGAAAACTCAATTTTCAGTACAGCGAAGCGCGCACAAGAAAGCTTCCATCCAAGTCAAATTGAATGAATTTGTTGAAGGCGTAGGCATTAAAGGTACGTGACTAAAGGACAACATAGAGTCTGCATGATGGGCGATTAATCGTGCATATAAACAGATGAGGTTGTTACGGTTCGACGTAAGTTACTTTAAAGTACAGAAAGTACACTTTTGACTCGGCCCGCTTACTTCCGCTGTTAGCTGGTTTGATGAGAAACGTATTGTATCCTTCCGGAAAAGCAACGTATATTGAGAAGAATCTCGGATCGCGGAATCGTCAATTAGCAGATCAACAGGAGTTGGAAGCAGAGGAGCAGGAGGTAAGGACGAATTGACGAAAAAAAGAGGCACAGAAAAAAAAACAAAAGAAAGGGAAGCATGGATCTGCTTTCCCTCGTGGCAAAATAGAACCCCCTTCTTCTCTTTTTCTTTTTCTGTACGAGATGGGTCTGTGTGTTTGATTGACACTGATATATATCACGATTATATGTCTTCTTTTTTTTTTTTTTTTTTTTTAGCTTCATTTATCTATGAAGGCAGAGAAGCGTCGCGAGCGTACCAATGAATTGCTGAATGTTCTTGAAGATGTTAAAGTGGTAGAATTTGAGCGGGCTCTCGTACCGAACAGCAGCAATACTTTTGGATCGGTGACGGCGGACGACTTGGTAAACAAGTTAAAAGAAGAGTTTGCACTGGATGTGGATAAGCAGACTATCGAATTCCAGTCCGAGGGTGGTCGTATCAAGTCAGTTGGAGAGCATTTGGTTACTATCCAGCTGGGACAACAGTCGGCCACGATTAAAGTGATTGTAAAAGCAGCATAACCGTAAAAACACTGTAAAAAGAAGTGTGTGTTTGAATCCAAAAATAGACATTGCCGGTTTTTTTTTTTTTTTTTTTTTTGAACATCTGTCTTTTTTTGTTACTTTTTCTTCATCCCGCATCCCTTTCTCCTCCATAACTCCTCCATCTGCCGTATTTTTTTTATATCTTTATATCACTGTTGCAATACAGGAAGAAACCACCTTGGGTTGTCTTTTTCACTTTTCTTCTTTCTTTTGCTCGTTACTTCTTTTTTTTTTTGGTTTTATCTTCTATCTGTTTTCGCCTCTGGGTCCTCGTCCCTCGTTCTTTCTTCTGTTTCATACATACCATTACTCGCCATGGGTCAAGGTGCCAGCAAAGCACAAGGATCAATCACCTTTGCTCATTTAGCAGCTTCCGCTAAAATGGATGGTGTTCTTCCATCCTGGGATGACGAAGATCCCATTCTCGCTAGACCTTATTTGTACGGATTGGCGGACAAATCTCACATGAGCTTTCCACCACCCCTTTGTGATATCTCGATACCCAGTTCGTCTTCCTCCATGTCGACGTTAGCTTCCTCTTCCTCTCGATTATCAATTCACACAGCCGCTCCAGATCGCATGGGACGCACAGACTCTGGATATGGCGAGAATGAAAATCGTCTCCTCAACGATCTTGCTTACGTAGATAAAACATATTACAACAATCGTCGTCCAGCAACGCATTCACGGGAGCCAAAGCATCCTGCCTTATCCACCATCACCATTACTTTTACCGACGTTGCAGTAGCGTCTATCGACAAAACGATGCAGGAGGTGAATTTGTCAAGTCGTTCTTTGGGCAGTCTGAGTCCCAATATCGGACTCTTGACGATGATACGTAAATTGGTTCTGTAAGTAATTACGCAGCTGCGGACCAAGGAAAAGAAAGACTTTGGGGGATGGGGGGAGTTGTGAATGCGTATTGAAGAAAAAAAAAGGACACTTGGAGTGGATTTCCAAACACAGGAGTATAACTGCATCCCCACCATCATGCAAGGGGGTTGGGTGGATCAATGTCAATGATAAAAAAGGGGGAAAATCCGGGAAGACGATTCTTGCCAAAAAGAAAAAAAAACGAAATACTATTGTGTTTGAAGCTTAAAAATATGTAGTAAGAAGGACAAAAAAAAATAGGAGACGAGTGGCAAAAAGGAAGGAGGTTTTACTGGACGTGAAAGCATGACAAAAAAAAAGGGGGGCGCCCAAGACACAAAAGATGCTTTCATTTCAATGTCACTAATCATCGCAATTTCGTCTAGTTCGGACAATCAGTTGACAAAGCTTCCGGAAACCATTGGCTATTTGCAAAATCTTGAAAGTCTATCCATCGACAATAACCAGTTGAAAAAATTACCGGACTCTATCGGTCATCTTTCGCGACTCACGGAATTGGACGTATCCAATAACTGTTTAACGTCATTACCATCAACAAGCTTCTATCTCAAGAAATTGCAGACGCTTAATTTATCGAATAATCAGTTGACCAATTTACCCATCGATGTGATCGGCATGTCGAATCTCGCCACTCTCGATGTATCGTACAATCCGCTCACCATTCTACCCGCAGAGATTATTCAATTGGCTTATCTGCGACGACTGATCCTCTTTGAATGCCCACTTGAGACCACGCCCGAGTATTCGCTGACACATGATCCCCCTAGCTTATTTGAAATCTGCGCTCGCCAAGTTATACGGGACCAGGTTCCTACGCACAATCTCCCGGATTATTTGCTCAATTATCTCGGAACAGCCAAAACTTGCACCTCGTGCCAGGGACCTTATTTTGAATCTCATGTTGTACGTAGTCGCTTGGTGGAAAGGGGTGATTTGATGGTACCGCTGGAATATCGGCTTTGTTCCGCTCACTGGACGGATGATCAAGATCGCACCTTGTCCATGTTTTCCAGTCGACCTCCCACCAGTTGTGTCCATCGAGTATTCCCCTCAAGGAGAAACTTGCCGCCAATACCCCACCATGGATCTCAGAAAATGACCATGTTAGCGCGTCGACCGCGTTACGCCTCCTCATCATCCCATCCTACTCTATCTGCTGGCATGGATAGCGCTATACAGAATGACGAAGATGATCTGGTCAATTCGCCACAGAAACTCTTGTCCGGGTGGAGGTCTGCGCAACGCATGCGGGTGATGAACCGGAATCATTCGGGATTCCTCAGCCTCACGACGAAATTAAAGAGACCTGCCAATTTGTACAGCAATCACTCAAAACGATGATCCTTTCTTGTCTTCACATGTTTATCTGTAGTATATCCCCTCAATTATAAAGAAGACAAAAAGCAAAAGAACAACGCATATACAATAAACTCAAAACGGATACCTGCTTGTAGAATAAAGATCTGGAAAGCAAATTATCAGGCTTTGGGTGGGGGAGGTGGAGACAAGTCATGTGCGATCAAACAAGGAGTGAAAAAAAAAGAGATTTACAGGAGATGGTCGTCGGTTTTGTCTCCGAAATGGATTGTATACCAATCATTTTGTTTTCGAATGGAATCTAGGTTATCACATACGGTTATCATGGTAAACAACAACATCTGAATACAACGTGCACAGCATGCATTGGAGACGATACAAGCAAATACATATTGAATTTGCTTTATAGATGACTCCAGGATACAGTATTTGTTTACAGTTTTAGCATGGCGCATGTCCGCCAACTATGTTTCATGAAAAAAAAGAAGGGTTCGCTTAGCCTGAGTGCGGATCACAAACAACAACAAAAAAAAAGTAAGAGTGCGGCGTTCCGGTATTGGTGGCGTAAGAAGGGGGGCGATTTCCACCAGAAGATCCGAAATGGACAGAATGCACATGCTGTCATGGAAGAAGAAAAAAAATACAATGTGGCGCCATGAGTATACGGCTTATTCTTCCATGTAACATATCAAACGTTCTGGTTAAAACATGACCGCGTGATGTCACTGCATGCCTAAGGTAGGAGGAGTTAAAAACAAGATTGCTTAAAGCAGATCAAAGGAAAACTATGATATTACCTCAGAGGAAAGCTTATTGCCTTTCTTGTCATTCATCTGTAACACCACATCCCTTAAAAAAGAAGAGTAACCTGCAAATCATCCTGATTATCGTCATTGAATAACAAACCCCTTGTTGTCCAATTTTTATCTCCAAAACGCCTTGATACTGCATCCATGTGTCGCTCCCCACAGTTACGTGGCTCTCACATGATTTTTTTATGGCAAAAGTGACCATCGTGGATCAGTGAGATGTAAATTGAGCTGCTATTATAGTGCTTACCCAAAACAGCTAATCTAGGATTTTCTTCTGCCAAAGAAATGGACTCTATACAATTCTTTAAGCTTCTCCTTCAATCCAATTTTTCCTATTGACAAACGCGGATAACCTTCTTCGGTTGTTGAGCGTAAGATGGTGTCAATCCAATACTATACCCACATTATCAGGCTACTTTAGGAGAAATAAACCATAGAATAGCATTTCTATAAAAAAACTAAAACTGGATTAAAATAGTCGCTATCAAATGATACATTCTCAAGCATAACCATGCAAAAAAGCTGAATGCAACAGACGTATCTGCATAAAGCACTCAACTCCTGCTGACCGTCAATATAAAAATTGGTAGGAAAGGATCGTTGCATTTAGGATGCTACTGCAGGGTGAACCCAAAAAATATCTCCAGTCTGCTAAATGGAACCATGTTAGATTGGTAACTCCGTGAATGGTTTTTTATCATATTCTTATACAGGTCTAGAATATCATTTATCACATATAACAGAAGCTGACATTTATTGTACCCATTGCACTTATTCTCGGTATGTATCATATACACATGTATGTTTTTAGACGACAAGCCATTCGCGGAGACGAGCGGAGCGAGTTGCCACTTGCAAAAAATAAAGCGTTTTTTCAGCGCCAGCTCACTGCGCTCGGCCCCGGCGCTTGAAATCACTCTGACACAATTTTGGTGCTTTATTTTTTTGATTTTTTTTTTTTTTCGGTCAGCGTTTCTCTTATTCTTTGCTTTAGCGATCTGCTGTCATAGAAATGATTTCTATTCTTAATCGACTTCGACGCCGTAATTCGCACGAATATGCTCCGTATCAACATTTAGAACGTCATTTCGAGTCGGCTGAAATTGTGCGTGATACGATTATTGGTCTATCTGGTAATATATCATGACTAACGTTATTTGACCTTTATGCGTTGTCGGCAACTTATGGAATATTCGTGTCTCTTTGTATAGATGGTTTGACAGTACCATTTGCGTTGGCTGCGGGTCTCTCATCTCTGGGCAACTCAAAAATTGTGATTTATGGTGGCGCTGCAGGTAATCATATTGAGTGGACGCGCAGCTAAACAAGGACAATATCTCATAGTTCGAACATAGAGTTGGTGAGTGGTGCTATCTCCATGGGTCTTGGCGGATATCTGGCCGCGTTGTCCGAAATCGACCATTACAAAACGGAACGTCAGAGAGAAGAACGAGAAGTGGAAGAATGTCCTCAAGATGAGGAAGACGAGATTGTTGAGATTTTGGAACCTTACGGCCTAGATCGTGAGACAATTCAACCCATCATTGACAAGCTCAAAGCCAATCCCGAGAAGTTTGTGGATTTCATGATGAAGTTCGAACTGAATTTGGAGATGCCCGATCCACGACGAAGCTGGGTAAAGATCACATCTTATTATTTTGTTTTTTTTTTCTCGTTCTTTGTGTAACATGATCACGGTTTCTTTTTTGGTTCAACTTGTTCTCACCTTTCTTTCATTGGTTTAGATTTCCGCTTTGACTATTGGTTTATCATATTTCGTGGGCGGATTGATTCCCCTATTGCCGTATATTTTCATTGATGATGCTACCTTGGCGTTATACGTATCTGTTGCAGTCACTTCCCTCACCTTGTTGATCTTTGGATATGTCAAGAGTAGATTAGTCAATCCCAAGGGCGCATTATGGGGCGCCATCCAAACCCTGTTGATTGGTGCTTTAGCAGCGGGTGCAAGTTACGGCATTGTCTATCTCCTTCCAAGCGAACATGGACTGTGAACCTAAAGTTTAACCTTTTTCTTACTTCCACTCTCTTGTAATTTTCATGTTCGGTATTCCCACCTGTATTTTTTGTTTTTTGTTTTGGACACGTCCCTGCTCTAAACATGTTTATTGTAAATGATCCATAAATAGAACGAAGTCCTTCGCCGAGAAGATTCACTCTCATCCTTTAAAGGCTAAATACAAAAACATCCTTGAAATAATTTGTGATACGAGTCATTTTGATTTCTGCGCTGCGCAAACAACGAGGAAACTGTATCAAACTACATGGTCCTTTTAATCTTGGATTATGTGACATTGCTACATCAAGTACTCTCGAGTCTGAAATTCCTTGCCATTTGTTATACAGTATAACGAATTGCCACCTATTAAGAGTCCCGTAGAATTTTGTATGGCCTTTAGAATGCGAAAACCGCTGCTTTCAATGTGACGACCGCTGATTGTGCCTGGGTAGAGTCAATGGCATAGTGCTGTGTTGCTGTGCGATAGAAACGACAAGCTTCAAAGACGCTATCGTCTGGTGAGCAATAACTTTGGAAGCTGTTCGCTGCTTAAAGTACTGTGCAGTACATCAGTATATGTTAATAAGTTTTGCGGCTGATAAATGGTCCTTTTCTGATTGGGAAAAATTGATGATAGGGGTATTCTTGCATCCAGCATAACGAAAGGGGAGCGGCAGACAGCCTTCTGAAGCATCGCTCCACCAGGTTGTTGGCTTGTAATATACAAGTTCTTCGGTTAACGAAAATAATGCGTAATTTTAGAATCAAATGATAACACATAAGACGCTGATATACTGCCACTTGTTTCAAACCCGATATTGGAATTGTCGTGAGAAGTATTTGAGGATTTAATTGTCCTTCACTCGAACTAACAGGTTGTGCTCAAGTCAGTTTTCCATACTTTGCTAGATATATAATAAAGTCTCCTCTGAAAGAGGATTACCCAGAAACTTTTATCACAAACTATGGAGAGCCAGTCGAAATCCTTCCGTTATATCCTTCTTACCGATGTCGAAACATATTTGGGCCACAATCTGGCCCTTTACCTACTAACGACAGTCAACGATCGTCCTGGCAAATTGAAGAAGCACTGGAAAGTCCGCGTTTTATGCCGCAACAGAGATAAAGTAGCCGATTTGGAGCAGCTTGGAGCGGATGTACAGGTACTGGACAATGGGAATGATCCATTTTGATTGTTTTGAGCCTTGCATGTCTAACGTTTTTGTTTCTGCGTTTTCTCCTAGATCGTCAATTATGACAATCTTCAGTTATTGTGCAACTGTATGAAAGATGTCAAATGCATGATCCTTGTTCCTAGTATGAGCCGCAACCGCTTGGCTGAGGGACAGCTCCTTATTGATGCAGCTGCTGCTATGAACGTCAAATCCACTGTCATGATGTCTATGTACGTACACAATAATTTCAATGTCAATTTCGCATACTGATCACTTATATCATTTTATAGTTGCGGTGAATCACTTTCTTCTGGCCAGAATAATCCTATTGGGGAATATCGCGCTCTGGAAGATCATCTTCGCACAAAATACTCCTTTGGTCGTTGGTGCATTTTGAGGTACGAGAACATAGCCAAACTGTTCTTAAAACGGTCATGTCATACCCTTTTTTTTCGACTGCTAGAGCGGCCTTCTTTCACCAATACTTCTACTATTGGTCACGCATGATCGAAGAACGCGGAGAGCTCGGTATGCCTTTGCCAGCCGAGGACAGCATGCTTACCGTTGGCATTATGGATGTATGCAATGCAGTCGGTAATCTGATCCTGGGCTCCAAGAAGCAAATCCTTGAAGACAATAGGGAAGACGAAGAAGAAGACTATGGACTCTCAGCGGCCGTGTCCACCCGCATGTTTAGTTTGACAGGTCCTCACAACTATTCTGGCAATGCGCTTGTTCATCGCTTGAACCAAATCTTTGAAGGTGACGGCGAAATCAAATACACCGAAACTTCAACGGACGATATGCGCAAATACCTCGAATCGATGACCATGCAAACCACTGATATTACGCGCCTTGAGAGTAATGTGCCTGGCTTCTTACCTGATCCTCAGCAATTCTTGAATATGGAGGAAATTGATCTCATGATGAATTTCTTTGATGTTATCAAATCGTGGCACAGAGGTAGACTGACATCTGATGTTGCTCACTTGACAGGACGAGACCCGATGGATTTGCTCGATTTCTTTGAAGAACATAAGCAGCAATTCCGTCGTCCCGGAAATAATTAAATGCAACGGTTGTAACTTGTACCTCTGATCAATAAATGTGTTATCCATTGCGTCTCTTAAGCTGTATGTTTATAATTTGTAGTTTTTATGTGTTTTTTATCATCAGTGAGCAAGGGACGGTGATTTTGATTTCAATCAACGACGGCGGAATTCTTGTCCATTTATGCCCTCGATCTCTTTCTGGCAAATGGAAGTTGCGCAAGCTCAACTTGAGAGAAGATGACTAAAATTTCATAGTGTCACTGAAGCTTTCTCGTTATAACACATCGCTACAATTCGAAACGTGTCTCAAGGCCTATTTCTCATCAAATTACGGGTCTTAAATCTTGTCCCTTATTTCAAGCATCAACGAACACTATGTTGTCCTGTCCGGATTCAACTGGTGGCAAGAAGAAAGGTAATCCCAACGGTGAGACACGCACCCTGTTGCAGTGGAAGCTGGGCACGAAGCAAACCCTTCCTCCCGGTATGCTCAATGAATTCAACTGCGCCAATAAGAGATCTAATTGACTTGCCTTTGTTTTACGGTCACCACTCGATTTAGAGGGATATCCGATTGAAGATTCACCTTTTTGGACTTTTGATAATTGTAGGCGGTAAAGCATTTGCTCGAATTTATCACTCTCTGGAGCAGGAGTAAGCTAATCATTCAAAAAGGTGGCCCGGTGTAAAAAAGATACGAGGTCGGAGAAAGTTAATCCCTCTCATCATAGCTAATCTGCCGCTTGTTGCATGACAAGAGAAACGGTCTCTTGGTTTCCGGTATCCCAATCTTCGCCTTCACAAGAAAAAAGGTTTTACATTCAATTTGTCGTGTTGGTTCCTCCCAAGTACGAAATGGTGATCGCGAGAGTCCACATTCACAAAAGGTGCAACCTGACCATCGCGCATTTGGCCTCACAACCCTGAGAAGCACCATCACCGCCATGTTCGAAAGCTTGGCGGACTGTCTTCCTTCCTCAACAATAACTCCCTCTCCTCTACTTCCCTCTCTTTTATGGTTTAGCAAAACACAGCTATAGCAGTTCTGTTGATGTTTCCGCCAACTACTTCCTCATTACTCGTCGCATTTGCTGGTCGATGATTCTGCTTTTGACGCCAAGAACAGTCTCCCTCAATTTGGAACGAACAAACAATAACCCACTTCGGCGTTAACTGGGTGGATGTGGAATACCAGCTTAATGAGTGAGCTACGGCAGGCAAAACGCATGAATAAAGAGGACGGTTTTGGACGTCTTTATTGAATAGAGAAATCATGTGCAAATACAACAAAGAGGTCTATCCTGTTGCATATCCTCTAAGCAAAGTGTTTTTCATTCATGTTTCCTTTTTATATGAAGTGGCGTGTGATCGTCCACAGGACGTTAAGCCCACTTTTTATTTTATTATTCAACCCACAAAGGGCTGAGAAAAAGAATAATAAAGGCAAAAAGCCTTTTTTATTTTTCATTTACCTTTGTTGCGATTAAAAAGCAAACCCACCGACATACCTTCCACAATGACCGCGCTGATGACTAGTCAGGCGCCCAAAGGGAAGAGCCGACGGGAACGAAAACAATCTTCTTCAGAGGATGGCCAATCCTATCATTAGAGGATGGTTTTCGGATTTTTCGCCATACCCCGAATGCTTTACCAAAAACCGGAGCGTTCATCATTACCAGTAACCACCAGCCTAGCAGCCCCTGATTCCGAACTGGCGCACAAAAGAAAAAAAGAGATACGAAGAAACGCCCTCTTTTTATATCTTTTGCGGACCTTCGATTTGTGACCCTGTTTATGACCGCGAATGCACCTCATTGGCTCGATTCTCGCAACAAAACTGGCGAAATTCAGCGCCTCACACTTCTTTCGCGTAAGCGATGCAAAGAGGAACTGCGCCGTGTCAATCATGCTACCAGCAGCATCCAACGTATACTACAGTCACTCTATAACGTGCACTATAGCCTATGATTGGACGCTGGTGCGACATGCTTCAGACTTTACGCACTTTTTTTGATCTTGTTGTATGTTAGAAAGTTTCCCCATTTGCCCTGCCCCTGTGTATCAGTTTAGTTTTTGAAACCGCATATTCAATACTGCTGTGACAATAAACGCTCACGTATTACTCCATGAAACCAGGGTTTCAGGTCTCAGTGCGCCATGTTGCAATGGCGACAGATCACAGAGACTGCAATGACCAAAGCCGAAGCGAACGCAGTGAGCATGTCTGCAAAAGGAATATTCTTGGCGGGCTACGTCAAAAATGTTCTTGTAGATATTTAAGCAATTGAAAGGCGCATCAGCAGGGTAACAGAACCTGTAGCCCGGTTTCTCCATTTACGATGTGCCATATCCTCGCATAAACCTGATTTGACCGTCCAGGATCACTGTTATCTCCTCTTGAAAAATGGAGTCCTCCTTCTCCGCTTCTCTGCACAGTGACGAGTTAGGACTATTTTGTGTTCGATAAAAAGATGCTCTCGTTTGTGGGTTTGATTCGAATGAATCTTGGCAAAGCATAAAGGTACTATTTGATTTTGGCATCACCTTTTTGTGCTTTCATGGGATGATCCCAAAACCGAGCGGTGTCCAGTCGCCACTCGATTTAGTGGTGACTGTACTAGCTTTTGCTGTTGAGGAGATCTAATTCATCTGGCATCCTCCCCAAAGAACTGGATCGCGCTTTATTCGGTGCTCGATGAAAGTGGGTCCATGGGATTCAGTTATTCTTCGCCATATTTCCACCTTTAACGTGTATACATACAAGCTCAAGACACATATTCTTCGCCATATTTCCACCTTTAACGTGTATACATACAAGCTCAAGACACATGTATAAAGACATATTTGCTTTTACATCTTTTCTCTTTATTCGGTTTAATTTAGTCATCGGCAAAAAAAGGATCGAGATCGGTGTCTGGTATGGGTATATCGGATTCAGATGCCTCCGTTTTCTCTATATTCTGTGGTTCTGTATCTTTGCTTGCTTCAGATACTTTCGATTTTGGACCAAGATGATCGGTTACATCGAACATGACGTCCGACTTCTCATCAACAGGAAGGGATGGCTTTTGGGGGCTGACTTTCGGCGAGGAAGGCGGTGATTCTTGAGTGATGGTCGATCCACCAAAATGTCTTGGGGTTGCCGTGTTAATAGTTGGCTTCGTTTCGTTGGGACTGTCCGCAGCAGCGCCACGTTGAAATACGCCCATCATCGAATTCACCCCCCATTTGGCGGTGTCTTCCATGTTTGGTCTCATAAACGACATCAACCCGCGCTTCTTTGTTGGCGAAGTCGCTTTTCCTCCTTGATCCGCCAATGAAAAATCGGATTTGCTTGCTACCAAAGGACGTGCCTGACGTCGTTTTTCACTTTCGGCATGAGACTTCAAGGTATTCTCCGAGAAAATTTCCTTTTGGTGTTTGATTAAATCGAGCGCCAATCTAACCGGTACGCGGCTCGTCAAAGTCGTTAAAGATTCCGTTCGTGCTCGAAGTATCACAGATCCTAAAGATTGGCTAATTTGCTCAATCATAATGTTCTTGCCATCGTTGCCGTACTTTTCTATATGGCTGTCAAGTTGAATAATTAGATATGACGCATTTCAGATGATGTGTGTAATCTATCTTACCCGGCAATCTTTTGTAGTAACAAATGCAGCGTTGCAAAATGAGCCGCGGGCAGAGATGCAATAAGGTTGCTCAGAGAGAGCAATCGCAAGCTGTCATCTTGTTCATCTGGCGATATATTCCATGATTAATCGCATGCACAAATAAAATGTTTGAATTATAATATACTTACTACTGTTACTGTAAAGAGCTTGTGCTGCATCGTAAAACTCAAATGTCATTAAGCATTCCGGTAACTCCAAGAAAAAAAGACGCAATATCGCGACCAGAAGAACTGGTTCATACTGCTGCAATAGATCAACCGTAATGCGTCCGCTGGGTAGGTTCAGATCAACGTGAGCTGCATGAACTCGATCGAGAGCGAAAGGTGTCGACCAAAGACGACGCTTATCTGTGCGTTTTTATGTTCGTTATACCGATGTGCTGTACAATAATTTTTTACATGTCATCTTTTTACCTTCCTCAGATAACCCCTCCGAACCTACTCATAGTCATACTTTCATCAGTATATGCAAATTCCCATACATTGAATATCTCATCTGCCGCTTACCTTTATCGATTGTTTCCAATAGAGAGCGTACAAAGATGGGGACATTATTCTCGCCTTGCTTTGCCAGCTCCTCCAAAGGAACTCCAAAGGTTTGATCTAATGATATGCGTCAGTGGCTCGAAAACGCGAGGATTCCGCGTATGACGTACCGTGAGCAATGCCATGGTAATAATTTTCGTAGAGTAGCGCCTTTGGCGAAAAGCCAGCGACGCAATACTGCTGGACGATATATTGTATCTCTTGATCAGGTTTCAGCGACTCTTGAAAAACGAGCATTTGATCCACAATGGTCTTGTGGCTCGGTAATGCTTTCGATAAACAGGAGGAGAAATCGGCAAAAACTGCATACGACCATGTTAATAGAGATTCTCCAAAAAGTAAAATGGTCTATTGCTCTCTTCTTTTGCGAATTACTTACCGGATTTTAAAGTAGTAACTCTTTGCAACTCCACTTGCTCCATCTCGGCAAAATGGGCAAACTAACGAGCGACGCAATGTTTTTAATAGCCGAGTCGCTGTCATTATATGCCGTGAGTCTTACCAGAGCTTCTTCCACAAACATACGCATTTGGTCCGCTCGCTTGATAGCACTACGGTACATTTCATCAGCACGTTCAGCGTCGCTTCGTGCCTTCTTGTGTGGTTCAACTGCACCATTGGCGGGGTATGTGCCGGTTGTCGTTGTCATGGTGCCAAATTTCTCCAAAAGACCCCCGAAAGCCGATGCTCCCACATTCGATTCCGACGCACTAAATGCTTCTTCGTCGTTGTTGTTGATACGCCACTGATAAACTGAATTTGCCGCCGGAAGAAATTTATTGCCTCTTTGTCCAATCAGACGGAGCACCGCATACGATTGGATCAGTTGTTGACCTACAATGTCGGCCATGGCAGGCGAATCTTTGCACTGTTGCATGTTCTGCTGTAACCAGGATGCGATATCCTCGCCTGTCGATGTATTTTGATAACGACCTAAAATCGGAACGCGGTGATCTTTGATAGGAATCTCTTCGCGCATCTTGCGTATCAAGGCGTCAAATTCGGTTTGTGACATGGATTGATTTCCCAACTGGATTTTCGCATCGGATTCAGCGGAAGGCGTAAGGTTGGCAGTGGTTGATTCCATTTCTGACGCAGAGGTGGAAGTAGGTCGTTGATTCGCACCGTCTGGCGCGTTGTCGGTAGAAGAACGGGCGGTTTGCTCTTCGGTTGCTTGTCTCACGAGTGCCTGCTCCTCAGCTGTATCGGCTTCACGGCATCGTCGATGATATGTTGTACGTGCTCGTTCCGCTTCTTTTACTAGAGTATCAAACTGTTTCAACGTAGCATCCACGGCTTGTTTGCTGCTCTGAATATTCTTCTTATAATCCTCGTGAAACTTCTGCAAAGGCTTCAAGACCGTGTTGAGCATGGCGGACGCCGACTGTTTATGCTGCTGACCCAACTCGGTGCTTGCCGTTTTCATATTCTTAAAGCAGCTTTTCAGTCCGGCACCTTCGTCGCGTTCAAAACCGGAAGATTTCCCCGCTTGTTTGCCTTGGTCGCATAACTTGCTGCCGTACATATCCTCGATGGCTATACGTTCTTTGAAAAATGCAATGATTTCCTCATTTTCCACCTTGCTCTGATTGAGTTTCTGATGCAACACTTGCAGACCCGATTGGAAATTGGGATGATTGGCATCGTTTTGCTTCTGCGACCAAAAAGCTGTCTCAAAATGGAGGGCAGGAGTCATTCTCGTAAGATATGCGCTCTCTGGTATGCACCAAAAAATTGAAACACCAATGCCCACCCACGCTGGCTGAATGGCCAAAATTTACAAACGCAGAAGGGGCAGAAAAAAAATTTGTGTCACCTGCATAACGCCCGCTTTGGCCTTGAGGATTTCCATTTAAGCCTTTTCTACATTGGTGATTAGGTGCTACACAGTTTGAATCGAACGTCTCTGTCTGCGTCTAGATTTTGCTACTCCCCTCTTAAAGAGCGCCTCGAATCAGCACATTTGTTGTTTGACGCCGTATTCCAATCTACCAAGTTGTTGATACACCACACGGTTGAAGAGTAGGTTGGGCTTGGCAGTCGGGGGTTGCATGCTGAGAGGTAACAGACAACATCAGAGCAACTACTGTGAAGTCCGGCACAGCAAACACGGTAGTTTGGTAATTGTAGCAAGATGGGATGATATCTATATCGTACCACTAAACAAGAAAGTGTGTACAGAATTCATCTGGTACATCGACTGTGAAAGGGTGAATCGACCAGCATGGACAGACAGACACTTGGCGCACCGGAATTTATTAGTCGGGTGGCTGCTTTCGATACAATCAGGACAGCCAATAACTTTATTATTATTATCATTTACAAGTAGGGTTTCTTTCTCTTTGTACAGATCCAGACGGGAAATGACTTACTGCAGCACTGCTACACCCGATAATCGGACCGCTGTAAGATTGGATAATTGGCACAATTTTGAACAGTGCGCCAAAATCATCCGTATGAACGAATTGCTGTACCGAGACACCAAGGAACCGACCAGGTGGTTGCTGCTTCAAGGTTCATTCGTTTTACTGGTTTTAGCTGCAGCTAAGATATTCGTAGGAGGAGGGGTATTAAGTTGGAATGCCAGTCATGTAGTTCTTCTCTTTTGTTTTCTTTGGTTTTTAACACATATTTACAAGACCTTTAACCACGGCCACTCGTTGTTTTGACTACCAACGTCACTGTGATCAGGAAATAATTAGTCTTCGGATTATTCAGAACATTATGACGCTTTAGATTACCTGCTGTCGTTCCTGTGCTGCTCTTCGTACTCATAGGATATGTCGTTCATGGTTTGATCTGATATTGATCCATAGGTCAGGGATGGAACAGACGAACCGTGAGAGGCCCTAGAACCGGTACGACGGGTAAAAGACCATACCGGATCGGTGGTAGTCGTATCTCTCAGTCTTTCTTCCGGTAACATGATGGGTGATCGCTGAAGGTTATTCACTGCTATAGGGTCGGTACCCGGAAGTGAGATACTCGAATTCCACATATCGTGCGACAGCGAATCGAGGCTGCAGTTGGAGTTATTTTGTAAATGGAATCCTAATTGACGATGCGTATGTTGTTCACTCCGTTCATAGCCATGGCTACGGCGCTTTGTATAGGGTCGTCCGTCATGCACCGGCCATTTTTCTCGCTTCATGGAATCGAAGTTGTGAATCTCCGGTCCATCAATCGTAATATAAGGCCGAGATTTTGCTGAATCATGTAGAGCATACCGCTGCGAACTGTTTTCAATCATGACAGGGCTGGTTCTCCATGAACTATGCTGATCGATAGAACAACCACTTGAAGGTGATGGTATATGTTTTCCCGATCCCAAGGATGCTTGATTCTGTAAAATATCATTGCTTAAAAGCGGGTCGTCATTTAGTGCATCGTCGATTTTATCCACCAGGGTATGTATTCTGTCTTCGAATCCCGAGGAATCACTAGAGGTTTTGCTGCCGCTCGACTGTCGTACTTCGAAGCGTAGATCACTAGGAACCCATTCGTGCTGCTGACGATAACTTGATTCCGAATCAGGGTATATAGGTTGCGTCAACATCTCGGGGGCACTTGTGGACAGCATATCCATTCTGTAGTCGGTATCCAACGTATCATTAAGAATGCGGAATCCATGCGATAAAGAATTCGTATTTGGAACTGGTTGTTCAGAGCTATCGGTAAAGAAAGGATGATTGAGTGCTTCCGCCGCTTTTAGTCGCTGCGTTGGGTTGAAGCATAAAAATTGACGAATAAGATCAAGCATGGATGCTGTGGCAGTAGGTAGGACGGAAATCAACGGCTTCGGCGGTAACTAAAAAAAAAAAAAGGTCATCCAAGGAAAAAGGTTCGTTATCAATGTTACACCACGCTATGTCATTGTCGGGAAAACAAAAAAGTAAAAAGGAAGAAGCATTCACCTGAGGAAATTCAAAGCCAATCTTGTGAGCTAGTTTTACACCTTCACGCCATTCATTCACAATACCGTCCGATGGACGTGCTGGTACTGAGCTGATAGAGCGACGTCGATCCAGTGGAGAGGGGGTGGGCAATTTCTTTCGTGCAAAGCCAGGACTCAGACGCTTTTCCGGTTTGATGGAGCCTTTTCGTAAGAAAGGTCTATTGTTCCCAGGACTTCCCATCAATTCGCATATTCGGTATAACTGATCAATCTCCGATTCGCCAGGAAATAGAGGATGAAGAGTAATAAGCTCAGCAAAGATAGCGCCTATAGCCCACAGATCTACCGCGGAAGAATAGCTGGTGGATCGCAGTAACACCTCAGGTGCCCGATACCTAAGCAAACAAATAATGATTCATCAATTTGACATCCAATTGGCTGATATGGATTCGAACAACTGAAAAAAAAAATCGTACCATCGAGTGCTCACGTATTCGGTATAGGGTGGATTGCTTTGAAGCTCTCTGGCAAGCCCGAAATCAGCGAGTTTGATAACCGGTTCCCCGCTGGAGGATGGAAAACTGATGAGCAGATTTTCGGGTTTCATATCCCTGTGGAATATGCCATGGCTGTGTATGTGCGCAACGGCAGACAATATTTGATAACTAGTGACAAAAGAGAAAAAATGGGATGAGTCTTGATATGACATTGACGGAAAACGTTACTGCGGTACAAGTCATACAATATGTGCCGTAGTTCGTCAATTGAGAATACTTCATTGGCTTTCCGTCGTTGATTCATTAGCTGGTACAGATTGCCGCCTTCCATGTATTCCATCACAAAACATAAATCGTTTTCTGGCGTATAAAAGGTATCATACAGTTGAACAACGTTCTGATGAGGTGGTAAAAGTGTCAATAATCTCGATTCCAGGAGCTTTTCGCACTCTGCAACGTTGTCGAATTTTCTCTTCATCGTTTTGATGGCGACCTATTGAACAAGAAAAAATAGGTCAATTACTGATGATTCAGAGAAGACCATTTGACACCCATTCGTCATGTCAATAATTACAATCTTTGATGTTGCTTTGCTCTTGGCTTTCTGCACGGAACCAAACGATCCGTTGCCTATATCCTCTAAGATATCATATTCGTCATGCGGATATCCTATTTTAGTCATATCTTTTTTTCGCAGAAAAGTAGAAAGAGCAAAAAAAAAAAAGGCAGAACACAGGAGGAAAATTTTCCAACCCGCTTTTTCCTTTTCTTATTGTCATACAAACTTCAAAATTTTATCTTATCAGCAGAAAAAAAAATTATATCACGAGACGTAGCGCGAGGGTTTTCGTGAGTTTCTTTATTTTTACAAATGTGAAGTTGGTGGTACAGCAGTTATTTGGCTTTTTTTATGCGAGGTTTTGAGAGCGTCGTCGACGGAGACTTGGATCCGTGAACAACTTGCGTAGCGAAGCATAGGCACCTCCTATAAGGATAAATCACGATCAGTTTCTTGAAATTGGGGATCCAAAGTCACTTGATACAGAAAAAAACAAATTCTCACCAATGACACCAGCTGATACAATTGCCACCAAAGGATACACCTCTCTAGGCAGCTTTCGGTTTTGAAGACGGCTCATAATCATCTTGGATAAGATATATTGTTGTAATAAGATGGAAACAAATAAACGATGCCTATGCGAAGAAATTTTTCTGCTTGATTTTTATAATGACTAGCAAATAAGTTTCATGCAATAAAGCAATAATGACATCACGCTTGAAACCTGCCGAAAAGGCTTCATCTAATGACCCATTTCGCCCGTCTTTTTTGTCTTCGTCCCCGTGTAATATTGGGGATCACTATCGCATACAGCGGCTCCGCAACTGCAGATTTTACGGCACATTGCATTTACTTTGCAATGAAAATCTCTTGTATAGCCATGGTTTGCTGTATGGACTTCCATATCATCAAAAAAGCTTTCCTGATCATGCGATACCGTGTCCCAAGCTTTAAGTTTGATATCTGCCATTTGATTTGTGCTTCTTTTACTGCCTAAAACAGTAAAATAAGATAACAGATTATTTTCTATTGGCTGCAATGATCGTCACTCATGTGAACATAAAATTTTTAACTTCATTGGGGCAATGGACATGGTAATTCCCCGTAATCTGTCAAGTTGGCACAAAAAATGCAATCAAACGACTGCATTGCTAGGATTAAATAACTAGAAAGACGATATAATGATCATACAATGGGATATTCGTATCCTTGAATCACACAACATGGGTAAAAATCGAAAAAAATCACATAACACGATGAAATACAATAATGAATAGGCGAATTGGCAATGTCAAATAGGCTCTATGTCTGGATGCAATCATGTTGACGGCGTTTGACGTAATTGCAACGGTTTTGCAGATATGGGTCATCGATTTACCAGCTTTGTCGATTGCTCATCGAAGAGTTTTCTAGTTTATATTTGCGCAATTCATGCGTAAAATCTGGCATTCGAGTTCCCCAATGTCCCAGTCGCACCACCTACATAACCCAAAAATAGAATAATGAGTATATGCTATTGCTAATTTACCAAAAACCATGACATACCATTGCGCTGAGGTTATCTTCGGAACCATACTGATCTGCCGCATCGACCAGCTTTTTAGCCGCCGTCGTAGGATCTTTGTATTGTTTAATGAAATCAATGATCTCTTGGTCAGACATCACGGAAGTGATCCCGTCTGTCACCAAAACCTATCAAATTTTGAATCCATGAATGGGTCGGTCGGGCGTATTTCCCATGTCACACAAGGTATTCGTACCATAAATGCCGCCGGTTTGTCGTTGTTAAAGGTATACCGCATAATATCGGGCTCGGATGATACTCCATAACGTTTTAATCGTGCATCACCAAAGGCTCTGCTTGTAGCCAACATGCCGAGTATTCGATCATCACCCCAGGAATCGGTGGTCACAAAACCGGCATATTTGCGTAATCGATCAATCTCAGCCGGATTGCCTGGATGATGATCCCCAGTAGTCAATGTCACCACTTCTCCAGATGTAGCATCACACAATAAAATTCGCGTGTCGCCGACGTGGCCGATCAAAATATCGTATTGTTCACTCTCCCAAAATGGCTTCTCATCTCTCGGTTCAATGATCGCTACACTGCCTGTAGAGCCTTCTTGGTTACTGTGGAGATCGTTGTTTTCGTACGGAATATGCTGTAAGCATTCGGTATCAGCCTTCAAGAATCCGAGCGTCAATCGTTGTTCGATCGTTAGGTCGTTGACCGATACATTATCTAACGGGTATCCTTGTTCATCCACGAAATCACGCAATAGAGCAGGAATGGGAAAACGTTTAAAGTAGCCACGATAAGCTCGCAGTGTTGATAATGTGTGAGGAAATTCATCTAGGCTTGCTGATTCGATCATGTTATGGAGTCTTGCTGCAAGCCATTCGGATACCACCGGTCCGCCGTGTCTAGTGTACATCATGGTGTCAACAACGCTTGTTCTCTATCTTTTGGGCTGTGACCGAGACATCTTTTGTATTATTCATTTACCCGTCGAATATACCGAAATAAGCCCGATTGGCTTCTCGCTTCATCGTGGGTAGATTTTCCCCTTCTGGTAATTCCAAAGTACCGGCAGAACACTTATCCTCGTTCGATAACCGGGTTCCGCGCGTGCTGAAGATGCCTACATAATCCAACATTCGTCAAATGTCAGGGTCACAGTGGTAGATGTAATGAGAGGCTGGGGGTGTATTACCGACGAGCGAAGTTGCTTTCTGTAATTTCAGTCTCAAGAAGGCACCTGCATTCAAACGTTAGCATGGCATTATCATTTTCCAGGAAAAAAGTCGGTTCGCCACTTGCCATTAACAGCTTTAGTAAGGTAGTACTCCTGGAACCGTTGGCAATGAGTACTAGATATGCTTCGAAAAGGTACGATTCTGCGCAGTACAGGAATGGGCTTTGCATATAAACTCATGTTACGCAATAACACTGGGCGTGACAAGGAGAACATGTGCAAAAAGGATGGGGAAAAAAAATTGAAAATTGGCCATGATTTCTTCTCCAAGAGAGCACCTGTTTTCAAGCCATGACGTACAGAGTGACTTTTTCCAAAGTTTGTCTTGTGCATAGACGATCACTTTCAACCCAATAGATAAATATGGCCCATACTCAATAGCCGTGGAACGAGAAATGGTGTGAAACGGACCTTTTGTTGATTTCTTCATGCGCTACTGTTTTTATTATGGTCGTCTATTTAATGAACTACTTCAATGCCAACACTCTTTGCTACACCGATGATGCTACCGCAGATGCTCTCCAGGGAAAGATGTTTGAGATTGGCATCTTGCTGCTTCAGTTTTGCGATTTCATATACATGCTTCAAGCTGACTGTGCCGACAACTTCTGAGCCGGGTTTTTGGGCACCCTTGGTGATGCCGGCTGCGCGTTTTAGTAGAAATGTAGTAGGAGGAGTCTTGACAATGAAAGTGAATGTACGATCTGGTTTGATGGTGATGACGGTGGGTAATGGGGTTTCAGGAACAATGTGTTTGGTTTTATCGTTGAATTGCTTGCAAAAGTCCATGGACTTGACACCTCGAGCACCAAGGGCCGGACCGACGGGCGGTGAAGGAGAAGCTTTTCCAGCACCTATTAAAAGACGAACAAAGGCTGTCGCTGCTTGCGGCTTTTTCGACATGCGTAAAGTTTACAAAGAGAGAAAAAATGCCCAATATTCGGCTGACAATTTGTCGATGAGAGAACAAATACCTGGGCTTGCTTCAAAAAAGCCTGGGTCAGAAAGTGGCTTGGAAAGGAAATTTCAGTCACAGCGGTCCAAACTTTCGTTCCTGACAGTTGCACTTGCAACTTCGAGTGCACCCAGCAGTTGAGAAAACTGTTGCGTCTGTTCGATAGATAATAAAATCAAATCCATATAAAGTATCAATTATTCTTTGCATAGAAATTATAGGATGTTGGTTTATGTTTAAGCTTACGGGGGATGTTTCAATATCAACATAATGGATCCAATTATTCTGGCAAAACTGACGGAGGCTCCGGATGGCAGACGTTTAAGTCCCACATATTGCTTACAAGGTACACATACTAGATATATGCTATGCATCAAAACAAGGATACATCTAAAGCGTAAATAAATACTGATAATATTATGGAATGATATCATCTATTTTTTATATCTTGATAGCAGAACACACTAAGCTAGGTTGTTGCTCAGGCATCACATTGAACCAAGTTTTTTATCAGCAGCTACCGTAAACAGTAACCCTAATGAAAAGTCTACCGCCAAGTTTTCAAGAATGATGTACAATGGCAGGTTAGTAACATTTCACAATAAAACCAAAAAGAAAAAAAAAGCTAGACGCCCATAAGGTAGTGGATGTCAACATGACAAGAGTAGATAAATTCGCGGGATACAAGCGGAATTTGCCAAATGCACACAAAGTTTCCACATAAAAAGTAAGGGCGCACAGAAAAATAAGGGCGTGCCGCACAAAAGCTATCGACGTCACTCCACAGTTTTTTTTTTACTAGCTGATTGCCTTTTTACTTTACTTTCCTTTCCTTGGCACAGCCAATACACAAAAAAAAAAAGAACGTTCGTCGCGATGCCATCTGAAACACAATTAGCCGATTCCTTTTTTGAAGACGATGCTTATGCCGCCAGTCAGTCTTTGGAAGAAGAGTTACTAGGCAAAGGGTATATGACGCAAACACCTTTGGGAGCATCTTTGGCTGCTGAGCTTCACTCAGCTACAAGCCCTATTTCTCCAACAACACAAGAAACGCCACTTTCGCCAACAGCGGTTCAACGGAGCCTGTCTACGTCTCTGATACAAGAATATGCAAGCAAAACATTCCCAGCAAATATTAAGTCTTTAATGGATGCCCATCCTTCTGAAGATCTGCTATTTCGAGGAATATCCGTGATGGACAACACAGATGTCACTAGCCCCGTGTCCACGCCACTACACTTTCAAGCTATGCATAGTTCTTCCACGGGATTTTTCTGCAGAAGTCGTCGAAGCTCATTTTCCTCGACATGGTCATCACTTGATGCAGAAGATGATGATCCCTTTGAACAGCTCAAACGTCAGCTGGAGGAACTGAACTCGAATATTTGGGAGACAAAGACTTTACATAAACGGCTGTGTAATACTTTATTGGCGGACGAAAGTCTATTTCCTAAAAATCAAACCCAAGGCAATTTTGCGCCACCACCGGAGTTACCGATCACCTCTTTCATCAACGTTGTCGAACGAAAATGGCGCGACAGAGAACGTCAAACCAGCCATTTAAAAAATATCGGAAATTCGATCCGCAAGGAAATGGCTTGGATGTCCAAGGACGATATCAAAGATTTGGAAATGCTGGTGAACTCGATGATGTCGACCCTACACGATCGAACCTTTAGTTACGAGAATCCTTTGCCGGTGATAAGAAGTCTCAACATGGATACGCTGGCGGTGACCGATTCGTTGGAAGAATTGAAAGAACTCATGTTTGTTAACAAACACCAAGTGCAAGAACTCAACTCGCGCCTCCGATCCATTGCCAAAACGGTTCATGAAGTTCGAAAAGATATCAGACGAATAAACAAGTTCTTAGAAGAAAAGGACGACGATGACGCCGTAGTACTTGAACGAGGCGAAGTGCAAGCTCGTGTCAAGGAAATTATGTGGGGACTAGACGACCTAGATAACGAAAGCTCCCAGAAGGTGAAGCAAATACAAACATTTTTGGAGGAAGAGGAAAAAATGGCAACTGCACCTTAATTGGTTGTATTTTGTCCATTTGTCATTTTGTTTTTGTTTGTGATATGTTTTCTCTGTATTTGATTCCCTCTTCCTTTTTACTGTTGTTCATTCATTTTCCTCTATTCCACAATCTTTTTTTTTCTTTCTCTCTTTTGTTTGCTTTTTCTCCCACAGTCTCTTGTTTTTCCCTGCCGCGATAACCCTTCCATTCCCCAAATTCTTATATCTGATTTTTATTTATCCTTCGAATGATACCAATTTTTGGATATGCATTTCTTTTCTTGTTGCAATTTAGCACCTGTATATGCTTATGGTCGATTTTCTTTTACACTTCCATAAAAAAAAAGAGTTGTTTTGCTACCAATTTCCTACTGATGTTCGTGACTGTATCTTGGTCCGTCCCTGCGGCCCCGCATCCACCCTCTAATCTAATGCTATGACTACCAGTAGAGTAACTTACTATAAGAGAATTCATAGTACGTATTATGTGGTGTTTATTGACAAAATCAGCCGATGAAAGGATCGTATGTCATGAAAAAAAAACGACCTGTTGCCTATCTACTTTCTATCTCATCGATCGTAACCCCCACGCTGAACCACACTGATGTCGTGTTTCAAGGATGAACTACTGTGACACCCAACACCGTGACCAAAAGATCAGTCACGCCACTTTCACAGAAATCATGTTGGTAATAGAACATACATTTGTGGTGGCTGTCGGTTGCAATGCTGTTCTTTCACAGGCCGGAATCGGATTTCTGGAAAATATGAATGTGAGATGAACATCATGATATGTTTTGATTTACGATTGTAACACTAAGCATACATGGCATGGTTTCACACGTTTTTACGGGAAATATAGTAGTTGCAACGATCGTAACTGTTGGACCATTTAGTTCACTTGGCTAACTGCAAGCTTACATTCAAGTTGTCGAAAAGGGTAGCGTATATATTGCTAAACACCATATAAAAAACGTCTCGAGCATAATAGAAACTTCCAAAAACTATGGGGCGAGTACTTCTCAGTGGACAATTTCCATTGTGTAGAGGAAAGGAAGATCCTACCAACCTACAATTGCCTTCATCCTTTTCGAAACACGGCAGAGGTCTAAGCCTGAGGCATATGCGTAATTTTTATTTTTAGACGGATGCAAGTCTCTTAGCTAAGCACTTTTTGATTGCGCAGATCAGTCCTGTGGACCGGGGAGATTGTACCATTTACGCTTGCGCTGCATTGAAGCCAGGTGATCATGCCGCAGCCTGATTTTCTAAATAAAAACTCTTACGTTTATTTTAAGGCGGTGCTGTATAGGATATCAGAGTTTACGGGCTCGTTCAAAAATCTTGCTCAAGGGCTTCCGTTCACTCACTGTTGTGTATTATGACGTATAGCTGTATCGAATCAGTCTGTCCCCATACGCTAGTGAATCTCACACGGAAAACCATGAACGGGAAAAAATCTAAACACTTGAATCTTTGGGAAATTAGCGATTTTGTAAATCACATGATCTACACCAAGTTATCAGGACCTGTTAATTCTTTTTGCATCTTCTTTTTTATCTTTCGACCATGCCTCGCTACCCACTTCCACGGTAATAGGTGAAACAATCAGCAGCAAGGTGCCGTTTGGGCCAGTTGTGGTCAAATAGAGCACCGTCGTCGTCCAAATAAAATGAGGGTAGAGCTCCTTTTTGAACAAAGGTGGTTGATGATACGACTGGCGTCTTTGTAGCATCATTTAGTTTGGTTTCTCTGTCAATTATACTTTTTATGCCCTTTCATTCTCTTCAGTTTTCGATGATCGAGTAATTCATGGAGCAGGTATGCTTCGGTCTATGGGTTCATGCATCAGTGGGGTGGCTATCGTTTCATCCATGGGAAATCCACATATTTTTGTCTTCAATTTTTTCTTGAAGACATTGTAATCAATCAAAGAGCTTCCTAACTCATTTTTTAATACCCAACTTTCCCTCACATTATTCTGGATCTATCATAACCTTGGGCGGGACGGGACTGAGGGGGTAATAAGTGCTGCTGCACACACGTTGGGAAATCATGACTGTACGGTATGCCAGAGTATTGACATTAATATACCAAAGTTCCATCAGGAGTCTCGCCCAGGTTATGCCGTATTGCGTTAGGCTTTTGTCTGACGAATGTCGCTCAATGTAAGAGGGCGACGATCAGTAGCAGGTGGCATCTTGCACAGCGGGTGTACGGCTTGTTAGTCAAATGACCAATATAAAGTTGCTGTATTTAAGTTCACATTTTCATATGCCGCTGCATTGTATTATCGTTTGTCATACTCGGTATTGTCTTGTTTTCACGTGCAAAGTGCTTCAAATGTATGCTACAAACGATGTACGTGATGCATTCTTTTTTAATTTATTCATCAGCCTCGAATTGTATTTCATTCTTTTTTCCATATCTCTTCTCCACTTTATCGTTCTCATGACAGCATTAGTATCGACGGTTTTGTCTTATGCAGACAAGGTTCCCGTATTGAACCAAGCAACATCATGGTTGCCCGCATCCTACCATCATGACAAGAAGGCATCGACTTTCCACCATGTGGATCGCACTTCATTAGCAATGCACTTTGCTGCTACAGATCCTTCGCCATTACCTCCTTCTTATGAAAATGTCGTCTCCCAATCCAGGTTATCAAGGTTGTCACAAATGATTTGGAAACAAACTTCTACCGATGTATCCGACTACGGCCTGAAACAACCATGCCCAGCACAACAGCCTTTCATGAACAGGAAAGATTTGGAGCGGGCAATGGCATTAATCCATATTGCAAATGAGATGGAACAATCGAATAATCGAATGATGGCTATGGACCTGTACCTTATGGCGCTTGACCGGTTTATGGAAGCCATTCCTGGTAAATGCTCAGTATTAATGGCCATTCTAATGAAAAAAGACTGATCAAGGACGGGAAAAAACCTGCAGTTGATACGGACGCTAACGTAAGACATGCCCTGACACAAAACATTATGGAATTCCGAAAACGGCATGACCTATCGTTTGACGAAATATCGCATGAGCATTTGGGAACCGCAACCGAAGCAGAGCAAGCCAAATCGGAACAGGAAACTACATCCACCTTGTCCAATCTCATCGTCAACACGGCCGTTTTTACGGCCATTGCGTTAAAGAAAAGCTTTATTCCAAGTAAGCCTTACCGTTACATTTCCCTTTGTTATTTTGGGTTACCCCTAATTCGTTTGATCTATCCAGATGTGATGTCGTCGGCCATAGATTATTGCAAAATGGGACTTGATACTATCGATGAAACATGTCAGATCCGTCAACACACATGGAATATGGCAGCTCAAGGAATCGCCAAAATTGTTCAGGTTGATCAGCAATATGAGCTGCACCAAACATTGGCCAACATCATGTACATTGGTTGCACAGCTTTTTTCAAAGCCGGTGTTGCTTATGCTGAAACTCCTGGTTATGGCGAAACCCCAAAATCGACATCAGGCAACAAAGCTTGAAAAAGTTCCTCTTCTCCATTTTTTAGTTCTACCATTCGTATCTGCCCTCGTTTCACCGTGCTATAGTCAATGTACTTAAGATACCCCCTTCTATTCATGTGTCCATCGAAACGGCAATAATAGAAAAAGAGCAGAATAACCAATACTAATGTTGCGAACACGATCCATTCATTTTTTGATTCCAAAAATAAATAAAAAGGTTATTGCGGATGCATTTTGTAAAATTACATGAGTTGCATAAGAAAGTAGAGAAGGAATAAAAATTGTAAAAAGAAATGAGAAACAACAAAAAAAAACCTAATAAAAAGGTACAAGTAGAAGGTATGATAAAAACATGAGTGAAAGTAAATATGAGTTGGATTCAGATGGTGCTTGCATTGGGGGGAATTGTGGAGCTATTAGATCCCGAAGCCGAAGGTTCGGGCTTGATATAAGGAGCATGCGGATTTTCTTCGACCGTTTCCAGGGTGCCCCAAATTTCAGAGAAAGGTTTTTGTGTGAAAGGCAGAGAAATAAAGTGGCTGGTAGAAGGGAGGTTCGTCAAGGTATACAGTCGAGTGGTCGATGCAGAAACGATGCCTTTGATTTTCGCATAGGTTCGCAAGTGATCTGCCACATCAGCTCGTCGTGCAACAATGTATTTTGTAACAAGGGGGTTTAGCGGCACCGAATATTCCAGGCTGTCGTGAATCGGCTGAAGCGCCTGACAAATCTCCAGGGCGTCTGGTCGATTTTCTGGCCGTGGTTCCAGACAAGCTATATACAGCTTTTGGTACCACTCGGGCAGTCCCGGTACTGGCTCGATGATATACACTAGGCTGTTGGGATCATGACTTCCATCCAGCAACACATCGGGCGATGGGAAAATCACTTTGCTGACAAGCTGCCAGATAATGACACCAAGACTGTATATATCCGACTTTTCGGTATAAACACCCTGGCGCACCTCAGGCGCCACATAGGGCAATCTTCCATAGACAGCTTTCGTCAATGTGGTGACACTGCTCGATTCAAGTGAGGGGGTCGAAAAGCGGTAGTCTACCAAGAAGTAATCGCTGTCGGTACAGATAATGTTGCGTGGATGGACATTGCGATGGCACATGCCGGCCTTGTGAAGATCGGCTAAATTGGCTGCCAAGCGCAAAATAGTTCCCACAATCGTTTTCAAATCCAAGTCGCCTAACGGAAGTTGCTGCATATGGTCCTCCAAATTGCCATCATTGCTGAGCTTCATCACCATCATCAGATCGCCCGTACTCTCGCATACTGTTAATCCTTGAAATAAGAGAGGTAGAAAAGCTTTGGATTGCACGGAAATCTAAATTGTGGGGTGAGAACGGTAAGTAATGTGGAGTGAGTGAGTGGCACCTGACTCTTTGAACAGGAAAAAAAAAAGGAAGTAGCCGTTTTGGCGTTTCTTAGGTTACCTCGTTCAGTAACTTATCATCGACGATTTTTAATGCCATGCGCAACGGTTGTGGATCGTACGAGGGAGTCATCATTACTGCGTAAACGGCCGAAAATCCACCGGCACCAATAAATTGCATATTGGAAAACCATGACCATGGAAACCACTGCATATATTGATCAAGCTCTTCCAAATAGATTTGAGCAATCGCTTTTCGTGCACGCGGGTTAACCGAAGCCATGATTTGTTCATATCCATAGCGCGTAGCAAGCACTTTATAAGAAAGCTGCTGGCGCCATATCAAAGACCAGTGCTGCAAGAAGAGGGTTGACAAAAAAGTGGGTTAGTTAGTATGATTCCAAACAGGCGAACGAGAAAAAACTGTGGAAAAAAGTGCTTACCCATGCATGATCGAAAACGATCGAGTTGTCGACGTACGATTCACATACTTCTTGGTATAGTTGCGCGACCTTTTCGGCGATCGTCACCATGGGTCGTTGTGGTATTGGTATAAGATTCTCAAGTCCAAACTCCTCAGGATACATTTCCACGAGTCGCGAAACCGCTTGAGCCGTTTGATGAGCGAGCTGATCATGCAACTGTTGATTATAAATTAAATCCAGCTCTTTGTCGTCCATAGAAATGAGAAACCGCAATTATGTACAAAGAAGTTCAAAAAAAAAAAAAAAATTATAAAAAAAAGGTTGAGGAAGGTGATGGAAATCGAAAAAGGAAAATTCTCTCCAATGGCACAGACAATTGGGAAGAAAAAAAATTAGAGTTTAAAAAAGTCATGGCGGAAGAGGAAAGTGAGCCCACTGAAACTACTCCTTCATCTCAGTCACAGCTCCGCCGTTGTTACACAAGATGCACTTGATTGGTGTTGATGAGCATGAGACAGTGGGGCGAGCTTTTCCCGTATGAATTTATAAACAATTGGCGCTTGCTTTTTTTTGTCGCATTTTGACTTTAATAATGGCGCACAATGCATAAATAATTAAAACCTTGCGCATGTTTTTTTTTTTTTTTTTTTTTTTTTTTGGCGGCGTAGAATTTTACTCTTCTCGCGCGCTTTCTCTTCACACCGTGGCGTCGCTCTGTTAAAGAAACCCCACATACACAGCCCGCCATGACTTTTTACGAATAAGAAAATCACTCGAGCAATTGGTGAAAGTACTCAATTTCAAAACTTCAAGCCAACAAGCGATACAGTTCATGGGCCGTGGATGCACATCTCCAGACGTTAAACAAAAGACGTTGAATCAGTAGATAATGTTATCAAAATTCCTCGCTAATGGGAAATTTGACGTTGAGGATATGCCTCACTTTGTCATTGTGTAATATGGATAGGACAATATTGATGACAAAGCCATATTTTCGATAGAAGTAAAGGTCGGTTTTATACATTTTTCTTTCTTGGTTTTCTGATCACATGCCCTATAGAATGAGGGACAAGATCTTTCATGATTTATTTTATCTGTAACTGTGTGCTTTTCCGTTAAAATGATGTGGATTGTTATTGCGACCAAGATCGTAAACGTGTGGCTTCAAAATAAAGATGCATTTTATATTGAAGCTCCAGCAACGGTGAATCGGTTTTCACGAAACCGGCATGGCAGGCTTCTTCCAGATAAGACTGAACGTCCAATACGAGATTAAGAAGTGAATCGCTACAATAATCATGTTCCGCATCATCGTAATGATCGTTTAAAACATATTCGTTGTCGTTCATGATCTCGTCGTCGTAGTCATTCTGCATACAACCATCTTCATAGTCAGCGACGGCAATCGTATCAAGTATTTCTTGATCATAGTGCGCAAAATACGCTTCCTCGGCAGCTAAATCAGTTTCGTTCATGCGATGAAAATACCACGTGTCAACAGATTCGCGAGTGTCTACAGTCACGTTGTCTTGTTGGTTCATGATTCAACTGGTGATAGAGGTCTCTGGGACTACACGAAATGAATGTATAGATCAAACGAATATTCCAATCAGGTAGAATAGAGCAAAGACGTAAAAGGAAATAAATAGTCAGAGAGACCTCAACAAAGTTGGAGAAACCAAGATAACTGGTCTTTAAGGAAGGAAGGGGAAGAAGCAAGTGCAAAGCACGTACGGAAGGAATGGAAGGCGTTAAGAGAAAGGACCAAACTTCATGGTTGCTCTCATGTATTTATAGTTTAGAAACAATACATTTGACTTCAGATAGACATTGCTGTCAAGGGTTTTTTCTTTTTTTTTTTTTTTAACAAAAAAAAAAAAAAAGGATGTCCCTTTGCGTTTCGCTGAACCGTGTTATCTTCATTCCATGAAACTCTCTTATTTTCATGGATGAATAAACTGAAATTCCTTTTTTCGGTGCCGGTGGATCCCATTTCTCGTACCATTCTCCACAGGGGCACTACAATGATGCTATCCTCGCTTGCTTATCCTTACGATTGTGTTACATGAAAACTGCGGTCAATTCTTGCTGTCAGAAAACCTAGTCCGGCCACCGAGTGATCTAGCTAGACAAAGTAAGTCGGTCCTTCATCGCTTTCGGCGAGCAAATGTTTGACTCAACTAGCGCGTTCTTTAAAGACACTTGACAAAGTAGATCTCGGTTGCAGGATGCATCTACTGAGCAGAGTTTTCAATCGTGATCTACCAATTATTATACAGTGAAGCTCAAATGGGACAGCCGACTCCACGCGCATCGAAAATCACATCATCAGTGGTCATCCTCAGAGCTGTAAATTCATCGTCCGAAGGTTAACAACTAAACAAACGATGATGCATTTCACATAATTCGTGATCAATTATTGCTCAACTACGATCATTAACGCTTATTCCTTTCAGTAAAAACTTTAACATCTTAAAGCCAAGCCATGCTTATTGTAGCGTTAATGCCAATCCTCCTAATCACCAAAGATTCCGCTATTTAATGAGGAAGCCAGAAAGTTTGCAAATTGCAGTGGGCCAATTTTACAATTTGTCGTAGTCGTTTAGAAAGTCTAGAAAAAAGCTCCAGATGACACGGGAACATCCACTATCAACATAAGAAAAAAGATAAATCTTTGATCTCTGACACATGAGTATGTTGCATGCACAGCATTATTATACTGTATGATACCCCAGTAAGCTGGTAAAACAATATTGTTTTGTAAAGTTTTATTCATCAGAGAGAATGATTTCAAATCTGGCAAGTTCGATCTATAACGGATGACTCTCGCCAGCGCATAGCCAACTTGTTTGAGGGCGAGTCTTCATTGCTGCTAGCACTGATATATTCATCTGTTCATGCTAACCATGAAAACTCCACGTATACACACCCTTATAAAAATGCTCTAACAGCACTGGTATTATCAACGCGCATCAAGCTAACCTAGTGCAGATAGCAATGGGTGGATTGGTGATACGTGGGATTCTGAAAACCTCCATGTAGATCTCTTCTTTTTTCAACAGAATTCTATATTAGTATGGCATGCATAGATATTATGATAGATGACTTTCATCTACATTGTATCCAACTGATCATCGAAAGCTGCCCCATTGTGTGCCACAAAAAGAGACGGCATTTTCCCTTTACGGTCGGTTGTGCCTGGAACACAGTACTATTTATTGGCTTCTTCCATGTGATTCCAACTTCAAAGAACAATGAGAAAAAAAATTGAAAATAACGGATTGTTTCTTGTCACTAGGTTAACGTGCTATGTCGCCATTAAAAACCTTCTAGATCCACTGTTCTCAACTCAAAGGCCGTTTCTGGCCCCTCTGAGAATTTATTTGTAATCCGCCTATGTTCTGCTTTTTTTTTGGGTCATGCCCATAATAATATGAAGACTGATAAGCCGCCATGACCACAAAAACGCATACTGGAACTGCACCATCAGGGTTTGTTGCCTTTATAAGGAGAAAAGTGAAGCTCCTTTTTCATTCCGAAATGACAAAGGAGTCATTTTCATAATTACGCGGTGGCGGAAGACAAAGGCCCTTTTGACTTTTGTTGAGTTTTATATGAGAATCGCAGCTCATATAGGAAGCAGTAGCGTGATAAAGTGATGTAGGACTGTGAACACAATGTGTTGATTTGGGGTTATTTATGGAGTTCAGGTTATGCAAGTAAGGCTCTTTTTTTCGCAGTGTAGTCAATTCAGACCGTACGAAAAGGATCATCAAGCAGTCACCTTAATCGATAAGTTACACCCGTCTTGGCTTAAGGACGTTTCTGCTCCTTTATCTTCTCTTCCCGATATACATGAACATGCATAAGCTGAAACTGTTTTACGGCACATATCGTGTGATCTTCCTGATCTTCTTATGTTCATGGCTCTGGACAACTGTGAATGCTCAGGAAACGTCAGTGACAGGTACAGATAGCAGAAGATTCATCGTACTGTTGCCCAATGTTTCAAATATCAATCGCTTGACGGTGTGAATTTATTTTTCTTCAAGATAAACCAGCAGAACCTACAGAAACATCCGGCGAAGACGATCAGAATGACTCAGGTGGGAGTTATTTTGCGATTTCTTGAACCCTTGTTGATTTGATGTTCCTCAACGCCAATAGAAACCGGCACTCCCGAGTCGGCCACCACCAGTACTACAGCAACAGATGCCTCCACTTCCACAACTACCACAGAACCTACGACAACAACGACGATTACATCAACGACCACGACGACAACGACTATCATAAACACAACCGAGGATGCAAAATCTACTTCGACCTCCTCGAAGATAGAATCGTCTACCTTGCCCACGAATCCTAGCATAACAGAATCCGATGCTGCCCTTGTAACCAGTATCCACAGTTCTCTCAGCAGTTATTCCACGCAGATGACTGGTTCAGCCACCGTTACCGCCGCGGTGATACCTAGTTTACCTAATGTCACACCAAGTGGGTCTGGCGATCATTCCAACAATAACGGTGGTGTTATTGCTGGAAGTGTTGTCGGCGGTGTGGTTGGACTCGCCATTATTTCTGCTGTCATCTTCCTTTATCGTAAACGAAAGCGAGAGCGTGAAATCTGCGATCTGGAAATCTTTGAACCACAAAACGATTCTTATGATGGGGACCATGACTATAACAGAGCGTGGAACCGTAGTCAGCCAAGCATGGCGCAAACATCCAACCAATTTTAAAAGCCCTTCATAGATAGACATTGGTTTTCTCTATTTCTTAAATCGGCACTGTATTCTACTTAATTCTACATCCAAGGCAAAAATAGCTTTTTATGCTCAAGATGTGATACCCTATCTTCTTACCGTTCCCGCATTAAATATGCTTACTGGTCTCTATTGCCAAATTTAGATCATTTGCAAGTTATCATATGGTTGTTTGTGCCAGTTAGCATTAGATGTCGTTTGACAGGTTTTTCCGAACAAATCCTCTGACAGTTAATATGTTACCTATATACCTACCATTATTAAAATGTTTGGGAGTTGTGCGCGCTAATTTTCAGTCACAAGGCAGTCGCATTGGGCTTTTGCTACATTTGTTGGCTTTGATTGGGTAATTTTTGAAAAACAAATATTTATGATTGGTTGACAGACAGCTGTTGATCGGTCCGACCTTTGCGCTCGAATTTTTAACATGAAGCGTAAAGCTCTGATCTAAAGAAGACCCATGTTTTGGAAAGAGACGTTACCCATGTACACACGGTGGAGTTTCAGAAGCGAGGCTTACCGCATCTTCATTTGCTTTTGGTGCTACATCCGGAGGAAAAGCCGAGAACACTTGATGACTATGATCGTATCGGGTGTGCCGAACTTCCGGACAGAGAGAGATTTCCTGATCTCTACGACACCGTCAGCAGATGTATGATGCACGGTCCGTGTGGAACAACGCATCCGAGGTCTCTCTGCATGGAAATCGGCTCATGTAAAAAGCGTTACCCGCGCTCCTTCAATGAAGCTACTATCGAAGATCACAGTGGTTACCCGTGGTCGTCGCAACAATGGTGATTTTGTGGTCATGAACCATGTCCAGCTGGACAATAGATGGGTTGTTCACCACAATCGATACCTCTGTGCAAGATATAACGCTCACATTAACGTCGAAATCTGTACTTCTCTGGAAAGCGTCAAATACCTGTACAAGTATGTTTACAAAGGCCACGATCGTGCTGCAGCAGCAATGTATCATGCCGACAATGACAGAAAATGTCAGGCTCCTGACTCGTTTGCGCTTTGGATGCAGTTCCGCCAGCATTTGGCAGAAGTCTATTCCATTTTTGGAGCAATCAAAATCAAGACAATGATCATCAAATTGAGCCGCCCCAAATCGTGTACGATCGCGCTATGCTGGACATTGAAGAGCATCTGAACCGCCAATCGAGTTCACTGCTGAATTACGATCGCTTTGTTCTTCCTGATCGCCAAGAAATTGGCAGAAGCACACTTCGCCGTCAGCCCAGACTGGTAAGAGAACAATTCGATCTCATCGCAGACGCTGCCAATGTTCCCCAAACACACGAGGGCCTAAACCGTGATCAACATGCCGTATACGACGCAATTCTCCAGAGTGTCACGCATGGAAACAACGAATCAGCCCGATTGTTCTTTGTTGATGGTTCTGGTGGCGTTCTTTACCCTTATGTTGTTGTTTTTATTATTCCTTTATATCTTACTGTTTGTATTTTGTCTTATGCTCCTTTGCTTTCATCCTTTGCTATGATTTTTCAAGTTATTCTTCACCTTTATGTTTTACTGTATGCTTTTTATCCTTATGTTCCTTTTGATTTTATCCTCATGCTATGTTTTCCCAAGTATGATTTTTTCTTTTATCTATTTTTGTCTCTCCATTTAATATTATACGATGCCTGACTATTTCTGTTCCTAACTTTGTGTACATATTGTTGTTCCTCTGTCGTGGATGAAGAAAATGATCGCTATGTGGCGGTAGGTCAGGGGGGGGGCAAGACCCCCGGGAAAAAAGAAAAAGAGACTGTGCTACTCTGTTGTCCATTGAATACGCAAAGATTTATGCGCACATCAACTAACTCTTACCGAAAAATCAACCGCTTATTGACAAAAGATTAGAGTTAAGAGAACACCATGACCTTTGGATACACAAATTCGAGTGCGGAGTTCTGAATATTGGAAATGGAGCATACCATTTCGAACACATCTTTAATCAGCTACTATTCCCACTAGCCTCAAGAGTAACAACAAACTACAGACCGAAAGAGCATCACTTTATGATCTATAAAAGATAAACACGTGCTACTATTAAAATTCTTGCCAAACTAAAGACCAGTCGCCGCACGCCAAAATTTGCGAGCTAAAAAACAGTTACATGGTGTTCCTTTTCATCATATGGATTTGGCAGCTACTTCGCTTGGTGTTATTTATTCATTCAAAGATGTTGGAAAAGTTCAATGGAAGGAGAGGAGAACTTTCTGTAAAGGGCTATTGTCAATGTCGATCTCGCGTCTTTGTAGCATTATTTAATAAGTTGTCTTTGTCAGTAAATGTGTGTCCTTTTGATTTTTTTCTTTCCAGTTTTCGGTGATTAAAGGTGCATGAGCAGAAATGCTTTACCAATGTAGCTGATCTGGCGACATTGCTCATTGTTCATTCATTGGTGTGTGTCAATTTTTATTTATTTTAAAGGCGATCATTCATACTTATAGAGCTCTATTTTCATGCAGTTTCTTTTTGCTTTTATCAGATTTTATTTTTGGAGCTTTTTTTCATTTAGAAAGTGGTCATTCACACGTCTTTTGTAGCTTTAATTTTTATGCAGCTTCTTTCTGCTTTTTATCTTTACAGTCTTTATCTGCAGTTTTTATTTTGGTCTTTTTCCTGAAAAAGGGTGAATTCATTGTTCTTTGGAGCTCTATTTTTGAAGCTTTTTCTTTTTCGCTTTTATATTTAAAGCTTTTATTTTTGGAGGTCCTTTGTTCTTTTTGTCTTCGTTTTTCTCTAACTTCGGTTCACCTAAGAAGCCCTGGTACTATTTTATTTCATCAAGTTCCTAGCTGCGTCCATCGCCACGACTATGGCTTTCCCGTGTAGCTGACTCGGTTAAATCGACCATCACAATCAGAAGGTACCATCAAATGGTTTTTTATCAGTTCTTCAACAAGGAAAAACTTACCTGTTCTTTTTTCTATTCTTCCTTAGCTTTTGGTTTTCTCTCCGGTTTTCTTTTTCGCCTGGCAAGTCATCCATCCCTCCAAATCTTTCGACTTTGTTTCGCGCATCAAATGTTGCCCGTCAAAAGGGCATCGTCGGTGGTGTGACTCTCTTTTTCATCGGCAACGCTTACGCGTCCTCCTCAGCTTGGCTTCACCTGGATTACTTCCCGTGGTATCGTCTTCGATATTTCTTCCCGACCATTTTATTTCGTAGTTCGTAGTTTGTATATTTGTATTTTAGTTATAGTCTTCTTGCAGTCTTTTCCTCCTTTTTTTTTCCCACAGGATTTTTAGGGGGTTTTTACAGACGCACCTATTGTATTTACTTTTTTTTTATATTTTGTATCGTCTCTTTTTATTTCGGCCGGGAAGCTCTGGATATCTGCTGCCTCACACAACAAAGGTAAAATATCTTGACGGCATTTGAATCAATCAAAGAGCTTACTAACTCATTTTTTTTTAAAAAATACCCAATAACCTTGGGCGGGACGGGACTGAGGGGGTCAATAAATGCTGCTGCACACATGTTTGGAAATCATGACTGTACGGTATGCCAGAGTATTGACATTAATATACCAAAGTTTCATCGTGAGTCTCGCCCAGGTTATGCCGTATGCGTTAGGCTTTTGTCTGACGAATGTCGCTCAATGTAAGGGGGTGACGTCCAGTAGCAGGTGGCATCCATTGCACAGCGGGTGTACGGCTTGTTAGTAAAAATGATGGAAATGATCTTTATGCAAAAAAAAAAAAGCAATATTGTAAAAGCAAGTGTCTACGAAAAGATGTTGAGATGTGAAATGTTGAAGCGTCAGTATATAAAGGCCAACAGGATGCAAAAAAGTCTTTTTGTTATACCGGTAGAGGGAATGGAGGCCATTTAAAAAAAAATGCAAAAAAGTGGAGTGCAAAGGGTATATATGATTGAAAAAAAAATAGATGCGATGATGAGGTGTTGCAAGTATTGGGTTCATGAGCAATTAGGGGTATTAGAGTAAGGCTGCAGATTTTTGGATCATCAAGTTTAGCCCATTGAGAATCTGAGTATCATAGACCGAACCAGATAATGAATGATAAGGACGGCAAAATTGCTTTAACCGTCGCAGAATCATGTCTTTTGTGATAGGTTTGCTTAGAACGTCATCAAATGTGCCCGTCAAGTGAGCTGTTTGTTCATACGCTGTGACGGCAATAATGGGTGTATCACGATTGACATGGTTGGTAGACTTGATCATACGCGCTGCAGCTTCGCCATCAACTGAAGCGATGAAATAAATGTAAGCACCATAAATAAATAAACAACATGCTAGGGTTTTTTGAACTTACTAATAGGCATACGAATATCCATGAAGATGATATCAAATTGAACATCGCCTACGGCACAACGAATAGCTTGCGCTCCATTTCGTACAATGACGCACCGGCATTGATGCATCTGTAGTATGGTTTCGAGAATCTTACAACTGATAGGATTGTCATCCGCTATTAAACAATCCAAAGGTTTTACACGCTGATCGGAGGGGGTGGTATCCATGGGATGTCGAGGGTCCGAGAGACAAGCGAACGACAGTAACGACGATCGGTAGATGCGTTCTCGAGGGGATTCTTCCCTTGGAGAGGAAGGTGATGGGTTCCAAGGTAATGGAATCGGTGCGCTTCGAGTGACAATAGCAGCTGTATGGTTTCCGGGGGAGGAAGCTGATCGTGTACGATGCGATTTGTCACCTGTGGATCGAAGAAGTCGAGAGGATGTATCCATTGATTTTCGAATGGATGGTGGTAAGAACTGGGATGATGTGGAAGGTGATATATTGCGTGGTGTCGTAGGCATCGAAGTAGACAATTGGATTTCTGTTCCTCTACGTGGATCCGCCTCACCCAGGGAACTTTGGGTTATACGAGAGATAGCTGGTAAAGATCGATGCACCACTCGCTCATTGGCTGAATCAATGTCGGTACTGCTGGAGGCACTGGTGACGATACTGTCTTGGCGAATTTTGCGGATAGCGTCTTCGTTGGCTTTTTCAAGCATAGGCAAATTTTTATACACAAAGGTACCAAAATCAGCACCGGCAGTTGTATCACCGCTGATAGCAAGGTCGCCCAATGGAATCCCTCCAGCGTTTTGCGGTCCATCGGGGAATGGTGTCAGTTTTTCGGGGTTCTGCTCTCTGATAATGGCTCGCGCTTGTTCCACTTGTTGCTTTGCAGCCGATTTAAAAGCTTCGTCAATAGGTTGCATAGTCGCACCCCGCGTATCAAAGTAATCAGTATCTTCCATATCGGCTGGTTGAGGTACAAAAGGAGGTGTTTCGGTCAAAAGTTTCTCCCAATCGATGCATCTAAAAAAAGGATGCTGTTGCACTTCCTCTGCCCCATTTACACCAAGTCGTTTATCGGGATCCAGGGTCATAAGGCGCTCCATGAAATCGCGGGCCTCTGCTGATATATGAACGGTATCTTCATGCCAGTCAATGCGCCGTGACAGGATATTCTTGAATACTTGGTCGGGTGTATCCGCATGAAAAGGCGGGTAACCGTACAAGAATTCGTAGCAAATTACGCCCAAAGCCCACTGAATTCAGCAGTTAGTTTTCCGCTATTTTCATCATTTGATGTACTTTATATCGTAAGCCTTACCCAATCCACCATAGAATCTTGTCCTGTACCGAGAATACTCTCAGGGGCAAGGTAATCGGGTGTACCAACAGCACGCTTGGCGCAGCCCTTTTGCTCGTTATCGATACGTTCAGTAGCCAATAAACTGGGCGTCAAAATGCCGGGCGTGGTTGGAGTGATATTACTAAAAGCAGCACTGCTTGTTCGATGTCTTGGTATGCGTTCCTCTGTGTAGCCAGATGCCACACTGCTCGTTCCGGTATCAACGGCCATGCCCGGCGTAGTACCATCACCGGAAACGGAGCTACCGATCGATCCCCGGCGCTTCGGTCCACGGTCGAAAAGTAGGTTGAAATAAGAATGACGATACATGGGCCCGGCAGACGATATCAAGGAGGAAGCAGGTGAATGAGGTGGAGTACCCGAACGGGATGGCGCTGGCGAAGTAGGTAAAGCGGCCTCATTGTCAAACGGGCTGCTGCTAAGTTCGTTCCTTACGCGACGATCTAAAAACCCGATACGCGAGAGTCCAAAGTCTGTCAGTTTCAAGTGCCCTTGCGCATCAATTAACAGGTTATCGGGCTTTAGATCACTACACGCAGAGGTTAGCGCAATCGCTGCGGTCATGAGACAGTAGGTCACTTACCGATGTATGACACTCTTGTTGTGCAGGTACGTGAGCCCCAGTGTTACTTCCGCCAAATAATTGCGAGCCCAATCTTCAGGTAAATTGCCCAAGACCTTGATCAAAGCCGAACAATCGCCCCCATTGAGATATTCAAGAACGAGGTACAAGTAGTCCTTTGACTGGAAAGTATAATATAACTTGGTCACAAACGGACTGTCAGTCTGCGTCATGAGAATCATACGTTCGGCTTTCACGTTCGTCACTTGGTTTTTGGAAATCATGTCCGCCTTTTTCAGGAATTTGATCGCATAATAATCGCCTGTCAAACGTTTCTTGGCAAGAAAAACAGATCCAAACGCGCCTTTACTGATCGGCTTAATAATGTCAAAATCCTTAATGCAAGGCACAGTGGGTCGGTTCGTCATGGTGGCGTTGGGAGACATGGGTGGCCTTCCAGACACAGTGCCATTGGGGCTTTGGCATGCCGAAGTAATTGAGTGCTTGGAAGGACGTCGTTTTGGGTCGTCGCAGGTAACATTAGAAGGTTCGGAAGCTTCTTTCTTCAGAATCTTCAGCGAAGCGGGCACAGTGGGTGATTTTTTGTATCGATGACGCTTTGACAATCGGTTCATACTCGAAGCACTTTTTGCTTTCCAAGTCATCAGGCGACTCAAAATGCTTTTCTTGTTCGTTGATTGTTCTTCGCCCTTTTTGGGGTTAGACGTTGGATTAGATTCAGTATCCTTCTGTGTAATCGGATTCACGGGATCATGTTGTTGAGCGTCATCTATCTCGCATTCTTGCGGTACAAATTCCGTCCATCCTGTTTCCTTCTTCATTGTCCGCTGATATTCGGCACGAACAAGCTCATTATACTCGAGTCGATCTCGCATACGATTAACAGCGTGCACTTTGCTTTTGATCATCAGTTCGACGTCGGAAATTAGTGAGGTGACGCTTTCTTCGTCTGCAGTGGGTTTGCGCCAATACAAGATTTGTGCGAGCTTGTCCCGTGCGTTGCATGATTCGGCCAGATGCTTTTTACTTACTTCTCCGTCTGACTTTTCTTGCCGCATGGTCTCCTCTGTAAATTCCTCTACATCTTCTGGGCTGCCTGGCATAGCAATACTAAGAGCCACATCCATGATGGCCAGCAAATTTCTGTAAGTCGCTTCGTGGCATTGCTTCGTTTCCATTGGATCCGTTGCACAGGAGACGTGTGAAACTTGAGTTTCAGAGGATTCGCCATAGAGACTGTTCTCACGTACTGTGCTTCCTATCACAGGAGTAACTGGTCGAAAAAGTTCACTCTTCTCTGTATCATCGGCACTGTGCTCTTTGTCCATGTCTTGTAACTTGTCGTGATCCGAAAGCTCCAAGAGCTCTTGAATGTGGCCCTTGACTTCTCGCAGGTTATCATTACATAATATAACGTCCATCTCCGTACGATGAATTTCGACACATAGTTCCGTATGTTGCTCGAAAAAAGCCGCAACAATCCATCGTTCGCAGACATAACATAGCACAGGAGGCATGGATATTATAGGCGATGGACAAGAAGCCGGAGATTCCGACGCTGCTGGGTTTACAAGCAGTGAGGAGCCTGTGCCTGCGGATGGTAAATTATTCATCAAGACCGGTGGCATATCTTCGTCACCATAAGGCTTCGGTTGGCTGCTTGCTTCACGGTCAGTCACAAGGCCATCCTCTATTCGGCCTTTCTCCAATGACTGTATATCCGATCCATCGAAATTCTCTGATGGCTGAGATGCATCATCCTTCCGGGCATTGGTTAATGAAATCTCTTCTGCGAACAAACGTTGGCTAGTGTCCAGTGATGTCGGCTCCATTGGCTCACGGATCGAAAGGCGATCGAATATCAATGGTTTTAACACCCACATAGTATGGCTCGGTTCTCCTGTTACGCGATTGTATATGAGCATACCTTTGCCTTCCATCCTGCGTTCCTTCGCCTCTACCGTTACAGTGAATTGTATTTCCACCGTTTTTGAGTTGTCCGTCAAGAGCGCATTGCTCGCAGTCTTGAAGATATCCCCATCTTTGTCCGCTAAAATAGGCAGAATGGCCGAACCGACGAGGGTTTGTGGATCCGATCTTTGTTCAATTAATAAAAATTCCATGTTAAGCGACATCGGAATAACAAAGGTTTTACAGGGACTCTTACCCAATAAGATCGCGCCATATAGGGCTGACATATTGCACCGTTTGATCAGACAGGCTCAGTTCCATCACTATTGTACGACTCTGACCTCGCTCTGCCTCTGCTTGCAGTTGCATATGACCATTTATATCCCTTATTCTCGAGTCGTCCTCACGTGTTGCAGTGGACGTCGATGTGGAGATTTGGAATGGTGTGGCTAAATCGTGCGGGAAGGACAGTGTATCCACGCTTCCACTATAACTACAGGCGCTCCCTGTCTCGCTAATACGACGATAGCGACCGAGGCTGCTACTGTATTCGCTCTCATCATTTCGCGAGATGCCACTGACTGATTCTATATCAGTATTGTCCGGTTCATGGGTAGAATGAGCAGTGGCCGATGGGGTCGAGGCCGATGCCAAGGTCGCTGTCCAGAAATTTCGTTCCGCTTCCCACCATTCAAGCACTCGGTTCAATGCAGCCACACTAAGCAACAGTCGCACATACCATTCTTTGCATGGCCAGTCTGGATGACAGTTCCATTGCATGCCTACGGCTTGAATAAGGGAGACCAATTCCGCGCAGGCTCCTGCGTTCTCGAGGAACAACTCCACTTCCGTATCGAGAACCTTTTGCGATAAGCAGATAAGATCTTGCAGAGCTAGAACAAACGGTGTCGGAAGATAGGAATCTTCAGCAATGGGTGTTACTGCAAAAGTAGGATCTTTTGTCTTTTTCGCATTGATATTATCGATCTCTGTTTTATTCCAAGGATTGTTGGTTGCATAGGCGGTTGGTGACATTTCATGTTTCTGCTTTCGGGCTGATGTATGGTCCGATTGGGAATCGTGGCAGGTGATCGACATTTCGTTGCTTTCAAGGTTCTGCAGGCATTCGAGAAGTTCGCTCTTTCTCAGCGGACTCGGTGATATGGGTGAATTGTAACCGACGCGATCATTTCCGCAGGCGTTGCCTATATCTTCTGCAAAACATGTCCTGCCATTCTCTGTAAACGGAAGCAAAAAGCAAGTAGGAAAGATGACGTTAAATACGGTTTCCTCCTTCCCTAATACCAGAACTATCATGCAAACTCACCCTGCGATATACTGTCATTGACCGTTTCCACATAGAGCAACCCTTTCTCGACATAATTATTGATACCGTCAATAATTTCGCATAATTCACGGTCGCATACGCATTTGGTATATTGTAGTCTTGACCGTATGGTGTGATGCATCCGCACCGAAGTTTTGGTATCATTTTCCATACCGACAGCAAAAATGCTGCTTAAAAGACCGGTTGAAGGCATTCTATCAATGGGATGCGCTGAGCGATGTCCATCCACGGTAGAATTACTGATAGCTCGAGACATCGCAGAGGGATGGACGGCTTGCAAAAGCGGGCTCGCATGGTTGGATAGAGCGTCGTTATTGTAGCTTCCCCAATAGTTGACTTCACTACTGTCACAGGGTGGAGTGATACAGCGACGTAACAGTTTGACTCCGTTGCTGTTTTGTCGTGACGGATTTATCGTTTCGGGAAAATGGTAGTGAAGATCATGTAAATCCAAGGATAAGGAGGCTTTGTGTCCAGGTGATACAGCATTTCGCGCTTTAGATGAAGCAGGCCCGTCTGATCTGGGTCTATCTGGATTCGTTGATGGGGATAATAACACAGGATCCGAGGTATTGCTATATGGCACGGAAAACCCCACAAATAAGGTTATCTACAGGCGTGATATAAACAGAGTAAGTTTATCTTTTTTTCTCACCATGGCAAATGGTCGGAATTCCCATCCAACGCAAGTACTCTCACGGTATTCCACCAGGAGAATGCGGTATGAACGATAGACGGTTGTGCATCATTTCCTTTTTCTGTTTTTGTCTTGACCGAGTCATGAGGATGGTTTACTGTCATCTCGTAATCTTGTGTCCAATCATTCCACGGAATCGAATGCATCACGTTTAATTTATTTTTATGGTTGATATCATTCGCGTTCTGGCAATCGGTTGGTTGGTGTACTAATTCCTGCTCTGATGTGGATCCCATATTTGTACCGTCGTCTTTTCTTAAGCGAGAATTCGACGAAAACCATTTCTCTATCTTTGCTAGACGAGAAAAATAAAGCTTTTCAGCGTAGATACGATGAGATAATGTGGGAACTGGCTGGCTCATTGGATGAACAGAAGGTGACTGTGATGCCAATATAGAAAGATCATCTACACAAACAAATGTTATTGCGACATGCGTCATGTGTTGGCAAAAGATAAAACAGGAGAAAAAAAAAGTCATACTCTCGCTAGACGGCATATCATGCCAGTGCCAAAAATAATCGAATTGCTGTTCGTCCTCTGGATGAAAGAGCTCAGGGGCAGATGTACTGCCTTGCTGTGATTGTATGAAGGCAATCAAAAACTCGGTATCATGTTCTGTAGCATTTAATAACGTGGATGGGTAGATGGGTGATCGGCATTTCGAAAAATCAGGAATGTCCGACGACGATTTTTTTTCGTCTTCCGAGTGGTAGCTTGCATCAAGATCAATTTCGATCACATCTTTATCTGGCTCGCACCGTCTGTCGTAAGCATGACAGCTTCGGTCGCGTGGTATTTTTCCTTTGGTGAAAAGTTGCTTCCGCAGATACGAGCGTAACGAGTGCTGATAGGCCGGTATTGTGGCATGGATTAGCTTGGACGACCGACTGGCAGTGGTGGGTTGGGACGAAGTACTTGAATTAATCGACCGTTTCTCTCGCGGGCCCAGCTCTGAGTGATCCGATGCATTACCATTGCTTATGGTCGAAGTGCTGGTGGTGGATACATTGCGTGCCATAGAGAGAGAAGGTCGATGATATACTTTTTTCACTAATGGTTGAGCGGACGATCTAAAAGGTGCACTCGATAGAGGATGTCCCCCAACAGGAGAAGACGAGGTGGGGCTGGAATCGTGTGCTGGTGATAAACGACCTAATTGAAAATTTCAAGGCGCTCTTAGCTCAGTATGTACCGATGGAGTTGATTTGTCAACAAGTCTTCGAGACAAAATAAGCATACCTTTATCGATGCTTATCGATTGATGAACTCTATTAGAAAGTGAGGGATAAAACGTATGGTTAAGAAGAGAAGAGCCATAGTCTTCTGTAATCACACTAGCGTCTGTCATCACCGATGACATGGAGGATGTGCGACCGTGATAAAACGATCCGTTTTGCTGAATTTCGGGTCTAGATGTGCCGCGCAAGTAAAAGGAGGACAAACTTTGAGTGTCTGGCGATACGGTGTCCTCGGTATCGGCCATATTCCCATCGATAAAGGAATAGCCTTTATGGATATCGGCATCATAGGAGGAGGAGAGGGTCGGGGGACGATGGTCGGATGAAGTCGATATCGATGGCATCATGGAATAATCGAGTGAATTCTCACGGTAAGGTTTGGCCCTTGGAATATTGACCGGCAGTCTCCTCTCACGCAGTTTTGAAAGAGAGCCTGACTTGTGCACCGTATTTGACCCAGTCACGTGGGACCATGAATCAAGGTCTTGATGTTCTAGTGATGATCCTCGGTGTTTGTCTGCTGGTGTAGTAAGCACTTCGCCTTGTGAGGAGTGAGCTGCGGGCGAGGAAGGATGACTATCGTCGGCCAAGGAACTTTTCCTCGTTGTCGAAGGACGGCTGTGGTCGGGCAATATGATTAGAGTCGAAGAAGTGCCCCCATCATGAGGTTGCATAAAACCGGCGCTGGCATCAATCCAGCTAGCGCGTTTCGATTTGACCATGTAGCGGCCTCCACTGCCTGCGGGTGGACTGGCAAATTTAGGCAAGCCTGCTGCCATGGATATTGGCGTTTCAACGGAACGAGGGCTGGAGTAACTCGTGCTCTGTTGTGATCCAAAGGAGAATTCCGGTTCGCTATTGGGACTGCTGCTGTAAACTGTATCATTCAACGGCGGTCGTTTTTTTGGACTGGCGGTAGCGGAGTTATCAACGGGAGTTGCGGGTTTAATAGGCGCGGAAGGTGTCAAGGAGGTAGAAGAAGGCACTGTGGACGAAGCTCCAGCAGTATGGTATTTGCTGATAGGAATGGGAGGCAGTTGAGAGTGAGGACTGTTTGACAAAGAGTTTGAGGTTGACACCGATGATGGAGATTCCGAATGAGCGGCAACGATATGCTCGTCGCTGGAAGAAGAGCTTGAAGCGACGTTCTGTTTCTTTAAAAAAGGTTGCACAAATAATCCAGTTCGCGTTTTGTAGCGAACAGCAGTAACAGTTGCCGATGGTGGAGTGTCAAGGTGAGCGGTACTTTCACTGCCGTCAGAATACATTTGCGCTGATGACGAATTATATAGACCTCCCGAATATAATGTAGTGTCTACTTTAGATGGATTGGGAAGAGATTTTGCCGTTGAACGATCCTTATTGGGAACTCTAGAATCTATAGTATCCATGGATATGGCATTGACAAGCAATATGTCGGTAAAGAGGAAGGGAAAATAAAAGCAAGACAGAAAGTTACCAAAGGAGGTAGTGGACGAAAAAGTGAGCTTGTTGCGTCACACAAGCATGGCGCATACTGCGATTGGTTCGTCACCGTTTGGACTTTGCCTGTCGCATGCATAAACATCATGGCTCCAAAAAAAATCGGTGATTGAAATGGGGAAGACGCCGAACTTGAGATTTAAGTTCAGGGAAAGATGCTGCTGCCGGCTTTTCCACATTCCTTTGTGCACTGAAAAACAGCTAAGAAATGCCAATATGCTGATTGCTTAATTGAAAAGAAAGGGGGAATTTTATCAAGATCTCTGAAGAATATTCTTAACTATGAATTCAGTCTTATTGACTCGCTGGCCGATACAAAAAAAAACGACGATGCTATTTTTATCCACTCTCTGCAAAACCAAAACCTTGGACAAAAAGCTCCTCTAAAAACAATGGTCGAAGTACACAAGCCTGCATACTTAATAATTTAGGCAAACTGCTTTGCTACTGTGCGCACTCACTGTAAGATAAAGTAAGGGGTGGATGTCTACAAATCACTTAAAATGATCAGTTCTCAACCATCTCTACTGCGGCTGATAAGCACAAAATTCATAGGATACCACATACACAGCAGGTAATCTTTTCGAGTCAATGTTGCCAAGCAATCGTCACTCATCGCATTTCAGGAGCTTGCGCAATTTTCGCGGAATGATGTCTTAAATATGACTTCCTCAGGTGTCTCATTGCGCAGCAGACCCATGCTTTATAACTATGACAGCAAAGATGTAGAACGGATACGATGGTCTTTGTTTTTGTGTTGGTTTCTACTATGGGTCCTAATCAGGGGAGAGTCCGAAGTGTTTACAAACTGTTTATCGCATACAAGGGCAGAAATATGAAACAGTGGCAAACAGTGCAAGTTACAAGCGATGGTTTTTTTCGCAGTAGGATTTGTCAAAAAATGAAACATCCAAAAGATCTACTTCACATGTGAGTCCTTTCAAAAACTCCTTCAGCAAACTGCTACTTACGATCATATGTAGCCAACGATGTCAATAAAGCTTCGGGCGTACAAAAGTGCAATTTGTAAGTTTCTGCCTTGGAAGCATCACTTCAAGAAAATATAGGAGATTCGATTTTCGCAATAAACTGTATCGTCAAAAATAATTCTTGATTATTATTGGAGCAATGTGGTCAATAAAATAAACGGGTTCATATTATTAATATTGATCGCACGGTATTGCGTATGTGATTATGATATGGTGTTAATCTGCATCGGATCTTCAACGAATAGCTTATGACAAAATGAAGGCACGTGTACGTGAAGTATTTTGGGAGGTTGTCGATTTTCACCTGGCGGAGTACGGAAAAAGAAACTTTTTATGCGAATGGATTTTTCTGGGCGACCTGGTGGCTGCTCTTCCCCGATTTTTCCATCTGAAGGTGCTGATGACGTTCTTCATTACAACTTTACCGGTATTGTCGCTCTTGATCTCGCCATGGAGGCACCGTCTGATAAAGACATTATCCTTCGCGACTTGGAAGCACTTCAGCATAACCAAACAAGGTCCAGAATTACAAAAGATTAATACTTCACTGCCTATTTCATGCAAGGAGAGGATGTGCAGCGCCAAATCCCAGCGGAAGAGCGCGCCCCGCAAGTACTGCGTATGGGTGTCCTTATTGCGCCATCGAGGGCAAAATCGACCTTGCCAGTGGTCCCATTCGTTTGACAATTCAGCACGGAGAACATGAGCAGCCAGACCGTAACAGTCAAGTTGTACTGCCTCTACCGCTTCCATCGTTTTCCCACCACAAGTAAGCATAAAAGATATACAGATTAGCGATAAGAAACTTACTCAGCTACGTCAAATTTGACAGACTCAGAGGATACATTACGTATACCGAAGATCAAGGCCCACAGCATCCTTTTGTCCTCGGGAAACAATACGGTGGCCAGTGATAATATCACCAATTACAGCAACAATAACAATGGCGACGATGGCGACGATGGCGACGACGGCGACTCGAGCACTGATGACTCGACAGTCTACAACCTTCAATGTCTGCTACAGTCACCCGACACGAAAATTTGAACAATTTTAGAGATCCGCACTACTGGATATGCTTAATGATGATAAATAAGATGAATAGAATATATTGAATAGTGTCAAATGATGCTATTGTCTATTGTCTATCTTTGATAATCTTTGCTTCCTAACTATGATTCACAAATGTAAAAATCATATGTGTTTCTACGTTTACCACCCCCATACCTTCTGATTACCACCGAGTTGAGCGGCCCTTCACCTCCAGCACTGCCTTGATCCTCTTGACATAGAATCCACCGACTTATTGATGATGTTGTAATCGATAGACTCCCAAGTATCTCGGATTGCTTGGGTATGCTGTTCGTCAGACATACCCGCGTGGCACATTTTCGGTACGCTCAACTTCATTGAATACCAAATATTTTCTATTGAATTCAGATCTGGAGATAGAGCTGGCCAATCTAGCTTTTGAATGCCATGATTGAGCCGCCATTGTTGTGTGACTTTGCTGCGATTGCTCCATCTTCCATAAGAACCAAGTTGTCATCAGGGTTTCAGAAACGCTTCAAGGGTTCTACATAGATCTGATCTACAAAATGTTGGGCTGCGATGCGATTCTTTCGCCCCTCTTTGGCAAAAATGCCCAGTTCCGTTTTCTTATTTTAAGTTATGGCACCCCATACCATTGTTGATGTTCTCTCGCTTTTAGACGTGGTTGCCAAACAATCGAGATTATTTGCCTCGTTGTTGGTACGCCACATGCGAATTGACGTATATTTTTGCCTTTCTAATGACGCCTCGTCAGCCCAAAACACCTTTCGCCATTGATCGACTGACCAGTTTTTATGCTTTCTTGCGAATTTCGGCGACGTGTCTCTTATTGAGATAAGGATTTTTTTTTTACCACGCGGGAGTAGATGCTAAGGCGATGTAGTTCCCTTTGAAGTGTTCGCTCGGAGACCTTCGTTGTTAGCAGATGGGAAAGATCAGCCAATCGTGTACGCCGATCCTTATGGACTTCTCGCACCAGCGTTCGGACGTCTCGTTCTGTTGACTTCTTGTGTGGTTCGGAGCCCTTCTTACGCTCACGAGTTCCTTTTTGCTCGTAGTTTTTGATGACAATGTAGATGGTGCTCGTGCCACATTGAAATATTCGCAATTTTGGCTGCACTCCATCCAGCATTCTTGTAAGCCATGACCGCGATTTTTTGTTCAACGGTAAGCGCCATGATATATCGCGAAAAAAATTAAAGAAAACAAGGGGGCTTGTTTATTTGATAAGCTTCAGAAAAAAGTCGAGTTACTGTACTTGTCGTTATCCATCCTAGACCGTTGTTCCCAAACAGGGAAGGTTGGGATTTACATATGTTTCCATTCTGACTGAGCTTGGTACATATTATTACACCATCCCTACCTCTCATCCGTATGATACCACTCCATCATATCACTTAGTCATCCATGACTAATCCATATCACCCGATCTACAAGAGAAAACAATTACCAATGATTCCATAATTATTATACCAATTGGATCACATCATCATGTCACGTCAAACACGTCTGATCTACATGTCCGATCATTTCTCATTTTCTCTTATATGAATCAACCTCACATCCAAATTCATACCGCAAATACAGCCTATTATTGGTTTATCTGTCATCTATTCTTTCTATGAAAAACACACTTTATTTTGTCACGGATTATACTACATCTAAAAATACCCATCTAGTATAAAAGACCTACCTTGTACTTATCCCGCTTTAGAGTTTATTCTTTTTTCCTACCTTTTAGGTATCAAGCTCTCGAGAATAAAAGGAGTCTCCTGTGTTTTTGTTTTGCTAGTATTAATCCTTTACTTCGTCCACTCCCAAACACCACAGAGGTTCTCCATCAGAACCCCGATTGAGCCTCTTCATCCATAACTGGGATCTATGACCGAAATCAATTCATCTGAGTAAAGCTGTCACATCACAGAATGTGGATCTTCCAAATATACCTTATAACCGAGGACTGCTCACTGATAATTATTAATTGCGACCCAAGACTAAAGTATAAATAAGCAGATCATTAATCGAAATAAACATATCCAACAAAGAATTCTCATTGTGTGTCGTTCCTAATACAATTGCTGTTGGCTCCACCTCCGATGCCTTTGTTTCGCCAACAGTGCCATTGTTCTTTTGTTCTAAATTTCTCATATATCACAAGATACACTAAACTACAATATAAAATCTAGAATAGACTTAACTCGTAAGGACACAAGGTTTATCTTTCTCAATTATACAAAGATACTTGACATATTCCATTTGCCTTTTGGTAGTTTTTTATTCTTTCTCGCAATACCACAGAGCACAGCACATTCAGAGTGTAGACGGCACTTTTCACAGCGTAGACGGCACATTTGAAAGTGTAGACAGCACTTTTTAGAGTGTAGACAGCACTTTTAAGTGTAGACAGCACATTTTAAGTGTAGACGGTACTTTTGAAAGTATAGACAGCACATTTGAAAGTGCAGACAGCACATTTGAAAGTGTAGACAGCACATTTTAGAGTGTAGACGGCACTTTTGAAAGTGTAGACAGCACATTTGAAAGTGTAGACAGCACATTTGAAAGTGTAGACAGCACTTTTAAGTGTAGACAGCACTTTTTAGAGTGTAGACAGCACTTTTGAAAGTGTAGACAGCACATTTGAAAGTGTAGACAGCACTTTTTAGAGTGTAGACGGCACATTTGAAAGTGTAGACGGCACTTTTGAAAGTGTAGACAGCACTTTTGAAAGTGTAGACAGCACTTTTGAAAGTGTAGACAGCACTTTTGAAAGTGTAGACGGCACTTTTTAGAGTGTAGACAGCACTTTTGAAAGTGTAGACAGCACTTTTAAGTGTAGACAGCACATTTTAGAGTGTAGACAGCACATTTGAAAGTGTAGACGGCACTTTTGAAAGTGTAGACAGCACTTTTTAGAGTGTAGACAGCACATTTTAGAGTGTAGACGGCACATTTGAAAGTGTAGACGGCACTTTTGAAAGTGTAGACAGCACTTTTGAAAGTGTAGACAGCACTTTTAAGTGTAGACAGCACTTTTAAGTGTAGACAGCACTTTTTAGATGTAGACAGCACATTTTAGAGTGTAGACAGCACTTTTGAGAGTGTAGACAGCACTTTTTAGATGTAGACAGCACTTTTTAGAGTGTAGACAGCACTTTTTAGAGTGTAGACAGCACTTTTAAGTGTAGACAGCACTTTTGAAAGTGTAGACAGCACTTTTGAAAGTGTAGACAGCACTTTTTAGATGTAGACAGCACTTTTTAGAGTGTAGACAGCACTTTTGAAAGTGTAGACAGCACATTTGAAAGTGTAGACAGCACTTTTAAGTGTAGACAGCACTTTTAAGTGTAGACAGCACTTTTTAGAGTGTAGACAGCACTTTTGAAAGTGTAGACAGCACATTTGAAAGTGTAGACAGCACATTTGAAAGTGTAGACAGCACTTTTGAAAGTGTAGACAGCACTTTTAAGTGTAGACAGCACATTTTAGAGTGTAGACAGCACATTTGAAAGTGTAGACAGCACTTTTAAGTGTAGACAGCACTTTTTAGAGTGTAGACAGCACTTTTGAAAGTGTAGACAGCACTTTTAAGTGTAGACAGCACATTTTAGAGTGTAGACAGCACATTTGAAAGTGTAGACGGCACTTTTGAAAGTGTAGACAGCACTTTTTAGAGTGTAGACAGCACATTTTAGAGTGTAGACGGCACATTTGAAAGTGTAGACGGCACTTTTGAAAGTGTAGACGGCACTTTTGAAAGTGTAGACAGCACTTTTGAAAGTGTAGACAGCACTTTTGAAAGTGTAGACAGCACTTTTAAGTGTAGACAGCACTTTTTAGATGTAGACAGCACTTTTTAGAGTGTAGACAGCACATTTTAGAGTGTAGACAGCACTTTTTAGAGTGTAGACAGCACTTTTGAAAGTGTAGACAGCACTTTTTAGAGTGTAGACGGCACATTTGAAAGTGTAGACGGCACTTTTTAGAGTGTAGAAATGTGCTGTCTACACTCTGAATGTGCTGTGCTCTGTGGTATTGCGAGATAGAATAAAAAACTACCAAAATACAAATGGAATATGTCAAGTATCTTTGTATAATTGAGAAAGATAAACCTTGTGTCCTTACGAGTTAAGTCTATTCTAGTTTTTATATTGTGGTTTAGTGTATCTTGTGATATATGAGAGAATTTAGAACAAAAGAAACAATGGCACTGTTGGCAAAACAAAGGCATCGGAGGTGGAGCCAACAGCAATTGTATTAGGAACGACACACAATGTGAATTCTTTGAGACTGTTGGATATGTTTATTTCGATTAATGTGATCTGCTTATTTATACTTTAGTCTTGAGTCGCAATTAATAATTATCAGTGAGCAGTCCTTGGTTATAAGGTGTATTAGGAAGAATCTTCATGCTGTGATGTAACAGCTTTACCCGTATGAATTGATCTCGGCGATAGATCCAAGTTATGGATGAAGAGGCTCAATTGGTGTTTTAATGGAGAAGCTCACTCAGAATGGAAACACGTCTAGATCCCGATCTTTCCTGTTTGGGAACACCAGTCTAGATGGATAATACGACAAGTAGTGGATATACCACAGATGGAAATAAAAAAAACAGGTACTTTTTTTTGTGAGCCAACAATCTTATTTTATTGATGGAGTCACGGGTCGCAATGAGTGCTGGGTCTTGAAACAAAGAAAATAGGAGATTGGGGCAGGGGGAGTCTACAAAAGAAGTCAATAATAGATTCAGTTTGGTGTATAATATTATTAAAGAAACCGCTGGTGTCGAAGGAGTGGAAGGGAATCGGTATTGTCAATGGGAGCACTATATATATAGTGGAGGATAATGGCTGTGATAGAAAATAAGAATCACACACGGATATCCTATTCATATTCTTATTCTTATTCTTATTCTTCACAGAGAAATGGCTGAAGTGAGGCTGGAATGGCATTTTCGGTTGAACTTGTGGTATATCCACTACTTGTCGTATTATGAATCCTAAACATGTGTTCCAAAACAGGATGGATCGGGATCTTGACGTGTTTCTATTCTGAGTGAGCTTCTCCATTAGAACATTGATTCAATCTCTTCATCCACAACTTCTATCGTCGATCAAGCTTCTCCATCTATAACCTCTCATCACCGATGGATCAGGGCATAAGAGTAACGCTGTCACATCACAGCACATGGATTCTTGTAAATATACCTTGCAAGAGAGGACTGCTCACAGATAATTGTCAATTCTGATACAAGACTAAAAGTATAAATTGCAGATCAGGTCTATTGAAATAAAGATATCAAACAGTCTAAAGGATTCTTATTGTCTCTTTTATTCTACAAGTTTTCTCACATATTACGGAACTCAGCCAACCATGGGCACAGCGGCTGGAACGGTCAATGAAAAAGGCGAAACGTGTATTTTTCTTGTTCCTGGACAAGATGAAAAAAAAATTTCAAATCAATCTTATTCATTGATAGCTTTATTACTTTTTGTTATATTTTCATTTCGGTATTGAATTACACAAATTACAAATTACAAATAGCGTCATCAGAGACTAGGTGGGAATAGTCGTCGTTGTTACACGTGATGGAGAAGGTCGATGATAGGGTTCATATTGGCGTCACCAAAGATGACAATGTCATATGTGTCGAGATATATAGCGTGCGATAACGCTTCAGTATTATGATTCCGGAATCCAGCGTTTCAAAGAACGGTCATGTTTTATTCCTTGGCTCCTTTGCAATTCATCGATCGAGTCGCCCATTAAGATGACATTTTTCCGCTGGTTGATCGTTTGACGCAACCAGATCTCGATCTGAAAACTTGAATTTTCTTTTGGTTCCCATGCAACAGAGAATATCTGTGCAGTACTTCTATATGGCTGTCATGATCCACAACAATTGCTTTGACCATCTTACAGCTTCTATAAAAGATACAACAAAAGTTAGTAAGAAATAAACATGAGCAACATTTTTTCATACTTTAAGAACAAGACGACATCGCCAGGATTGTTTGAAAGTCCAGCATATGAAATCACACAAAGTCGAATTTTCTTGATCGAAGGTCCAATGAAATCAATCATTGCTTGGGTATCCCCATCGCAATAAGCCAGGTCGGTGGCCTTGATGTTGTTGTTGCTGTTGCTATTGCTATTGCTGTCCACGAAGAAATCTCTTTCCAAGATCGGTGAAGATGATATCGAGCTGGTAGAGGCAAATATATAACGACAGAGACATCGGTTCCTTAACTTCATGATCATTCCCTCGAGGAGTCCTTGCCGTGTCGCCACGCTTTCAATGCCCGGAGATTTCCTGACATACCCCACGTTTATCCAATCGCTGCCAACGTTCTTGATTTCTGTTCGGAAGGCAGATGCAGATTCCACCAACTTTCCAATCGCGTCATCCTTGATTTTGTATAACATACGTCCTTTCAAATTTTTTCCGTCGACACGTTTGGACACCCGTTCGCCGAAGTCATTGTCTTTGATAAGTCTTCCAAACTTCGACGCATTCATAAATTTGTGTAGTCGTGGCAGTTGTTTGGTGATGGCGTTATAAATGTCTGACGTGGTATAAAACCCATAATCAAAGAGTTCTTTGTTTTCAGCATCCGTGAAAAATATCGACTTCGTGATATGTAGCAGAGTTTCAAGTTTGTATACTGTCGACCCATCAGTGCTGTCGTCGCTGTCCTCGCCATCGTTGTTGCTGTTGCTTAAATCGCTGATTTCATCATTGGCCGCAGTAATGCTTGGATATATAGTTGGGCTGGTAGGCGGTGTCCTCGGATAGGCCTTGTAGGTAAACGGGTTTTTTTCGATGGTGGACTTCCCCATCGCAAAAGGATGCTGGGGCCCTTGGTCGTCGGTATATGTAACGTTAAACACACTGTTCTCTACTATGTCATTTCCTTTTCGTCGGTTTTCGACAGTGGGCACCATATCAAGTACAAGGCATATGGCTTGACCGCGTGTTAATAACTTGTTTTTGGATGTTGACATGAATTTGATAGTAAATCGATAAAAAAAACACCAGGCAGAAAGAGAGAGAGACACGGATGCTGCGGTCTTCTGGCTTTTTTTTTTTTTTTTTCTCGTGACGGCTTACATTTCTAAAAGCTGAATTTAATTTTGAATGATTAATGACATTGATTTTGACTCACCAACAACATCATTTTCATCGCCCAGCGACATAGATTTTTGATTGGCTGTGACATTTACTTGTTGGAAATCGTTGCATTGATCAAAAAAACATTTAGTAAATGGGATTTTCGCACTTTGAATTTGTGGTTATTTTCGGCTCACCTTGTATGTATTGCCCAGAAATGAGTTTGGGGCGCCAGAGATATTGTATGATCTTGGGCCCGAAAGGAAAAGGAAAAGAAAGGAAAGGAGAGGAGCAAGTGAACTTATATGCTTTTATGGAGCAGTTGAATAACCTGTTTCATTGATGTATTGTAAGCATGCTCACAGGTGATCGTTGTATCATAGTGATGTAACTCATATTGAAAACTCTCCTTCTTCTGCTGGTTGCTGGAAATTGAATTATTGTACGCATAATGACAGGTCATATCGGTGATAACTTATATCCTCGTCAAGTCTTTTCCTGTCGGAAAGACTACATAAAATAAACCACTCCCATAACAAACATAAAATCGTTTTGTGTTACAGTTCCTGCTCGTTGACCTTGCCGAAACCGTTCGTCAGGCCTTAGCACGTATCCTGTTGATTGGCGTCTTAAACAGTTAATCCGTTTACGAATTGAGCGATAAAATGCAACGATTGGAGTTTATTGATGATAATAGCGCTAGACAGGTCATCATAGCGCGAGCCACGATATATGATTATAACATCTCATCGGGAACTCACTTAGAACAATATTGAGGCGACTGATGTCTGGCTTCGTTTGCTGGTGCACTGCAAATGCCAGATAAATTTCGCTCCATGTGTTCACCATATCACAGCATTCTCGGCTGCTTCTCCATCAGATGATGAAGTATGTGGGACTGTCACCGCATTATGCGGATCGATTGGAAAATTGAACGCAATAACCTCGAAACGGTCTCCAGTTGCCAACTGAGGGAATGTGCTCCAACTTTGCTGCCATTCACTATACTCGCACGCCCATACGCCGCAAGTCAGTTGTTGACATCGATGATTCAAGCTCGTCGATACTGGCTTCAGCAGAAAAACTGTACGGTAACCTCTTCTGAAAGACGGTGAATGGCAAACATGTGCATATGAGGTTTTTGCTCTCTTTAAAACTTATCGCCGGAAGTGCATTTTGGGTTATACAGGTGTTTAACATAAACAATTTGGACAATTATTTGGCTCGAGGTACAGCGATGTTTCTTCGCTTGTAAGGTCTCTGATTATTGAAGTCTTGGTTGTTCCTTTGTCACTGTTTTTGTGTTAATCTAATTGGCAATTAAAAGTAAAAGGAAACTTTGTCAGTAAAAATAAGCAGCTCCAAGGCCAAAAATAAACATGATATCTCTTCTTTTTTCCATCCAACTTGTAAAAATTATAATGTAAGACGATAGAGCTCTTTACTAATTGCTTGTTGCTACTGTCGTCCCTCGATAATTTCACGGCCAAAGGGGGGTCAGGTGCCTTGAAAATATTGAGGTGTTGAAATTGACGAAATTCGGCATAAATATGTTCCGGATAAACCAGAGTGTGATTGCTGCATTTGTGCACTGAGCCTTCTCATTGTGCTCACGACACCAATTAAAAAGTGTTCAATGAAGAAGCCAAGCGGGGACCAATGTAAATATCAGCTTTATACTGAGTTGCTTTCCCTGAAATACCAAAAGATTGCACACTCAAAGCGAAGTAAATTAGGGGCTTTTTTAAGAAATCATCAACCAGCTACAGTAGCTTGTATTCTCTCATATCTTTTCCCTTCTTCAGATCCCAACCTTTACTTTACTATAATTCTCAAATGTGATTGGCTGATGTTGTTCTTCGTAAGTATTCACGACCAAAAATTACCGTGAAAGTTGAAATTAAAGAGAATCGTGAAAGTTACCTGCTATTTTTCGGTGGAGGGCCCTCAGAGTCGTGAAAATATCGAAGGGTTGAAATTTAGGGGCGTTGAAATTATCGAGGGACGACTGTAACGATGCCATTTATACCCTCTTCTATGCAAGATGCAGAAAGTTGAGCAAATGTTTTACGCTTTTACTGGAGAAATCCCTAGTTCTTTGGTAACAGAAAAAAAAAGTTGAATGCATCGGGAGCGCTCACAGTAACTTACACGGCCCTGGTGTTGAGAGCACGAAACTTCATAGTATTTCGCACTAGTCTTTAACGGTTATCAAGGTATGTATGAACGGCCTATATAGAAAATTTCTAGGGACTTATTTTCAGATACGTCGGTCGATTTGTATTTGATTCAATAAAAGCCACAGTTGCAAATGTGCAATCTGTATTCGCTTTTCAATAAACGTTTGGGCCACTGGTCCCCTGCCAAAAGAAACGCGATTTAAAAATGGACAAATGACAGACTCATACATCAGGCGCTCTCACTTTTTAGTATGAACTGTGCGTAGCATCATTTTCTAGCCATAAAAAAACTCACATTGGAAATCCAAAAATAGCTTTGCCGTTTCCAAGAGAGCAATAAAACGGTGCTGCCGCGAAAATGCTTTCGCCCTCAAATCTGGGCTGTCGCCACAAACATTACCGTTTTCCAGATCGGATCCGCATGTATTGAAACACCGATTCTTCTTGGGTGGAATCGGCGACCAACCCAAACTTGGCACTCTTTCTCCATTACTCTTAATGACACAGCCTAAAATCATTGGTGAGCTTGCGGTGGTAGCGCTAAAAGCTGTAAGCATTTATCTGCTCGAAATATTGGCTTAATATGGCGTTACTGACCTTTGCTATTCGTCTTTTTATGTGTTTTTTATATGCGTTTCGGCTGCCATCTAGAGAGATTTGCCCAATCGCGAGGTAAGTTCTGAAAGGGGATGCAAAGTGCTTTACTTCAAGGCACTGAATGCAGCTTTAGATTGTGGGCAAGCAAGATCCTTTTTGTGTTTTCCGACTCGGCGAGGTTGCTAAGAAAACGAAAACTGATTACCGTGGCGGACAACATCCTTTGTGGGATGATCAGGTACGTGCTTTATCAAGCCCGAAGCACTATAAAATACTAATGCAATATATCATTAGGTGAATATCCCTGTTCCTGAGGGGAAAACCAAAATGAGAGTGCAGTTATTTGATGAAGATTCGAAGCGTGAAGATCTGATTTCGGAAGGCGAAATCGATATCACTAAAGCAATTACAGAAGGCGAAGCCGACGGTATGGACGATCAATATATTAGTGTGAAATCATTAGAATAGCGTTGTCTAAATGCTGATTTGTGTGCCATTTGGATGCTAGATTGGTTCCCTTTGACCTATCGCGGCAGAAGCGCAGGGCAAATCTATCTTGAGTTGACGTTTTACTCGGCAGTAAGTGTTGATGGATAGAGTTGTATTCCCCGTTATATCTCTTGCAGTCAATGATAACATAAGGGATCTAGAATCCTCCGCCTCGTCGTCAACCAACGCGTTACAAAAATGCTGGTCGCCCAGTGTCATTTGGTGGCTATCATCCACCCGTACCAAACGCAGGTTACAGACCGCCTTCGCAAAGACCTCTTCCGCCTGCGCCTACTGAATCGATTTCTACACCAGTGCGTATGAACAAACCAGGTCCGCCTCCCTATATTCCGCCTCCACCTCCAGGTACCTCTCAGGATCAGCAGGCCACACCTCACATGCCACCTACCATCAATCCTACACCCTCGTTATCTTCCGGTGTACCAGGCCGTTATTCTTCTGGCCCCGGACGTTCTCCCAGCCCAGCAGGTTTTGTAGCTCCTTCTTCTCAATCTTCCCATGGCTATCCGCCTCGTCCTCCAATGGGTTATGGAACTCAGAGACCCGATTCATCGGCCGCTCCATTGTTATCAGCGCCTTACAATCCTCAAGGGGTGTCGCCCAGACCTCATAGTAATGGACGTAAGTTTAAGAAACCCAATTGGTATAGAAAAGACAGGATCCACTAAATTAAATATCGCAGAGTATCCCCACGGTGATGTATATCCACCCGCTCATCCTTATCCTCCTTCTAATGGCCAATATGGATTTCCCGGCCCATCAAGCTATCCTCCACCAGCGCAGTCGAATATCGGTTTCCCAGAACCACAACACTTTAACGGCAACTATGCCCCGCGTAATGATGTTGTAGGCACGCCGTTTGCAGCACACCAAGGCATTTATCCACCGGTGTCGTCGGGAGGCTATCCTCCTGCTAATACATATCCGCCTCAGCAAGGTTACCCACCGCAACCTGGTTATCCACCATATTAGAATATGATTATTAAAGAGAATCAAAAACCATAAAAAAAATGCAAGATGTTGAGAAAACAGCAACAAGGTTGCGCATGTAACCAAGGAATAAAAAAAAATGCAGTGAAAAGCCTACATTATACTTCCAAGCAAAAGTCTATTTTTTTTTTATTCAATTTCGGCTTTATCCATCTAAATGTCTGCCAACTGGGCACAAGAAGATCATATACATAAAGGGATTGAACATTACTGAGAACATATTCATCGTATTATGACTGCTCTTTGATCCCTCTTTCTTTACAATAGTTTTCATTTTTTTTTATTTTACTTATCAACTGTTACGCTTAGAAACCTGGTGCTTTCAATTGACCTTGTTGTTGTTGTTGCTGTTGTTGTGCTGGTTGACCTGGTTGAGGTTGACCATACATACCGGGATTTAACATCTGAAAAGAAGATATGTGTTAGAACGCAGGTATTCAATCCATATAATCCGCAAAAGCGATGAGTTATGTGCTTCTATATAAATATATATATTTATATATATATATATATATACCTGTTGAGCACCCTGTTGTTGCATGGCTTCCTTTTCATAGGCCACCAAAGCTTGTTCTTTCTCGATCTCCAATGCAAGAGGCAGGACAAGTAATAACATAGAAGTGGTCAATACCCAAGCGCTTTTTCCAACAAAGGTAGCGCCAGTCTTTCCCCAGGAAGTTAAGGAAGAAACACCGGAGGAAATGCGGTTGCGATGCTTCAATGGCACAATTTCTTTGAGAGCGATAATACGATCCAAGAGCGATTCGTCTTCGTCTTCATCGAAATCATCGTCAGAATAATCGCTGTAGTTATCGTCGTCGCTCAAATATTCCTGGACTTCAGTTTGATCGATAGCGACTTCTTCGAGTTTGACCATTGTAGCTAATAAACAAGGATATTGTATATATTTTAACCCTTGTGCTGTGCCAAAGCTCCGTATTTGTGGACTGCACTCCGAAAAATTTCGTCCTCACTTCCTCGGTCAATCCTTATTGGCAGACACGTCGAAAAAGCGCTAGACAAGCGAAATCGAGTCACATGTGTCCAACGGTTTCCAAGTGATACTTCGATTTCATGGTCACCGTTGTCTAATAAATCGATATTTCTGCACAGTTTTGGAAGCAAGGATTCCTACTACAGTTTATTCATCAAAAGCTTAAGATCCTTCTTATTACGGTGTACGTTACAAACATGTAATACTCTATTTATTCCATATCCTGATACATTGACATAATTATGAAACCAACATAACGTCTATAAAGCGGCGAGATCCTCCAGGGATTTGCCTTCTACACGATGAATGATCCATTCAGCATGAGGTTCAGCGCCCAGCGATTCATAAAACTTTCGCGATGGCTCATTCCAGTCGAGGACAACCCACTCGTAACGTCCACATTCACGTTCTTTGGCCAAAGCAGCCAACTGGACGAGCAGCTTCTTGCCAACACCGAGGCCTCGATATTCAGGGAGGACAAACAAGTCCTCTAGGTAGAGACCAGGTCGTCCGAGGAATGTACTGAAGTTGTGGAAAAACAATGCCATGCCTGCAGGCTCTTTCTGTGCGTTTTCATCTTTCTGACAGTAAGCGATAATCACTTCGGCATAGGGACGGTCGCCGAAGAGGTTCTTTCTGAGAATTTCTTCGGTGGCAACGACTTGGTGAGCTAACTTTTCGTATTCTGCAAGTTGCTTAATGAATCCCAAAATAAGGGCGACATCATCAACGGTCGCGGGTCTAATTTCTATGGTGGCCATGATATCTAATGAAAAACAGGAGGGAAAAAGAAGGTGAGGAACCCGGCTTTCGTTTGACTCACGATGTGACTAGAGCTGTCAAACCCCGATGTCATGTTCCTGATCCAATCAGTTTTCGGAGATGAGAAACACTGATGACACCTTCCCCACTTTTATTAAAAATGTTTGCCAATTATCTCACCGCATGGAATACGGGCTATGTTGTTTAACCGGTTGCAAAAGTCTCTATATGATCTGCACTTCCGTTGGATGGACTACAATAATGCTGTATGATTCTCTAATTGAATCCTCTCTTTATCCTGGTTCTTTGAAATGAACTATGTTTTATTCAATGTCATTTTCAAATACTGCCTGTGTTTCCTGTGGTTTGCCAGGACCATGCTCGATCCACCAATCGCGACTGTCCCCACATCTGGGGCACGCTGAGGAAGCTGTATCCTTCCACTCAATCATTTTCTGCACTCCTTGCAATCTTTCAGAACATTCTCGTTCCAGGTTTACAGGTTGTCCCAACAATCCGAGCGTGCCTGAGAAAGCAATGTTGCTCTATCCAAAGGTCGGCCGTACTTCGTTGTTCTTCTTCAGCAGCAAGAGCTCTAGCCAATCAGCTTGCCCATTAAATCCAGCGAGACTGACCATGAGAGAAGAACGATCATAACGTTACAGGACACATTCGTTAAATGCCTTCAAGAAACACGACCGTTGCCATAACGAATGAGTTTGCTCGTTCAAGACATTTGTATTCCATTTCATCAGAACTGCCAACACAATCATCATCAAACGGCAAGAAAGAAAGAAAGAAAGAAAAGAAAAAAAATATTTGATGCAGGACGATACCACTATCCGAATTATCCTTTTGCACAAAAGATAATACGGAAAGCGGAATCGCGATCAACAAGATGCATCCGCCATTGGCAAATGCTGTGAGACTTCTTCAAGGGACAATGTTACTTTGCCGCCATCGAATCGCACCAATAAGTGTCGAACGAACTATAATTCAGGCTGAATGATAACAACGACACCATCAACTATTTTTCGGCAAGAAACATGGATGGACTCACTCAGCTTTAGAGAAATAACTGCGGGTAAAACTCCCAAGGCTGTACTCTCGCGCGCTATTCCTTTGAATCAATTCGCAATTAGTAAACCTAACTTGCGGAACTTGATCGATGAAATGGCGGAGAGCTAACCCATAACAGTAGCATTTCCTCTCGTCGAAGGTATTTCTATAGTTCCACTTGTTCATTTCTCAAGAGAACCGAATCTTTAATGGAATGGCTAATATGGGAAAATCATTCACGCTCTAAATTTACCCCTTGCAGCAGCATCGATCTAAATCGTGCACATTGGTGGCACAAATTCCCGCATGATGATGATGGTGTTTGCAGAAACTGAGGATCGCTATTTATAACCGAGGCAATTCGATATTCATCCAACGGTGTGTGGCTTAGTCCACTGTGCAATAACGCCCCATATCTTTCAACTATCATAGTTTTGACGAACGGCAGTAATAAAATACGAAAGTGACACTGTATGTACCTTATTTCTCCAGCGACATCAGAAGTGAAGGTTACGAGTAACTCGCTGATGACATTCAAAATCTCGCAATAATCTCATCTGAGAAACTCCAATACACTATATGCAATTATCAGTTTTAAGGTGGTAGTGAAGTGATCGCTCATAACAGTAAGCTTGCCGTTCTCAGTTAAAAGGAAAATGTAAAAATGGCTGTAAACAACCATACGCAGGCAGAGATCTTGTAATTTTTCAACGGCCTGAGATCCCATTTTAGAATTAGTGAAGATAGTAATGCCGTATGCATATTTCGGGCGAGTAAACTATGGCATATAGGCAGAAATATCATAGGTAGCCCTCATAGCCATGCGGCGAGGACGGAAACTCTCTTGGCAGTATCCAGCATAGGCAAAAGATATAGAAGTGAAGCAAAGGATAATTCGATGAGGTTCAGGAGTTGGGACGGGCTTGAGAGAAAGAGAATATCTCGGGTCATATGTTCAAAGATTGGATATATTTCGTCATGCTCTACAACAGAGACACAAAGGGCGACTATTTCAAAATGCAGAAAAAGACAAAGGAGCGTTTAGGACATTTGCAGAGGCGATGGAGCGGACCATATCGGCTTTGACGCTATAGCAGTCTCCTTGGAGAAATTTTTTCTCTTAAATAAGGAACGATTAACCGTATCTATAGCATAGTAGCGCCAGTAACTGAGATACAGCAGGACTGTTACCGTTTTTCCATCTATAACGAAGTGTATCCGCCTCTGGCTTTGTCACACTGCCCTTCACATTTCCGACGGTTTGAACGCGAACGTGACTGTATTCATCTGGGATGCTTTCGGGAAGACTCGATTCACCAATAGAGCGCCGTTGCTATGGAAATTCGATAGTCACAAAAAAATTTTCACTCCCAGTTTCAGCGACTCAAATTATTATAAATATGGAGTCGCATCGGGGTGGAAGGATGTTTTTTCTTTACGCTTGTAATATCACTTGGCAGGGCACGGTAGGAATCTCATAGTCGAATCTGATGTATTTATACTGAAAGGTTTGGCGGGGAGGTTTCGCTATAAATCTGTGTATATCCATCAAGTGAACAAGTACGATAGACGTTGCTTCGCGTAAGGGTGGTTGGGGTATGGATCCTTGAGCTAAGGTCTTCGGACTGGTGTTCGGTGAAGTCCTCGATTTCATCTGCAAGCATTCGCGATGATATATTCCTGAGCCTAAAGTATGCTGCTATGCGGCTTTGACTGGTGGCAAAACCATATCATTGATATTACTCAACTTTAAAAAAAGAACAATGAAGTAAATGAAAAAAGAACTCCCCCCAAATAAAAAAGCTTTTCCCGGAAGATATGAAAAAAAGGAAGGTGTTTCAATAAAAAAAAAACTTTTACCTTCTTACACAATGGCGTGTCTGTCTTTTTATTCAGTTTTGTGTAATTTATGACGTTCTCCTTGCTCTCTCACTAATTCTACACCTTCTACCATACGTTCTTTGGCCATCCTTGTGGCTTCTCCTGCAACAGCGGTAAAGATACGCTCGAGAGGTCCCCAGAGGTTAAGCGCATAGATGACATAACCGCAAGTGATGCAAAGAACGAAGAGAATGAGATAGATAGGGCTGGAAATGACCGCTAAAAACTCGTTCCAACCTAGCGCCATCATGACAACAATAAGCCACATGGGTATCTTGGCTGTGGTTGCGACCACTGAACGCTTTGCTTCCAGGTAGAATGCATCAGATTCCCGCTTGAAACGATTCGTAATGTCGATTTGTTTCGCCTCTCCCAACACAGTCAGAGATTGCTTGAAATCAAAATCCTGTTGAGATGATCAGTTACAACGTCAATCATGTGGTATTTTCTCCTGCGTTACTGGAGACTCACGTCTGTGGATTCTATTTCAAATTCGGGATCTTCGCTCAAATCGATTTTGGCAAATAAAGGTATCAGCGTGAGAGTCTAACCAAGATGTTACTTCACTGTTTTCGTCCTCGATTTGTTGAACTTTTTGTCCCTTACCTCATCCTTTGCACGCTTAAAGTGGCTATCAATATCATCCTCTGGTTTCCATACTCGAGGCAAACCATTTTCATCGTATCGGAATTTTTCTTCAAATCTGTAGAACAACGTTACTTCAAACATGGACACAAGAAAGAACGCTTGAATTAGCAAATGGTTAATACATACGTTGTCCGTAATTTCAGCAAGAGCATGTTGTCTGCCAACTCTTCATCGACCTTTTTACGTAAAACAATCCAAGCTTGTCGCTTCAAGCCAGCAATTGAATCTTCTAGCTCCTTCTCTGATGAATTGAAGTCTATTCAATTGTAAGTATGTATGGCCCTCGTTACCCATATGCGTATCCCTTACTCTTAGCCTTTTTCATCAGTACGTCTTGTCCGTGTTCGATTGTGCTATTGTACGCCTGAATAATCTTGTGCCATGCATCCGATGTTGGCTTGTTCAATATCAGTGACACAGGTTCTGACAACTCGTTTTCCACTTGTTTCTATATCATTCAGCGGTAAGACATGTGTATCTCTCAAGTCATATAATCATCATCATCAGCAGCATACAGTCAAAGCCTTGCTCATCTTCTTAAATTCATCGGCACGAGCTCGAGCAGATACTTCGGCGAACTCTTCCTCCAAAAGGCTGTGCTCGTGATCATAAGACCAATCGGTTTCAGGAAGAATGATATCTGTGAAACGAGTTAATACGAGCTCTACTGCAATGAGTGGATCTCGAACATACCTTTAGCACCGGTTAAGAAATACTCATTCGCAGACTTGAGACAGTCTTCAACAACCTGTCCAAAATTGTACGATGGCTTTTTCAACTCAGCCTAAGAGTAAAGTTTTTGAGTTATACAAACACTCAGAATGAAGCAATGAAGAATAAAAGTCGTACCATCAAATTTTCATCGAACATGGTGATGGCCTTCTTGTGGAGATTCTTAAGCTGACCCATGAAGTACACGTTCAACTGCGTATTCAACTTCGTCAACAATTCCTCGCGCTTCTTTTGATATACGCCTTGATGGTATCTGGACGCATTCTTATCAAAGGACTCGAGTGCTTCCGATCGAATCTTTTTCATCTCCTTCCCAAGGTCTGGGATCGTTTGTCCTTTTTGCAAAATGGGAGACTTGAATGGCGCTATCCGTTGCGAGAACACTTCAATAGCGGCCTATGACATTAGTAGAGTTAGATAATTGATTTCTTTTTGATATGATCAAGTGGGTCCTACGTTGGAGATTTCATCGCATCGATATTGTGCCAAAAGTTCTTGTTGAGTAGGCAAATCAAGGTCCTTATTGGTCAGAATTTTGTCCCAGATGCTAGATGCATACACGTGATAGCCGTCAGCAGGAATTCGCTTGTGATATTGAGGACGGAACACGAAATTAACGTCTTGGGGATCGTTAAATCTACGAGAAACACGTCAGATGTGGAATAATCGTTGAAAGGGCTATGCAGAATTACCTGTGTCGAAGTTTAGTCACTTCGTCATCGAACTTCTCGGGCAACAAAATTTTATGCGGCAGACCAGTATACATAAAGTCGAAATAATCATGGATCTTACAGTTCTCCAAACCCTCAGGCTAATGTCCAAAGAGAAAGTTGACTTAATATACTATATGCGGACTTGGTGCAATCATGATTCGTCATATTTACCTTGGATAACCCGTCCCAGATTTTCTCTAAATCAGCTTGAAGTGTTTTGGCCAAATTTTCCAGGGGCGTAGAACCGACGTGATCACGAATAACAATCAATAACAAGGTCTTCTCTTTGCTACAGTGGGATGAATATTAACAGATGGTAATTATCAAATATTTTTCGCCGGTCAGACATACCCATTTTGGTTCTGGAAGAGCTGTAAGTTCACTTCGAAGACGGTCTTCAACAAACCCATATTGGCGCCTTGGTACAAGCCCACTTGATGCTCCCACAAATTAAGAATGATCACTTCACTGGTCGCCATGGAGAATAGAGCCGATTTACGCTCAAAGTCCTGATCTTCGCCACGCTCACGACCGTCGGTACCTTCAACGTCCATGACAAGCACATGCATTCCTCGACCACGGGACATCCAAATACCCTTTGTCGTCTGACTTCTCTGCGCTTCGTTCATAACATCAAACGATGTTCCAAACAAACCATTTAACAGAGTACCTATCGTCACCTAAGCAAAAATGTTCACTTGTGTTTAAGATCCGTTATACCTACTTTTTCCGGTACTTTGGGAGCCAAAAACGGCGACAACATTATATTTGAATCCAGCATCGCCGAGCTTCCATTTATTCAAATATTCCGGTAGTTTATCGCTACAGGGCGAAATCATATTCTGTATTAGTAACTAGAAAACATGAAAAACGCGCAGCAAGCTTCAAACGCAATGACAAGGTCTGCCTTTCACATGTATATCGGAAAAGAAGAAGAATGTACATACGTAAAAGTCTGATGTTCGTCAACAATTTGAAGTCGAGGAATAGGTTTGGTATCTTGTTCCCAGTTTGTAGTAGAAATTCCTTCATTCGACGAGGTTGATTTCTCAGAGACATCGATTTCAGATTTATTGCTTTCGGGAGTAGCCATCGTCTCCATAATAACTTCGTCTTATGTAGTTACTAAGTGGTGTCCTTTGAATACCGAATTCTGTGCAATAAAGCAAATGCGCTATGCATTCTGTCATGCTTACCTGATAGTTTGAGAAGTTTGGCAGGAGAAAGAATATTGAGCCAAGTCCGCCTGCGTCAAACGCCTTGAAGTTATCAATCCAAGTGGCGCGACTCGGGTCTCCGTTCAGTGGGACCGGCCAATAAAATTTACGTCATTAGCTCCCTCACTGTTTGGCGCAATATGATTGGACAACTTGGTTAATCAGCAGCGCATGATGTTGGATACTTGCAAATGATCTTTCCTTTCTTTTGGATACTTCCCCAACCATTTTTAGGCAAGAACAACCTCCTTAGTGTTTCTCAATACGGCGAAACTGCAACAATACAGACATTTCCAATGCCCTATTTCCACTAGAAAAGCGAATTTTGCGAACTTACTGTTGTAACACTTCTGAGCTACAGAGTCGTCCGTGCTTTATCTCTATAATCCTGAATGTCTCGGATAGTGACCGTCGATACAATCGACAAAGACATATTATTATTCTTCACCTAAGTAAGATAGTCTGCGACTGGCTGAACGAGAACCAGCCAAGCTCGACCCCACATCTGCATATACTGTGCGGATTAGCAAACCTTAGTGACGCCAAAAACTGAACGTGTTTTTGATGGTTTTGAACAGATAATGAATTTCAGAATCTATAATATCTACTTAAATTACAACATCATCTTGAGAGGATTTTCCATGAATTCCTTGAAGGCCTGCAACCAGGTAGCACCGACAGCGCCATCCACCACACGGTGGTCAGCGCTCAAAGTAACTTCCATGACATCGCGGACAGCCACACCGCGTTCCTGTGTTGCGTCAGCGATCACCTTCTTCTGTGTACCACCAATGGCAAGAATGCATGCTCCAGGAGGGTTGATGATAGCAGTGAAGTGCTTGATACCGTACATTCCCAAGTTGGAAATAGTGAAGCTGCCACCTTGGTATTCATGGGGAGCCAGTTTACCATTGCGAGCACGACCGGCCATTTCCTTAACCTGAGAAGAAATAGTAGCCAAGCCCTTGGATTCAGCCTTGGTAACAATTGGAGTGATCAGACCAGTAGGGGTAGCGACCGCCACACAGATATCGGATGTATGATACCTAAAAATGGTCATGTTTAAGGGAATCTTTTCAACAAAGAAGGTAAAAAGGGTCTCAAGCTTACTGTCTGATGAAGTCGTTGTGCCAGGAGGCGTTCACTTCAGGCACCTTTTTCAAACTAAGAGCGGAAGCCTTGATGATGAAGTCGTTGACAGACAGCTTGTATTGACCGTTGCCCGATTTGTTGAGAACTTCACGGAGCTTGTTCACCTTGTCCATATTGATTTCCACGGTCAAATAATAATGAGGCACAGTCTGCTTGCACTCTTGCAAGCGGGAACCGATGATTTTTCTCATATTCGAGGTAGGGATATCGGCAAAAGCATCACCTGTGGCACTCTGAGGAGTATAGGCGGGAGCAGCGGCCTTGGGTGCGGAGGGTGCAGAAGCAGCTGGAGCAGCTAAAAACAATCTTAGTGTAGCACTCAAAACCATTGTATGGAACCAAGGAACAAGTGAAAGAGAAATTTACCAGGCTTCTGAACGGGTGTCTCCTGCTTAGCGGCCGCAGGCTTTTCCTCCTTCTACGCGCGAAATAGCAAAGTCAGTCATCAGAACCGTGTTTTCACCTCTAAAACATTACCTTTGCGGGTTCTGCGTCACGGTTCAAAAAGCCCAAGCTCAGTCCAGGAAATCATTTAATTCCAAATTTCGTTATGTTCACTTACCGAGAGTAGCGGGTGCAGCTTCTGCCTTTGTGGGTTCTTCCTTCTTAGCAGGAGCAGCATCTTCTACTTTATAGTCCTCGAAAGCAGCAATATCGGCCTCATCTTCAACGAGAATAGCAATGGGCTAATGTTTCATTCAATTACCAATTGCTCAGATAAAGAATAGCTTTGGAGAGCGTTTTGCTTACTTTGCCGACAGGAACATCCTTATCGCCCTCCTGAACCAGGATCTTGGCAATGAAGCCTTCTTCTTGACATTCAAAGTCCATTTGTGCCTTATCAGTCTCGATCTCCATCAGGACATCACCAGGTTGCAATTCATCTCCCACTTTCTTCTGGAAAGCACCGATCCCACCGGCCGTCATGCTATGTACCAATATATCAGCCGATTAAACTATTGTACTTCGCAGAGCCTAAAACGAGGTATCGCTTACGTAGGCGAAAGAGCGGGCATGGCAATGACGTTGTGAGCAGGATAAGCTAACGATAAATTTAGCCAATGATGATCCAGCCACGAAAATGCAATTTGTGTAGTTGCTTACCCTTTGCGCTGTAATACTTGGCATCCTTTGCAACGGTAGGTTGCGCCAAAGCGCGCAGTGCAATGAATTTAGGAGCCCTGCAATTACCGAGATTTAGCGATTGCCATGTCATAATAACCTAGTGGACCTACATGGAGGTAGAGAAACCGCGAGCTGCTTGCTGACCAGCAACAGGAAGCGCACGAGCCATTGCTCTGGAAGCGGCTACGCGTACGCTAGAGCCAAGAGTAGCGGATTTTCTCACAAACTGTTGTCTAGCAGCGAACATTGATGTGAACGGAAGAAACTAGAGAGGAACAAATCGGAAAACATAAGACGGATAATGGAGGAAAAAACGGGAAGTCTATCAATCTCCGCTTCAAAGGATAAGAAAATCGAGCTCGGCTGACGGAGATCCGACCTTGTCATATCGCGGGCTTCCGATTGCAGTGTCCATAAGGCTATATTTTGCTTGCCATACAAACAAGAAGAAAGCTTGCATTATGCGGTACAAGTAACCACTTCCTATTGACCTTTGACTTTTTCCAACTGATTTAATGGCTATCAAGAAAGGTGGTGGTGACGTTTATTCATCAAAACTGTTGGTTGCTACATACTGTCTATCAGCCATATTGATGATGCTGTTAGAAAGAAATCGTAATGTAAGTGATCATAATCGTAGCCATACTATTTATTCTTAGCTATGATGAGATATGCAAATGTTGCTGATGCACTCGTAGTAGCCAAGCGAAATTTCTTTTGAGGTCAGCAGTCTATACAATTGTCGGTTACAGATTAATGAAATATGCAGAATGAAAGCTGGAGTTAGCAAATGGATGCTAATTGGATTTCCTTGAAATTTACTGCAAAGGTTTGAGGCAAGTAAATGAGGTATTATCAGGTGCCATTATGCTAGATTTCTTTGCTGACGATGGTACAGACCCGCATTGTTGAACATGCTTTAAACGAATAACGAAAATTGGCTTGGATCCATCTAAAGTAATACACATACATAATTTGACATTTATCATTGTACCAAAAAAGCCTACTAATAGATGAAAGATACAACTCGTATATCACTGTCTACTACGCTGTTTTGGTTCGTCTTAAGGACAGTTTACCAAATATGGTCGACCGAAAAACCCTATTCATCTGGACGATAATATTGTCATTGAGATGTTATACACGATTGGCGGTTTTTTATTTTGATACTTAGACAAGCGAGTCATATGACAAAGTGAGAGTAGACCAATGGTCGGAACAATGAATCGAAAAATAGGGAGAGATCGTATGAATGAATAGCATTGTAGGTGTATGATGATGCTATGGCAATCGGTACACAAGCTAGCTAAAATAATCCCAAACCCTTAGGATTTCCAGGTAGAAAGCGTGATCGTGGACAATGAACAGGTTTCCACGTAATATCCAGTACACCGATGCCTAGGTTTCCTGCTGGAGCAATCTTTTGAAAGGCAGCAGGAGTCAAGTCAATGGCTTTGCCTAAATTTAGAATAAGTTATTTTACCGCTCTCAGGAGACTACATTGAAATAATGGGGAATCACTCCATGAAAGTATCGAAAGCAATTATATTTAGGACTGTCAAAGTGTGCTGACTGGTATGTGGAAAGAAATGAGAGAATGAAGTAGTAAAGCACTCACCGACTTTGCAGGCTGCGCATTTATCGACAATTTTCACAATCACTGAAAGAGCGGGAATCCGGTTATTGGTGATTTTGACGCACTTATAGCATTGCTCGAAATCGTTCATTGCCTGAAATATGACACATATTATAAAACTGGTACGGCAAAACGCATATTATGATGAAACATACCATGGCACCAATCATACTATGAGTCGATGCATGGTAAGGCGCAAGACCTTTGCGATCATAGCAAGCAGCGTTTCGAAGATCGCTTCCTGAATACCTAGTTCGTATGTCGTGCATAAGCGGGACGATGTCAAAAAGTTTCTTTTAGGGTAACGGAAAATTTACCATGTACCACGTCCACCACGCTTCTCCAGTCCAGAACTGGTCGAATCATCTTCGATTTGCATGACTGTTGCGATACCGCGCGTTCCAAGTGCGCTAGCAGCCTGTGCCACCGATACTAATGTACAATAAATTCCCATATATAATGTGGTAAGGACAACGATTCTCATGTTAAAATTGGCTGGGGAAAGTGATAAGAACGTTGGAAAGAATAATGAGTGGAAAGGGGCCAGAGGCAATAAGTCGGGTTTGTTCGCAAAAGAGAAATAGAGATAAAAGTGAAGATGGTAAAGACTCGGCTGGCAAATATAAAGAGATCCGTCGGATAGGGGGAAAATCTATTGAGATAGAAGGGGTTTCCGGTTTAGGGTCTGATCAGTTTAGATGGACAAAAAAAGGAAGGCTGCTGAAAAAATTCCAAAGACACACTGCGAAGAGAGGTCGCTGTGTGTATAACAATTAATGCATTAGAGAAGAAAGTAAATTGAAAAAAGGGGAATACATCGTGCTCTTCTATCGGGTTTCGAGACGGACTTTAGCCTGCTTAGACGATTTGCAGCTGCTTCATAGCTTAATGTGCTCAGAAGCAAACAATGAAGCACTCGGTTTGTCATGCACGCCTTCCGCTTTCTTCGTTAAACGCTAAAGAGCCATACACACCACGTTCCTAGTTTAAGATCCTTTTCTCTAAACGGGCCATGTGTGTCAAATCTGTTGTGTACTGATCCCTTGCTGACCCATAGTCATAAATGATTCGATTGGTTATTTTGCTCCTCTCTCAGACACTCATTCTCGAGTAATTCATATGGTTCCTCACATAGCTGACCTATATTACATTTATTGCGATATTAAACTATTGCATTTTTTTTTTACTATGACGTAGTCCAACATCAGCTGTAATTATGAAATCTTTCGCGGTAAATAGACCATACTATGCTTTTTTTTCTCATATGAAAGGAAAGAATATAGATTGATCAAGATACTCTTATATCTATCTGTATCAACCACTGTATCTCCATTGTTTCGTGCTTCTCCGCATTGAACTTTGCATATAATGGGTTCATCCGTTTCCAGAGTCTCGAACAAAACTCAGGGATAAATTGGATCCTTAATTTGTTCGGTCCGGCAAACTCTGCTGCTCATTTACTGATGTCTCGCTATAAACTCATAAGCATTTCTATTGGTCTCCCTGAAATAAAGGGAAATTCCAATGCTTCCTTAATTTTTCTTCTTCTCGTATCTCAGTCGAGGAAATTAAAGTATCCTATACATGTCTAGTAAATCTATGCATTGCTTTAGTAAATCTTCTTATTCCATAATCGTTCTAATCTATGAAACCAATACGTTCTATTGTATTTTATAAAGGATGCTGATACCGCCGCTTTTTTCGCAATTCCGAAGACCCTTTTCAAGCTTTAGTAAACCATGTAGGTTGATATGAGTTCTAGGCAAAATGCTCATTTATAGTACAGGTAAACGCGTCGCATTATGCATGCTGTTTCATATCCTCTCTGCAAGGACTTAAAATAAGTGTTCCTAATAGATCGATTTTGCAAATGCTGGAATGCACATTACTCTTATTCGATTAGTTTTTCACTGTAACCATTTTGTAGTTGTATGATTCTGCTTATTACATTTTATTTATACCAAGCTGTACACCCACCGGGTGCCGCCTGTTACTGGAGGGTAACCCTCTTACATTGGGTGACTTCCGTCAGACAAAAGTCTAATGTATAAATAAAGCATAACCTGAGCGAGACTCTTGATGAGATTTTGGTATAAATTAATGACAACCTTATGGCATCTCTTACAACATGAGTTGTGTCTGAACATGCGCAAAGCAGCACTGGTTCCCCCCCTCTCTCTCTCTCTCTCTCTCTCTCTCTCTCTCTCTCTCCGTTCCTCCCGCCCAGGGTATGGATGTCGACCGGTTCAGATACACTGGATAACCATATTCTGGATGATGGATGCGGATGCAATGATTGAGGGGTTTCCACTCAAAGAGAAAGAGAGACAAAAACCAAAGACCAAAGAAAAAATGAAGACAAAATACTGTATGATGTGATATCCCATGGATGAACACTATATGCCCCACTGATGCAATGAATGATGAGCTGCACAGATCGAAGCATGCCTGCTCGTGTATCATTCGACCATTGAAAGCTGAAGAAAATTTAAAAGGAAATATACAGTATAACTGACAAAATCCTAATAAATGATGCTACAGAACGCCAGACTCACGTACCATCAATCACCTTACAAAGAGATCTCTACGCACATTATATGTTTTCACGTCCGCTGTCCGACTTATGTAAGTAACCACGAGATCCGCAGTGCCTTCTTTGTGTTTTCGTTACTTCTGTGGTGTCATCTGCATTGCTTTCAGGACGATTGATTGACTTTACGGGAAAAGCAATGGAGGTAAGGAAATTTAGGATGATGACCAGCTCCGATCGTAATGAAATCGAGAAATTAATTCCATAAAGGAGTAGTAAGAGAGCAAAGAGTCGACTTTTCTTATTGTGAACACTGTTATTTGATGTATCTGCTTTTTACGCCCTACATGATGGCAGTAAAACAATGAAAATCCTTGCATGTGGCAAGCATGCTTTCTCCAGTGACAGTTAACGATTTTGTGGGGTCATTGTTTGTTATAACAAAGTTAGGAAACGACAATACGCGGCATATATCATAATCAAATTTAAAGATAAGGTATAGGATATGACTCACGAACTAATCTTATAGCGTCTTTAAAATATGATCTATGACATTGTTTGGTCGTTCAAATCAAAAGTGTTGTATTTTAGAGTTAGAAATTGAGTTCAATACGCAGAAAAGTAAAATTAAAGGCTGGTTCTATAGTAGAGACGTCAACGTTTTGAAAAAACATAGTTTTGGTATGATGAATGATTAAGCTGTAATCTGGAACTTGAAGATAAGAAAAAATGACTTCCATAAAAACAGCTCTTTGAGCATAATTTAATTATAATTTATTGGCATTCAATATGCACGGATTTAAGACAGGAAAGAGTCAACTGCAATGGCTGTTTTCCTAGGATGATGAGACGATAGGCATTCTTTTTCGTCCGTTGGTTGTGATTCCTTCAAATTTCTTATGCTTCACATGTCGAACACCAAGTTCATCGCATCTATTTAACGCCAGATTGAGCCGGATTATCAATCGATGTTGGAAGCTGTAACTGTTGTATTCTAACGCTTGCTCCCACAACTTTCGACTTTTAGACCGATTTTGCATCCCCCAGCTGGTGATGCCCGCTTCTATATTTATACGGAAACGTGTAAGAATACTGGTTCAAGCACAATAGTCACGATGTGGTGTTACCCCAAAGACTGAATGGAATAACCCATTTTTCGCCCTTGATATCGCTACGATGGTCTAGTATCCAGTTGAGATGAGTTATAGCTTCATGATATTGATGAAGTGCGTTGAAAACCGAGGCTTGAATGAGTAGTAGAATGGATCGCTGCTCTGTGTAGTCAGGTGGCGATCTCGAGGGAGCCAGTTCTCGGAGTCGGATACTGTATTCGGATTTCTCCCGTTCATAAATGCTTTCCAGTTTTTGAAGTACAACCACTAAGCATTGCTCGAGCGTCTCATTATCCATCTGCTCGAAAGCGTTCCATAAAAGGATCATTTCCAGCCCTGGGACGCAAAAATCCATATCCTGGTAGCCGCTGCATTGATAAAATTCCACTTTCTTTTCTGCATAGGTGTCTATGTATGTCTTCTGGTTCTGGTATTCTTTTGCCATCTGTGACAGCTTCGCGAATGCCAGTATACTGTCGGTACGTGAACCCTGCATCTCATAAGATGCCCCCACCATATACTGACAGAAGATCGGCGACCAATATTTTTGCTGGCTTAATTCGTCAAACCTGGCTGCTGCGTTTTTCCAGTCGAGTTGCAAAATATGACTCAGTGCTATTTCATAATCGGTTAGCTGCTTCATTGCTGCTTCCGGCCATTCTCCTTGAGCGGATTCGGCAGCAAACTTCAAGGATCGAATAGACAGCGTCATATTATTGGCATTGCGCGCGACTCTTGCAGCGTAATATAGGAAAAAGCAGGAACGTGGATGATTTTCCTGTGCCGCAGATAAGCAGTCGACAGTAGCTTCCTGAAATTCTTCTCTGTACATTTGTGGTATAGTTGCCGTCATTTCCGAATAATAAGCCAACATCCTACATAACAGATGCCTGGCTTAATGCGAGTATCTTGTCAACATTGGTCCATCATCACTTACAACAGAGAGGCTAATGGCGCCCGTATTCCCTTTCCCTCGATACAAAGCTTCAGCAATGCTACTGCCAATTGCTTGTCGCTCTTCCAGCCTAAAGTGGAAAATATCTTGTGTACCTTAGGCGGTAATGACAACAGCAAAAGGTGAATTGCGGCAATGCCAAACTGAATAGCAGAAACCGTATCACGGTCCATGTACTTTGTGTACTCTTGCCCCATACGCTTATATTCTTGCCATACAATCGTGTAATCACTATAAGCTACAGGATACCCCAGTTATAAATGGATACTCATGTTAATATAATACTTGTATTACCTCGGCGAAGGTTCAGTCCGCATTTTAGATATTCCATAGTGTTTTCATGTGTCATTTGTAGTATTCCCATAAGCAGGCAGCTTTCACCTCTAATGGCGTGAGCACGCAGGATACCGTTAGGAACAAAACTTGCTTTTGAAGCTCCAGCTGTGTCCGAATGACTGGCGGACACTGGGCTTGCATATGTCATTGGTAATCCAGTACGGTTGCTCATTTTCAATGACGAAAAATATTGAGACAAAGACGATCTGAACGGGCGTTTCAGCGTTTCATTATCGCATTGCGCTTTAGCAATTGCATACGTCGAAGCAAGCGAATTCATGGCGATTTGTCGATCGGTTTCATCATGGGTCTACCACAGTGATATCAGAAATAATCAAAAAATGCACTGCCGAGGTTGCCTTACAATCAGCGCTATATCATTAGAACAGTCAGAAGATAGGAAATAGTGCGAGAAACAAGTATGTATGCTAAAAACTTTTACCTTTCATGGATGCCATAACACCAAGCTGTAAAGCGTACAAGGGCTCTCTGTCGAGTACACCATCAGTTACCATAAATCTAAAATAGCTGCCTCTGATAATTTACCTATCGGCTTTAGAATGAAATACTGCCTTTGCTTTCATAAATTGGTTATTGAACAACAGTTTGACCGCATCTCGGATCGGATGATCTGATGTTTGCGTTGGCGTTATGAGTTGTAGAATTGAAAAAGAAAAAAAATTCGAATGCCGTATTTACCAGCCTCTTCCTGCTCTCTAGGACAGAGAGTGTTTGGTGATACTTGTCTGGTGTCTACATCGGACGGGATAACAAAACTGTCTCGAATCATGTCTAGTTGGATCTCCCGTTTGCTAGAATCATCGTGGATATCAAAATATGTTTCGTTCATTAACAAGCCTTCGTTATTGGCAGACACTGGGTCAGATTCCGCGTCCGCATTTAGCCCACGAGCGTATTCTTCTATAGCTGGCAGAATACATCCGAGACAGTCGCGTTCATCGGTGGAAGATCTTGCCGATTTTGTAAGGTTCCATAACGTCGATCCGCTAGGCTCGTCTACCCAAATTTCTGTCGTTCCCGCACCAGCGCGATGGAACACTTCTCCAGTTACTGGAGAGATGATGGTTTCTTCCATGCTACTTCGAAGTTCTCGTCTTGTTGTTGGCAATGCTTCGGCATGCGTCACATAACGTCCAATTGCTAGGGATTCGACTTCTTCCTTGGATTCAGATAAGCCCTCGACGGTTTCATCTGATTTGTCGGCTCCCGCACACCGCTCTGTTTTGGGATGATTTTTATTTTTCCGATTTTCCTTCGTCCCCAAATCACCACAGGCATCTTCAAAAACATCATCGTCCGTGGGAGTAACTGGATGATCACTTGACTTGGCATGACATTCCGACTCAGTTGGAAGAAGTACATCTGGCATATCAGAGGAGGATTCTGCCCAATCTTTCATTTCAGTACAAGACAGTACCTGTCGTTTCCGACCGCGAATCCATCTGTCAGTAAGGTTACCTCCCTTATTAGCCACAATACTCTCTTGCTCATTTACGGCTATGATTTCTTTGTACACCATTTCCACATGTGTTTCTGTAGCATCAAAGAATACGACGCTTGTATCATTGTATGACATCGTGCACGAATATAAGGTACGCTGAGTTCAGTAATGAATAACAGTAAAAGAGGTTTGAATGGTGTGCTCAGGTTTCCTTTACATATTATTAAAAGTGGCTGAAGGGGCAGTATATTACACTAATCTATCGCTGATGTTCCCCTTATTTCATAAGCACCCCTTTTTCTTGATTTACACATTAAATGAAAAGCAAAATGTGGTTTGTCAGTCGTGGTTTGACATATGGTAGTTATGGTTTTATCTCGTAAAAAATGCAGCTGTAACCTGGCTTTCTGCGGATGTCTCACATGAAGCACTGGCAGTGAAAGATTCATGCACGGGTGACAAACGTTTTTGGCACTTTATTCAAAAGGAAATTACTTCACTGGGTTTAAATTGTAATCGTTTTCTTCATGTTTCCTCACGACTTGCCTCAACTACAACCGAGAAGTATATAAAGACAATGAATAACCGCATCCACGGAGTCCATGTCATCAGACAGCAAAGTGTGTGCGCTTAGATTATCCTTGGGCCGTATGAGATAGGCCCATGTATTGGTTTGAATTTATCATAGTCGGGTTTTGGATAGAGAATACATCAGAGTAAAAAGAACGGCTAGATCATAGCTAACGGGAAAGCCAAATGCAGCAACATTGATGAAGGCTCCACAATAACCGTTAGGACATTATTTCCATTGATCGCGCCATAGAAAGTACATAGAAAGGAAGTGCTCAATCTTGAATGCCGATTGGAGCTAGATGTCAGCATGGAGTCATTGATTTCATTGTAAACCTCCTCAACAGTTGCACACATTGATAAAGTTTGATCAGCACTTCTCTGCGTTATATTACTATTAGCAAGAGTTAACGCAACTTGCAATTAATGTCCAACGCTTGAATAGTATAGATGCATTGCATTTTGCATCGGGATATCTTCAGTCTCCCATGGTTACCAATATTCTTGTTTTGCTTTAATGTGATTTCGAAAGTCCAATCTATGAGGGGAACCGTAATTGCATGAACAACACGAGCGATATACATACGGAGCATAAGAGCAGCTGCAGAGCCATATACCGATAGTAAAACAAGTAAAAACAAGTAAAAAGTGCCCAACGTTTGTGGAACTTTAACAAATGTTCTGGCCAAAAGAATAAAGAAATATCGAAGGATGAATTGCAGCACTATAATCGTAAGATTTAAAGAACCATATCTTGATAAGTGAGGAGTATGACGATATACCTCAAGGAATTCAAAACTGCAGATTGAGACAATGTACAACCGGCTGCAGATGACAACGCGGTGACGTTTTACGCGTTGTCATGCCAAAACCTTTTCGAGTGTTAATATTCATTTCCTAAAGATCATGCATCTTCGATCGTTTGCAGCTTAATTTTGTCTTCTCGGTGTTAATTTTCCCCTTTTCTTTTCTTTTTTTTTTTCCATCGAACAGCTCAAATGATCTGATATATATCGAAAAATACTATATCTGATGTTCACAACTTTCAACCCAAACAGTTTATACTTTCTACCTCGCAGACACCTGTAACAGTATGTAAAAGAGGCTAAGAGCCTGAGGAAAAAAGATAAAAAAAAAGGAAGCGACAGAAATAAGAATAAAAAGAATACTGAGGTGAAAATACAATCCCGAACAAAGGTTTAAGTATGCAATGATATTTATACTGAAGCTGATGAATAAAATAAAGGCCACGGTAAAATAGCCACAGAGCGGCCTATGGAGATAAACCCACAGGATTAGAATTATCTGCATTATGCGATCTCAGCTTGCGCTCAGAAACAATAATACAAGAGGCTTAATTATGATATAGTATCAGAATAGAAAGATTATATCAATGACAAGATTTACCGAATCAATAAATGAATTACATAGTCAAAGAGTTATATACATAATAACGGGACTGTAATAGAGACGAACCAGAAAAACATTCAGATATGAAAAAAAAGACCGTTTTAGAGGAGTACAGTCATCGATCAACCGGTGGAATGCAGACTTCGCCACAAATTTCCATAAAATAGAAACGGAAAAGCAAAATTCGTAATGATCCACCTACCTTATACACCGTGTTGGTGGATACAATTATCTTCGCAACCGGAACATGATTTCAAAGCGAAATGAATGGTTGTCACGGAGTCCGGGTAAATATTTAGCCGTTTGATATTACCAACAACAGCAAGATTGTACAAAAAAGATCGGGGATGTAGCTCAAATGGTAGAGCGCTCGCTTAGCATGCGAGAGGCACTGGGATCGACGCCCAGCTTCTCCACTTTTTGTTTTTGTTTCGCATTTTTTTTTAGCAAGCATAGTTTAGCAATTGTAGTTTCATTGAAAAACAAGCAAGCATTTTATTTTTAGATAAGGTCCAGCGAGAAAAAAAGTAAAATGGGCTTTGTTTTGTCAAGAGTGAATGAACACGCGTCTGTGGCGGACTATTGTTCGCCTTGGATCGAAATAAATTAAAAAAAACCTTGTGGGAAAGTCGAAGGGTAAAGGACGCACTAGGAAGCGTGGGGGGGACTTAGAAGGGCAGAAAAAAAAAAGAGAAAAAAAGGTGATAAAATAAAATGAAAGAAAAAGAAATAAAGAGAGCAAGAAAAAAAGGTGGGCATCGACAGCAAGAAAATTAGATGTGGGTGGGCGGCAAGCAGAGAGCAGGAACCTTGGGTAGGCAGAGATTCGAAGCTTATTAAGATCCCGTTTTATGGAACTCCAGGAAAGTGTGTGCAAGGGGTTTACTGTCGGTATCTTGCTGGAACTTTCGTCAAGGGGACTGGAAGAGAGAGTAAAGCTGTAAATAAAGTCGGCTGGAAGGTGGATGAGCGTATAAGGAATTTACAGATCAGATAGAGGAGCGCTGAGAAGCGGGAGATTGGTTACATGGTGAAGAATTGTGTGCAAGAGGTCCGATAGCCACCAAAAATTTTGCCAAGACAGGTACTTTGGTTACGGTTTAATAACCCAGAGATGGCGCTGAAAGAGTGGAGTGATGACAAACCATATTCGCACATTGTGCAAATGAATTGGTAGCTACAACTGGACGGCCAATAAGCGGGGGAAAGCCAAAGGGCCGAGCTCTATTCACTATTGTCGTAAGCGAAATTATGTTTAGAAAGCAAGAGCATAGATGTGGCCATGTTGCAATTCATAGCAGACGCTCAGTTCTTGGAGTCCTAGTACCTGACCCAAGATACCACGGTGTTCCCGCGGAACCTAATTCCGGTAATATTGAGCTGGGGATAGCATTCGTAAAACGGATTTCTTAGACTGATTACCAGTGCCTTGCGGAAAATCGACGACAAGCTGATAGAGCAATAGTTGGCCGAATCGTTACGGCAAGCTTTTTAAATAGGTGCACTTCGGCTATTCTCCAGGAAGTAGGAGTGGTAGGCTGACTCCAGCAAATAATGAGAAGGATGGTGAAGGGTCGTGAGAGTACTGTATATCAGCAATTGATCTTAAAAATTTCACCACGGAAATGGTTACATCCGGAGCATTTCCCGATTTCCAGCAAGAGTTAACCCGGAACTGTCGAAGAAGGACTCAACAAATATATTGATTTTGAACTAAGGTGTATTGATTTTGCCTTATGCGCCTATGCGAGCATATAGCTTTGACAATCTACCATTCACACATAGTCAGAAACAGGCCAAAAAGGATCAGAAAATATCATCTTTCAGATGATTAATTGCTGCCACGGTCTACTAAGGACATGGCGAGTAAAGAGCAGCTGGTTACACTTTCAAAAACAATCGGCGGAAAGCACTTTTTAATCAAGCGGTTCTGTGAATAATTTTGTCAAGATACAGTATACCACTGAATGCTGATTTAGCTGGGGAGAAAGACCGATATGGCGGCGCACAAACCGCCAACAGGAGATCAGATAAAAATGCTTGCGAAAAACGCATAAGCTTAAGATACCATCTACAGCGCCGGCGTAAGCTAAACATGATGTTGATACCAAAATAAACTATAATCTAAAGGCATTGGTATCGACGTAGTCGGATAAAAACTTACTCAGGGATGACAAACAAAGGGAGGACTCGTGGATCAGTAGAACAGTAGATTTGTCATTGAAATTGCAGGAAGGTGCAACAAAAATTTTGTGGTCGGCTAATTTCGCCCAGGTCGGATACCCTCTCCCGTGATCCTTCTACAACAACGAGAGGTGAAGCAGAATTATGAGTAGCGCCTCAGAAGAAAGAGGCAATGATACTGTATTACAGCAAGAAAGTCTGCAACTCATGATAGACGGAACGCTGACTGAAAAACGTGGGCCATGCGCTTCTATGATCTTACATGTAGAGGCTCTCCTAGGGAAAACGCGATTAAATAGTAAAGGGCTGTATAGATTCTGTTCGTTGACCGTCAAATACAATACGAAAACAGGGTTCAAAATGAAGAAATGCCGTCGGAGAGGAAGAAAGTTGGCTATATCATCATTTCAATACATAGGCCGAATTAAACACCCATAGTTGATGAAAGGCGAAAAAAATAAAAAAAACTGTGGATATTGAAATTTAACGAAAAACTACTAATTGCCTATGGAGCCACTCCAGGGAGAAATAGAACGAATGGATAAGAAATACTAATAGATAGAGGGACTGTAAGTGATATATATACAGCTTCATACAAGTAATCAACAACGAACTCCACACCATTATCTCGTCATCCATTTTTTCTCTATCTCTTATCGCAGAACATTTCCGTTATTTTTATTTTTCAGTATATAACATATTTCTCCCTTATAGAAAAACAAATAGGAATAGAAAGTGAAAAGAAATTTATGAGCAAATTTCGTTACGAAACGATTTGACAATCAAATGGCAAGGTAAAATATCTTGGAACAAACTTCCGGACTATCTTACTGCAGAATTAAGATACCCACAAGTCTGTCTAAATCCAACTTAGCCAAAACAGAAAAAAAACAGAGGGTGTCAATAGATGTTGCTTTGTTACTTAACTGGTAGTGGAAACGATACCACAGTGCATGGTGTTAAAACTGGATTCATTAGCCAGGCCATCCGCGTGAAACCCGCTCAACGATTGGAGATTTACTGAGTTTCAATATGAATTAGACACAGAGTCGTGAAACTGCACGTTTTTTTTTCCAATTTGTATTCCGTACTTGTTACAGTCCCAACGCAATTTTACAATTTCTCTAGGCATGCCAGCCGACTCGTCGAAAAAGTTTGCAGTAGGCGATAATGAAGGAGCACTGGTATCACCTCCTACCAATACTGGAGCCATGGTTCACACAGCTCATAAGAAGCCTACCCGACACCATGTGAAACGAAGATCGAGTGGCCGAGTTCATGTTACCAAGTTGGCTCCCATGGCAAGAGCATACAGCAGCAACACAATTCACACAGACGCGGAAGGAGACGAGGGGGTAGTTGAGAAAAAGCCAGTTATGCGTCGGTCGCAATCGCAACGGTCACTGCACCGTTTATCCTCTTTCGAGCGAAAAGGCGGCATCAGCAACTTAACAGCGGCCAATGTCCCGAAATCGCAGCAACCGCCTACGAAGACAACAGTTAACAATGCGTTGGAGACAGGCAAAGTAACCCCGTTGGCTAACTTACCTACCACGGGCGATGTCATAGCTGAAGAACAGAACAAGGAAGAAAAATCAGAGGACATAGGCAAACCTACTCCTTCGCAATCATCGCCCTCCGCTTCCCAAGACAATGAAAACGGCAATTGCACCATTGAAGAAGATGTGAGCCAAGAACATGGATACCATCAACGTCGGCGAAGTAACCCCGGTTTCTTCGTTTCCCAACAAGGACCTGCTGCCCCGGTCGAACAGATTTTCAATGCAATGGCCAACAATCTGGTGGCTCCGGACAAAGCGGCCGTATCAACCATCACCCATGCATCTCCCACTCAATCTTCGCCAGTCACGGATATAAGTGCTCGAAAAAAGCCTTTACTACGATCACACTTTGTAGACGATCATGCTGATTGGCATGCATCGGCTGTTTCACCGGATCCTCACCATTCCTCACATAGCCGACCGAATTCTGGAGTGGATGTTTCGAGGGCGAAGTTTATGAGTAATGGTGCAGTGGCAGCAACTGCACAATCGGCTGGAATGACACGAACGCAACAAAAGATGATGCTGCAGAAACAGCACTCATTAGTGGATGATGAAAACAGTCTGGCTCATCCCCGGAATATGATTCGCCTCACTCGAGAATTAGAACGCATGGGGCGGGAATATCGATGCATGCGACGATTTGAGGACCCAATGATGGAAAGTTTATTACGATGTATGGCCCAAAAAGAAGAGGAACAACGACCACAAAAGATGCACCCGCGATTAGCAAGTCTAGGTGCTCATCAACGGACAATGTCATCTTCTATCCTGCCTACTGCATCTCAGTCTGACTCATCCTTGGCCGTCAAACCTCACGTGGAACATCGACAAGCCGCTCATCGACGCCAGCTATTATTAAAATCCCTGGCCTCTTCCAATCATCTCCCGAACAAACACCTTTCACAACAAGCGGTTCAATCACCCAACACACCAAAAACGGGCATACGATGGAGCGCCGGAGCTTTCTTAGATAGAATGCTCCACGGATAACTGGTGTCATTCGAATCTATCCGTTCCTTTGTCCGCTCCTTTTACGCCCTATCGCTCGATCGAGTGCCTCCATCGTTGCTGTTTGAACCTCTAATGTAATGTATTTCTTCTCCCGGAGGGTTATTGTTTTATTTAGTATAGGTTGGGTTTTCTTGGGAACGAATAATAAAAGACAATTTTATACCAACTATGACAGTATTAATTCCAGCATACCATGCGTCCACTTCCGTTGCCGGCCAACAATGTAATTGTCGGTGTAGTTGGATGAAACTGCGCCACAGCAGGTACAGCAGTGATATGGTCCCCATCGTACAATGTCGCGATTTCCTCGCCATTTTCACCCGAGTAGATTTCCAATGGATGCTTCATGCTTCCAATAACGAAATGCTGATGGTCCAAAGCTGCTGTTGCCGAACTTTTATTCCACCTTGCCCGGAAATTGGTGACCCATCTGGATAATCGATTACGTAAGGACTCCATAAGTGCTGGTGGCATACCGTATATACTTACTTCCCTGTATGATTATTATGCTTTATCGCAGATTGTAGTGTCATCTCGTTCGGACTTTGCATATCAAATATTCGGATGTAATCGTCATATGATGTAGTTGCCAATTTGTTACCTAGGGGAGACCAATATGCGCTTGTCACAGAGTATCCATGTTCAAATTCATGTACTGGTTCGTAATGTGCCGCTTTGTTTCCGGTTAACATGCGACTATCCCAGATTGTGGCAGTTCGATCATTACTGGCCAAGGCTATTAAATTTTGATCTGTTGGGTGAAGATCGATGCAGCCAATCTTTTTGTCTCTCAGTTGAAAAATCGATGGGTCGGCCCGAGAGCGAAAATCTTTCATGCAAAGTTCACCATCGGACGTAGAGAACCAAATCTGTGGTAATCAGTCAATTTACTAGCGACACTAAGCGTCCATAGGAATACTTACTGTACGACCGTCATTCGTAATATCGAAATTTGTGAATGGGAAACTTTCTAACCCCATGGAAACAGCTTCGAAAGATGCATGCTCCATGTCGAAACACTGCAAAACTCCATCATACGACGATGTGAACAGTTTGGAGGGATTGGCAGGGTTAAACTTTAAGTCCGTAATTGTTCGAGTATGAGGTCGATACATGTAGACAACGGGATCCGCTTCACCAGCTTCATCTGCTTCTTTGCTTCCTTCCACATCCCAGAATCCCAGATAGCCTGATACGTCTCCTGCGCAAGCTAACAATTTCGTATTTGAAGGATGAAATCTATTACAGACGTAAGTAGAGGGATCGTATACTGTAGTAACATAAGAAGGTTACTAACACGCTGCAGTTGATTCTTTCTTGCGTGACTTTGACCGTGGCCCAGATGTGTTTGATGGATAACGTTGATGTCAGCTTTGATAATTCGCACGTCGAAGCTTTCTGATTCGTCATCTCTCGCTTCACAGGTTCTGTATTAGGAATCTTGCGGACAGTATTTAACAAAGCGAGAAACTCTTTTTCATCCGATTGATCCAATTTCTCGATCTTTCGTGCTTTATTGCTGGGTGCTTCGGCGGATTGATCTCGCGCTTGACGTTTGATATGGTCTTCATTGTCTGCTGCAATTCCTCGAAGACGCGCAGAAACCCGGGTAGGCTGAGCTATCTCCTTCTTCACTTTCTTTGGTACATGTTGTTTGACTAATTTCTTTTTTGGTGATTGAGACCGATCGATCAGATTGGGGACCCTTAACTCTTGCAAAAGTTGCTGATTACGACTACAAAAAACTTGTTCAATACCATTGGCGATCTCAGATGAGCATTCTCTTACGCTATGTTCGCTTGGCGCTGTTTTTCGTATTCAGAAAGTTCCTGCTTCATTTATATTCTATTGGCAAAGCGGTCGAAAGTGATTTCTGACAGCAGTTTGAAATTAAAAAGAAAAAATGCTGCGCCTTGATGAAAGCTTGATCTCCACTGACAGTCACTTTGAAGGCACAGTGCAGATGTCGCGGATCAAGTGAAAAGTCTTGTTCAGTGATTTCATGGCATTTATTGTGGAAACATCATATCGTTCCTCCGTTAATTCCCTTTGTCATAAATTACTGAATAAAGGGTATTCGACTCTGAAAAATACCCTGAAGGCATTTGTATTATATCTTTAAGATTGCAGGGCATTCATAGCTTGTCCACAGGCAAGCCTCTAAAGTGGTTTACTGCACAGTCTAATGGAATCGAATCAAGGGTTCTCTTTATCTTAACACGCACACAAAGTGCTTGTTATCAGATGCCAGCCTCTTCCATTGAAGAGCGATTCATGGATTACAATAAAAAAAATTATCACAACTGTCCATTCCGCCTGAATAGAGGCTTTCAGTGTTGTTGCACGCCATGCGTAAAAGACGGACTGGATCTTCTTGGCTGCCATCCAGTCCCTGTTATGGTACGATTTGCTCGTAAGTGGAGCGTGGACCTTGGCTCTTTCTACGTCGATGGATGGGCGTTCCTTTTTCTTCTCTAATTTTCTCGTCTGATATTGTGGGCAAATTGGCGATATCACACGCTCATCGATTATGCTTATTTTTCCCTGATTTATTGGCTCCTTTATCCCCAGTGCTGCTTTTAGACTCGAATTAAGAATGATTTCGGTTTTCTCTCCAAGAAGCCTACTTCAGTCGTTTCACGACCAATTTCCTCGGTATATCTAGCTTTCCTCTCACCGTTACCGAGAAGAAACCGTTTCGAAATGCGAACACAATGTTATGCATATCGTCTATACAATCTTTGAATTTTTCGCCATTATTTCTGGAGTATGATCGTTGCAAGTGCGGCCGTTCGGCTGTGTGTGTTGCTGTCCCTAAGACCGTATGTCTCCATTTCTGTGATACCTTTTTGCCTGTTCATATATGTTTCAATTTGAGCCTATTGTATCTACCAAAGCCATATTATCCGGGCAAATAGTCAAACAATGAGAAACAGGTAAATACTATCTGCTATCAGAATTATAGAATCCCTGACGGCGTCGTGAACCATTCAAAGGATACTGAACAGCAGTGATGAGAAGACGTTTAAATCAACCAACTTCTCAATGCCAATAATGCGCTCGACATCGGAGCCGCGTTCCAAAGCGATTTCTTATGGCAGCAAATTTTTTTTCTTTTCGCGAATGGCGTACCGGATACGATGGGCTTATCGTCACAACCATACTCAGTAACAAAGTCGAAAATAACCACGGCACCAACATCCCAGACTGTGGCGTTCGCTAGGGTAGCTCGGCCTAAAGTGAATGGGCGCCTTCGATTTCGGCCGCCTCGTTTTCTTCCTCTTCTTGAAAAGTAATGGGACCCCCATACCATCTGTGACGATTTGTCTTGAAGAACAACAGAAGCGATGTATATAATACGATTTCAAATTTTAGACGAAGCTCCAAGCACGCGCGGACCTGATTCTAGGCATTCTATTGTGGGAATAAACCCAATCTTTCTCATATCAAACAGGCGGAAAGTGCTCTTGCCTGGGCAGAAAAGGTGAAAAGAAACAATGGCATCTACTGACTTCCTTCTCTTTCTTTTACTTTTACCACCTTTTTTCTCTTTTTTTTCGGGCCTTCTAGCTACCCCCGCGCTTCCAGTGCGCCCTTCACCCTTTATTTTCCCACGTGGTTTTTCTTTAGGACGATTTTATTTTCGATCCACGGCGAGCAACATTCCGCAACGGACGCGTGTTCGTTCGCCCTTGATAATGTCAGATTTGAGTACTCCTTTAGAGTTCAGTTTAAATCTGTAGTTTTTTTGTTCATTCTTTATTTCTACCATAACATGGTCATATTTATATTTTCTATCAAGATCATTTTTATGTCTACAATCTTCAGGAAGGTTCTCGTCAACTTCCTGCACGGTTTTCTATTATTCCGAAACATAACCAATCAAGAAGTATTGCGGACCACTTTAATGCTAAACGGATTCGGTCTATATTTCTTCCGTTTTCCAGGCAATACCTTTGGTATGCCTCGTTCATCCATTGGTCCTTCATACCTTCTCGAAGGTTCCTCCAGACATCGATCTGCGGACGAGCCAATGCGCTGTCTTCCGTATTTGCTAAACTTTGGTATAGCAAATCTAATCGGCGCAAAAGAAGAACCGGCGTAACTGACAATAACTCAAAACCCATTTTACTTTTAATTTTCGCTGGACTATATACAATAATAAAGTACTTGTTTGAAAAACAAGCAAAGTTCTTCGCAAAGGAGCCTACAATTATAAATTATGCTTGTTAAAAAACAAAGCAAAAAATGGAGAAGCTGGGCGTCGATCCCAGTGCCTCTCGCATGCTAAGCGAGCGCTCTACCATTTGAGCTACATCCCCGACCTTTTGTCACGATTGTTATTTTATCGACAAGCCTCCGCCTATACGACATGACTTCCCGAAAATAAGATATAACTTGTTCAAAAAAACGACATTCTCGGCCTTTCGCAAAGGGATTTTCCGATCTCTGATGAAAGATGGCACTAATTCATCTTTCTCATTATTATTATCCCAAATTGTATTAGTTATCTTTAGACTAGAAAATTCAGTATAAATATCTCATGAATATCAAGGAATAAAAAGGGAGGAAAAAATTGGAAAAACTACGACAACCCTAACACAACACGCGACAAGTGGAGGTCGTGCCGAGGAAACCAATTTATCTTGCGTATTACCGTGTTGTGCATACTATGGATAGAACGTCGATTTCAAGATTTTTGGCTACTCCCGAGGCTTTTACCGGAGGACCAGGTTGTGACCCTGCTGCCTGGTTAAACCATATGGATCGCGTGAGAAAAGCGATGAAGGTTAATGACGAAGATGCTCTGCTGGTTGCTTCCACTCATTTCAAAGGATCGGCTGCACGTTGGTGGAACACCAGAGAGAAAGACATCAAGACCTGGAAAGCCTTTCGACATGAGTTCGAACAGAAGTTTATTTCGCAGAATCAAGAGGACCATCTGTGGAATATTATCGAAAATCGCAAGCAAGGTCCACACGAGACAGTAGACGAAGTTGCTATGCATCTCGACGAGTTATTTCAACTAGTCGGTTTGCGTAACGACTATATTAAAATCCGTTTCTTTTTGAAAGCTATCGACCAGGATATCGCCTACAAGCTTGAACGTAATGGTGTCCCACGCAACTGGGAAGAGGTTCCCGCCGTGGCTCGTCATGTTGAAGCCGTAGAAAAGAAGTACAGCCGTGGTGAGAAAAAGATCCCTGCATTTATTGGTCAAAACGAGCGATATAACTGGGAACATAATTCTTGGCAACTTGGTGACAACCTTTCCGATGGTTCCCCTTCTCTGCAAGGTACTCTCAGTGAACTGGCAGAAGGTATCAAGGCACTCAAGGTTCACTTGGTCGATAACCCCAGACCGCCAAAATGTTTTGGTTGTGGCGAAGAGGGCCACAAACGCTACCAATGCCCCAAGAATGCTGGTTCCTTTCCCCAAGGTCCGGGAAAAGAAGCTGGGCGCCAGTAGAGAGAGATACTGCCGCCCAAAACTGAAAATCTGCAAATCTCTCACCTCAACCGCCCGAGGTTCATCTCATTCAAGCCGCCGAAATTTATAACGCTCAAAAAAGAACTGCATCCGACGCGTCTCTGATGCAACATGGAGAATCATCGAAACGAAAAGACAAGCAACCGATTACTGCTATGGCGAACAACAATATCGATCAAGACGTAGTTATGAAGCCCAAGAGACAATGAAAACCACCGAGAAAACTACCTGTCATTATTCCGAAGAAAGAAATTTGGAAACAGCTCGAAAACGTACAGTCCGGACTTAGTATGGCCGACTGGATATCCATGGACAGAAACGCATATAGGGATCTGCGGGATGGATTGCGTTTTATCTATGGAAGACCTACGAAGATTACGAATGCAAGAACGAACCAACCTGGAGTCGTGAACACGGTCGATGTGCAAGGAGACTTTTCTACTGATGATAGTGACACCGAACTCTCTGAAGTGGGTTCCGATCAAGCAACCTTCGCATTTTCAACGGAAGATTTAAGCGTTGAAGGATACGATAGTGACGACACCTTTTATGACAATCCGTACGATTTTGAGAAGCTCACCAGAAGTCAACCCCTCAAGGCTCCCATCGTCATAAATGGTGCGATTATTCAAGCAATTATTGATACCGGGGCAAGTGTTTCGGTTATCAGCAAGGAGCTGGCAAAAAAATTAAATTTGGTTCCCAATGGTGATCAAATTCCCTTATCTGGTCTGGATGGTGAAGCGAAGTATCCATACGAAATTACTGTGGACGTTCCAATACGAGTCGCTGGTAAATTGCGCCCTGAAGCAATGTGCATCCAAGATAACCCATCGACTCCCGATCTGTGTATCCTTGGTATGACCTGGTGCAAAGCCCACGATATTCAGTTGCGATTGAAGGATTCCATGGTTATTATCCCCACCAAGAATGGGACATCGTCTGTCGAATTACGAGGTGATATCGAATCCGTAAGCTGTGCTCCGCAAGTGTACCGTGTCAATGTGAAGCTTGACGAACTCCCTGATACATCGGAAAACTCAGTGGAACCCATTGAAGTTATCGAAGACCGGATTCCGAACTACATCGAAGACACGTTATCCGTTTCTACCGCCATGGAAAATGAAGAAGAATTACCAAGTGAAATTACCGAAATTGTTGCACAGTATGCTAATTTATTTGTTGAAAACTCTGGCCTAGGTCGAATCTCTTTACTGGAGCATGAAATACCTACTACCTCGGATCAACCCATCAGGTCCCGCCCATACCGGTTAACGTGGGAAGAGGAAGACTGCTTACGTAAAGAAATCAATCAACTCTTGGAGCTTGGCCTTATCCGACCGTCCCGTGGTATCTGGACCTCCCCTGTGTTTTTTGTGCGCAAACGCGATGGAAGCTTGCGACTGGTTGTTGACTACCGACGACTGAACCGAATTACCCTCAAGGATGCGTTCCCACTTCCTCATATTGACGATCTTCT